AGAGCAGTTCCGCCCGTGGATTGCAACGATTGAGTCTATCAACCTTGTTCCGCTCGGAACTAGCTTCCAGAATCCGCAATTAGTAGATTTCAGTTTGCAAAAGCAACGCGTCTATGATGGCATCGGTGACTTCATTCTGAGCTGCCAAGCAGTCTCGGCTCCTCTCGCTGACGAGTGGGCAGAGCTGCGAGGCGATTCTCTTGATGATCGAATTACGGCCGTGCGAATGGTGGCCAAACAACTGGAGAACTTTGTTTCACAGATTGGCTTCTCGCTATCATTACTTCTCGAGCAAATCCCCGAAGAGCCCATCTCTATCCTTAGAAGCGAGAGTCGCTTGGATGAGGAGGATGAGTCGCAGAAGAGTACTCATAGCCGTGGAGACTCCCAAGCTAAGATTGCCAATGAGTCCATTGGTATTCCGTCTTCTTATTCACTCGGCAAGGGAGGTAACAAGGTCCGACGCAACATGGACAAGGCCCAAAGATTCTTCGGCCAGGCACCTCCCACAACTGTGACTCGTGAGCCGCCGATGCAAGAGCCAGTAAGAGAGCCCGAAGAAACTCCATGGTTCTTGAAGATGGACCATGAAGGCGAGGTGTTCTATGACAACAAGACAGACACGCCGATTTTGAAGTGCGGTACTCTAGCTGGATTGGTTGAGCACCTTACCCGTCACGATAAGCTTGATGCTTCGTTCAACAACACCTTCCTCCTCACCTACCGCTCCTTCACCACTGCATCTGAACTGTTTGAGATGCTCGTGCAACGCTTCAACATCCAGCCTCCATTTGGTCTGAATTCCGATGACATGCAAATGTGGATCGATCGCAAACAGAAGCCGATTCGATTCCGTGTGGTCAACATTCTCAAGAGTTGGTTTGACCATTTCTGGATGGAGCCCTATGATGAAGTGAACATGGATCTTTTGCGCCGTGTCCATGCCTTCACCAAGGATTCCATCGCTACCACCAAGACACCGGGTGTTCCAACACTGCTTGCTGTTATTGATCAGCGTCTACGTGGCCAGGATATCACTGCTAAGCGTCTTGTGCCAACACAGAGCACCCCTGCTCCACCACCCATCATCCCGAAGAACATGAAGAAGCTCAAGTTCCTCGACATTGATCCTACAGAGTTCGCCCGACAGTTGACTATCATCGAGTCGCGCCTTTACTCCAAAATCCGACCTACAGAGTGTTTGAACAAGACATGGCAGAAAAAGGTTGGCCCTGATGAGCCAGAGCCGGCTGCCAACGTCAAGGCATTGATTTTACACTCGAACCAGCTGACCAACTGGGTCGCTGAAATGATCTTGACACAGAATGATGTCAAGAAGCGCGTGGTTGTGATCAAGCACTTTGTCAACGTCGCTGAGAAATGTCGCACTCTCAACAATTACTCTACCCTGACTTCCATCATCTCAGCTCTTGGAACTGCACCCATTCATCGGCTGGGCCGAACTTGGGGCCAGGTCAGTGGTCGCACCTCTGCTATTTTGGAGCAGATGCGTCGACTCATGGCTAGCACCAAGAACTTTGGCGAGTACCGTGAGACTCTACACCTTGCGAACCCTCCTTGTATCCCATTCTTTGGTATGATATGCGATTACCCCTAGTGCCCTGGCAATTTGGAGCCTTTCTCTCTTTCGCTCATGTTCTCCTTACTTACATCATCTTCAGGTGTCTATCTCACGGATTTGACCTTCATCGAGGATGGCATTCCCTCCCTCACCCCTTCCGAGTTGATTAACTTCAACAAGCGGGCCAAGACTGCCGAAGTCATTCGCGACATTCAGCAGTATCAGAATGTGCCCTACCTCCTCCAACCGGTCGGCGAACTCCAAGACTATATCCTTAGTAACCTCCAAGCCGCGGGCGATGTTCACGACATGTATGATCGAAGTCTCGAGATCGAGCCCCGGGAGCGCGAGGATGAAAAGATTGCAAGGTATGCAGCTGAATCTTCCGGGAACAAGGGTTCCATGTTCTTTGCAAGCACCGTCGCGATTCTGCGATGATCTCCTGTTTTCTCACTCTCATTGGGCACGGTGTCTGGCACAATCTCGGCGATACCCGAATTTGATCTCTTATTTCCAATCATTTGAGGCGAACATGGCCATGCGTTTTGAAACCTGTTTTGGGCGAATCGACTAACCACTTTTGATTGCACCCCGTAGATTGCTCTCAGAGTCCGGTTTCCTGTAGTTGTGGCGGTGACATCCCTGTCCAAGCTGCATCTGCAGGCGATCGTGGCCAACCGATCTTGTGAACGATACTGCCTCATGCTCCAATCAAGCATTGTGGATGTGCCACCCACACGGTGGCCTCACCATTCCAGGCTAGAGTGCGAATGTCCCGCGCCGGATCTCCGGACTATGCGACCGTGCCGATATTGTCTCCACATATCAGCCACTGATTCGCCTTGGATATATTCGACCATCGGTTCTTGCCGTGTCCACGAGACATGCCACATGCAGATCACCCTCTAATTTATTTGGCGCCGTGATTTTAACCGCCCTGGACCAATACCCATCCTCGAACCCGGTGCAGCCGCCCATGCACATGCACATATACGTTCGTTCATGCGATACCTCACTTCTTTTCGCTACACTTATTCTCCGACATAGAATTTTGGACATCATTTCCTTCCTTTCTGCATGTCAACCCGACTGACATATGCACACCCTACACATGTACTCCACTGTCGCATATACCAGTCTCCTCGGTGTATATCCCCCACTGTTGACACATCTTTTTCATTGTTCGATTTTGTTCCTATCTTTTCTTGGAGCGAGGTGAAGGTGGGCCTTCAGGGTTAATGTCTGCACGCCATCCTCTATAATGATATGTTATGACCTGAAAGCCACGTTGATGTCAGATGGACTTTTTTTTGACTTCTCGAGAGTACCAGTATTGCTGGTTGACTCGGATCGCGCTTCTCTGTATCTATTGTTTCACCAACCATTTGGTCGATACCCTGCCTGTGTTTGGCTTCGGGTCAATAGAAGGCGACTTCTTGAATTCTTGTATCTTGTATCTTGTATCTTGGATTTCAAGCCTTGCTTCTGCTGGCTTCATTAGCTGCGAGCGACTGATCAGGAGGACCAAAATGATCATGGCGTACAGCCCTACAGCATGTGAGTTTTGGGCAGTCACTTTTAGGTCAGTGTATACGTTTTTGTGTGGTTTCATACAGGAAAAAAAGGTTATTTGGCATAAGTAGGCTTATCTTATTTAAGATCTCGTTCATCACATGCAGAGTTACAGTTCTATGACCATAATACATCGGCCTGTTCCCCGTGAACCCGAGGACAGCAAATACAGGGAAGTAGCAATGTCAGAAGCACGAGAAATGGACCCGCCAGGCGCCGAAGACACCGAACCAAATGTAAATTGACATGCGTAACAGTCGTAGCGATATTGATGTTATGAAGACCTGTTGTGACTTAGGATGATGGAGTGGACCGATCCCCGATACCTTGGAAGAGTTTCATCTTCACTTCGGATGCGAGAAGACCCTTGACTTCTTCTGAGACGATACGCTGGCCACCACGGACAACTTTATCTAGCTGTTGATCCTTGACTGCGGCGGATCCGCCGCCAGGGTTGTTGGTCTCGAGTGCTCGCGATGCCTTGCGCACTTTCTGGCTTAGATCCATCATCTGTTTGCTGCCATAGTCGCGGGAAGTGAATAGTGGACTCTGGCTGAGCGTAGCAACCCAGTACTTGTTCCAGAGAAGTGACAAAAGCTCAGAGTCGAGAGTACTCTTGAAATGTGTCGTCTCGAGCGAGTAATATTGATTAGCATGCGCACCGAAGTCCTCCGCCTTGCCTAGCGGAATAGTCTGATACTCATCATCTTCATGAGCCTCTTTCCGCGGGGTGTAATTCTCAGGGAAAGTTCTGAAAGCACCAATCTCAACCTTCCCAGCAGAGATCGTGCGCTCTGGATCAATGACAACAGCCACGAAGGGCCCTGTCATCTGCTGCGTTTGTTGAGTCGCAACATCAATGCCAGACAGCCAACATCCATATCCCGGATGGCTGTGATACCATCCAACAGCATTATCCTTCCGCCCCGCATCCCGGCATGACTGAAGATACGAAACCATGTACTCGTTCGCCTCGTCCTGAGCGTTGACCCGCGTTTCTGTGCCTTCAACCGGTAGTCGGAATGCATCTGTCACGACAAATGTGTTCGGCAGGATGTATCCTTGCATCAGGCCCATCACCTCAAGGGACCCGCCCGAGCGAGCATGCATCACCATTTTCAATAGTGCCGAGGCGGAGATGCGTACGGATTTAAAATAGTACGGGTCCGAGGCCCAGGGTCGATCGGCGTTCAGAGTCTTTTGAGCTTCTTCGTCATATTGGTAGAGTGCATCACGTTGCGGGTCAAACACGCTGATTGCGTTCTCGAGCTCTGCAATTGCTTGTTAGTCCAGCTCCCGTCATCGGGTGAGGGTCACGAACCCCAGGACTGCTGAGCAGCCTGCATTGTTGCGGGGTAGATGTGTCGTGAGGTGATTGAATTTTATGTGGATAGAGTAAGTGAGGAGATAGGAGAGGAATAAAAATGGTGATAGAGCAGCTTGGAGGGGAAATCAAGTAGCTTCTCGATGCAGTGATGAGCGTGGAGAAAAGCGGTGGGGTCGATATTGGCAGAAACAAGGGGCGGTGTGGTGATGACTCAGCGGTTGCCCATGACGACGATCTGGGCCAAACAACGGAGCCTGTGAGATGAACCTGTTATCACCTGGCCCTGTTTCTGACCCTTACCCCCCTCATAAACATACCTCCTCCCCATTTTCAATGTTTCGCCACTGACAACGTCCGAATCCACCTTCTTTTCTTTATTTTGTTCCGTGTGTCGGGATTCCCACAAGTTGGGCGCTTTGTTTTAGATACCTTCGGCGTCGCTGTCGCACTGTCGTTGGTGTACACTACATTCTTTGATTGCCAGTTGAGCCTCGCTGTCCACCAGCATCATATCTGGAAATGGCTGTCGACACGAGCTACCTGACCAGTCAGGTCAACAACATAGTGGAGCAACTCCATGGCATCTTTGATGAGATTGGAGTACCCGCCCGCGAGCGCGACTCCCGCGAAGCAGAGGTATGTTGAATGCGACAAATCCATTGATCAATGACGTCCATACTAATCGGCCGCTTAGCTCTTCAGCGCTCTGTCAGAGACTTTGAACAATCATCTCAAGCTCGTTGACGAGTAAGTTGGCAATGTAAACAAAGCACACCCGGCGCATCTCAATGCTGATAATCTACTTCCACAGAGAAAAAGAAGAAATGACACAAGAGGCTCAACGCCTGATTACGACTATTCAACAAATGGAGGCGTCACTGGGCGACGAAAGGGCCAATGGCCAATACGAGCTCAACCGCGCCGACCTCAAGGTGACCTACCCCCTCAACCGCTGTATCGCCTTTCTGCGCGAGAAGAACGATGCGATGAGCCGTCTTCACCGTGAGCGCTTCGAACAAGTCAAGAGTGAGTGCGCCAATTCTTGTATCCATCGGATAGACCCGCTGACCGCATACAGAACTTGTCGATGCTCTCGAGTCCTACTCATCACACCTCGAAGCTTCGTTCCTCACCATAGAACTGCCTCCCACTGCCCCGGGATCGACCATTCCTCCCAGCTTCGACCTCTCCCCCGACTATGTCACTGCTCTTGATTCCGAATTCAGCAGGGTCTACGAAGAGTACCACCGCCGCATTTCATTCGTCCAGACCACTTCCGAGGAGATCATCAAGATGTGGGCTGAGCTTGGAACTCCGCAGGTGCAAACAGACTCCAATATTGTTCAAAACTATCGTGAATCTCCGGAGCAGCTTGGTCTCCACGAAGCCGACCTTGCCAACCTGATGGCCAAGCGTGAGAAGTTGGTGGAGGAGAAGAAGGGACGTGAGCGCAAGATCAAGGAACTCCGCGCCAATATCGAGAGCCTCTGGGAGCGCTTCGGTGTCGAAGAGGCTGATCGAAAGGCCTTCCTTGCAGCCAACCGTGGCTGCGGTATGCGCACTATTAACGAATTTGAGGAGGAGCTCGCTCGTCTCAACGAATTAAAGAGACAGAATATGCACTTGTTTGTCGAAGATGCTCGCTGCCGTCTGCAGGAGCTTTGGGACATTCTCTTCTTTTCCGAGGAAGAAATGCTTGACTTCACACCTGCTTTCTCAGATGTGTGCAGTGACGCGCTGCTTGAGGCCCATGAGGCTGAGATCTCGCGCTTGGAAACCCTCAAAGAGCAGCGCGCCCCTACCTTGGAAATGATTGAGAAGCACCGCGGTCTGCTGGCGGACCGTGAGGCTCTGTCCTCTTCTAGCCAGGATGCCTCCCGTCTTATGGGCCGTGGCAACAAGGGTGAGAAGCGCGACCCCGGTAAGCTTCTCAGAGAGGAGAAGATGCGGAAGCGCATCGCTAGAGAGCTGCCCAAGGTTGAAGTTGAGCTCCGCAAGGAGTTAGAGCACTGGGAAGACGAGTTCGGTCGACCTTTCCTCGTCCACGGTGAACGCTATCTCGACAACTTGACTCCCACGACCGCCAGACCTCCACCTCGATCCAAGACTCCCTCTGCGCCTCCCTCTACCTCTAAGATCGGCTCCATCCGCCATCAGCCTCCGTCTCGTCCCGGCAGCTCGATGCAAGGCCCTCGCCCTGGTAGCTCTATGCGTGGACCTCCTCCCCCTCGCTCTGCGACTAAAACTCCCACGGGACCTGGTGCAGCGAAGCACAACACTATCGGATACGGTGCTAGCAGATCTGGAGCGACGTCGCCCTCCAAACTCCCAGCTCGTGCTCCATTGAGCAACTTGCCTCAGGGGGGTAACTCACCTGAGCGTCGCACTGGACCTGGATCCTACTCATCCAGTACTATAAATGGAAAGATGGCCCCGCCTCGTGGACCTCCCCCACGAATGCGCGCCTTGACTGTTGAGTCCAAGGAGCGCAACAGCCACCTGACGGAGCCGCCGCGTTGCAACAGTGCTATGTCGTCCGCGTTTGTGCGCCCAGTAAGCCCCGAGGATATCTACGATGACCGCCAACGATCGTTTATGAGTGCCTCTGTCATGGGCCACTCACGGCCAAATAAGCTTTCCTCTCACTCCTCGCATTCTTCCATGTCCTCCCTCAACTCGTCACTCAACTCCTCGATGCAGGGATACCCACGACTGAATCCTTATCTTAACTCAGCACCACCTCCCCCAGCCCTCCGTCAAACTTCCAGCTCCACTACCACAACCACCGTGTCCGGATCTGAGAACTGGGAGACCTTCGACGATGCATCTGAGGATGAGCATGATGCTAGCGATATCTACTACTCCAAGCTGCGGGCCGCACAAGGCAAGCGCTTTGCCCCTGACGATAGCATGGATATGACCGGCAAGAAGTCCAAGGGCATCCGAAGCGTCAGCCCAGATGGTCCTCACCCCGGCCAGGTCCTCCGAGTCGCAGGTAGCGACAACGAGTGGACTGACGACTATGAAACCTATTAATCGCCTCTCAAAAGCGCCTCCAATTCCTCATCTACCCTTAGCACCCGGCGCTTATTACATATTCACTTCATGCTTTTTCGTTAATTGGCGCATCGAGCTGTGGTTCCGCAGTCGCTTGGCTTTCTGACGATGCCATGATCCCGACTAAGGCGATCATGGTTCACGATGGATGTTGACGATCCTTACGACTGAGCTTGCTCAGACTACTCATGGGCTGGTGTCTTCCACTGATGAGCGACTCCGCCATCTTGCATTCTACTGTGAAAATTACGAGTTTCTTTCACGTCACTCTTGTTTATGCTCTCTTTCTTGTCAATGTTTAATCATGTCCGCTGCTGCGAAGCGCCTGGAGATCCGTTGGTCCTTTTCTTCTTCTTCCCGCCATAAAGACGAAAGTTTCTCTCAACTTCGGACGGATTTTAATTGAGTTTTATCTCTTATTTGGGTTGGCATGGTGTTACTTACTCCCTCTTTGACTGGTTTCTTTTTGTTTTGCTGGCTCGGTGCTACGGCTCTCTGTTTATTATTCTCAAGTCTTCTGCTCATCTGAAGCTGGCGGCTTTTCTTTGCGTTCTCGTGCACTCTTTTTGAGGGTCTTTTATGTTTGATTACAGCGTAGTACAGTTCTTTGTTGATAATATTATCCTTTGTTCAAACCATTTCTTTATTCTCATCAAGCATCATAACATTGATATTGTTCTCTTTGAAAACAGAGCCCAGCTAGTCCCTTTCAAGTCGCCTTGAAGTGTCCTTAAATGTGCAGATATCTCAAGGATTGGCAAGATCAACTCTCCCCTTGTCTATCTCGGCGTATCGCCTTTCAAAGCTCTCGAGTCGTTTGCCCATTGAAACTCGAGACAGACATTCACTGTTTCAAGATCTCTTTCTGTCAAGAAAGGCTGTGAATAAAATTCCTCAATAATATCATGCTCTTAGTTATCCATTTCAGTCACCGTAGCAATGTCGGGTTTAATGTTGAAGTTGATCTATGGATCAATATAATTTGAATAAAGTGCATTCTAGCAAATGAAATGGTCTATTGTACTATCTTGATCGTAGAATGGAGATGATCGTGTCTCAAAGAAACGGCCACAGAGAAAATGCAAAGCCCAAGACGCCGTCGATGCCATATAAGCATGATACCCATTTTTGTGTCGATTACTGAGCCGCGCACTGCGCAGGCTCCTCCTCTTCCTCGTCCTCCCAAGCAGAACCACCATTAGGGTTGTTAGCACCAAATTCTTCCATATTGCCCTTAGGGTCATATTTGACTTCATCCACGGTGGCGGCTTCGATGGGTGCATCGGGCTTGGGGAGGATCTCCTTGAGCTTCTCGAGGACGGCGGGGCTGGGCTTCCACTTCTCATCGGGGAACTTCACGTTGACAACCAAATACAGATCACCCCGAGCGTCGCTGCGCTTGATCGGCATGCCTTCTCCGGCGACCTTCAAAACTTGGCCGGACTCGAGGATCTGGCCGGCAGGATGAGTAATTTCGATACCGCGCTCGTCGAGGTGCTTGATCACGACGCGTGAGAAACCGGTCAATGCCTCAGCTAGTGTGATATCGATCTCAGCTCGCAAGTCTGCACCAGCACGGTCGAAGACAGGGTGCTCCTCTTGGACCAGGCGGAAAACAATATCACCGGGCTCTTGGTCGGGAACCTGGTCAGCCTCGCCTTCCAAGACAATCTTGTCGCCCTCCCTGTTGAATCAGTTAGCAACTGTTCGAAGTTCTATGTGATGAGAATGACTTACTTCGAGCCTGGGGGAATATAGAGCTCGAGCATCTTCTTCGCCTCCACTGTGCGCTTGCCCTTGCACTTCTTGCACTTGTCCTTGTCGCTGAAGAATGATCCTCGTCCACTGCAGGTAGTGCAGGGCTGTGTAGCCTTGGTGAGGAACTGACCCATGTTTCTGATGACCTCTTGGTATCCAACACCATCGCAAGTAGAGCACTTCTTCGCCTTGGCCTTCTCCTTTCCGCCCTTGCCAGTGCACAAGCTGCAAATGACATTCTTGACGCTGGCAAACTTGACAGTCTTGCCCTTGTATAGATCCACCAGGCTGAGTTCGTAGTCCTGCTCCTCATCGCGGCTCTTGCGCGGGCCTGCACCAGGACCTCCGGGCATGCCTCCCATACCGCCGAAAGGATCCATGCCGGGCATACCGCCGCCCATACCGCCCATACCACCGAACATCTGTGCCAGGATGTCGTCGAGATCGGGGCCACCTCCCATACCACCCATGCCGGGGTCTCCGGAGCCGTTGAACGCGTTCATGCCATGGCGGTCGTAAAGTTCACGCTTCTGATCATCGTAAAGGATCTCATATGCCTCCTGGACGGATTTGAATTTGATTTCGGCAGTCGGGCGCTCGTCTTCGGGGACTTTGTCGGGGTGACTGGACAAAGCAGCCTACAGTTGACATGGTTAGTTTTGCAACCCGAGATTTTGAGAGACGTGTCTTGCCTTGCGGTATGCCTGCCGAATCTCGTCTTTGCTCGCGCCGCGCTGGATCTCGAGGACCTCTGTGGTGATAAGAAAACTAGGTCAGTTTTTGAACTTTGACCTTGCTCAATAATGATAAAGGATTGCGCATACCATAGAGGTCGATTTCGACAGGAGCCACTGCAGTTCTTGTCAGCAAGCAGTCAAACGGGCGGATAAGACGGATTTCAGGCGGGGTCCATACTCAGTGCGATGCTCTCCTTTTATGAGGCGGTAATAACGGGTATTTGAAGAAGAACCAGAGATTAAGTACTTAGTTTAGAAGGACCGAAAAGACGTGCGGAGCAAGCAAGATGGGAAGTGTTGATCAAGCGGAGTCGCAAACCGAAAATTTGTCGGTAGCTTTGAGCGGAGCCGAGACCCTCCTCCGCAAAAATTCCAGCGCGGAAGGTGCAGCCCAACTGCTTCACATTCACCTGGCTTTCGCTCACAATTCCCCATGAGAAGCCCTTCAAGCCGGCTCTTTGCCCGGCATACCTGGACCTGCCTTCAGTGCAGATCCTCGTCCACCTCCGCGGGCGCGCAACTCCGCAAATCAAAGACGAACTTGCCCGACGCGCCTGCGCGCACGCGTTTTGCACCTTCGCCGACCGGATACCTCCATTTGGGCTCTTTACGAACAGCTCTTTTCAATTATCTCCTTGCGAAACGAACCGGTGGCCAATTCTTGTTGCGCATTGAGGATACCGATCAGGTTGGTGGTGCCATTGCGCTAGGCCAAGACGGCTGCTGAAGGATATAGAAACGGACGATTCCGGATGCCGAACAACGATTGTACGATGATTTAAATTGGGCGGGACTACACTGGGATGAAGGTAAGATCATTTGAGTGATATGACAAGCAGCCTATGAGGGAGGAAGGAAATGGGTTGACATTGTGTTGGTAGGCCCTGTTGTTGGTGGTCCTTACGGCCCATATAGACAGGTAAGATGCGGAGACCTTATTATACGAGTGCGGGATCCTTAACACTAATCTCTCATAGTCCGAGCGAACGGCCTTGTACCGATCCCATGCCGACGACTTGATCTCCAATGGCCACGCCTATCGGTGCTTCTGCTCCTCCAAGCGTCTCGATTCATTTGCACGCCACCGAAGCCAGGCCGGGTTGGCACCTGGATATGACAGAAAGTGTGGACATATCTCGTCCGAGGAGTCCGAGGACCGAGCATCCAAGGGCGAGGCTCACGTCGTCCGGTTGAAGGTGGAAGGATACCCAATGTTCAACGATTTGGTCTATGGAAAGACGGGACAAAACAAACCTAATAGCAGTAAATTGGACTTGATTGATCGAGTTTACGATGACCCGATTCTGCTGAAATCGGATGGACACCCAACTTATCACCTGGCGAATGTGGTGGACGACCATTGCATGAAGATCACACATGTCATTCGCGGAACGGTAAGATGCCTTTATTCTTTATTGAAGGCCCACGGCTAATAATCTACAGGAATGGATGCCCTCAACACCGATGCATGTCGCCCTTTATAACGCTTTCAAGTGGGAGCCGCCACGCTTCGGCCATGTCCCGCTGCTGGTTGACAAGTCGGGGCAGAAATTGAGCAAGCGGAACGCAGATATCGATTTGTCTTCGTTCAAAGACCAACAAGGAATTTTCCCGGCCACGCTTGTCAACTTCGCTTCGCTTTTGGGCTGGTCGCACTCGCAGAAGTCTGATGTGTTTGATCTTGGAGAGTTAGAGCAACTTGTAAGTTCCACGTGCCAGACCTGGGTTCCTCTGCTAATCCTCCTCCTAGTTCAACCTCAAATTCACCCGTGGAAACACAGTTGTCGCATTTGAGAAGCTCTGGTTCCTTCAAAAGGCCCACGCGCAGCGCTTCGCAGCAAATGGCGGTCCTGAATTCGATGATATGGTCAACAGAGTATGCAAGGTTGTCGAGGAGAATCATCTCAGCCCACACTTGTAAGTTTTGCCTTGCCCATATCCTCAACCGACGGTCAAGACTAATCTCCACCTAAAGTGAGCGGATTCTCCGGGGCCGCACGCTCTCCGAATACATTTCCCCTCTCATCCGTGCGGACGCCAAGTCCTACACAACTGCGGAGGAGTTCGCGGAGCGTAACTCTACCTTCTTCGCTACTAAGCTCGACCGACCTACTTATAACCCCGTCTCGTCCTCGTCCACATCAACTCCCACTGTCCCCATGCTGGCGCTCCACACCGCAGCAGCAGCTTTGATGCTCGTCCCATCGGCCCACTGGAACATCGAGATGCACCGCTCCAACATCACATCCTACGATGGCTCTGATTCCGTTGAGATTGCGCCCGAAATGGACTCATCATCTGTGGCTACCGACAAGGTCTTCAAAAAGGAACTGTACCATTACCTTCGCTGGGCCTTGTCTGCTTCGGCACCGGGACCTGGCATGCCTGAGACTATGACCATTCTTGGAAGAGATGAAACAGTGCGCAGACTGCAAGATGCGAAGACGCTTACACAGTCATTGGTTCCACAGGTTGGTCGGCGGGTGCCAAAGTCTTCTGGACAAAAGAAACTGCAGGAAGATCGGAGTTGGATGGGATCTCTTGCTCCTGATCAGTAACTAGTAGCTTTGAGGTCGCATAATGGAATTGTATAATATTTGAGATTCGTCAATTGCCCAGGTGGGTGTCAGTTGCTTTTACATGGCGTAGAACTCGCCGATAAATTAGAATCTAGTCGCGTTTGGGTGGCAGCTTCTTTTTTTAGGTTGGAGGATCCTGGGAATTTCCATCATCACCAACCCTCGTATCGAATCCCTTCCCCCCCCCTACATATACAGGGTTGGAGTCGATTCTTTTAATACTGCAACTCCTTCGAGTATTCCGCTTGCTCATGCTACCAAACTAGCTTACTCATCTTCAATTCCGACAGCACCAAGTATCTCACCTCTCAAGTGTTTCATTCAATATAGCCCAAATCACGGAATGCTCTTTCTAGGATCTCCTGGATCGTTTTCTCTTTCCGTTGGTTGTATTCCATCACCGAACCTCCAACTACGACCGTCTGTTCAGCCGCTTCGCGTTTCACTTTGGCATACAGTTCTAGATCCGCTGGCGTTTTGAGTAACCACTCACGAAAGATACGATGACGGGCAACTTCAGGCGAGTCGGGACCCCACACGTGGAGATTGACGTGGTAGGCTTTGGGCCAATCCTCCACAAAGAACCGGTGCTGGTGCCATCGCGGCTCGCGCAAGAGGAACCGAAACCCGGCTTCATCCAGAAGCTTCACGTATGATGCTTCATCCGTGGCATCTCTCAGTGTCAGATCAACATCAATAACATCTTTAGCTGGTAGGCCGGGAACACTGGTAGAGCCGACATGAGCGATGTCCAAGATCAAGTCGCCAAGGGCGTTTTGAATCCGCTTTTTGGCTTGTTCGAACCGTTGCGGCCATTCTGGGTTGGGCTCGACTATGGCAATGGAAGGTGATACTGTTCGGAAGGCTATACGCTCCACGAGCTTCGGTTTTTCCTCATAAGGCTCGAGAATCTGCGCAACTGTAGCGGGCATTATAGGAATGATGGTAGTTGGTAGATACTGATCGGTCTCTGGCTTTGTCAATCCATATAATCCCTTGCTGATCGGGGTGGCCGTTATGGAACCACCCAGAATGCTTGGCAGATCTAGCGTCACGATCGCCCCGCTCGTTTTCCCTTTGCGCGAGACCAGCTCTCAATACTCATAACAAGCTGAATCTCAGTATAGGAGCAAGATTGAAAAGACTGCAGATCAGTGTAAGGGAATGACAAACGAGATTAACCCAGATATCCTATAAAGATGACAGTGGGATATTATGCAGTGCCTGATTTACCAAAGCTGATTGACCAGTCCGATACTCCCGATAAAAAGAACTCCCTGGAAAGCTCGCACGGTGAAACGTCAAGGTTCACTGAAGGACAAGAACGATGACGGAAACTCAAGAATGGAGTAAGCCCGGAAAAGGAGACGCCCGACATCACACAATCAGAACTGATCAAAGGTTCCAAGCGAAATTGGCTCCTCAATTTCTTGCAGCCATCCCAAAAACATTAGCCTGTGAAGTATTGAAACATGCTAGATGCTATTCCCGTTGCTTATGCCCGAGTTTATTCCTTGCTTCAATCCGTCAAATTGATGACTACACGGTACCAGCCTCGGTAATAATTCGTATTTATTCATAATCAAATGAGTATTGACTAGGAACCAGAAAAGCACCTCCTTCGGCTGAGCAGGTCTTAACTACCAGGTTGGAACGACTAAGCTTAAGAGGGTTGACAAAAATTGAAGCTTATAGGATAATCATTTGCCTATGTATGAAACGACCAAGATTGATCGTTCTACCGAAATAATAAGACATTTATCGAATGTTGTTTTACATCTCCCATCAATTAACCAGCAGGATTGGCACAAGTGAAGGGCGTAAGAGCAGACTCCGCGAAATCGGTGTGCATCGCCACGACAGAGGCCCAGATACCCAGGCCAGCACACGACAGAGCAGCAGCGGAGTAAATGATATCGAAGGTGTTCCACACGAACTTCTTCTTGTAGCCGCGGATCCAGCGCTTGACACCGCTGTCCACGCGCTCGGCTTGGCCAGTTTGCGGGTTGAAGCGCTCCTCGGGGAGCATTGCGTCCCTCTGCACATTGTAGCCGACAAGGAGCATGGGCGGGAATGTGTAGGAGAATTGCAAGATGCAAGCAGCACCGACGAAAGATGTAAGGTTGGAGATTTGGGGGATGGCGGCGGCGATGATCCAGGCGAGAACCCAGTAGATCGGGACTGCGGTTGTTAGTATATTTTGGATCTAGTTATGGGAAGGATGAACGACTTACCGAGACCGACCCAGAGCCACTTGCCGATGCGGCTGTCCAGTGGGGGAAGTGGAAGACGTCACGAAGAACGGAGGAGTAGAAGACCTTGATACCGATGTTTCCGTAGAGCAGGGCCGCAATGACACCGGTGATGAAGGAGATGGCGTTTCCAAGAGTCTGGAAACGGTAGGCCGAGTCGGGGATTCCCTGGTAGGCAGGGTTGAAGGTGAACTGACCCTGGGCGCTGTAGACGACCATGCCCATGATCAGATAGCAGGCGTAGATGAAGATCTCGGCACAGATGAATCCCTTCCAGAAATCGTAGGGACGGCGCATCTCGGCCATGAGCTCGTTAAACAGGGTCGCACCACCGTAGGCGAAGACAGCGTTCATCATAGCATTGACCTTGTCATTCAGGGTAGAGCTGGCAGGCCAGTTGGCGCTGGTCACGACTGGACCCTTCTTAATTGTAGGGTAACTGGCTTGCACGGCGGCATAGTTCGGAGGGTATTGGTGAACAACCGCCATGGTCATGATGATAACGATAACGTTCAACCAAATAGCGATGTTGGCAAGGAAGGACAGACGCTGCAGAGTACGAATTTGACCGAGAACAAAGCCGATGACCATGAAGATGACCTCGGCGACGATGAAACAGAGGAAGCCCTTGCCATTTTCGCCCTCCACCATCTGTGCCAAACCCTGTCCGTTACTGGTGATCAACAGAGACACGTTCAAGAAGAACTGGAAGCTCTGAAGAACGTTGACGACAATACGGGCGGAGCTGCCGAAAACGCGGAAGGCCATGTCGCCATAGTTGCGCATGGGGAAGCGGGTGGAGTCCAGGCCGACAAAGATTTTCCACAGCTGCATACCAGAATAAGCAGCCATGATACCGAAAACAGTGTACAAAGCGAAACCCGGTCCATAGCCCATGCGACTAATGGCCCAGGGAACGTTAGTAGGGCCCAAAATATCAGTGGTAATCAGATAGAAGATTGAACCCCAGGTAGCAGTACGAGCTGCTCTCTGAGCCTGTTCCCATTCGGTCTCGGTAACACCGTAGTTGTCGGTCGCTTCATTTTTCACGGTCATATCTGCAGGGTCGGTTTCGGTCTTCTTCTCATCAGAATTCTCCTTTTCATTTGCGTTCTCTGAAGGGGTTGGTGGCGTGGCGTCTTGTGATTCAATGGGACTCTTCTTCTTGCCCATGAGCATGCTGGCCCATGCTGCAAAGCCCTTGTCATCAGTGCGAATGGTTTTCTCGTATTCACGAGACCGGTTGGCCCAGAAGACGTAGTTCTCGAAAGTAATGCTGGGATCCAAGTAGATGGAATCCTTTCCAGCCAGGATGGGAGCCGGGATATTATGGTGTTCGTTGGGACCGTCATAGTTCGGAGGAATATCTCCAGCGGTCTTGGAGGTGTGGTGTTCTTCTTCAGTGCCGATGATATCAGCTTCATGACCGATACGAGGATCGGCGATGCCGCCAAGATTGGCGGCCGAGATCATGCCTGCCATGCTTGCGTTTTAATGTAAATTAGAAAAGCCAAACGCAGACAGTCTCTTAAGTAGAGTCAGATCAGGACCGAGGAAAGTGAGACAAAAGAAAAAAGAGAAAGGGAAGGGGGACGGGGGGGGGCGATCGCGCCATCGGTCTTTATTTGAACGTTTCCGTGCGGAGAGACCGTCGACGGTCACGCCGAGCAAGGCCTAATCTCCAGCCTCCTACGATTGGATGCAGTGGAGCAGTTATCAACAGCCTCTTGGGGGCGAATCAACTCCTCCAGTGTTTGACTAGGACGTTATCAGAGATCAACCCACTCTGGTGAAAAATGTAACGTTCTCCATGTCTTGCCACAGGGACCATGGCTAAGGCACGCGCGAGTTCGTGGCGGTGGGTAGCCTCCCGATCCACCGGGCGGCAAAGCCTTGGTATTCGCTCGGCAAAAGCTTGTATCTCCGCATCCGACCTGAGACGTGAAGGGTGACAGGCCAATCAGTGCCAACTCCGGACGGTTGCGGATGGTTCGGAACATGATATTCCCACTTTTTTTTTTCCTATACAGCAACCCGCTACCGGGCACCGGAAAACCAACGGGACTCCGGGATTCTTGTTCTCGCGTGTTTCTTTCGCGTGGTTGAAATTGATGCTGCCTAGTGACTGGTCGGACATTCGCGGTTTCATTGGTATTCGTCCATCGCAAGGCGTCATCCCAATCCCAGTCCCCAGTCTCCTGTCCCCTGTCCCCTGTCCCCTGCGCCCTGTCCCTATCTCGGCTGCTTCGGATCCAGCCGCCAGCCCACATGGAGAACCCCTTCTGAGACAGTCGCGCTTCACTTCTAGGTTTCCAGGGACTCCATTGCCAGTAAACCAAGGAAGCAAACAGCCCCCAGTCATTTAAGCTTGGTCTATTGTCGGAAATTGCGGCAGCCCCGGTCTGCACGGACCGGGTTACATCGTTGCGTCAATGTATCAGGATAATATCTGGGGAAGGTGCCTGGGCCCCGTTCGATGCCTCGTGGGACATAGATCGAAACATACAACATCATGATCCCAGGTGAGGTTGAAACAGACGGTCGCACGATCTCGGCAGCCAACTACTAACGGCACTAGGCGTAACTTGGCGCAAGTTCGGCAGCCGCGGGCTAGACACTAACCCCTTTCGGCTCTGCTCAACCAGGGCGCTATTTAGCTGACGAAGCCTGCCCAATCTGTAGAAAAGAATTTTTTTTTCTCCCAGCTGCTCCAAAATGACCAATCAATGTCGTTCGGGTCTACATCTAAAATGGCATCTAGAGCCGATTCATCGTTGATTTCTAATGGCCTGGGCTCAGCCTGTTCCGTGGCCAATTTTTGAAGAGTGTCCGCTGTATAACCTTTTGTGCCAAATTGTGGCGGGCCCTCCATGTCCGAAACGGAGGCTTTGCTCGCGGCTAGCAATGATTCTAGCTTCACAAGAAGGTTAGGTCGCATGGGCTTTGCTTGTCTGCGTGCCGCGTAAGAATGAATGCTCATACGCTTGTCGAACCGCGAGAATTATTTCGGCCGCGCGAGGCTTTCTTCGGTCGTTTATAAAATTTAAAAGATGCAGATTGGCTGAGTAAAGCCGGCCTAGAAATTGCCGTATTTCCTCAGAGCCGTACTCTCGCTATCGGGATCATGCCCGAGACTTCGGACAAGTGCTTCCAACTCCCTCACTCGGGTAGAAGGTGATGCATTGGGATAGGTGCATTCTTCTTTCTTGCGTCGCCTGCAGTGAGAACATGGCTCTTGCCGGCCACAGTGGACTTTGCGCTTTGAGCATGGTATACATGCGACACTCTTGGCCATTTTGGTCATTCAAGTCAACGATAACTCAATCAGAGACGAGAGGTGAGAAGATTACGAGCCGAGGGGTGAAATTCGGGCGCGGGACCGAACCCGAAGTATCCAAAAAATAACTATCTCGGACACCGGCCAAACACAGAGACCGACAACATCTCTGCAAGGACTTGAATAATGAATCTTTCAAATAAAAATAATGAGAAGCATCTTCTCCACTTTGGCCAACATCGTCTTAAAGAAACACTTGGAAGACAAAAAGCGGCTCGAAAGACACGAGGACAAAAAATTATCCGAAGGTCATGAAATCGAAATGTCGCCCGAAAAACATGTAGACCGGGAAGAGTACCCTTCTCACAAGATAATCCTTCCCTAAATGACTGCCCTTTACTTCGCAATGTTCCTCTTTGCACTGGTAAGCATGTCCCCGAAAGTTCGCCAAACGTCAACTTGGGTTATTGAACGAGACCCACAGGGCCGAACAATTATCGGCACTGCTGTCCCTAGCATCACGGACGAGTTCAACAGCTTCGGAGACATCTCATGGTATGAGTCCGGCTTTCTGCTTCCACCCTGCATGCTTTAGCTATCATTTGGTCTAGCATATGTAAGTGTGTTCCGAAACTCGAGCCTTATTCTGGTGCTGACTTGACTGTAGGCGGCTTTGGTGCAATGTTCGGACCGCAGCTCAGACTGTTCCATTTCAACAGGATGCCCCTGTGGGATTTTCTATACTGACTTTTCTGCAAGTTCTGGGTGGAACGATCTTCGTCACGGTCTCCAAAACTTTGCTCGAGACGAGATTGATGGAAAGCCTTGACGGTAAAGCCCGGCTAAATTCCAGTGCCAATGCACATGGAGGAGTAAAATCGTTACGAAACCAAGTATCGAAGAACCAGCTTGAATTTGTGTTGCGGGTGTATGATGATTCTCTAAGTTCGATCTTTTACTTGAATCTCACGCTTTCATGCATGATTTTTGTTGCCTCCTTCGGATTTGAGTGGAAGAGCGTGAAAAAGAACGAAAAGAAGACCCAGGGTATGGATGTCAAATGATCTCAGAGCTAATAGAACGGCGAGCAGATCAATGGCGTCGGTAGACTCAAAAAGAACAGTGTGATAATTAGTGACCAGGTGGCGATGATTGGATGACAATTGAGTAATATGTAGTATAATGATGCTCTCTTTCTAACCCCCCTCCGGGATTCTATGACTGTTTGTTTCAATGCAAAAATGCCGCTATCTGCTTGTATATCTCGACCGGATTAGACATCGTCCAGACAAAAAGCACATATAAGCCTCGACTGCTGACATTTTAAACAGGTGCTAAGACCTGAGATAATTCCTCCTTAGAAATAGACAAGGCTGCAGATCGACCAGGAGAGCGGAAAATTGACCCTACTTGCCTCGCCCCTTTTCGTCGGTTCCATCACCGATCGTCGATCTGCAGAGATCTGGAGCTGAGAGGGCCCACGGTTATGAAACTTGGACACGATTCATGCATAAGCGGGGAATGCAGCGCTTTGACCAGACGTGTCACCTGCATGTCTATGATACGTCCGCGAGAAACATTTGTCTTGCTGGGACGCGCATCCGCCAGACGATCCCAGACCGCCATTTGTGGGAAACTGAGATGGCTGGCTGGGCTGCCCGCTCCGGAGGATGGTCCCTGATTTATGAGGGGCCGGGAGGATCTCCTGGAAAATTTTAAAAAATGGAGCTGTGGATTGTGGTATAGGGAAACTTCAGGCCCTCAGGATGATGCCGGAGCCAGAGCTACAAGACTTGCTTGCCCAACTCGCCCGTTTCTACAGGACAAATGAGGCCAGTATTTCGGCTTCTCGGGTATTCCAATGCAAGGGGCAGCTGTCAGATTGTGATATCTCAGCACTGGATCGCTTCTTTAACTTGTTTCTGTGCCATGCTAAGCAGGTCGGTATCCCTTCAATCCAGTTGGTTGATCGGATCGCATTCACCAAGCACTGCTATCTCATGATGCTCACTCTGTATCGAGCGTATTAGAACCTGACTACTGGTACATTATACCACTCTTCACGTGCGGGATTAGACTGCGGGCCTTCGGTCACGGCCACGAGGACGACGTCTGCAAGCGCTGTGGGAGGTGATGCCCGACAGCACTGGCTCTCTGTCAATTCGCCTGCTGGCTATGATCGCCAGGGAAGGTCGTCCCAACATCAGGAAGTGTTCTCTTCAGTTTCCAAAAGGAATGACGACCAACTGCCCATTGGCAGCCCCAGACCAGGGGAGTCCAACACTAGTAGCCAAAGTACTCCTTGTTCGCATTTCGATGCAAACACAACCACTGCATCGCCGACTTCAGGAGAAACGACGCCTCTGCATGTTGCGACCGAGGATGATGACACCTTTGGCACACTTACACTCTCGCCAAGTACGAGACTACTTTTAGAGAGCTGCAAGACAGACCGCGGAAAATTCTTGCGTGAGATCGAGGAAGCAAGGACGGCCCTCCCAACGGGGCAGGGTTGGGAGGCCGCGATAGCCACCAAAGAAGACAATGCTGACTTGCGTGACCGTATGAAGGTGTACCATAGATTTGAGTGCTACAACATTTACAAGCACGTTGTCGAGGCCGGATATCATACCGGCACCCACTGGATCCGGGACATGCGCACTGCGCTGGCGAACAAGCTTTGCCAGGACTTCCCCCAGCGGTTCCCCGACCAAAAGGCTGTAAATAAAAGCTTGAATTGGGTTGATCAGGGTTGCAAGTATCATGAATGGGCCGGCCAATTCAGAAGTGAAGGAATTGCCTTGGGCTATCTTATTGCATTACCTTTAGATGTGCCTCACTCAGCGTATGCTTTCCCCCTTCATCTCCCTCCCCCCAAACAACTCAGTCTCAGTAAGATCATCCAGATATACGTCAAGATGTACCCAAGAGCGAATGCACGCAACAGTTATCAAACTGAAAAGTCTGGGTATCGACAACCTCGTGAGGGACCTTGAGCTTTCAGAATTAGGAGATCACATTGCCGGGACATTGAGGGATCTGACCGGCAGAAAGCGCAAGGACATTCATGGTAAGCCTTTAATTGTCTGAGGGCACTATTACGATGCTTATATTCATATATTCAATTCAGCAGACGCGACTGAGGGCTCTCGCAAGTTACCGCGGTTGACGGCGAGCTCCAGCCCATCAACGAGTCATGCCCTAGCTGTGCGGCCTGGCCAGAATCTTACGCCCCCTGAGTCGCTAGTTACCAACTGGGACGGGAATAATAACTCCGCGCTAGAAATGGAATGCTCAGTTGATCCCCATCCCTTTGGTCAGCCCACGTGTGTCAATGTCTGCCGCTCTATAGCAGAGACATATGCGGCTCCATATAATAGTCCGTTCAATATCAGTACGTATGATCCTCCTGCGTCTCTAGTTCTTCATGCCAACCGGGGAACAGTGAATTTGAGCCCATCCGCCTATTCAGGGCTACTTCACAGTCCTGACTATAATGCTGCGCTGGAGTCTTTTGATGAGTTGTGTCAGGACGCAAATCATACCGAGGATTTGTCGTCACCAGAACAACTCCTCACATTTATCTGCAGCATGTGAAGTCCCTTTATATAGAGGACAATGATACAGTTTTTGATCCTGTTCAGACTCTTGTATGCATCTAAACTCACTTCGACTCACCTACGGGTTAATGACTTCTGCTCTACCAAACTACAGGGGTTTACCCCTTGAAAATCAGTTGTTACGATATTAATGATCAATGCGATTACAAGCATCTAGTATTCTCCTAAAATGTTTGACCAGTCGCCCCAAGATAACCTCTGCGCCCTGTCAACATGGGTCAGCAAAATAATCTATCTCGTATAGGCCGTGGAATCAACCATCGGGCACATAGTTCAGCGATACTAAAACGAAAATTAGCGGTACTCGGGAAGGCGCTCTACAATAGGGATTTTGAACCTAGCCAATCAAAAAGCATAGAATCCCCTAAGTGGTATTTTGTGTATTCGCAGTTTAAGTTTGGGCTATGCCGATCTGTGATACCACGGACGATCCGCGGATACTCCCGGATGGGATAGATGCTCCGAGCTTAAAGGCTCCTCGCGATGCTCGGCGATCTGACGCGGTGGGTGTTCATGCGGCTTGTCGATCATTGCAGGGCTGCACGCCATGATTTTACTCAGGGGCATGCAAGGCAACTATTGCAGTACCCCTACGAATCTAGGGCAACGAGTATCTTCTGATTATCACCCATCTTCTACGAAGAATCTCGATGCCTTCACCCTGCAGCTGTCGACTCACGCAAAGCGCGATGCCTATCTCCGCCGAGCACCAAGTCGCCCGGGGATGGCGGTCTTCCAGAAATTTGATCGTCGCCACGGCTTGCGTTGCCTTGTTTACTGGTAGGAACACGAATGCTTATTGCCAATGACAATTCATGCCTCTAATGTCAGTGTACAGAAACCCTTCTATTCGGATTTCCCGTACCGATGCTTCCTTATATGCTAGAAGAGCGCCTTCACAACGAGCCATCCGAAACAACCGATACCACCAACAAGCTGCTGAGTCTAACCGGTCTCGTGACAATGATTTGCTCCCCTGTTTTCGCAAGGATATTCGATAAGACCTCCAATAAAAAAGGCCCGCTTTTTCTGTCGCTCGGGCTTTGTCTTACGGGGACTGTGCTGGTCGCGTGCACTCATCAATGTATTCATCACCCCGGCCACGCTTCTTGCTCTATGAATGCTGACAGTGCTTGATCCAGTATGGACACTATATCTGGGCAGGATCCTGCAGGCAGTTGCCGGCTCGGCAGCATGGCTTGTCTGTACGGCTATGATAACGGAGAGTGCAAGTGATGGTGGAATGGGGACAGTGATGGGACTAAGTACGTCTTTTATAACGATCGGAACAGTGAGTGGGCCAATGCTCGGTGGTGTTTTGTTAGGCTGGGTGGGATACTGGGCAGCTTGGTCTGTGCCAATGGGCCTGCTATTTCTCGACATGATTGCGCGGTTGATTATAGTCCAGCCAGAGCGCCATTCACACGATTCGGACAGTTCGTTTCATGATACCAAGCACAGCAAGCCATCCCATGTCGCCCCAAGCGACTCACACCCTGATGTGGAGGGAGTTCATACTGAAACATCGCCCCTTCTGCCACCATCGGCTTTGGTAACGAAGGTAGGCTCAGACACAGAAACGGAAGTGGGAATCGATAAGGCTTCAGTTGCGGAAACCCACAATTTCTACGCAGTATTCCTTCAAGACATTAGTATATGGACAAGCATTCTGAACACGATTGTCCAAGCCGCGATTCGAGCAGCCTTCAACACAACTTTACCCATTTATCTTCGGGATACCTTCAATTGGGGCCCGTCATCAGTCGGAATAACTTTCTTCGCTCTCCAAGTCCCTATAGTCTTTCTCTCCCCTATTCTTGGCTGGACCCGAGATCGCGTCGGTGTCAGATACCCAACAACGGCTGGTTGGGTTCTTCTTTGCCCCTTACTATGCTGTTTAGGTATTCCTGGGAGTGGAACATTTTGGGCTAGTGGTAACCAGAGAATTGAAGAAGCTGCCTTTATTATATGTATATGTGGTATTGGATTAGTTTTGCCATTCGTTCAAGGTGCTGGAGCTTTGCATATGCGGAGTAAGTTAGACGTCTGTTGCTAAATGAGAGGACGAATGCTAATAGCGGGTCGGTACCGTGAATAGACGTTGTCGGGAAGATGGAAAACGAAACCCCCAATATCTTTGGCCCCCATGGTGGGCGCGCGAGGTGCTTCGCGCTACTTTCGGTCTCGTTTAATACTGGCCTGACGCTGGGCCCAGCCGTGGCTGGATGGCTGTTTGGCAACGTTGGGTATTGTTACATGAATATTGTTCTCGGTAGGTGATGACAGGAGTCTGTTTCTCAATGTGCGTGTGTTGACATACTCTAGGTGCCACCTGTCTGGGAGTAGCAATTATCACGTTTCTCTTTTATTGATTTATAATATCCGGACTGTTACCCGGAAATAGAAAAGCTTTCCTTTTGGGGATTTCTAAGATGACAGTATAAGTGGCTATTAAGTATATTCATGGGCTTAGTATAAACTTTGGTTTCATTTCAACAATATATTTATTATAAAGACTAGTGCTCTTCCAGCACTCAGTGCCACTGTCTTCCTCCCACAGTGGGTGCTGTCTTATAGATGATATTGCCATCATCGAAATAGTGTCGATGTTCTTGATTGGCGCCTACAATGCAGCGCTAGTATTAATAGTATCGGTCTACTTTGCCTTATCAATAATAAAGTACTAATGTAGGCCCCCCTTTTAACTCTACTGTGGGGTATCTCTATTGGATTTGACACGTGCAGAAGCGATCTTACATCTCTGTAACAAATCAAGTCAGAGTATCTGAAAGAAAAGGACTATACTTTGAACCACACCCTGCCACAATGCAAAGCGGGTTGAGTAACGGTTACGCATTTCTGCATTTAGAGTGAGTGGCATAGAATTCGAAGCAAAATACATAAATATCTGCCTACCGGAGCTTTTTGTCCCTCTCAAAGTCCTGCTTGACTTGTTCATACAGCGCATCGTTGGTGATTATGTCCCAGCCAGTCATGGCCATTGCCTTCCCGGACACCACCGTCCTCTCATGCGCCACAGCAGTTCCTGCTGCCTTGGTAAACCCGGCGGTGTGGTTCTTAGATCCATCATCCACCGGAATACCGATAGATGCATGCAGGGCGGGTACCGCGTAGGAAACATTGCCCTGGTCTGTTGCTGCGCCAATAACCCCCTCAGATTTGAGGATTTCTAGGCCATTTGCGGCCATGTGTTGCTGGAATGAGTTGCACAGAGGTTCATTGACGCGCAGTTCGGCGTACCCACACATCTCTTCAATGTCCAACTTACAACCGGTAGCAAGCGCGCCAGCCTCCATGCACCGACGGATTCTGTCTCCAAGGGTCCTTGCACCTTTAACCGTGGGGCTTCTTGTCGTATAATGAGTCTTTGTAAGCGTCGGGATGGAATTGCTGGTGACCTTTGGGGTTTCAACAACAGCACCATGGATTCTCTCCGTGGGCTCAATTTGCTGTCGCAGCATCGAAATGTTGACATAGGTTGAAACTAGAGCATCTAACGCATTGACGCCCCCCCACGGCATGACTCCGGCATGGGCACTAACGCCATGGTAGGTGCCTTGCAAGTTGTAGGATGCGACGGATGAGAACCCTGCAGACCCCAAGACGCCTTTGTCTGTGTAATCGGCATCCGACATCGGATGCCTGTATCGCAGTCAGCTCATTCTGCTCTCTAGTAACAGCACAGTGCGACGGGGGTAGGAAAACCTACATCATCAGTGACACATCCACCTTCTCATACGCTCCTGCATTGAGTAGAACAATTTTTCCACCTCCATCTTCTTCAGCCGGTGTACCAAGGAGTTGCACCCGCCCATCGATTCCGAACTGCTTTAGGGCATAAGAGAGAGCAATGAACCCAGTCACACTGGCCGTGGCAATGAGATTATGGCCGCAGGCGTGGCCCATTTCCGGAAGTGCATCGTATTCTGCGTTGAAATTGACTGTTCTGCCACCCTTCCCGCTAATGGCCTCAAATGCCGTTTCCAAGCCGTAGGCATGTCGCATTACCTGGTAGCCGAGGCCTTCCAGGAAGTCACAGATGGCATCATGGGCGTTATGCTCCTTGTACGCTAGCTCCGGATTCTCGTGGATCTGTGCTCACAGTACAGCTTAGTAACTGAGTGCAGTGGCTATTATGGCACAGTCATGAGCTACTTACATACTTATTAAGGGCTCTGAGCTTCGTTTCGAGGTTAAGGATATAGTCGTGTATTGCCTTTTGCACGGCTGCATTTGGTGGCAGCGTTCGGTGGTTGTTCACTGCGGTCTTGGCCAGGCCAATGGAATCCGCCATTGGTACACTGATCATGGCATGTAGTGATAAAGAGTACCTTATGCCCAAACTTGAAGGGGATTTGGACATTTAATGATAAGGGGCCTGAAGCGCTGTCGGGGAGTCTGACACTCCCGCTATGAAAAAAAGACCCACCACGGCCATTAGGCCTCGAGATGAGGAGGGGCGGTTCTAGATTCTCGAACCACGAAGCACCCCAACCCGCAACCACTCCTACATCAGAATCGCACCGCCGCGAGCATTTGCAGTTCGCAAGCGAGTCGACCCTCATGGGCCCGCGAATGCATAATTTTACTAAGAGTTCCCCTTTTTGGACGTATAACTTAATGACTCATTTGCACTGTTTACAATTATTGAACACTGTTTTGGTCTCAACCCCTCCATTTAACCTAAATAATCCCAATCGTTGAGAAACCAGATAAATTGTAATTGTACATAACTAATTTAGCATTGAAATTACCTACTTGTCCTTAAAATAGGATGGATTAGCAATATTGTTGCGTGTTCCGAGGTTCTAGTAGGTGAAGTTTGTCCGCGGTATGCGGCCCGAAATACATAATTTGACCTGACTGCCCCTAGGTACCACCGCTTTAGCAAGAATCATACGTTCTACTTCTATATCTCTATTTAGATCCAGGGCTTGAATTGAGTGGATTTTATATTATCTTAAGTCTATAATGCCTTCTATGTAATAGGTTTATCCTAAAAATGTTTTTCATTATTCCCTGTAACTGATATAAGCTAGTAATCCTTGTCAAACGATCAAACCTTTCCCTCTGGGAAACGGACTCAGTAAGCGTTGAGGGTCTTTCTGCAGCCCTGGAGGTTGTGCGGTTCTTGCGGGTGCAACGAGGTAGTGAAGCGATCTAAATGTCAAAATAACTGTCATTTACCGTCATTTTCACTCCCGGACGGCCAGAGAAAAAGCTATGACGCGGCGCTAAGGCGGCCCCGCCCCACTTAGGCATGAAAACAAGTCGAAATTCAGTATCTTATGGAGCTCCAAGTTTTGGCAGGCCTTTTCTTTGCCTCATAAATTCATGACACAAACGCGCCTGCATACCGATTGATAACAAGTGAATACCTGTATCACTGGCTATTCGAAAATGACACCTAAAGCGGAGATGGTCGAGTGGGTCAAGAGGCCACTCACCAAGATGATGGTCAGATCATCGGGGACTCTGTAGCCCAATATATGATGCCCTCCGATCTGGAGATTATAAATTTATGTTGCAGTAATCCTTGGCGGCAGCTGAGATAAATGAGGACTCGTTTAGTGGCACCTGAAAGTCCAAGGTAGTACGTTCAGTGCCACCGATAGCACCAGCAACTCAACAAATATGCCGATCCTAGTTGAGTCAAATGCTGACTAGGTACCGTATCTCCCTGGAGAAATATTTCCTCCATCCTTGGTGGCGGCCCATTTCGGGTACACCACGAGGCGGCGTTGAGTAGGGTGTCCAATTGTGTGAATTAGATGGTAACAAAGCTGATTGCTGGGACTTGAGTAAATTTTGTTGATTCAGAAATGGAGCACGAGGGAGCGAGGGAGAGCATTGAGCTAAGGACATTGATTCTCAGCCCGAGGATTGTGATTAAAGGGGGTATGTAGCTCATCAGGCCATCAGGTCAGTAAAGGCTAAATATGGCACTGGAACCTTCATGCGAAAATTTAAACTAGCTAGCGTTCATACCAACTGGCCCCTGTTTTATTACAAGTTGTATCTGCCGCAGCTTCATTCTGTAGCATGAATTAGTGCCTGGCGGTTCTGGTCCTGATAGGTCATTTGTTCCGTGAAGACAAGCCTAGAAGTTTAACAACACGTCCCCACTTCATTTCCCACAAAAATGAAATATTGAAGTTCCGGCGTGCCGCTCGTGCAAGGCATCAGTATGGGGGAATGTCGGACCAGCGGCATCAGGCTGCATCTGGTACTTCAAGCTTTCCAGCAGGGAATGCTTGCAAGCTGATGTTTCAAAAAGTCACCAAGATGGCGGTGACGATCCTTGGGCTCTATAAATGTATTTGACATCAACACCTTCTATTCAAACTCAGCCAGGTCCTGCATTACCAACATCCTGTTTTCACTCCTTTGTATTTGCCAGTCAGTGGCAGTACATTATGGGTAGCATAGAGAACAACAGAGAAGAGGGCAACGGTGTTGCTAGGCGTGTCCATAATCGGGATGTCTTTTTTTTTGCCCACACCCGAACCGCTTCCCATGTCCTCTGTCGCCTCCTCTCCAACCAACCAGGATGGATTCAATCAGATTACCACTTCAAGCGTGCTTTTGACTTCGCCAGAGACTTCTCTAGACAACTCTGGATCAGAATGTTTATTAAACTTAAACACTTCTTTTTTATTTTTATTTTCTTTCTTTATGTAGAAACCTGCCAGCGAGCAGAGATTACTCTACCTAACGTTGGGAGAAGACGTATTCCCAGAGAAACAACCTAGTTTCAATCCGATACGTTTGTGACGATGGGAAAATCCACAGAAAGTTCTATCGACTTTTTCTCATCTTCGGGCCGAGTGGGCGACTTTCCTATCAGTACATATGGGGCCTGGATGCCCCTGGATGTCGATCAATCTAGCCCGACCACCCATGGCGGAACGCTACATCAACCACAGAGCGGTCGAGGAAGATCCCACAAACCGATCCTCCGAGGGAATCTTAGTGGGATTTCGAGCTATCGAGAACCGATATGGAGTATCTAGCCAACGGAAGGGCAGGGCTGGATAAAGCAGATCCTGAGACGAAGAGAAGCCAGGAAAAGATTGAGGAGACTATGGACAATGCCTAGGTTTGGGCGATGATTCAAAAATCCTTCATTCATCAAGGTAGAGTTTCGTAATTTGGGGATGAATCTGCAGATTGAATGACGTATCGTGGCATTATCATACTCCCCAAAGTTGCTTATTTTGTATTGGGGACAACCAGGGGAGGAGGCCACAACATGGATGGGTCGCTCGGCATGTGGGGTGCATTGACGTTTAATGGTATGTCTCCATCTCGGGGAGGTGTAGTGTTTAAGTATCTAGGATGTTGGAACCAGAAAAGGGCAGCGTCATCAATGAGATGAGTGGGATTCGTATCGTATCCAGAGTCGACATCTTTAGGTGGGGTCGTTGTCAATACGCCGGGAGATTGTGTCCATTGCAGAGAGGCTTCTGGTGCAGTAGTAGGTAAAGCAGTGAGTTCGCGAGATTTTTCTCGGGATGTCCAAGCCCAGTTCGTGAAATCATGGGGTGAGAGTGGTATGTTGTCAGGGCACGGAGGATGGGACACGTGTCTGGGTACTGAAGTACCGATCGAGGTGGGAATCAACCTTCTTGCATGAGTATTCAATGACAAAGGCAGCTTATGCCGCTCATCAGGTCTTTCCACGGGCCCCAAAGCTAGCTCGTTATGGTCTGCCAGCATCTTGACGACCGCGGGGTCTATTGGCTGAGCTTGGCGCGAGACACGAGTTCCTGGTTGACAAATAGCGCGAAGACTATTAGTTTCACGCAGTAAATCTTCACGTTCACTCATAAGCTTCTGGATTGTATGCACTGCCTGAAGGTTTTTGGTCTGCTGAGCTTTGTGTTGAGCGATACTAGCGTCCACAATTATATGCTTGGAAGGGCGCTGTTCTGTCTTCAGCATAGGCAGTAAAGTCGCCAGCTTCTGAAAGATGTTAGCAAAATTAAGCCTCCAGATGTTTTTGCTTCGTAACCAACAGCAAGACGCTCGCTAAAGGCTTCGCGGCGTGACTTCTCAAACTCTCGATGAACGGCTCGGTCCTCTGCCGTCCAATTGCGAATACGTTTTTTCTTGGGCTTTTGAGGACCCAAAGCCCCCATCATAGGCTCCATTCTCAGTGTAATTGTAGTTTCGCCCAGTCCGCAGGGGCATGGAATAACAGAATAACAGAATATGGGAGGTTCTATGGTGGGATCCGGGGTAAAGTGGGGGAAATGCGGAGAAGCTTTGGATTCGCTTCCTCCGAGGCCACATAGGTCTCCACATGCCTCTTTGGTTATGATCGTGTGCTACCCCGAAGTGATACAGATAGGGCCACATCAAACTACAATCTAATTATCATCTCATCTACGTCATCGGCAATGCCTGAGTCGTATGGTTGTGCAAAAGTCCATGTTCTAGATTTTCGTCGGGCAACTCGAGAAAAACGGCCAAAAATGGATTTTGAATAGATTCACATGATCGCAAGATAAAAAATTAAAAAAAAGAGTTACCCTAGTATGCTAATTGGACAGGCATCTGATAGTAGCTATGAGCGGGCAACTTCCAGCGAAAGGCGGGGTAGAGTGGGTGGAGATAGGGGGCCAACTCATCTGTCGACGGGGGATCAGTCGGTGATGATGCGGGCACTATCCGCCGTATGCCGTACATATTGATGCAGCAAGAAAATAGTTATAGGTTATATATTTGCTTTCACGTCACCATCTAGCCGACCTCAACTTTTTGAACTTGCTGTTTTAGTCCTGAGCTTGATAGTACTAAGCTTAATTAAGTTTTCTCTTCTAAAATGGGCACCATTCCTGCTCGACAAGCCGTGGCTTTTCTAGCTAGGCAAGGTCAAGAAATCACCGTTATCAACACTCATGGGAAACAAGTTGTTGATTTATGGGCATTCAATCCTAATGACCCCCATGAATTCCTGTCTATGGTGCATACCCGGACAATCCTTGTGAAGATTGCACTCTCCAAGGGCGATAAATTGTATAGTACTCGGAGAAAGCCAGTCCTAAAATTGACAGAGGATACCACTCTGGGTGTCCATGACATGACATGGTCAGCATGTGATGCTGAAAGGTACCGCATGCAAGGCTACGATGGCTACCATGACAACTGCACCGATAATATGCACAAGGTGAGCAAGTAAGAAATTGAAGTTGAAGTAATACATACTCATCGATTAGTGCAGGCCCTCAAAGAAAACTTCCCTGGCTTTCATATTGCAGATGACTGGGTTCCAGATCCGCTCAACATCTTCATGAACGTGACAATCGATCACCGCGGCGGACTAGAGCTTCGAGCCCCTACTAGTGAGAAAGGCCAGTATGTGAAACTTATAGCAGAGACAGACTTGATTGTTGTCATGAGTGCTTGCCCGCAAGATATGGCGGCAACAAATGCCGGGATGCCGACAGATTGCGAGTTCCAACTGAGTGGCACATCGAATCCTCTATCAACTTCTTTGGCATCCATCCAATCTCGCCCCTCGCGTCGAGTAAAGGTAGCGATGTCGGTCGACTTTGATGCCGTTTCTCATTGGCTTGGGACTGGTTGCCATCCGGACAACAACATGGCCGACTATAGCTCTGGAATATTCGCCGGTCAAGTTGGTGCATATCGACTCCTCGAGCTCTTCAAAAAGCACGCCGTTGCAGACAAGATCACCTGGTTCATCCCTGGCCATACCGCAGAAACCTTCCCGGATGCTGCGCGTGCGGTAGTCGAGTCTGGCGCTGAGATAGGCCTTCACGGTTATGCCCACGAGGGAATCTATCAGATGACAGAATCCCAAGAGGTCAATGTTCTCCTCAAATCGTAAGTAATCTCGCTATATGACATCAACGCATCCACTAATCAAGAGCAGTATCGAAGTTGCAACTAGGCTAGTCGGTAAAAAACCTCGCGGATATCGTGCTCCCATGTACACAGTCAGAGAAAGCACGGTGAAACTCCTACGCGAGCACGAATTCCTCTATGACTCTTCACTTATGCATCATGATTCGCAACCCTACTTCACCCCGAGTGACCCACCAATAAAAACTATCGACTTTTCCCAGTCGGCTGATACCTGGTTGCATCCTACTGAAATCTCCTCTCAGTCGTATCCCCATGGACAACACCCACTAGTGGAACTCCCATGTGGCTGGTACAACGAGGACATGATGCCCCTTCAGTACCTCCCACATCTCGCTAATAGCATGGGCTACGTTTCAACGCGGGTGGTGGAGCAGATGTGGAAAGACAAATTCATGTGGCTATGGGAAAACGACAAGCAGGGTAATGAGTCGGCAGATTTCATTTTCCCGCTTCTGGTTCACCCTGACACGAGTGGATTGGCACATATCATCGGAATGGTAGATCGTGTTCTGGAATGGTTGAAGGGGTTCGGAAGTGCTGTTGAATTCTGTACTTATGAAAAGATTGCTGCTGAGTGGTTGGAGATACAGAAGAAGGCTGTCGGTCAAGTCTAACCAGGCCATGACTCTAATCAATTTACTTTCAGGGACAAGTTTGCTGGACTATCCGGTCCAGTGCCATGAAATACTGAAGGCAGTCCCTTCCAGAAAATAGCATCCAACCTGATAGTAGCAAGACGTGCAAGTGACCAAGCCCGAGATTGTATTCGAAGCGTGTCTCTCCATTTGATCAATAGGTTTTTGTTGCGCTCTGCATTCTTCCTATTTGGAGAGTGCGCAAGCGCGAGTAAAATGAACGTTGAGAGGTAGCAAAGTTGATATCTAGTGTCTGCCAATTCTCAACTTTCATGCGTAGGACATTTGCAGGATAGAAACTTACAGGAAGGCCAAAAGCTTGTGAAATGCCTAGCTGTGAGAGAAGATACCAATTCTGTCCCTGCTAAGGCGCAGACATAGCAGTTGCCGAAGATTTTGGGGAGTGGCTGGCGGAGTTTCTCGGCTGCATGTTCGAATCGGTGTACTAGGGGCCTAAGAAGGGCTCTAAATATCATTATTTCCACTGTGATGTGTGATATTCTTAGAGAAGCCACCATGTCAATCTCATCCGTGGTCAACTCGCAGGCCGGCTTTGAGAGCAGCGGATGGTTCTGTCGCCAGATCTCGATTCTTTTTCGCAGAGACTGTGCACGAGTCAAGAGCTCGCTGAGCGATGAGGATCTACGGCTTGCTTTCAAAGTACTATGTGAGATTAGTGTTTGTAAGTGTCATACCATTTGCCCCTTGAGAAACGTACTAGAACTCTTTCAGAACATCTGCTCCAATAACACTCAATTGGCATTCTGCCAAAAAGAGTGGGATGTAACATGTGACTCCATCCTCGATAGCCGGATCTTGGAAATCATTCTCAAGATCATCCAATGTAAGCTCTTTGACATCCCAATTATCCTCATTCAGATGCACTGAGCGGCCAAAGCAAAGTGCATGCCAAGTGTGCTGAGTATACATTAGCCACCAAAGCCTCCTTCGAAGAGTAATTTCACTTCGCGGAAGTCTCCATCCACCTGGATCCAAGTTTATACCCAGGCTTTCGGCGATTGCCAGACAAGAGCATGACAGGGCCCAAGATTCCGGTGAGTCAGCGACCGCAAAGTTATCTGGTGGTTTCTGAAGGAGAAGAAGACCCAATTGCAACTGGGAAATGTGCGCGAGTGAATAATTTCGGTGGAAGCTGCGATATGCGATGTCCCAGAGAGTGTTGACCGAGATATCTGAATAGCCTTTTGTGAGGCTGAGTTCGTCATCTAGGAACATGAAGGGAGTTGCCATAGCGTAAATGGCGCTTATGAGACCAGTTCGAGTCGACATAAGAGAAGTTTCTTTCATGCTTTCTAAGTCCTCTCGTGAAAGGATAGGTAGCCGCGGATGAACAAATTGAGTGTATCTGTACTTGATTGAGCAAAGCTACTGGAAATTGACAAGAAACAAGGCTCACATTTTGATAAGGCGCTTTGCCAGGTCGATGGGGACAAGAGAATGCAAGAACTTCAGGTCATTCTGGGCGCTTTTGCCCTCTGACAACATTTTCTCTTTTGCATCAACTGTATCTTGCCATATCTCTTCATTGGTCATCATAAAATGAACTGGAAATCTGCTGGGACTTGGTAGGCCATTTGGAGTATATTCCCTCAGTTCCTCGGGTTCGCTGTCTATCATCCTCCGAAAGTCAAGTTGAAACATAGGATACGTGCCCTGACAATCATACTCGTAGTGCTGAAGGAAATACGGATCTGATTCACTTGACGGTCCGATTATTTGATGTGAGTATCCTTTTCGTTTATTCAGCGTGTAGTTTTGTGCCCAAGTGATCGGTTCAACGCTTAGAGCCCCAGAACTCATTGAGGTTGCACATCTGATGGAGCCTGGCCAAGAATGGCCTTGAGAATCAATCTCTATATCGCCAAAAGTCCGGTTGCTCTCCAGGTCATCACTTGGAGCTATGAACGAAGAAGAAAGTAAATCAGTGGAGAAAGCGTGAGGCAAGGGATCGGAACCTTGTCCAGTTGAGCTTCCGGCCTGGAATTGGAGTTGGAAACGATTCGTATCAATCGCTCCATTACCTAAGAAGTCAGTTAAACCGTCGACGTGGATCTTTTTCTTGGGAAAATCTACCATATAGGACGTCCGCTGAATTCCAGCTCTCGGTAATGTCGTTTTCTCCAAACACTGCATTATCTACCGAAGGTACCTGGTCAATGTTGGGATGAAAATCATTGATATCCGAGTAGATGCTGTCTTCTATTGCAGTCACTCTGCTTTGATAGACACCATTACTAGGTTGATGAGTCGCAGGACGGTTTGTTCTTTTGAGTGGCTGAAGAACAAACGTGCATCTTCGTGATAGCTTTTCGCAGTGCTCACATTCGGCCTTATCGCCTTGTAACTTGCATTGGATCTTTCTCGAGCGGCAAAGATCACAGGGGCGTTGTTTTTTTGACCGGTATTTACGCGCCCGTTGCATATGGCTTTCATTGTTCATGCTGGCAATCGCGTGACAGTGACAGTGATTGAGATAAGAATAGGATTGACGGCCGACAACCTTGCAAATAACGGGCAAGTCACGGGTAACGGGCGATATAAGTAAAGGTCGGGGATTGTTACCCCGCTGACGGGTGATATGGCTATGATAAGAGCAGCCACTAGTCTGTGTCATTCACGAATCAGAGCCATTACTTTACTTTCTTTCCCTAGGCGTGAATGATACTGCTTCTCGGATATACTACGTTCCCCATCTCCATGGAGATATGAGACAAAGTCCAGGCCATTTATCCATGAAAATCCATGAAAAGCAAGGCCTATAACTGAGTATCTAGCTGTCCGCGGTGGGATTTGGAAAAAATATCGCTTGAATACTTCTTCAATGACTCGGTCTGAAGTTTGTCAGGATGGTGGGGAGTACGATGTCATTGTAGTTGGTGGTGGGCCGGTCGGCCTTCTTCTCGGCTACCAATTGAAGCGATTTGGTGTCTCTGTCTGTGTGTTGGAACAACATAAGAAAGAAATACAGGATGCCTATGGACGCGCGATCGCCTTATTCCCAAGGACTTTAGAGCAACTGGATCAGCTTGACCTCATTGAGCCGATGTTGCAGTTGGGCTTTGCGTGTCGAACAAGTGTCACATACAAAGACGGAGAACGAATGTCAGTAGGAGTCAATTATCCACGCGAAATGACATACTAATGGCATGCAGAATTCCAGGAAGAGTTTGGAGCTTCATGGAAAATATCCAAGATACGACTTATGACTTCGTGCTGGTTCTTCGCCAGATGTACACTGAGCAGATATTTCGCGACAAGCTAGAATCACTCGGGGCAGATTACTACCAAGGCTATGAGTGTGTTGATTTTCAATGCGATGAGAATAAGCCGTCTACAAGCCAAGCAGTAGTTGCTACCTTCAAGGAAAGTGACACAGGGAGAATAATCACATTGAAGAGGTACTCGGTCAACCCCTTTCCCCTCTCTCCCCTCTCCCCGTTATGCAAGGGTATTATTACTCACCATCAAACAGCAAATACTTTATTGGCGCGGACGGTGGCCGGAGCTTCGTTCGCCGACATGCAGGCATCCCTTTCGAAGGTGATAGCTCGGATGATCAGTGGGTGCGCATTGACGGACTTGTCGAAACCGATATGCCACTCAATCGATCCTATGGGTATGTCATATCGATTGATCATCTGTCTACCTGTTTGTGTGGCCTAACCTTCCAACCAGAGCGATCGAGAGCAAAACACATGGGAACGTGCTTTGGGCTCCCTTGGACCATGCAGCCACCCGCATAGGCTATGCATACACTTCGGAGATTGCCGCAAAGTATCCAGATGGAGTGTCTCAGAAGGTGGCAGTGCAAGAGGCAGTGGAATCAATGAAGCCGTTCAACGTGAAGTTTAAGGAGGTGCACTGGTGGACATTGTGAGTTGATGTTCCAAATATCCTCACCCTTCTCACGGTCTGATTTGATACCACAGGTACCAAATCGGTCAACGGATCGCAAAGGACTTTTCAAAAGAAAGAGTCTTTCTGTGTGGCGATGCAGCTCATACGCATAGCAGTGGAGCTGCACAGGGACTGAACACCGGGATTCACGATGCGGTCAACTTGGGCTGGAAGCTTGCCTTGCACATACGAGGAATCGTCAAAGAGAATGTCCTCGACACATATGACTTGGAGCGGAAGCATTCGGTGCAGCAGCTGATTGACTACGATAGAGACATCTCCATTTTGATGTCACGTAAATGGCCGTCTTGGTACGAAGGAGATCCGGACGCAGATCCTTACATCGTTCTCGGAGAGATTTTCGAGCAAGCCGCATCTTTCAATACGGGACTGGGGATCTCCTATCCCATAAATGATATCAATCAAATCCTTCCTGACGGAGCAATTGTGGCTCCAGGGAGTCGACCACCTGACGTGGAGCTGATCACGCCTGGGACGAAGCAGACGGTGAGGCTTCAACGACTCACTCGCAACTTTGCCAACTTTTGGGTAATCGTATTTGCTGGCAACCCTGGTATGACCCATACCTCTCTCGTGGAACTTGGAAAGTCTCTAGGAACATTCAAAAAGTTCAAATCTAGGGAAGCAATTGGCTGGCTCACTATCAGTGCTGTGGCCGGCAACTCCCCATATGAGACGCTGGGGATGAAGCCATTTGGGGACACTTTCTTCGACCCTACCAACTCTGCGCATGAGAGGTTCGCATTCAAACCTGATGGGGGTGGCATCGTCATTCTTCGACCGGATGGTCTACTTGGTGCCACTGGTCCTCTTTTGGGGGAGTGGCTGAAGGAATATTTCGAAGTAGTTTTGCAATGATACTCGTCCCGAGAAATTGAGCATAAAGCCCTCCCGAGAAGATATTCTAATTCTTCATCTCTTTCTTGACATTTTTCTGGGCACCTCTCTTTGTTCTTTTTCCAGGGTATCCCTCTGAATGGCTTTGAATACCTCTGGTGTGATCAGTCACGGCCACCTTTTCAGAGCCATTGTACAATCTTATATTCCTGGTCCGGCCGTATGTGCAAAGACTCAATGTATCAAGCGCAAATCTTGATCCATGGCCACTGGGGCATGAGAAATCTCGAACTACGTATGGTGGAGTATGCTAGCACCAATATCCTGAACTCGAAAACCAGAACCCGCATTCTCAAAGGTCCAAGATTCTACCTAGCTCCGTATTGTGTGGTACGTGCATATCGTTGTTGTCGGAGAAGAGATAGGGGGACTTGCCTTGACCTCATGTTCCAGTGTTATCAGCGACGAACAGAAGTTGAACGACGCGTTAGAATCTGAGATCACAAGACATGAAAAAGGTGCATGATAAGGTGGATACATGTAGCCTAGCTTTAGGTCCCGTTTTTATTCAACAGCTCAGATTCCTGCTTTTTACGGGTGCACATGCAAAAAAATTGAGAGAAAAGGATATCATGCAGATAGGATCTAGGCAGATCCATTTTCATGGTGACTCGACATAAAACAACGAAGGCAAGGGAAAGGAGGCTGACACACACCTTGATGCCATTGTGTGCACAGGCCAAAAGCGATGATGGCACGGTGGATACAAAGTGAGTCGCCGAGTGTAGCAGCCAAGAAGGGCTCGACCCCGTCGGAGCAGAGTGGGTGCGTCATATGACTGGGTATATACACACATTGCTAGGCGACCAGCCACCACATAGGGCTGAACACGAGCACTGCGCCACACGTAGCGTGCGACGATCAAATCGAGAATTTCCCGGGTTGCATGGACACGTGATGGCGAGACGGCAGGACCGAAGATCCTTCTAACACGAAACCCTAGGAAAGTGTGCGCCAAGTAGGAACAGGACCATGAAAAACGCGAAATTTAGGCTACAACTCTGTCGTAGAAAAAGCAAGAAAATACCGCGAGCCAAACCCAAATCAAAGTAGCGTGCCAAGTCTTCGGGAGGCCCGCAAAGAAAAAGAAGAAAATATCGACGATCGAAGCGGAGTCTGGACGTCTTCGATGTGGTGGCGAATGAACTTTTCGCGGAAAAGCCCCCATATCCTTGACCGCCTCATCTATAATAATAATATCACACAGTCCGGTTTTTATACCCACCTCCCCTATAACACGACCCTTTCCTCCAACCAAATGCTCGTTCTCTAGCATGCACTCGTGCTGAGCTATAACACGGGCTCTCTTACGTGAGTCTCTGCTGCGTGTTGCCAACCCCTACGCGGCCCAAGACCACCTCCGCTCAGTCGACCCCGGCTTTTTCTCCTGATTCGCCCCGGAACCTCCCTATCCTCACCCCCAGTCTCTTAGCTCTTAGTGCGTGAGCTGTCCTCTGGGTCCCGTTACCAGCTGCAAGCTTATCACGCTCTACACGGCCCTTCCCGAAACTCTCAAACCGGACGGGTTCTCACCGCAACGATAACAAAGACACCTGTTGTTTGGCGCGATTGAACATTTCCGACCAGTCCTTAGCTCGGACCAAGGCCCGTGCCTGCTGCTGTCTCCTTTTCACATTCTTTGTATCAAAAGTGTTCCTTTCTCTGGACCTTCACCGAGCTTCTTGGAAAGCCGAAGGATTCCAGCCCATTTTCCATCTCAAGCTCGATTTCCAACTTATTGACCTTACCATTTGTCACCATGGACGTCAATTTATAGCTTCGCTTTGTCCCCAGGGATATTTTCGTTCTTCAGCGCTGTTTCCATTACTCCCCTTCAGCTTTTTTGATACTTTTTACGCCTCGCGGTCTTATCAGACGTGACTTCGACTCGCGTCGCGTGTCTCTTGCGAATAATTATATCGCCACAACCAATCATGGCCCCCAACCTCTTCCTCTGCTTGCGCACCGTCTGCTGTCCTGTCTACTGGTTCCAGCGCGGTGATCGCGTCAACAGCGAAGTCAACCGAGAGCAGCACTGGGAAAGCCCTATCCCGGGAACGTACAAGTTCCTTCCGGGCCGCGGATGGCATCTCATCCGTCGCGATGGTTCCGACCAGGACGAAAAGATCCCTGCTGCTCTCGTGTACTGCCGCATTCTCCACCGATACATGTTCGAGTCTGAACTCGAAGAGCGCTGCCGCTTGTTTTCGGCTCCGCTGCACAAGGGCGCCCAGCCCGAGCAGCTGCGCTTCTTCCTTCTCGACGATGGCCTCCACTGGGTCGCTGGCTGGGACGCCAAGGGCCGTTTCATCCCTGGCCCTTACCCCAAGTGGTATCTGGATGAGGATGGTGAGACTATGCGCCGCGGCTCCTCGCCTCCTACCAGTGCCACCGTTTCCCGATGCAGCAGTATCATCGCGGGCAAGCTTGATTAAACGACAGGTGCCATGCACTAAATCCCAAATGGCCAACATATACATCATGTTCCAGGCGAACGTTCAACACGCACTGTGAGTGTTTGTGCGAATCTGAAAGCGTTTAGCGTGTTTTTTTTTTGGCTATCAAAAGTGATTTTTCGGATTTTCATGATGACTGGGTAAATTTCGGGTTTTCAGGGGTTTTTCTTCTTGTTCGGTCATAGATTTAGACTAGACTTCTTTTCAGGCACTTGGTGATCAGCGACGGCGCTCGGTTACATGTGTCGGGTCACTCTCAAGGGTGACAAATTTAGAGAATTAGATTCTTATTGAGAAATTACAACAATCTGTACAATTTTATAATTGAGACTTGATCTAGTTATCTTCACTTGTGCAATCAATCGAATTCTGCCTTGTCCAGGGTATAGGTGGAACAATGAACAGTGTTGCAACCCAAAATGGGAATTGTCACGTGAGACTATACAGTCCTTGGGTCGCCGCACTCGCGGACTCTTAACAATTCAAATCCTATTGACATTCAATGCTGCCTTCCTGCTCAATGGTACAATGCTGATTGATGCCTCCTCGACAAAACACTCAATCAAATGAATCCTCACTGGCGCCTTCAGCTCGAACTCAGGAAAATATAAAACCCCTTCTAACCTCTCTCTTCTTTCCCTCTCTTCCTTCCCAATATTCCTTCATTCTTTTCTCCTCTTCCTGGTCCTCCAACAATGGAAGCCACCAACAACCTTTCGGGGGGTGCCGGCCGCTCTCGCCGGCCGCTGAAGCTGGTCTTCGGCAAGGAGAAGAAGCCCGAGGTGGCCTCTGATGAGCCCATATCGGAGGACCAAGCCGTCGTCGCTGCGGTAAGTCATGTCTACATAGTATTGCTGAGTTTCAAGTTCCTAAAATTTTATTCAGGCAACTCGGATCAGCCGGACTGGTCGAGTCCTCAAGGCCCCGACTGCTTTTATCCCGGCCCCTGCCGCTGCTGGCAGTGGTGGGAAACGCCGACGCGGTGGTAAAAAGGCCGCCAGCATTAATTGCGCGGAGTGCGGACGGGGTAACAGCCCCGGCAACAACCCGATCGTCCTCTGCGATGGGTGCGAGTCCGCGTGGCACAAGCATTGCCACAACCCTCAAATTCCAGATGCCGCCATCGAGAATCTGGACACCGAATGGAAGTGCAATAACTGCGAACCTTCTCAGCGCCGTATCGTTAAGGCCAAGCCTATGAAGGGCAAGCTCTTCAGGGCGAAGCTGGCCAAGGCTCAAAATTTTGCTAAGCCCCATTCGATGCAAGCATCGACCCAGATCGAGGTTGCTAACAATGAATTTACGGATGCTGAAAAGCGCGTCTGGCTTTCGAGCTTGTCTCATTCCCTGCTTGTGGAGATGCTCGTCGACATCTCCAGTAAGAACCCATCTTTGCCAATCTTCCCCGCCAACATGAAGGATTTACCCACCTCCAAGTTTGCTATTCCTTCGGCCCGGCCATTGAGTGCCCAGTCGGCACCACCCTCTGGGAAGCACGCCCACGACGAAGCTGCAGCTATAGACAGCCACCCTGCCAAAGGGTCACGTACTATTTCAAACACGGCTGTGCCTGTCGCCAGTCTTTACTCGACGTTGTCGCCCAGCCAACGGTGGTCATCCAGCGATACCGCCGACGAGGGCATCTTCTTGGCGAAGACGAGCGACGGGCATTTCATGCAAGTTCCTGAGCATTCGGCCACACCTGCTCTGTCTCCCGACGCTCCGAGTCCGTACGAGGCCGAGCTTTTGACCGACAGCGAAGGAGGTGACATTCCATTCGATGATCACCGCATCTACCCCAAGCCAGGCAATGGCTTTGCTCTTCCGTGGGATCCTGCAGATCTCGACATTCTCAGAGAGGATCCTGAAGCAAAGACCTTCAGCCATGCTCTACATAGTTCAATCGCGAAGAGGATCGCCGGGAACTAGGATGCTCGCAAGATAGGATGATCTTGTTCTTGAATGTGTTTTCTGATGTATTCACACTTGACTTTCTCGATGATATCTTATTGGGCGTTGATGTCTTTTCGCAGGTTCCTCTGGGCGTTTTTTCTTGCGTGTCTTTTGTGGCACCTTCCTACCTGTTCTTTCTACCATCTATTTACATGATATGATTTCACGATCAATGATACCAACTGAAATGCTCTTATATGCCTTGTTCGTAGAGCCTCAAGATTCGATATTGGAGTCGACCCCGTATCTTATCAGCCCCACGCTGACGCGCTCGCATTTTCCCCGAACATCTCCAAAAACGAACACCAGCATTCAATTCCAATATTCAGCTCTACGCCAATATCTCCAACTCCCTAAACCGATCACGTATTGAGCGCACACCTCACCAAATCTACCGCACACGGGAATGACATCCGAGCACCTTGCGCGCTCCAGAAATAGCCCCATCACACCACGCATCACAACCACCAAACCCTCACCAAGAACAACTTCATGATACACCATTAACCCCTCAAAATGTCTGCACCCTTTAAAATAACAACGAAAAGCACTCTCCCCCTCCAACCAACAAGCCCTGGACGCAACATCTAACCCTCGACACCCTCCTCCGTGTCGTGCACCACACGCTTCTAAACCCGTTTCTCGCCTGGATCCTAGTCCTCTGCCTTCGCGCCCAAGTCACGCCTACCAACTCCCCAGCCTGGATTATAAGCATCAGCTATGCGATCGCGCTGAGTTTGCTCTTCGTCGCGCGGGTGGTGAACCATCGCGTCGCGCATGGGATTCCGCGGACGGTCGATTCGGCGCGGGAGGTGGTGCTCGTCACTGGGGGTGCGAGTGGGCTGGGATTATTGATTGCACAGATTTATGGGATGAAGGGGGCTAGTGTGGCTGTTCTTGATATTAAGGATCTGGGGGAAAAGGAAGTTACTGAGATTTTTGGGGAAGGGGTGGGTTATTGGAAGTGCGATGTTGGCGAGAGGGGAGCGTTGGAGAGAACTAAGAAGGAGGTTGAGATTGAGGTATGCTTTTACTCCCTTCCTGAGTGAATTACGAGATCTATGGGGCTCTTATTGGGTGGTGATGCAGAGACATTGGTTGGAATGTGTTATTTTTTTTGTTCTTTCGCTAATGCATGCATGCTGCAGCTCGGTACTCCGACCATCATTATCAATTGCGCGGCGGCGAGGATTCATGGCGGGACGTTGCTGAGCTTGCCAGCTGATGCTTTTGAGAAGACTGTGCGCACCAATTTGCTCGCTGCTTTTCATCTCTACCAGGTATTTTTGCCCGGTGTTGTTGAAGCGGAGAATGGAGGCACCATCGTCACCGTCAGCTCAGTACTGGGCCAATTGTCTCCGGCAGGATTGTCAGATTATTCCGCTAGCAAGGCTGGATTGAGTGCGTTACACAGAACAATCGAGGCCGAGTTTCGCGAAATCGATCAGATCAAGACGTTGCTGGTGGAGGTAGGACAAATGGCCACGCCGCTGTTTGACTGGGTCCGTACGCCGAGTCATTTCTTTGCGCCTGTTCTCGAGCCGGTTGAGGTTGCTCGTGAAATCGTTGCGGCGGTTGATAGTGGTCAGGGCGGTGTGCTCAGACTGCCGTCATTCGCGAAGCTCGTCAATTTGTATGCTGTGTTGCCTGGTGCTGTGCAGCGCATGGCGCGATTCGTGAGTGGAGTCGACCGTGCTGTTTCTTCCGGTCTCCGTCAACGCGACGCTCCTGACAGTAGAGTTCCTGACAGCAATCGTCGAGTCCTCAGGAGCACAAAGAACCGGACTGATTGAAAAATTGCATGTGCATAGACTTGACTCGACAGATCAAATTTGCGAGTTCATCTTCCTTGTATATAAATTTGTTTCTTGTACACAGTTCATCCCAAAACGCCGAGTCGCAATGCAGTAATCCAAACTTTTGGGGGGTATCGTTGAGGTCTGTCGACAGGCTTATTGCTCGCGAGACAGAATCATCTTCTCGCGCTCGTTCTGTCTCGACTTCAAGTTATCCTTCTTGGTGTGCTTGCGCACGTTCTCCTCGCGCCTCTTGATGGCACCAAGCTCCTCACGCTTAATCTCACCAGCCTTCTTAATAGGCTTGGGCAGGTGACGCTGGCGCTTGATGCGACGGATCTCGGGCATGTGCGAGTAACGCTTGATGAGGGCCTGGTCGTACTCCAGCTTGGTGCGCTGGCGAGCACTCTTGATTCCGCTTCGGTCCGAAGCCTTGGCACGCCACAGACGGACGTTACCGTCGTCGGAGCCGGACAGAACGTACTTGTTATCGGGAGTGAACTTGGCAGAGAAGACACGCTGCATGCGCTGGGTGTGGTAAATGTCGCGAGAATGACCGCGGGCTCGGTCCCAAAGACGAATTGTGCGGTCGTAGGATGCGGTGACAAGTTCCTGCCCGGTAGGACTAAAGTCGATGTCCATCACGGCCGCAACGTGATCCTTGAGGATGTTCAAGGCACGGTCCGTCTTTCTCATATCAAAGATGTAGGCGTTGTGGTCCTCATTGGCCACGGCGAAGTTGAAAGCTTCCATGGGGTTCCAAGCAAGAGCGTTAGATGCCAGTTTCAAGGTCATCTTGTGCACCGGGGAAGAGGTGCGCAGGTCGTAAAGAATGACCGAGCGATCAATGGCGGTAGAGCCAAGAATGGAAGTCTCGGTCTGGTTGAAGGCAACGGAAGTAATGGTATCAACACTGGTCGGCCAGTGCAGAGTCTGCGAGGGAGAGGAAGAAGGTCGCGAGAGGTCATAGATAGAAATGACCGAAGAGGAGGCAGCGAACGAGGGAGATGTGGCGTGGTGTGTCACACCCGTGAAGGCACTTGAGCCTAGATAAGTCGCCATCGGTGGCGCCGAGGGAGTAGTGTTGTATGGGTCCCACAATTTGACAGTCTTGTCACTTGCGCAAGACAGCAGCTTTCGCTCGGGTGTCCAGCACACTCCCTTGATCATGTTCTCATGCGCCTGTGTATGCCAGATCTCCTCGCGGGTTGTCAAATCCCAAACCTTCGCCACGCCGTCACCACTGCCACTCGCAAAGCGCTCGAGAGAGCCAGGGTCTTTCGCCATACTGTAGACACCGTCGATATGACCGTCACCCATTTGGCCGATGAAGGGAGCAGCGAACATGCGCTCCATCTTGATCGCATTCAGAGCTCGAGTATATTCACGAGCCCGCTCGAAAGGATGCTGAGACGGGTCAAGATTCCGCTGCTGGCGGACGACCGAAGTCCCCGGGGCCTGCTGCGACGCCGTCGAGCGAGAAAGAGCTTTGATTTTCTGTTATCCATTAGCATCGCTATCCAATAAAGGACAAATTACATCAAGACTTACCATTTTGCGCTGTTGGTTCAGACGTAAAAAAAGAAGAAAGCGGAGTGAACTTTTTTTTCTGTTGACGGGATGATTTGCTAAGCGGGCGGTGAGCGCGGCAGCTGGCAGCTTCAAGCTCCCCGACTCAGCACTCGGTCTATCAACCTACCTTCCATCAACCGCCGTTTACGTTCTTTCATTGTCCACTTGCCTTCTATTCTTCTTTTTAAAAGCCACAGATTGCTAATCGCTTTTCACCATGGCCCCTTCCCTCCAGGTGTCGCCGCGGATACAGGAGGCCCGCGACTTGGAGAAGAAGGACCCCTCGAAAGCCGTGAGCAGTTACGAGAAGATACTCTCCGAGGGCCCAGGATCGACAGAGGCTTCATCGCGAGACTATGAGCATGCATTGATTGGATTGGGCCAGGTGTACCGAGATGCCAAGAAGCCGCAGGAGATTGCAGACCTCATCAAGACCAGCCGAAACACCTTTTCGTCATTTGCCAAAGCGAAGACAGCCAAGCTGGGTAAGCAGTCATCATTTTGCTTATGGTAGCCTCGCTCTAACAATATGTTACAGTTCGCCAACTCCTGGACCTCATCAGCGAAATCCCCAATACCCTCGATCTCCAAGCCGCCGTGATCCAATCATGCATAGAATGGTCTATCGCCGAGCGCCGGTCCTTCCTCCGACAGAACCTTCAAGCGCGCTTGGTCGCTATCCACATGCAAAAGCAAGCCTACTATGACGCCCTTACTCTCATCAACTCCCTTCTCCGCGAGCTGAAGCGCCTGGATGACAAGCTTATGCTGGTAGAGGTGCAGTTGCTGGAGTCTCGTGTGTACCATGCTCTGGGTAACCAGTCCAAGGCACGCGCTGCTCTGACAGCGGCGCGGACGTCTGCTGCATCTGTCTACACACCGCCGAATCTGCAGGCAGGCCTGGACATGCAGAGTGGAATGTTGCACGCCGAGGACAAGGACTTCAACACCGCCTTTTCTTACTTTATTGAGGCTTTGGAGGGATATAACTCGCTCGACGAGGGCGAGCTGGCCACCGCTACTCTGCAATACATGCTGCTTTGCAAGATTATGCTGAATCTGGTTGATGATGTCACTCAACTGCTGGGCTCCAAGCAGGCTCAAAAATACGCCAGCCCGCGTCTGGAGGCCATGAAGTCCGTGGCTCGGGCCCACGCCAACCGTTCCCTGGAGGAGTACGAGAAGGCTCTCTCCGACTACAGATACGAGCTCGGCAGCGACAGCTTCATCCGGAATCACCTTCGCCGCCTGTACGATGCCATGCTGGAGCAGAACTTGATCAAGGTCATTGAGCCTTTCAGCCGAGTGGAGTTGGATCACATTGCCAAGATGGTCGGGTTGGATGTCCAGCAAGTGGAACGCAAGCTTTCCCAGATGATCCTGGACAAGGTGATCATCGGTGTTTTGGACCAGGGCTCCGGCTGTCTGATCGTGTTCGACGAGACGGAACGTGATCAGGCCTATGATGCTGCTCTGGACACAATTGAGAAGCTGAGCAATGTGGTGGAGGGACTGTATACTAACCAGGCATCACTTCTGGAGTAGAGGAAATGGGCTCAATGCAATGCTACCATGTCGGTTCATAGGGAAATAATCGCGAAGATGCACGGCTGTTGCATGAACACGTCTTTATACATTTAGAAACTTTTGAAAAGTGGGTTTTAATTGTAGTTGTAGTTGTCTTTGGGATGGTCGCGACATTCCGAATCGGGTAAAGCGCGGCGGCAGAAGAATCGCGACCTCGCTCCCTCGCCCAACCTCATCCTCCACCCAACTCCCGATTGGCGCCATAGCTTTCTGGATCGGCAATGAACGCTCCTATGCAACCGAATTACGCGCGGGGATTCCCCCCGACCGCCCAGCGGTCTCCAGCCACGCCTCGTCGGCCGCCAGGACCAGGTTTGTCCCCTTTCTAATCGTCCCCGTCCACGCCCATCTAACTCCACTAGGAGGCCCGATGCCCGTCCAGATGCCCCAACAAGCTGTCAACGCCCCGTACATGCCCGCGCAGCGCGGTATGCCCCACCCTAATGATGCTGCTCTGCGTCGCAGTCGCAAGCCAACCGACAAGAACATTCCCGACGGAATTGAGGACGTGGTCATCGGCGAGGGCGTCGACCAGTACAAGAGCCTTCGCGACCTGGAGAAACGATTGGATGCCGCCACTGTGCGCAAGCGACTTGACATTCAAGATTCAATTAGCAAGACCGTGAAGAAGTACCGCACGATGCGCATCTGGATTACCAACACCGTTGAGAGCCAGTCGTGGCAGAGCGCCGGCAGCAATCCCGGTTCTGGACGTTATAATGTGCGCATTGAGGGCCGGTTACTTGATGATCACAGTGACCCTACTGTCCCCGAAGATGAGGAGGAATCTGGTGATGCAGCTGGAGACGATGCGATGGACCAGGATAAAGACGACGAGGATGCGAAGAAGGCAGACTCCAAGAAGCAACCCCAGCGCTTTTCGCACTTCTTCAAGAACATTACTATCGACTTCGACAAGCCGGCCAACGCCATTCCTGATGAGGTCAAGCCAGTCACCTGGTCCAAACCACAGCTGTCGCCCAATGCGACGTCTTCCCCTCCAAGCGCAGAGTTCGACAGCATCCAGTTTTCGCGGGCATCACAGGAGAATCTGAACGTTACAATTGGCTTGGTGCGGGACGAGACTCCCGAACGATACAAGCTTAGCAAGGAGCTGGCCGAGGTGCTGGATGTCGAGGAGGAAACCCGAAGCGGAATCGTGCTTGGAATCTGGGACTACATCCGTGCGATGGAGCTGCAAGAAGACGAGGAAAAGCGCCAAGTGCGCTGTGACCACCGCCTGCGTTCTATCTTCGGTCGCGAGCAGATGTTCTTCCCACAAATTCCGGAGATGATTGGACCTCACACTAGCCCTATGGAACCTATCAAGCTCCCCTACACCATTCGCGTCGACGAGGATTTCCACAAGGACCCCACGCCAACCATCTACGACATTCAAGTCGCAGTCGAAGACCCCCTGCGCCAGAAGATGATGGCTCTCACCCAGAATCCACAGTACACCTCCGGCCTTCGTCAGATCGCCTCTTTGGACGACCAGGTCGCGCTCATCGTCCAGGCCCTCACCCACTCCCGCGCCCGCCATTCCTTCTACACTGCCCTGAGCAAAGATCCCGCAACATTCCTGAAGCGATGGGTCAACTCGCAACGCCGCGACCTCGAGACTATTCTCGGTGATGCGGCAGCTGCTGGTGGCAACGGCAACGGCAACGAATTCCGTCGTGGAGGCGCAGACAGCGCGTGGGATACCCCTGTCGCCAGGGAAGCTGTACGATATTTGTTGGCCAAGCCCGAAGCTTCTGGGGCTCGGTAGATTTGGGATTCCGGGCTTATATGCCGTGGTCGGAACGGCTTTCTATGTACTTTGACTCTTTTGATCGGGGCGCTTTTGCGGTGTTTGGTCTGGTGTAGCTAGGATATGGTAGGATCCGTTTCAAAAACTTTTCATGAGATGATTTTTTCACGTCTTTGCCTTCCTTTTCTTGGTGTCTCTAGTAACAAGATACCGCTCAGCTGAGGCTGATGCTAGCGGATCTCATTATCGATCAATTTTACCCAACTTTTCAATAGTCTCGAGGCCGATGACCTTGGAAGGTAATACAAAGAGTCTAAATATTGTTTTTTCCTGAATCTCTTCCCGCGTATTCCTTGAATGTCTTTCTTTACATCTTTTTGCTGCTTCTGCTCGGTCTTCAACTCCCTTGTTTGGAAGTGCTCTCATGAGATTCGAAGAATACTAGCCAAGCTCAGTCTAGAAATTAATAGAAAATGCTACACCAATCTGGCAACTTCTGAAACGAATGCTTCGCGTACAACCACAATTGAAGAATGAAGATATATCCTGGCACTTAAGCCCGGAGAGGGAAGCGTCAGTTTCTAGAATTCTAATTCGGCTTCATCATTCCTGACCCCAGATAGAAATCCCATTCAAGGGTTCTATTTAACACGACAGAGCATCGAGACATTTAAGGGACTGGTACAGCTCGTACTCCTCGTCCCATCCTCGCCTTGAAATTACTTGAGCCGTATCTGGGAACCACCGATGCAGTAAGCTCCATGTTTAGGACTGGTTCTCGATTGTTTCTCGGGGCTACCACTTCTTTTTCTTTTTATTGTCTCCTAAACAATCTAAAGTTCTTCACTGACACGCACCGGGCTCTCCTGGTGCTATCTTCAAAGGCTAACGACAAGCTTCCCAACATGCTTACCCTCCCAGATAGACTGGATAGCTTCCCCGGATTGTTCAAAGAAATATGTTGTATCAATAATATCATCCAAGTGCAACTGCATTGCAGAAAGCGCTGCACACAGATCATCCATATCATATTTCGATGCCGCATTGATACCCCTACTTTGAAGTTTAGATCTTCACAGCAAACTAACGGCTCACACGTCGAACAACTCACCTCAGATTAACACGCCTGTCAATCAAGACAGGTAGAAGCTCCGCAAGGTCGCTGGGATCCTGCCGACTCAGATATCCAATCTGGCTAACTGTCCCACCTCGCCGCGTGCACCTAATGCTCTGAACCAGCGACCCCGTGCCGCCCATCTCGAGGACGAGGTCAACACCTGCATCACCCGTAAGCTTCAAGACTTCCTCGTGCCATACGGGACTTTTGTAGTTCACAGTCAAGAGCGGAGGACTGGAGAATTGCGCCTTGATTTGCTGGAGTTTGTCGTCACTAGACGAACTCAGGATAACCTGGAGACCCGCAGCGCGAGCGAGCTTCAGAGCAAACATGCTAACTCCACCGGTGCCTTTAAGGATCATTAGACAGTGAATCTATCTTCGGGAGGGGCTTTCAAACCTTGAATTAACACAGACTTCCCAATCCCGAACCCCTTCAGCGCTGCCCACGCTGTCGTCCCAGCACAAGGAATAAGACAGGCCTCTGCCCAGCTCAAATGAGAGGGAACTATACTCAAAATCCTTTCATCAAAAATCAGATAATCCGCCAGCACGCCATCCTCATCAGCAGCAAGCCACGAACGCGCCGATTCCCTGCCAGTGATGTTTTCGGTATCGATGATCGGAGCGACACGATCTCCCAGCTTCAGTGTTTTCACATCAGCGCCTGTGGCTATCACTTCGCCTGCTGCATCATTGCAGGGTATACCATGCGGTATCACGGGCCATGGATTACCACCATTGACAATGTTAGCGTCGCGATAGTTGAGCGAGACCGCATGAACTTTGATTAGGACGGATGACGAGGGAAGCCGTGAAGGTAGATCCTCGTAGGTTAGTTTCAATTTTGGCGTGCCTGGTGTATAGTCGTCTGTTCGGCGAAAGACGCGGCGGGATTCGATGGCAATAGTGGTCATTATGGCGGTATGGGAAGTTCAGAGGCTGTGTACTGTGATAAATGGGAATTGAATGGTAGAATGTAATGGGAATTGACAAAGAGCACCTTATATACGTAGCTAGGGAGTTGATTTCTAATGTTTCATATGGTATACAATCAGGGATCACCGCGGGACAACCATTGGATTCCAAGGCACTGAACCCCGCATATTAACTTGTCATCATCAGTCTGATTCGAGGTCCACATTAACTCCCGCCATTTCTTTGGCCTGATAGGTCACAACTAGTTCACTTTTTTTTTTTTTTCATCGTATCGATGAAATCCTAACTGCCTTCGAGAAAGAACCACCAAATGAAAATGTTTTGAAAATCTTCTCAGAGTCTCTCACAAGGTCCGATTGCATATCCGATTGGCAAGATGGCCGAGTTGGTCCAAGGCGTCAGGTTAAGGTCCACCTTAACACCAAACATTGGTTTCCTGATCTCGTTTACGGGGCGTGGGTTCGAATCCCACTCTTGTCATATCTTTTTGCTTTCCTATTTTTTTCTGGACGTACATTGACTGGCTTGGAATTATGTATCATTATTTATTTCTGTGGCGTAGAAACTTAAAGCGAAGTGAGTACACAAATTGGCCAAGCATTTCATAAATGAACTGGCGATAGGCCATAAGCCGCAACGGGGTTTGACCATAGGATTCACTTGATTCTCTTTCCCTATTCAACCTATTTTGGGACATATTTCATAGCCAGGTAATCAATTGTCAATTTTCAACATCTAGTAGGCTACGTGGGGAGATTGCAGAGGCTGTTCAACCGGTGGACAGAACTCATCGAAAGTGGCGTGTGGACAGTGGGGAGGGACGGCGTGGAGGGAGAAATCGATACATTCCGTGATGCAGACAATGGCAACGGCGCCTGGATGGATTATTGGATCGCTGCTGATTGGTGATACTACGCTGGTCATTCTACTCTTTGCAAAGAGAAACACGAAGTTCATGTTAACGCAACCGAATCGACGGTCGTCCATCACATGTGTATCTATCGATGCTTCTACTATGTGCAAGCAGTGCTATAACATTTTATGCCCGATCAGTAACCAGTCGAGTTACCACAATAACCACTCGCGGAGCAATCACCGAACAGCGATTCAGGACTTGTCATTGGTCGCGTGATGATGAGTTAACTATCTATATTCATTCAGGTCTCTTCCTAATAAAGAGAAAATTTGTAATCGCGACAATCGAGGGCCCGCTCTTCTAAGAGAAGTCCATTCTCCTAGAAATTCCGCTCATGAAGAAAAAGCGCGATTATGCCGATGCCAAGGGAAGAAGGTGGAGGCAACAAAGGCCCAACCGCCGCATACGACCAAACAACTATAGGGGGAAGTGGGGAGCGGCGAGGCCGGTTGGGTGACCGGATCTGCAGAGGCGCAGCAATAGGTGCAAGATAGGCAGGATGGAGGCAGAAAGAACAGAGTCGTCGAAGGGGCGACGGAGGGCGAGGTTACATGACGGCGTACTGAGGCGCCAAACCCTACCAGGCAAAACTAATTGCAAAAGGAAATTCACAGGTCCTCATTTTACAAAGATGAAGAACCAACAATCTACCCAAAACCATAGATCATCAAAGAGTCCAGGCCGTGATTCATCATGCTCCAGGTAATGGGACCTTGGCTACCAACTCTGCCCGGCGCTTGCGTAGCTCGTCGCCCAAGGCGCCGACATCAATTCCCGAGGCGATCTGCTCTGGGGAAGGGAGTAGCTCGCCGCGGCGAAGGGCGTTCTCGTCTTCTGCTAGCTTGGCGGCTGCTTCAAGGACGACTTTCTGTGAAACCTCCTCGGGTTTCTCCGGACCCCTCTCGTCTCTCTTCTCGGGAGTACGGAAACGCTTGAGAACGGTCTCCACCATCTGGGAGAACCAGTAATAGTTCAAGAAGTTGAGGATAATGTTCGATCCAACGTAGGTCAGCACCAGCCATGTTGGCACTCCACTGGCAGTGTACTCCTTGAAGCGAGAGATTTCGGCATTGGCGCGTGCGCAGGTCTCGTCAATGCACATGCCGCCGTCGCGGGTGGGGTAGAAGACATGGGCGCTGATGTTGGTGGGTTCCAGAAGCGGGGAAGCCTGGGCGGCCCACGTCTGCTGCAGCGCATTCCACATATCCGAGTAGACCACGACTGATTGCCAAGTCCCCCACACCAGGCGGCAGGAAAAGAACATACCCAGCAGAGCCATACCGTTGTACCACTGGGCACGGCTGCCGGTCATGTTGACTTTGTCAAGGAACCAGTGGATATTCAGGAATGGGCTGGAGAGCTCGTAGAGAATGAATGTCGGAGCGTAGTAGTTGAGGAAAGGTCTCTGTACCGTTCGGGCATGTTAGATCTGGCAGGGCGGAAGATCGGCAGGGGATCAAACTTACAAAGCCGAGACTGAAGACCCAGAGCGCACTGATCGCATGGAAGAGCATGCCGACACCGAACATCTTGATATGCACAGCGCTCACAATCAGATCGTAGACGAAGTATCCGACAGCCAAGGCCTGAATCAAGCCACAGGCACCAGTATATCCGAAAATACGCTCCGCGGAGGACATGGACCAGCGCTCCTCGTCGACGTACATAACCCACAATGCGGCGGCATTGATAAGAACGCTCTGTACCAGCGAGACGACATGGATATCCCAGTTAAGCTTGGTTCGGGGGCTCAACTTGGGATAGGACTGTGGAAACAGAATCGCCGACAGCCAAGGCGAAACGAACGAGTGGATGACCTGGTAAAAGACAAAAGCGAGAATGACCTCATGGGCATGATCTGCGAGGGTCGGGCTGCTCAGTTTGAGAGCGAATGGCTCGAAGAATTCCCGCAGCCATGCTGGAGGGGAGCCGAGGGGGTCCAGCATTGTTGGAAGACCCTGGACAGCTTATCACCCCGATGCGGGGAGCTCGGGGTCAGGGGTATTCAGGGAGGTGGTGTCTGGGTGATGTATGGGGAGAATATACCTCAGGTCTACCATGAAACAAACACAGAGACCTCCTATTCCTTTTCAAAGGGCTCCATGCGCAAGAAGAAGGAAAAGAAAGCGTCGCAGCTCCGGAGCACGCGGCCTCGGCTGCACTAATATGCCTGAGGCAGTCACAATCCGTTGAGACGTCACCTGACTTCCTATCTTGGCAAGTGACCACGGAGTATGACCTGGGCATCTACGAATGACTACGAGAACGAGGAATGGTGTTATCAAGAACAGAGAATGGTAATTCGTTAATCACAAAAAGGAATTCATACAGGCCCATAGAAAAACATAACAGAAAGGTGGTATATGAAAGGAAACACGTCAAACCGAACGCCGTATCAAAGTCATAGTCACAAAAGAAAGAGTCAACTAGACTGCCATCCCCGAGCCTAGCCCGCTGTCAGCAGGTTGCTCAAGCAGCTTCGAAACTTCAGCTTCCATAGCAGAGGCGGTTGCTGAAATCTCCTCATCGATGCCATCTTGCACCTCACTTTCATTCTTCACGATCGATTTTCGGTACTCGTTGTCAGGGTCGTCATCTTCCTCGTCGCACTCGTCGTCGTTCTCACGAGCCGTTTGAGCATCATCTGACTCTGACTCGGCATAGCTCTCGTCCATGTGGCTATCACCAGCAATGGAGCTCTCTTGTCCAGTGGCAGTGCTCATGCCACTAGTGCGGCGATCATCCGAGACAACGCTCTCCGTAGGCCCGGTCACGACACTGTCGGTAATAGTCCCCGCGTAGCTAGACCTGCGCTCCGTACCAGCATAGCTTGATTTCCGGTCCGACGGGGCATAGCTGGTTCTGCGCTCTGTGCCAGCGTCGCTCTCAGGGTCACTGTCATGCTCGTCCTCCTCGCGGAATACCTCATTCTCCTTGTTGGAAACAGAGCTGTGACCAGCCCACGAGGATTTACGGAGTGAGAAGTTCGATTTGACCGAATTGCTGCGCTTCAGGTTGGTGAGTCCACCGCTGGCGCCTCGGTTACCTGTTACATGGTTCAAGCTGAGAATGCGGCGCTCCTTGCCAATATTGGGCTGGACGGCAGTTGTGCCCGCCTGCAGGTTGTTTGGCACACGGCGTTTGAGGGCCATGCCGACTCCGTTGCCGAGAATGCTGCGAGGATCCTTAGTGTCTTTAGTGGTGCTTACGGTCGCATTACTCATAGCACTGGGGCTGCGAGCACCAGCTCGAGAGGAACGCACACTACGGTTCCTTTTGAGGTTCATAGACGACAAGCTGCCGGACCGACTGAGGAGCACAGTGCGAGCATGGTCGAGGACACCTTCCAAGATGCGCTTTTCGAGACCATCGGCGCGGTCCTCCATCTGCTGCATCTCTTCGTGGCGGATCTCAAGAGCAGTCTCAAGGCCTGAAAGATCCTTGCTCAGCTTCTGGTTTTGCTTGGTCATATCATCTTTCTCAGTCTTGAGAGCTTGGAGCATCTTCAGCAGGGACTCCTTCTCCTCGTGCAGGCCCACAAGCTCGGCTTCAACCTGCTCACGCTGGCCGATCCTGCGCTCAAGGGCAATGGCGGCCTCCTCAGCCTCCCGGCGTTTTCTTTCTGTATCCTCAGCGACGATGGCAGACTGGGCGGCAAACATCTCGTTCATCTTACGAGTGTTCTCCATGATGTCCCTGTGCATCTCGTCCAGCTTCATCATCTGAGTCACGGATTGCTCAGGATCAACAGCAGCGACGGGACGACTGAGTAAAGAATCAAGCTTCTCGTGAACAGAGCCATCGCCGTTGGTAGCATGCTCGAGGAGCTTGTCAAGCTTCTCATAGATCTGATCATTCCCAGAGCCTTGGTCCAAAGCTCGGTCAAGCTTCTCATGGAGCTGGTCGTTCTTGGAGTGTTCGAGCAGGGTGTTGAGAACTTCATGCACCTGGCTGTTCTTGGAGGCGTGCTCCAAAATGTCGTTCAACTTGGTGTGTACAGGGTCGTCCTTAATTTCTCGATCGGATTCCGGGGGAGGCATGAGAGCAGGGAGCATGTTCGGGATATTGCTTGGCAGCGCAGACAACTCCGACTTGAAGTCCTCGTTGGACTTCTGGGAGTGGTCGTAGTGCTGACTGACAACATCCAGGATCTGCTGAACAGTCTCCAAGATCTGAGGGTTAAACTCAAGAAGCTTGCTTTCCACACGCTCCGTGGCAGCAACAGCTCTCTCATTGCCCTCTTTGGACTGCTCCTGCTGAGACTTGACGTCATGTTGCATCTCCTCAATGCGGTTGTAGGACTCATCAACCCTCTCTAAGAGAGTCTTCGTGTCCGCAGCCACCTGCTCACAACTTTCGTTGACAGTGCTGCCAACTTCACCAATAACGAGCTTGATCTCTTCAGCAAGTGCCTTGGTGCTAGTCACAGCTTCGGAGTGCGCCATGTCACGTTCCTCGGTTTCCGAGAATTTGGAGTGAAGGGAAGTATGAGCTTCATCGTACTTGGCGATGACTTCACCGAGCTTCTCGTCAATCTTCGCTCCGAGTTCCACAATTATGGCAGCCCGAGTCTCATCGTGCTTTACCATAGTAGCAGCATCGCGTTCCTCCTTGTCCAACCTCGTGGCATCTTCCTCGCCACGAGCACGCTCAAACTCACGATTAATGAGTTCAGTCAGCTCCTTGATGCTCTCGACAGTGGAAAAGTTCTCGGCGGTAAGAGCCAGACCCTCGAGAAGCTGCTTGAGCTCGGTCAGGCCTTCACTACTGCCATCAAGCTTGCTCTTGAGCTCATCACCTAGCTCGCCAACAACAAACTTGGCTTCTTCAATTTTCTCGTGGAGACCAGCATGTTCAACCTTGCGAGCCTCGAAGCCTTGGGCGGTCATATCATGGTTTGCTTCCATCTTCTCCCGGAAGTCGGTGACGAGGGTGGAGAGCTCCTGGATCTCGTCTTTGGTTGGAAGGGTCTCCACGTCAGGAAGCTTCAACTCATCAACCTGAGTCTTGACCTCAAAGATCATGGCCTCCACGGTCTGAAGATCGGACTTCATGAGCTTATCAGAGTCCTCAGCTTCTTCTTCCTCCTCACCCTCCTTGGTCTTTCCCTTCAGCTCTTCCAAGGCCACCCAGACGTCCTTGATTAGACCCTCCAGGGCACCAACTTCGGCCTTGGTAGGCGCCTCAGCTTCCAGGCGCGACGAAAGGTCGGAGATGGTATCCTTGGCATCTTTGATCATGGTCTCAAGGTTTTCAATGTGCTCAGATGTAGCTAGAGTGTCAGGAGCAGGGAAGACCAATTCTTCGAGGTGGGTCTTGGTACCCATAAGAAGTTCCTGAATGGCATCGGTGTCTTCTTTCCGAGCGGCATTCTCGTGGAGATTGTTGGTGGCAGCGATCTCACCAATGGCAACCTGAACTTCCTGGATGGCAACAAGAACCTCATCCATGTGGCCCTTGGTCAAAGCATCTTCAGCGGGCTCAGTGGCACGAGGCGTAGAGTCGATGGCCTCGACCTTGTCCTGAAGGTCGGTGATGAGAGTCTTGAGGCTCTCAATGCCACTTCCAAGTTCGGCGTCCCTAGCAAGCGTGAGCTCGCCGCCGCCGCGGGTTGTCTCCTCCTCGTCCATCTCCTTGCTCTTCTGCGCCTCACGGAGGCCCTCGATATCAACTCTCAACACGGCCAGGCCATCCTTGAGGGTGTCAATAATCTCTGAGCTGTCGAATTCAGTTGGCTTTTCAGCAACCTTCTTGATATCCTCGCGGATGGAATCAACGCCGTCGTTAAAGGCATCAAGCAGCTCACTGGTGGTAGAGAGCATACTTTCGGTTCCATCCTTGGCACGAGTTTCCTCGCGGAGGTTGTCGAAGTGCTCGCGGAGGGCAGCGAGGATATCTTCTTTCTCAGAAGGAGGCTCAGATCGAACCACACTCATGTCCATGCGCTCACGCATTTTCTCGAACTCCTGCTTCAGTGTGGTGAGAACTTCCTCGTCGGCACCCTTGGCATTTGAGTGTTCACCCATCTCCCGAATAGCATCGAGAACTTCGTCCTTATCACTGGTGGCATTATCACGAACTAGGAGAGTGCTGATAGTGCCACGGAGATGCTCGAACTCTTTCTCCATAGCTTCCAGAAGCTCTGGGGTGTCAGGAGCGCCTCGCGAGGCATTTGACAGAGAGGCGTCATTGATGGTCTTCTCCATGTCAGCTTGAAGCAAACGGAAACCTTCCTTAACGGTATCAATGATCTCAAGCTTATCGGAACCATCATGGGCTCCGCCCACATAAGTCTCGATCTCCTTTCGCACAACATCAAGACCATCCTTGACAGCGTCCAGGACCTGCTCAGTGTCTTTACCATTGGCAGCGGAATACTGTTTGAACTCCTCCTTCATGTCATCGACAACCTCCTGGAGTCGGCTTAGCACCTCGTCGCCAATATTAGCGTTGGTAGCGCTGGTCGCCTCCTGGAGACCGGCACTGATGGCTTCCATGAGATCGTCCTTGTTCAATTCAATCTCACGGGTCATAGTGTTGGAGCTTTCAATGCCATCAACAACTGCGTTGAACAGCTCTTCTCTAGTGATAGAGGGCTGTTGGAGATTGGTGGTCAAGGCCGACTGATCAGCTTCCCGTGATTTCTCCAATGCTTCAGAAACAGCACTTAGGATGTCATCGCGAGAGAGTGTGGATGATTCTTCGGGCTTGTGAGCGATCTCCATAGCGTCGGCAATAGCACTCGTGATCTCCTCGCGAGAGAGCGATGAGGAATCTTGAGGCTTATTGGCGATCTCGATGCCATCAGCAATGGCAGCCATAATGTCCTCACGAGAGATGCTGGGGGGTGCAAGACTAGTGCTGAGAGCTGATTGTTGAGAATCAAACGCATCATTGATAGCATTCACAACATCAGATGTGGAGATGCGAGGCTCCTCCATGTCCTTTGCGGATGTGAAATGTGCCTCGAGGCCATCGGAGACTGCACTGAGAATGTCGTCGCGGCCAATACCGGAATCGAAAGACTCTTTGCTGATCATGCTCTGGGTGGCCATAGATCCAGTCAAGGCGTTGAGAATCTCATCACGGATGTCGTTCATATGGGTTCGATGTTCCTCGTCCATAGTCTTCGCGGTAGGGGGGTTGGTCATAGCTTCCGCCAGAGCGTGGAGAATGTCGTCTCGAATGGAGTTGAGGTATTGAATATGCTCCTCGTCCAATCCCCCCGGAGCAGGCTTCTCCTGAATACCGGTGAGAGTGCCCATGATCTCATCTCGAACCGCATGGAGATGTTGAATGTGCTCCTCATCCAGTCCACGCGAGACAGGCTTCTCCTGGTTTTCTGTGACGGCTCCCATGATCTCGTCTCGAATGGCATATAGGAGGTTAGCATGCTCCTCAGTGAGGCCTTGAGACCCGTGCTTCTCCATAGTGTCGGCGAAGGCACCCAAAATCTCGTCGCGAATCGTGTTAAGGTGCTGAGCATGCTCGTCATCGAAACTGCGGGGAGTCGGCTTCTCCATAACTCCTGCGACGGCACCGAGAATTTCATCACGCATGGAATGAAGGTGGCCGACATGCTCCTCATCCAAGCCGCGGGAGGTAGGCTCGGAATTCTCGAGGCATTCACGTATTGTCATGATAATTTCATCGCGAGTGATGGCCGGGGGTTGCGGGGGCTGGAAGTCCTGGAGACCTGTCCGAACAGCTCCGAGAACCTGCTCGAAGGTCAAGGATTCCTCATGGTGGGGTTGGTATGACTTGAGGCCTTCAGAGAGACACTCCAAGACCTCTTCACGCTCGAGACCAAAGTTTTGCAGCTCGATCTCGGGCCGGTAGGTCTCCATTGCTTCACGGACAGTTTCCAGGATCTCCTCCTTCTCCATGACTGAACCATGGGGGGCATTTTCGGGCTGAGGAAGTTCAAGCTCATCAAGAGCTCTCTTGACGATAGAGTAGATCGCAGCACTGTTCATAGTGGACTGGAACTCGTCGAATGCCGAGGAGTTTTGTCGGCTCTCGTTGATGGTAGCAGCCAGCTGCTCCCTAAGGTCCCCGAGACTCTCATTGATGATGGCGGCGATCTCATCCGGGCCAGGAGCCTGGGGCTTTTGCTCCTCACCAATTGCCCGGGTCTCGTCGACAGCTTCCAGTCTGCGAGCAAGATCACGCCCCATTCCAAGGACTTCTCCGCGCAACTCGCGCACCAGAGCTTTCACGCCGTTAGTCATACCACCACTCTCTACGACAGTGTTCTTAACAGTGCGAAGAACGGCAAGGATTTCGTCGTTGGCAGAGACTGATAGGTCCAGCTTGTCACCTTTCAGAACATCCAATGGGCGCACGGCGGCTGAGGGGTCCATAGAGCCCATTGACCTATGACGAGCACCATCGAGGTTGTCACCTGGTTGCAGGTTATCGGGAGTGCTCATAGCACGAACAAGGGCTCTGCTAGAAGGATCTTCCTTGACAAGGTTGAGAATTTCTTCGAGCATGTTGGTGATCTTCTTATCGGATTCCTTGTCAGAGGCGGTTGCAGCGGGTCGAGACTTGATCTCATCGACAAGCTCCAAAAGCCTCTCCTCGCCTTCTTTGGTTGCCATTTCGCGTAATACCTTTTCTAGGAGGGCGATGCTGGCAGAGCCATCGGAAATCGGTCCAGGCGAACCGGCGAAATCAAGATCGTAGTTAAACAGGTTAGGGCTGGGCATGCGAGGCACAGAGTAGCTTCTCTTCGAGTTGGGAGAACTATCCAGATCACTGCTGTCAATCCCACGTTCACGCTTCAGGAGAGCATTGAAATCAAACCTTGCAGGGTCCACATCCAAAAATTTGGTTGACAGGTTCGATGTCAATTCCTTCAAGCTCTTTCGAATATCTTCGTCGCGCGCATTGGTCGCAGCCTTTAAGCTGACAAGATCGGTGGCATTATCTTTGCTTCTTCGGCTGAGATTGAACATTTCACGCTGCAGATTGCTGGCAATATCGGTGAGGCTGAGAATTTGGGAGGAGAGGGTACCCATTGTGTGTTTTTGGGCTTCGATTGGGGTGCTGGGCTCGGGCTCGGGCTCTGCTGGAGCAGGAGCAGCAGCAATCATCTTAGGCGCCCTGGAGGGTGATGGAGGGTCGACTTCGGGAAGCTGCATGTTTTGAAGGGCCAACATCGTTGGGGAGGAAGGAGTAGTTTCTCCAATAATTGGTTTTGACAAGAAACGACTCGAGACATAGCTGGGGAGGTCCCGCTCTGGGGAACGACTAGTTGGTGAACCAACACGGATGGTCGAGTCTTGCCTGTTTGTCGGGTCCAAAATAGTTGCGCGCAGAGGTCGCTCCGGTGAACGACTCTCGAGATAATTAAGGAATTCGGAGCGCGCATCGCCCTTGGTGTCATTGGTGTCATTGGGCTGCAGAGACTGCATGCGCTTGTGGTGTCCCTTCACCAATGATCGCTCTGGTGATGAAGATTTGGGCATGGCATTCGTGGTGTATGAACTGAGAGGGTTCTCAGTCGTTCTATCAGTGAACTTGGCCGCAACAGCTTGAATGCCGGGCGACACATTTGATTTGGTTGCAGGGCTCATTGAGCGAGGATTCAAAGGCAGCGGCGGAGGTGCACGCTCGGGATCCGAACTATCCCACCTGGATTTGCAACGCTTTAGTATGTGTCTCCAGTCATTCATGGCGGGCGTGGATCAGCACCATCAAGGGCACAACATACATTGGAACAGATAACTGCCGGCAAGATTCGGACTTGATGAGTTCCCGGTCACGGGTGGAGCTGTCCCCTTGGGATGGCATTGTGTTGGTGTGAAGAGGTAAGATGTCTCAGAGAGGTATTGAGAAACAAATGTACGGGAATGTAGGTATCAAGGTATCAAGGTATCAAAACAAGGTCGCAAGGGTCGTTCAAAGCATATCAAAGTCGAATTTCGCTAGAAATCAAAAAGGGACGGTGAACGAAGAACAATATGGGAGATCAACTTGATAAGAAAACAGTAGGAGTGGATGTTCCAAGGCCAGAACCAGTACGCGGCCTACACATCATCCTGCGCTCGCCATAGCAACGGGGCCGGGGCAACTGCGGATCATCGTAAACAAAGTCATGTAGGCGGTGAGGCCTTACGAAAGCCCGGGGTGGTCCGGAGCTAGCCCCGATGGGGTATGTTTCCCCAAATGGACTAGGGCACTCGTCTCGTCAAAGCAGCCAATAACCGAGCGGCACACAAATCGACCATGCCCTGAACCCTCTCAGCCCGCCCCAAGCGAAAAAACGAACACTTCGATCTTGACTGTTCCGTACAACGACAAACCACCCGCCAAACCTCGCCGCCTAACGGGACCTTCACAATGAAGTGTACGTATTCGACCCCTACGATTCCATCTACGACGTTCATACTAACGAGAATGTTGCGACAGTCATGAAAGTGGGCCGTGTGGCCATCATCACCCGTGGCCGCTTCGCCGGTAAGAAGGTACGACAATCGCTATTCCCTCCCCGAGAAGAAGATGAAGGACGAGGAGAGAGCAGGAGCGCGGACAGCACGAGACGGGCTCGCCGGCAAAAGCACAATGAGAAGACGATCGAGTGGTGGACAAGAGTTTGGCGAAAGAATCCCGGCTGACCAGCGCATTTTTCACGCCTCTATAGGTCGTCATTGTCCAGCCCCAGGAGACTGGCTCCAAGGCGCACCCTTTCCCCCATGCCATCGTCGCCGGTATCGAGCGCTACCCCTTGAAGGTTACCCGCCGCATGGGTAAGAAGCTCCTCGACCGCCGCAGCCGCATCAAGCCCTTCATCAAGGTTGTCAACTACAACCACCTGATGCCCACCCGCTACACCCTCGAGCTCGAGGGCCTCAAGGGTGTCGTCTCCCAGGACACCTTCAAGGAAGTTTCCCAGCGCGAGGACGCCAAGAAGACCATCAAGAAGGCTCTGGAGGACCGCTACACCTCCGGCAAGAACCGCTGGTTCTTCACTCCTCTGCGTACGTGCATTCTTGTCCATTTACGATTTTCGACTTGCTAATAACAGAATAGGTTTCTGAACGGTTTATCCGGCGTTTTGTCGTTTTGAGCGCCCACGGCTCGAGGTGAAGGCGAGGGGAAAAAAGCATCGAGCACATTCGGTCCCTGCAACGGGATGGAAGGCATATACCATAGCTGGAAACAGAATCGGGAATGTATCGATGAACTCCAGTTTGCACGAGGGGTGCCACTAAAATCTGGCAGCCGTCTATGAAATGGAAAACATGAATTTACTACTTTCTTCATGCGCTTGCGTCCAAGTGTGTGTGCAACGTGTTGCACCACCCTTTCCCGTCGAGTCTCATGCGACTCCGACGTTATTCCACTGTCGTGACGTATCTCTCTAGACCGTATGCTGGACCCCGGTTCGTTTTAACGCTGTCTGTGCATATCTGTGCCTAGGCAACCGCTATCTCCGTGGTATTCGTAGCTTCACGTTCAAATTAGCGTACCGCGTAAACATTGCATGTGGCTTCCAGTCCCATGTGATCCGAATCTTATCTCAACTACATCTGGTTCGGGCAGTTTCAGATTTTCGAGCCTTTACGCAATATTTTCTGTCGCACGTGAAATATCTCGTTTCCAGCCCCAAAATCATGAGCTTCCGCGGTTCAAGGCAGCAGTACACCAGTATACAGCTGCAGCCGAGATTGGATATGTGCGAGGAGACATTGCAGAAAATCCGCCACCCAGCAAAGCAGCGCATCGAGCTCTGATAGGTCTGTCAACCTCCAGTGACGTGGATCTACAGTACTTGCATTTTATACATACCGTTCAAGCAGGTATGTTCTTCATTATCTGGATATTCTTGACGCCTAGATTTTAGATTCACCAAAAACAAAAACACATTGCGTCGCGAGTGGCGCGACTTGCCACAAACTAGATTGAGAAGGTGATTTCCGGATATGGCAACAGGATAGAACAGTACTGTACCAGGTCCACGAATCAAGCCGCCCACGGAAATTATCTACGTACGAAAACACATGTCTGAATATAGCAAACGCTATCCCGATCGAGTATACAAAGAGTACCCCTCTACTCTCCGAATTGTGTGATCTACGCGGTAGCTTCGAAGCGGCTCGCCACCGGATCGACGAGTCTATGACCTGTAGACTACCCTTTCGATTGGTCGATCGAGGGAGGAAAGGCAGGAAAGGGTCCAAGATAACCCCAGTCCAAATTCTATCGCGCAGCTCTTATCATATTCTTTTATAAGAATCTACATGTGCTTGCACAAGAACAACAAGGACCTTCCCCGTAGCTCCGATTTCCCAGCTGACGGTGGTACCATGTTATCCACATCCGTGTCGCATAACCCGCATCCCAACCAACCAGAAGCACGGCGCGTGGAAAATGCAGCTGTGGTGACCTCAACGGCTTCAATAGGACAATGGCAGGGTTTCAATTCCATCGCCGAGGACCGAATGGGAACGAGGGCGAATCAGCCGGCCCGCCAGTCGCACGCCCGCGTACTTCTGCGCGCGCATTCGCGGGATCCGATCGCGAACCCGGCCAGAATCTTGAGAGGGCCTGGATGCTCTAGCTTCGAGCTTCTAGCTCCTAGGTTCTAGATTCTTGGTTCTATGGGTATGTTGGGACATGCCTTGCAGCTGGCGTTACGTATTTGGGGTTCCTTCCCCTCCCTTGCCCGTGGGTTCCCGTGGGGGGGATATTCTCTAGGCCGGTATGAGGCGGGGGTTTTTATTCCGTGGATAGGTTCGGGCGACGCTCAGGCCAGTAGTGGGTACATCTTGTGCAGGTGAGGGAGAGTCGATCCCGGTCAGCAGGTGTCACGGTCTTAAATAAAAGCAAGGTATGCCATGATAAGACGTTTGTGCTGGAGTGGGGTGGGATGGTAAGGTCAAACCAGGTTTGACAGGAGACCAGCTCATCAAGGTAACCTTGTTTCAAGTGATAGAGATAGAGAGAAGGTGAAGTGCCATGCTAGGGTGGATCCTAGCGGGTAGAAATAGGGCCAAAAAAAAAATAGAAAAAGAAAAAGAAAAGAAAAGTCCCAAGGAGTCGCAGATAGTAAGAAAGTGGTTCACTGAATGCGTCAACGTTGGACCCGCTTTCACATGTGAAATCATGCCTTATCAACCTTTCTGTCTTGCCATGTCTCGACTAATGCAATTGACCCTCGACGAAGGCGGCTATGACATTCGAAACTGGTTTTTCTTTCTTTTTAACTCGAAGATCGTAGTTGCCTTTGCAAAGTCTAACTTGCATTGACCTCAGGGGAGACTGCATAAGATGCCGGTGAGGCGAAAAAAGATTAGCCATTAGGAAATAGAAAATCCCAAAAAGCGAAGATCCATAAGGTCCAGGCAAAAGGAGACGGCAATACGATCCCAGTGCACAGATGATGCGATTGCGCAGGGGCCTCGACACAATTGCATAAGGAAGGCGCAATCACATGTGAAATGTCTATATACAGCCCACCTTCTACTTTTTTTATCTCTTTTTACTTTGCCCACTGCTACTTTCCCCCCCTTCTCATTCTATCCTCCTGACTACCTTAATGCCCCACGCTGATCCAGCCACCATGGGTGAACCAGTCGTCAACGGCGAGAAGGTCTATTCTCAGTTCCTGAACGTGAGTTCTCTGGAGTAACATGACCTCGTCATCCAACTAACATCCTCCATCCAGCACCTGACCTCCTACCCGGTCGTCTCAGACTCCATCTCTGTCTTCAAAGGCAACCCCTATGGCGCCAAGTCCCTCGAGTTCGCCGACCACGGCTACGACCGTCTCGCCAAGCCCGTCCTGCCATACTTCGCTACTCCCTTCAGCTATGTCGCTCCCTACCTCGAGCGCGCCGACTCTCTGGGAGACAAGGGCCTGAGCAGCATCGATACCCGCTTCCCCATTATTCGGGAAGATACCCAGAAGATCCGCGGCACCATCTACAACACTGCAGGTTACCCAGTGCGGGTCGCAGGCGATGTCAAGCACCACGTCTTCGATGTCTACGGAACAGAGTACAAGAAGTGCGGTGGTGATGGTCTTGTCGCCTCAGGCAAGGCTGTCATCACGACCAGCTTGATGCTGTCCCAAGAGTCGCTGGCCTGGATCAGCACCTTCCTGCAGAAGTCCAAGGAGGAGGTCAAGGAAGTCATCCACGAGAAGACCAACAGCCACTGATTAGATTCCCCTCCTTTGAGCGTTGTGTTCTGTTTCTTTTCTTCTCCTTTCTTTTCTGTAGAGAAAATAGTTTCCCGCTGTTACTGTTACTGTTGTGTGCTTGTATGCTTTCAACGTCGATCGTTCAGCCTTGATATATCTTGCCTGCCTTGCTCAGCGTGTTACGAAGACTCCCTCAACAAGTTGAATTCCAGCGCCGAAATACAGTGTATACCTTTTTATCATTACCTTCTCATTGAATCACCCGTGAATCTCGAAAAGAATAAATAATCGGAATGCTATATAATCTTTCGAAAGTGAAGCACTAGGTGCTAAAGATAAGAGCGATGCACAGACCACCTGTCCAAATCGGGCTAAAATCAGTAAATTCCCGACCGCGTCGCGTCTTGCGACCATCACCAACATTGCAAACCCAATCAATGCCCCCAAACACCACAATGCCTCTGATTCGAAAACGAAGAGCCGTAAGCCCATTTCACTCCTCTCTCCCAAACCCATATCACTAACCCGGCCCACAGACCGACCAAGCCCCAGAGTCAGACTCGGGTGAAGTCTCGCCCCGCCGCCAAAGACCAAGAAGCTCATCCTCAGAAGCTGAAATGTCCGACGACGCAGCATCCGCGTCCTCGACAAACGCAATGATTCAGAAGATGGTCCGCCTCGCGTTATCAAGCGAGTACTCGCGTCTACCGATCCGGCGCGCCGACATTAGCGCCAAAGTCCTCGGCGAGCAGGGCTCACGACAATTCAAGACTGTCTTCGAGAGCGCACAGCGCGAACTACGAGAGAAATTCGGGATGGAGATGACGGAGCTTCCGGCGCGTGAGAAGACTACAATTACACAGCGACGAGGTGAGTTTGCCTTTTCCTCCTACTCCTTCTTTTCTTCTTGGGCATCAAATTCAACAAGAAGCATGCTAACAGATTCAAAGCCGCGCAAAAAACAGAGAAACCATCCAGCACCAACAAATCCTGGATCCTTACCAGTACTCTCCCTACGAAATTCCGCACCCCGTCAATCCTACAGCCAACGAAAGCACCCTCCACAACGACAGAAAGTACCTACACAGCCCTATACACATTCATCATCGCCGTGATCTCTTTGAATGGTGGAACGCTAGGGGACCAAAAACTGGAACGATACCTCGTGCGCATGAACGCGGACCAATACACGCCCATTGACAAGACGGAGAAACTTCTCCAACGGCTGTGCAAGGAGGGATATATCGTTAAGATGCGGGACATGGATGGCGGCGAGGAGATCATTGAGTATATGGTTGGACCGAGGGGGAAGGTTGAGGTGGGGAGTGGGGGTGTTGCGGGGCTTGCGAGGGAAGTCTACGGGCTTAGGGATGGGACGGAGGGGCGAGAGGAGTTTGAAGCCAAGTTGAGGAGAAGTCTTGGGATTGTTGGGGTTATGGAGAGGAGGGAGGAGGAAGAGGTAGAGGATAGGGCTAATGGGACGGGGGCTGGGGTGGAAGATGGGGGTGAGGAGAGAGTTGCGACTAGGAGGTCGAGGAGAGTTGAGCAGGAGAGTTCCTCTTCTGAAGAGGAAGAGGAGGGTAGTGATTCTGATTGAGCGGTGTTTAGAGACGAGATGGTTTTGACGAGGCTATTGATTGATACCCAGCAACATATAATGCATGTTCTCTTCTTCGACCAGAGAGGTAAATCTGTAGTCTTTGCAGACATCTGGCGCCAGTATGTAGCAGACCACAACGCAGCAACAAGTGTACTGTAGCTTCAATCTCTCAATTCGTAGACCGTTTACTCCATTTCCACTACTATCCTGCACCCCCTCCACCCCCGCCATTAATTTACCAAGCCCAGACCTAACGGTATCACACTATAGCACGCCCCAAGCCTAGTCCTAGTCCTATCGAGGAACAAAGTCACGAGGACTAGAACAAGCGCATACACCAGCCCGTTCCCCGACTCCAAAGTCCCCACACCTGCGTTTTCAATTTAATTCTAAAACTATATCGAAAGCCAAAACCAAAGCCAAAACCCAAACAGACGACCGATTCAGAAACGTGGCCCCGCAGCCAATAAAACACCAATGGCTTATCAAAGTCAATGACTCGTGGACTGAGGGTAAGTGATTTGGAATCAGTGCAGTCGTTCTCGAGATCGGCTTAATAATACACTCTGGATCACTCTTGATCATTCTTTCCCGGCCCCACCAAGACCTTAACGCAGATCAATCACTGAGCGGGCCGCATCGTATTCATGGTAGCTTCAGCTTCCCCTCTCAACCTGTGAAGTGCCGAGATACATCATTATTTGATCCTTCCGAAATCGGTCCGCTTGGCAAAGTGATGACTTCGCGGTGCACCACAGTGAACACCGCAGTGACAACCGCAAGGAAACGCGGGGCTTTCGTTCTTCACCAAAATCATTATTGTAACTGACTGCGCAGGTAAGATATCTTATTTGGCGCCATCTCAGTGGAGGCGGAACTTCAGCGTAATAAATTTTAAATGGGAATGGCTGTGGCGGGAGGACACGAAAGATGACATTGTCACGAAGACCTTCGACATGGGTCAAATCAGGGCAGAACGAGCTCGCGTCCGGGAGACATTGACGGATTTGACCATTTCGGCATATTCCCACGTGGTAGTGGCCGATCCTCACAACCCATATCTCTCTACTTCAGGGCAACTTTCATGCATTCCGTGATCTGAATACAACGACGCGAGCATATTCAGTCTAGGAGAGATTCCGAGGCATATCAAATGGCTTGAGATTACTCATTATTTGGATGGGCAAGAGGAATCTGCCTGGACATCAAACGGGATCCTAGAAGGGTTGCGCTTTTTGCTACAGAGCCCGAGCCAGTATATGCCTCATCTCCGCGTCTTTCCCCGTTGGGAGATACAAGTGGACTATGATGAACGGACCCCTGAGATGAGGCAGGAGTTTCGAAATCTAGGTAGCCAAGCTGGGGTTGAGATTCAGATGAGTGAGTTTAGGGGGAGCGAAGGACTCGTGAGAATTGTGTAGAGAGTTTTCCGTGATACTGTGCACTAAAAATGGGATTCCGTAGCATTTCATGGCATTGGTGTACGCAGCGGGTAATATTAAGTGATTCGATCACATCCCATACAAGATGCATTTTAAACCTGCCCCCAACTTAATGTGGCTCGCGCAATACTTCATCTGCGCTAAGGCATTGACCGTGAGACCCAGAACAGAGTGATCAATAGTGTATTGGTCAAGCCGATTTTGAGAATGGCTGCAACGGTGCGGAGTTTGATGAGTCGTGTTTCGCAGAGAGTGTAGAGTTTGGGCTGATGGAAGATGTCTTGCTTGGAGTGGCGATTGTAAGGATGCACTGTTGTGGTCGATTGTTGGAGGCGGGACAGGGGTAGAGGGACAGAGAGGAGGACCCACTACCCAATTGCGAATCGGAGATTTGGTACAGGACAATACGAAAGAAAGCTACAGTGATGGGAAAATTACAGGTCTACTAGAAGAAAAGTTCGTGTGACACGAATCTGTATGTAGTATTTTTCAGACTACACAGCAAAGTCTAGCTGTCGACATCCATAAAAGCATTTTTAAGAAAAAGATTCATCACGGCATCTCTGTGTCATGCGCGAATCGCTTATTTCTTGCCAGCCTTCTGGGCGGCCTTGGTGACCTTACCGGCACCAGCGGCAGACTTGTCGACGGACTTGATGACACCGACGGCAACGGTCTGGCGCATGTCACGGACGGCGAAACGACCGAAGGGGGGGTAGTCGGTGAAAGCCTCAACACACATGGGCTTGGAGGGAATCATCTTGACGATGGCGGCATCACCGGACTTGATGAACTTGGGAGAGTCCTCAACGGACTTACCAGTACGGCGGTCAATCTTCTCAAGAAGCTCGGAGAACTTGCAAGCAATGTGGGCAGTGTGGCAGTCAAGAACGGGAGCGTAACCAGCACCGACCTGGCCGGGGTGGTTAAGGACGATGACCTGGGCGTTGAAGGAAGCAGCGGCGGCAGGGGGGTCGTTCTTGGAGTCACCGGCAACGTTACCACGGCGAACCTCCTTGACGGAGACGTTCTTGACGTTGAAGCCGACGTTGTCACCGGGGAGACCCTCCTTGAGCTGCTGGTGGTGCATCTCAACGGACTTCACCTCAGTGGTGACGTTGGCGGGAGCGAAGGTAACAACCATGCCGGGGGAGATAACACCAGTCTCGACACGGCCGACGGGCACAGTGCCAATACCGGAGATCTTGTAGACATCCTGGAGGGGAAGACGGAGGGGCTTGTTGGAGGGACGGACGGGGTTCTCGATGGCGTCAATGGCCTCGAGAAGGGTCTTTCCGGTGGACTTGCCAGCCTTGGTCTCCTTCTCCCAACCCTTGTACCAGGGGCAGTTCTCGGAAACCTCGAGCATGTTGTCACCGTTGAAGCCGGAGATGGGGACGAAGGGAACGGACTTGGGGTTGTAGCCGACCTTCTTGATGAAGTTGGAGGTCTCCTTGACAATCTCGTTGTAGCGGTCCTGGGACCACTTGCAAGTGTCCATCTTGTTGAGGGCAACAATGAGCTGGCGGACACCGAGGGTGAAGGCAAGCAGAGCGTGCTCACGGGTCTGGCCATCCTTGGAGATACCAGCCTCGAACTCACCAGTGCCGGAGGCGATGATGAGAATAGCACAATCGGCCTGGGAGGTACCAGTGATCATGTTCTTGATGAAGTCACGGTGACCGGGGGCATCGATGACGGTGACCTCATACTTGGCGGTCTGGAACTTCCAGAGAGCGATATCGATGGTGATACCACGCTCACGCTCAGCCTTGAGTTTGTCAAGAACCCAGGCGTACTTGAAGGAACCCTTGCCGAGCTCAGCAGCCTCCTATAGATTGGAAGAGTGGTCAGTGATATGAACATGAGAAAGATGCGAGGTACCCAGCCCAAGAGACAGAGTGAGGGGCAATGAAACGTACCTTCTCGAACTTCTCGATGGTACGAGAGTCGATACCACCGCACTTGTAGATCAAGTGACCAGTGGTGGTGGACTTGCCGGAATCGACGTGGCCGATAACGACGATGTTAATGTGGTTGCGCTCCTCCTTACTGTGAAAAGGATTAGTCAATGTCAGGGAAGGGAGGCGTCGAGCGGCGACGAGGTAGAGGGCAGTGAGAGAAGACGTACCCCATGTTTGCGGTTTTGAAGTTCTTTGGAAGATACTTGAAAAATCCCGACGATGCTCAGAAACTACGGCGTGCGTAGAGGTACTGAACAAGAGAAAAGGTTAGATGGATGAAAGAAGGAAGAGGAAAGAGGAAAGGGGAGGGACAGATATACGTACTGATGCGGACGGGGAGAAAGAAAAATTCTGTGGGAGGGGGGAGGAGGGGAAATCCTTATATGGAGGGGCAAGCGAGGAGGCGAGTCGTGGGCGGGTTCAAGCCCTTGGCAGGTGCGCCGCTTGATTTGTGCGCGCGGTTGCCCCACCATGAAGATTCTGCGCTTGGTGGGCTGTTTAGTATGTACTGGTACTTATTCTATAGTACGGCTGAGTATTCTAGAGCATGTACTGCTACCCTGTTGCCCGTTTCCCTGGTTCCCTCGCCCTCGGGTCCCCACTCGGTGTAAAATTCTTCAATTGCGGACTCCTTCCAGCCCACTACTTTCACTTTGACTGGGCCTATCCGATCCAAACTGGGCAGCAACGCAGTCATCGGGCCATAGTTTACTTCCTAGGTTTGCATTGTTTACGTTTAGCTCCTTTTCTTTTTTTTTTCTTCTTTTTTTTTTTTCCATGCTCACCGCAAGTGAGTGGTCTATGCACCTTTTTTTTTTTTTCCATTGTGGTCATCTCGATAACCCCGCGGCTGAGGGGCACTCGGTCACCGCCTAGGACCCACCGATGAAATCAACAGTGTCGTGCATCTGATTTTTGCCACAGTCTAGGAGCTGCTAATTGTAGCCTGGTAGCCTATTATTATACTCCGTAGAGGAAAGGGGCCTACAATAAGAGCACTCCTACAATCCTAGAACCATGATAGGAGGGAGTTACAATGACTCGGAGCAGTCCCGTGGTTATCTCCAACCCAATTCTTCCCTTTTTTCTTTTTTTTCCGGCCGGGACGTGCTAATCGGAAACTACCTGTGCGCGCGGGATCGCTCTGACGTAGATCAATTTTTCGTTTGGGTATCTGAACTGGCTCTGTGATCTCTCTAAAACGCCGTGACTCGTAAATGCGCCATTTTTGACCTGAAACACTCCCCGGTCACCATAAGCAACGAAGATGAGGGGTCCTCAATTCTCTCGCCAACGTGCACCGCACGATGTACACTGGCCCAGCTGTCAGTGATGCGATCAAATGCTGGATGTAAGGAGCTTGCTTACCTTGAGGAACGTAGTCATCGGCTCGTCTGCACTGCGAATCTGCAGCTGGAAGAAGTATGCACGGTCCCCGTTACAATGTTCTGCAGGGCATTGCGCTGAGTGAAGTGTCAGTTCGGTCCTGCGGGTAGTCTGCAGAGCTGTGGTACTCACTGGCGACGCTGTCGGCGTTGGCAAATTCTTCCTTGCCACCAAACACATCCTCCACCTCCTTCTGCTTCATCTCGGTCTTCTCGAAGTATTCCACCTGCACGGCGTGTTCGTAAGGGCATGAGCGACATTCGAATCGGTTGATTCCCATGGGATACTGGGTCGTCGACTCCATGCGGGAGATGGTCAGCGCATTGGCGCAATTGGGGCAGACTAGAGAGCTGTCAGTTGCTGCTTCACAAAGGGTCTTTCAGGGCCACGAACAGACGAGCGGCATGGTGATAGCCCCCAGCTGGGACGCAGTAGCTTCAAAAAAACCGTGTAGATGGCGTACAAATCTTAGGAATCCTCGGCGCAGCTTCAGCGAACTGGCGACGGAATCTGGAATCTCCGCGTGGACCGGATAGGCGCGCGGCTAATAGGCGGGGGATCCGGAAGATCACATGACCCGAGGGGGGGGGGATGGTCCCTGGGGAAATAACAGTGTTAACTTGATGAGAGCGTAACCTTTCGATTCGACTTCTTCTGTGTATATACCGTATTCCCGCCTCTGCAACGATTGCGCATTGCCCGAAACCACTCACTACCGCTGCGCCACTCCGCTTCCTACGTTTCAGATCACATAACCTCCGCGTCACCGCCGCGCGACTGAATAGCCGATACAACACCGATATCCCTGAGATCCTGATTCTCGAACGCAATCATGGCCGACGATGAAGTGAGCATTGAGACCTCCGGCCTGCCCTGAATAACCGCTAACAAACCCACGTCTAGGGAGCCTCTCCCCGCGAGCTGATCGTGGAAGCCTGCCGCCGAGACCAGCCACACCTGATCGAGCAAGTCCTCGACAGCATGAATGAGAAATCAAATGAGGAGGTGGCACAGTTCTTCAATGAGGTGACAGACGCCTTGGGAAACTACGCACTGCACATCTGCGCAACCTACGGCAGCTGTACGTCAACCCCCCGCATGTTTATTTCTCCAACCACTAACAGATCTCTCAGACGACGCGATGGACTCTCTCTTCGACATCCAGTACTTTGAATGCGATCCGCTCACTCGACAGGACAAGGACACACCCTTACACCTCGCCGTGCGATACGCCAACGAGAAGAACGAGGAGCTGGGCACGGAGATGGTGAAGATGATGTGCGAGGCTGGCTGTGATCCCCGGGTGCGGAACAAGCACGGTCAAAAACCTGCCGATCTGGTTTTCAATAAGCCCGAGATTAAACAGACTCTTCAGCAGGCTGAGTACATCCTCGCCGAGGGCATCCAGAACGACGGGGACGAGGACATGGACCAGGGCAGCGCTAGTGATAGCGAGTAGATTGGGTGTTGATGTGGTGTGGTGTCATTGTGTCTTGCTCTCTTGGTTGTCCGGGGCCGTAAGAAATTCTTTTTTGAGCGTTGGCCTCTTTCTCTTTCCTTCGCATAGGTGTACACGCTCGAGCTCTAGACTTGGCCATGTTTATTGCGATACTATGATGATTATGAATGGAGTCCATTGCATTTATTGATAAACTAGAAGCGATGAGAGGCGTAGCTAGTCCCCATGAACAATTGAAATATTCGTACTTTTGTTCACCTAAATATATATATGGGCCGCTTTGTTGGCGAACATTCCAGGGTCCTCATGCCCGCCGAACCAACAGAAGGTTTTATATTGCGAAAGTCATATTCAAGATTTCCCCAAGCCTCTCTGCATCGATTGAAATAGTAGAGCAACCGATTTAAAAGCCCCCAACCACGGAGAACACGCATGACTCAGAACCCAAGCGATATCGTATACCTAGTAGCATCGGGACAGATAAGATAGGCACGCCTTGCAGACAACATGCGGGGAACAAGGGTATGAAAAACCCCACCAACCCAGCATTCAATGCCACAAAATCCGCAATTGCACCCCCCTCAAGTCCCAGCGACAATGGCCTCCGAGTCTGAATCATCGATCAAAAAGCCCTGGATCGAAACACCCCTAATTGAATGCGCAACTCTATCCAAACAAGCAGGATGGTACATCCCCTCATCCATCTCAATCCTCAAATACCAAGAGGAAGCTAACAATAATTCCAAACAGCCGCATATTCCTGAAACTAGAACTCCTCCAACCCTCAGGATCCTTTAAATCCCGGTCTGCCCTTCCCATATCAATGATTCTCTAACATCAACTAACCAAAATCCAGGGGCATCGGCAACTTAATCCTCCAGTCTCTCACCCAACAATCCACCAAAGATAGAAAACCCCACTTCTTCAGCTCCTCGGGCGGCAACGCAGGTCTTGCAGCCGTACACGCCGCGCGAGACCTAGGCTGTCCCTGCACGGTCGTCGTGCCCTACAGTACGAAACAATATATGATAGACAAGTTACGCGCCGCAGGAGCGACAGAGGTAGTACAGCATGGCGCAAGCTGGTTTGAAGCGGACACTTTCCTTCGGGAGACGTTCATTGAGGGCCATGAAGGGAATGTCTACGTGCCGCCCTTTGATCATGTGGATATCTGGGAGGGGGCGGGAGGAATGATTTCGGAGATTGAGACACAATTGGGCACTGGGGAGGGAGGATTCCCTGCGGACGTGATTATTTGTAGTGTTGGTGGAGGGGGACTGTTGAATGGTGTGGTTGAAGGGTTAGAGAAGTGTTTGGCCAAGGGGGAGAAGGGGAGAGATGTTCGAGTTGTTGCTGTTGAGACGGATGGAGCGCATGCGTTGGCACATTCCCTTCGTGAGGGGAGGTTGAGTTCGTTGAAGGGTATTACGTCTCAAGCTACTTCGTTGGGTGCGTTGACGGTAGCGGAGAAGGCGTTTGAGAATGCGGTCTCGCCGCCGAAGGGGGTGGTGGTTGAGAGTATTGTCGGGTCGGATGCTGATGCTGCGAGGGGTGTGTTGAGACTTGCCGATGAGATGCGGTTGCAGGTGGAGTTGGCGTGTGGCATCAGTTTGGAGGTTGCTCTTAATGGGAGGTTGAAGGATGTGGTCCCGGATTTGAATGCCCAGACGAAGGTTGTCGTTGTTGTTTGTGGTGGAAGTAATATTAACACAGAGATGATTACGGAGTATAGAGAGAGGCTTGAGCAGGGGTGGAATTAGATGGCGAATGGCGTGAGTACGGGGTGGAAGACGTAAAAATAGAATACAGATCACAATGGATATCATCTAGCCCGCAGAAACGACAGAAATCTATGTCTCCAATACATGGTGCAAAAGTTGTGCTATAGTAAATAGTGAATATGCATCCCTCACCCGGATCAACAACTCCGAGAACGACTTTTAGTTAAGAAAGTTCAAAATACACCTATTGGGCGTTGGCCTTCTTGGCCAGCAGGTTCAGAGCACTGCCTGCAAGAATGAAAGAGCTCTGGTCCTTGCTAAGAGTGTGCTTGACGGGAACCATGAAGGACTCGCCAGTCTCACGCTTGGTGACACGCAGCTGGATCTCGCCCTTGCCACCGGCCTGTAGGGTGTCGTAGAGGCCGACAGTGTCGACCTTGTCGCAGGCGTCGATGCGGTCGTAGTCCTCACGGTTGGCGAAGGTGAGGGGAACAACACCCTGCTTCTTCAGGTTGGTCTCATGGATACGGGCGAAGCTCTTGGTGACAATGACGCGACCACCGAGGTAACGGGGCTGCAGAGCGGCGTGCTCACGGGCGGAACCCTCACCGTAGTTGTCCTCGGCGACGACGAGCCACTCGATGCCACGCTGCTTCCACTGCTCGGCCAGCTCGGGGATACCAAACTTGTTTCCGCTCTCGTCGTAGGCGACATTGGTTTCGCCAGTGGCGGCGTTGACGGCACCAATCAGGGTGTTGGCAGAGATGTTGGGCAAGTGGCCCTTGTACTTAAGCCAGGGACCGGCGGCGGAGATGGTATCGGTGGTGCACTGGCCCTTGACCTTGTAAAGGACCTGAAGGCCAGACAGATCACCCTCGGGGAAGGGGGCGAAGGGCTCCAATAGAGCCAGACGGTCCGAGGTCGGGGACACCTTGACCTCAACGTCAGCGTTGGGAACGGCAGCAGTGGGCAGGAAGTTGGGGTTGCCCTCCTCGAAGCCGGCACTGGGCAGGTTCGAGCCCTGAGGAGGCTGGAACTTGAAAGCCTCGCCGCCGGGGGTGGTCAGAGAGTCGGTCATGGGGTTGAAAGTCGTGTTGCCAGAGTAGGCGAGAGCAGTGACGAGCTCGGGAGAGGCCAGGAAGTTCATGGTGCGGCGGTTGCCATCGTTACGACCAGGGAAGTTACGGTTGTAGGAAGTGAAGATGGCGTTGTCCTCACCATTCGGGACCTCGTCGGTACGGTTCCACTGGCCAATGCAGGGACCGCAAGCGTTAGCCAGCACGACACCGCCAGCCTCGGAGAAGGTGCTCAGGGTCTGATCACGGTCGAGAGTGGCGCGGATCTGCTCACTGCCAGGAGTGATGAAGAAGTCCGCCTTGGGCTTGAGACCGGCGGCGGTGGCCTGCTTGACCAAGTGCTCAGCACGGGTCATGTCCTCATACGAGGAGTTCGTGCAGCTACCAATAAGACCAGCTCCAAAAGTCTCGGGCCACTGCTTCTCGCGGACAGTGTCGGCGAACTTGGACAGGGGAACCGAGAAGTCAGGGAGTGAAGGGGCCGTTGATGTGGGGCTCGAGCTCCGACAGGTTGATAGTGATCAATTGGTCGTACTCGGCCTTGCTGTCAGCGCGCAGCAGGTTACCAGGACCAGAAGCAGCAATCTCAGCAGCAGCCTGGGCGACGTGACCACGATGAGTAGCCTCGAGGTAGGGGATCATGCTGGGGGAGAAGGGGAAGAGCGAGGTGGTGGCACCGACCTCAGCACCCATATTACAGCAAGTAGCCATACCAGTGCAGCTGAGAGTCTCGACACCAGGACCGTGGTACTCAACAACGAAGCCAGTACCACCGCGGACAGTCAGTTTGCCAGCCAAGTGCAGGATGATATCCTTGGGCGAGGCCCAGCCGCTGAGGCGACCCTCAAGACGAACACCGAGAATTTTAGGGGGCCTTGAGCTCCCAGGGAGCATCGACCAGCGCATCGACAGCATCGGCACCGCCGACACCAATAGCAATGGCACCAAGACCACCAGCATTGGGGGTGTGACTATCGGTACCCAGCATCATCAGACCGGGAGCGGCGTAGTTCTCCAGAACACTCTGGTGAATGATACCGGCACCCGGGGGCCAGAACTCAATACCATAGCGCTTAGCAGCACTTTCCAGGAAGTCGAAGACCTCTTTGTTACCCTGAATGGAAGCGGGCAGATCGGTATCAGCACCACGTTCACCAACAATCATATGGTCGCAGTGAATACTGGCGGGGACAGCAGTCGAAGGAAGCCCGCAGGACATGAACTGCAGAAGAGCCATCTGCGCAGAGGCATCCTGCATAGCCACGCGATCGGGCTTCAACTTCAAGTTGGCCTGACCACGGATATCGCGACCATTGTTGGTACCGGAGAGGAGTGACTCCTCGGGGTTGTCCAAATGGGCGTAGAGGATCTTCTCAGCCAGGGTGAGAGCGCGCTCGGAGCCCAGAACCTTGCGAACCTGTTCGAGATTGCGGACAATCTTGGGGTAGGGCGGCATACGCGATGAGGCGGCTTCGGTGGCCATACCACGGGTAAGGCGTTGTGGGGACAGGCGTCCGACCAGCTGCAGGAGTCAATGATGGGTCAATCCATGCTGAACGGGATGAACTTACCCTGCGCGAGGCAGTGGCTCGCTGCCATACTAACTGGCTCACCATCTTGAAGTGTGGAGGGTGGATACTGGGGAAAGAGTCACAATCGAGGTTTCCTAGGCTTTCCTTGGGCGGTCGGAATTCGTTATTTGCCTGCGTTGTGATTGGCTGGAAGGAGCGCCGATACCGGGATTTCGCTGGGGGAGCGATCGTTATTAATCATTCAACTTGGTACTTTTGTCTGAGCTTAATTCTTGTGCCGCGACGTTGTCTCGCAGGTGTCAATTTCGATCTCATATCGAGGTTTATAGACTAGGACTTGTTGTGGATCTGAAAAGCCGCAGTTGGACCTCTCGAACTATGAACCACCAATGCATATTTTTTTTACCTCCCATGCACCATTCACAGCCTAGATTAGTCCATTACGAATGAACGAAGTAGATTGAAGATACAGTTTACTGCTCATGAAGATACTTACTAGGCGAAACGGTGTAATGGAATGAAATAAATTCAATATTGCACAGTACTGGGGACATTGCCTCCATGGTAGATGCCAGTCGGCACCTCGGTCCCAGATCAAACGCCTCTCGTATCATCAAAGCAGGACTAGGAAATCATTAAGTAGCTCAAACCATACAATCACAGATCGGTCGACGGCAATGGCTTGGCCAGCCCTCGGTCGAGGTAATAAGATTAACACACATCAAAGGGAAAGATGAACAAGAAGAAAATGAAGAAGCATGTGTCTACTGGAATGGTTTAAGACTGTTGTTCTTCGTCTACCACCGCAGCTCGCAGTTCCCAGACAAAGTCGTAGCACTCGGCTAGCAGGGCGTTAACACTTCCTTGGCCCTCCGGAATATCGGGACCGACATAGAATTTGCCGTCGATGCGCATGTTATCGATCGAGTTGAGCTGCTACGGTTAGAAGAATAACAAGAGAAATTTTTTTGAGAGGTTCGTACCTTCATGCTGTAGGGATACAATTCACGGGAATTGGACACACCACCAGACTCCTTAACTTCAACGAGACACCGGCGGAGGGTCTGCAGTTGGTTGTATACCGGCAGCAAGGCCTCCGAAACGGGCTCAGATGAAATAAGAAGGGCGTAGATGTAGGCGTAACTGCGTCGAATAAGGTATAACAATGTCTAAACAAGCAAGTTAGCATAAGACCACAGTGGGGCTTCAATATAGACACGTACCCGTTGGGCGTGAAGATCAGCTGGTTGACCCTCAGCATCGACAAAGTTACCATTAACCCGCGCCTCGTCGATTCTATCGAGTTTGCGCTGATATCCAAACAGATCCGTCTCCCGCAGGGACCAGGCTTGTGTCACAGAAAGTCGGTCCAATTGGTTGCGGATTTCAAGCAGGCGATCGTATTGCTCCTGGAAACGTTCATTGATTTTGCCCTCACTTGGGTTAAGTTAGTAATTGCTGGGGTGCGAACAAAAAGTCAGGACATACCGCTCCAGAACAAGTTCAGTCCATCGCCAGCACCGATACATCAAAGACTTGAGATCATCTTGGCCAGCAAAAGGGGTACCATCGGCGTCCACGAAGTTGCCATCTTTCTGGGTGTTTTCAATCTTCTTCAACTGTTCCCGTAGGTTGTTCACTTCCGTCTTCGAGAACTGACGGGAGACATAAAGTTAGTTAGTTCTACTTAAACAATGATATAGAGATAATGCGCACTTTTGAGCGGGTATTGACAGCAGATGTTGATCGCAAAATAGAAACCAGTGTCTCGTGTGTTTGCGCCAAACCGGGGGCCAGCAGCGCAAGCCCCTTCTGCAACTTCGCTAAGGAGATCTGGCATTCCTCCAGGCGACTTTCAAGAAGCGTCAAAAGAGCGGGGGAATAGTTATTGCGGCCACGATCAAGAGTTTCGCGCAGGGACTCGAGGGTCTTGGTGATGGAATTCAAATCTTTGGAGCTGTAGAATCCGGCTTCTTCGAGGTGGTCGAGCAGGCGCTACAAGGGACAATCAGAATTTGGTAGAAAAGATGCTCGTTTCATAGAGATACCTGGATAGTAGTCGCTAGAGAGTAACTGGGTTGATGTTAGTACATGGGAGAGAAATGCGCGGGGTAGCGATCGACTTACACTGCCGGGGCTTCATTGTTCCTACCCACCGTCAAAAAGAGCAGTGAAATCAACTGAAAGCAGTCGTCAAGAACGTAGTCCACTAAAAGCGATCGCAGGTTAGTTATAGCCTCACCGATCATGCACATTCCATTCCGGTACTCACAGCGATAATGAACCAAGCGTGTGGGGCGCTCTTTCTCTTTGCGGACAGCATTGAGATTTTCCACCTGTCCGATAACTTCCTCATAAAGCGGAAGGACGTCGCGAGATTTGATGTATGATGATTTGTCCTGCTTTAGCAGTAGAAGGGAATCACGGGTTCGGAGAAGGCATTCGAGGATAGGCTGCTCGCGCGGATCTAGCGGGACCGAGTTGGCGGGGGACTCCATGGCCGAAGCGCGGAGATGGTCGGGATGATCGGATGGTACTGCGAGACAGAATGAATATGTCTGCGAAGAAAATAGAGACTTTGATACACTCAGGAGACTTCGATAAAGCACTTGAACCCCACACGGTTGTGATGTCAGTTCCGGACCGACTGATATCCAGCGATACGGGCTGATTACCCGTGATTAGTCATTCAGCAACCGGAACAGGACTAACGTCGAGGTCACGGGATGGTGTTTGAGCTAAGCCTGTTTAGGCCAAGCCCTAAGCGAGGGCTTTTTCCCACACACGCCCGCGCGGTTGCCCTGTTCGGATAGGCCTTCGTGATACACTTCTTCTCTTCTCTCCCCATCCACTCTTCACCTTCAAGACACCCAGTCCGGTCAACACCACCTGTCGACAAAATGTCTACCGCCGAGCTCGCCTGCTCCTACGCCGCTCTCATCCTCGCGGATGAGGGCCTTGAGATCTCCGTACGTTGGCTCCTTTTCACGTGGTTGAATTTATCGAGGGATTGAAGATTCGTGAACAAAGGTTCTCATATTGAGAACTCGGATCGCGACGCAAGGATCAACTGCGAAATAAATGGATTCAGCCATACAAGCACAAATTCCGACAGTCACTAACCTCGAATTTATCTTTCAGGCCGACAAGATCCAGACCCTGATCGGTGCCGCCAAGGTTGAGGAGATTGAGCCCATCTGGGCCACCATCTTCGCCAAGGTAAATATTTGACATCAGACCCGTCGCCTTTTCTATTACGTGGACGCTTCTCTGCGATACCCGAGTTCGAAGTGCGACACATTCAAGTCCAGTGACTTACGATTTTGAATTTGCAGGCTCTTGAGGGCAAGGACGTCAAGGACCTCCTGACCAACGTCGGCTCTGCCGGTCCCGCCGCTGCTGGTGGTGCCCCCGCCGCCGGTGGTGCTGCCGCCCCCGCCGAGGCTGCTGCTGAGGAGAAGGTCGAGGGTACGTTTTTCTGCACGGTCTCATCCAACAAGATGTTGATGCTAACTTCCACACAGAGAAGGAGGAGTCCGATGACGACATGGGATTCGGACTTTTCGACTAAGCGCTTTAACCGCTCCGAATATAAAGTCGTTTCCCTTTTGCTCTTTCCCTCGCCTCTTATCCCGCATCCGCCTGATGGCTCCCTCGACGATTCTCTCTTGTATTCGATACTCCACGACCCTTTCTACGAAGATCTAGATCACGGGGCAGAAAAAAAAGAAAATAGCAAAAGTTTCAAACGGACAAGGACATTCATATGGAGACTGGGTGCTCGGTCTACTTCCGCATCACCCTGTGACGGAGGTGGATTCGATCGGATGCCTTTGCGATTCCGAAACTTTTGTTGCTTCCAGGATATTAGGGGAATTGAAGACAGACGTTTGGCACACCTTTTATGATTTGTCCATGACCGCGGCTTCTGTCCGGTCTGGAGGGTAGTTGTATGTTCTTTTTCTTTCTCTGATGGATGGGCCCAGCTATGCCCAGCCCTGATGCCATGTCTGCCATGCGATCACGAATCTAGGAATCTGGTTTGATTCTGGTGCTGGGTATTCTCGTAGTCATTGAGTAGTATGTCCGGTTGGACCTTTTGAACTGTCAAGTTCTTGTCCCAGTCGACGTCTAGACCTCACGACGTTGTCCTACTTTGGTTTCAAGATCCATGTCATGAGCAACAAGTGGATCACATTAATACTGTGAATTATATACGTCACACCCCGTTGGCTGAAACCTAACGCCATGCTCGCCTGCCCCAGTGCCCCCCAGTCCTACTCCACTTCACAATTCCGAAAGTCCTCCAATCCTATAGCAGCTATGTATGTACAAATTCATCAAGTGCAATCGCATAGAAATTCAACGAGTACAATCGCATAGAAGATAGCTTCCAGAGGGCGATCATGATGCCGCGAAGAGAGGAGCATCTTCTTTTACGGCGTAGATCCGGAATTGGATGAAGATGACCACATCCTCAACCATGGTGCCCAAGGAGCCAATCAGCCAGGGAAGGTTGGTCAAAACATACTCTCGCTCAGTAGAGTGGAATAGGATCTGTAATTGCAGTTAGTGGAATTTGTTCCGCAAGACCACGGCTTGGGTAATACTTACACCTGCGCCATATGTGAGATTGCCCATAAGAGACAGAATGAAGAAGAGGAGTGACAATCCTATAGTCGAGGAGTCAATAAAAGAAAACATCCTAGATAGCGAATGCACATACCTTCGCATGACTTATCGGAATAATTTTTATAGATTTGAGGCAGTCTCGCTCTGTCACAAAGTTAGTATCATCCATTGCCGAGTCATCAACACAAGCACATACCCAAGATAGCAGACAGCACTGAAATAACCCAGAACCTGGCCACCAGTAGCTACAGCCCCATCGTTGTGGGTTTCCGGCGCCGGAGCCCACATCCCAGTCTTCCAGGCCATCGTCCACCCGGCCATACCGACAACGAAGATACCGAGAACACTGATGAAGTTTTTGATCCACGCCTTGCGTCCAAACTCGCTCTCTTCCACGATCTTGGCAAGCGAATCCTCGGGCTGGCTATCGCGCCGACCAGCGTGGTAGCCCCGCTGCGAACCAGAGGATCTTCGCCGTCCCTGCGGTGGAACGGCATCGCTGAATCGTCGACCGAGTAGCGGGGTCGTGGGATCGGGTGTCTCCGTAGACGAGCGCCGCCGACGGTGCACCTCCGAGCGCGCATTAAACGCCTTGTAGTAAAGACATTGACCGATCAGGACACCGTCCGCGATACAGAAATAGACTGCGATGGCGAGAATCACGGGGACTAGATCTGCCATAAGACCACCCGCCAGGTTCGCGATGTCACCGATGAACCAGACGAAGATGAAGAGGAGCGAGATAGCCTCGGCGTTGCCGTTGCGGTAGTTTTCGATAAGCTGGGGGACCTGCGTTCGGGATAAGTTAGATATTTTTTCTTCTTTAGGACGTTTCTTCCCCTTCTTCAGAATGCGCGTCAAAGCTTCAACACACAAAACCCCTCCAGGAAAGCCCTAGACACGGGCGATAAGCATACCAAAAGGAAAATCCAACAAGTCATAGACACCGAACCCAGAAGACCCGACGCAGCCTCCCTCGGCGTCAAAGGCACAGACCCGTCTGCGCCCATACTGCTCATCGTCTGTAATATAGTCATTGTCCCGCGGGGGAATTTTTTCGCGTTGCTGGAGACGGGTGGAGCTGAAAAAATCTGGATGGGGAAGATGAGGCTATGACACAATCGATGCGGGTGAGTTCCGGGGCAACTCCAGCGGACATGCGAGCAGGGCAGGGGTCATGTAGAGGCTCGAGATGCGACTGCAAGTGAGAATTGCAGGATTTCAGATAAGAAAAACCCATTTTCGGTCACTTGCAGGCGCACGAGCGATGGTGAAACATTATTGGATGACTCAGCCTGTCAATGATGCACGCGCACGGACATGCTGCACCTACCCGGGTTCCTTACTTGATAAGAGTCGTGTGCGTCGCTAGGTATTGTTATGGGGATGGTTTGGGGGAAATGGTCAATTTGGAATATGCCTTGATACACCCCTGTGATGTGCAGGCTCGCTAGGAAGAGTTTGGAGAAGAAAACAGCTAGTGTGCCGGTGGATCAAGACATAAGACATAGTATAGCCATGGAACCTTGGGGAGCCAAGAAGACCTCTGAAATCTGGAGGAAGACGTTGTTTTAGGGCCAACGGACTTGAAAGAATTGTCTACCTGAAAGGACTCTAAAGACTGGGCTCGGGCATCATTTTTCTGCTTTAGTAGACTGAACACCTGCTAAGCCGACAAGGTGACAGGCAGCATTCGATAAGTCAAGACTTAGATTTTGTCACTGTAGAAAGTTAGTTTGTTGACACTACTAGACCTTCAGGTCTTCATAGAAACCACGCGTACACAAGAATGCCGGTCCGAGGGGCAGTTTCAACACATCCCCCACGGTTCTCGCAAATGGCCCAATTCACATTACTGCGGATAGGGTAACCTTCTGGTTTAAAGAACATTGGTCTATCGGCTATCGGCGTAGCGATGCAGTCGAGCGTTGTACTTCAGACGATCGGCAAGGATTAGATCAACAATTTTCTGAGCAGTTTTCATTCGTTCGGCCTAAAAAAAGGATCTAGACGAGAGCGGCGAGAAATGATTGATATCAAAAATGAGGTGTAAAAGAAAGGGGTTTGACCAAAGAAATGTCTTGACAAACACGGACCCCCCTGGAGTGGTGCATTCTCTAATGCATAGTAAAGTTTCATCCATGTAAATCGGAAGAATAAAATGATAGTATTTGCTGATGCATAGAACTTGCGACAGACCCGTGTAAGGATCATTGTATTTACTTTCGAAATTCCTTCGACAAATCTATAACAGTGTGGGGATCGTATCACAGCGATATAGAATTACATGAATTCAGTACATATAGATTTAAAAAAGAAACACAACGACAGTGATCTGAGAGTGAAAACTCTCTATCTGAGTTCAGTACTGATCCAAACCGGCTCCGAGTGTACATAGTTTTCTGGCCTACGGGAGAAACTTTACGTGGCTGTCCATAGAAGACATTGTCTTCGAGTATTGATGCATAAGAAGAGTCGAATCTTTGTGCTAAGACATTATCTGTAGTGATCCTTTTTTAGTTTTCTACAATGAGCGGGCTGGCCCGTAAGCACTTGCGCCGAGCGGGGCTGCATCCCGAACAACTTTTAACCGAACTCTCATTTTGACGACCTCAGCAGCCAAGCCTCCTGACTCACGTCCATTCGTTCAAACCTCATCGCATTGATACCCACATAATCCGTAAATTAGCTATATCACTTGGTTACTGGCCTTTCGACCATTAATTGACCATTAAAAAAAACCTAATGGCCAATCCCATTTATCTCGGCGTTGTCGGTATGAAACACCTTACCTTTAGCCTATTCTCCAGGACTTTCAAATGAGCGCTGACAATTGAAAGGTGTTGGCGGTGTTGGAAATGCCTTCCTCGAGCAATTGGGAAAATTGCCCAATGCGCCTCAGATCGGTCTGCTGGCCCGCTCATCGCAGTCACTGCTCGCGCCGACACCAGCATATTCACCTTGCATTCCCGCCACGAATTGGTCAGATGCCGCAGCGACGCCATCATTAATTAAAGCGAGCATTCTTTCACCGGACGAGATCGCGGCATATCTCGCAGCTGCCCCTGGTCGTGCGATTCTCGTGGATAACACGTCCGATCTTGTTCTCGCACAGGCATATCCTGTATTTCTCAAAAACGGAGTATCTGTGGTAACAGCCAATAAAAAAGGATTCTCCTCGGATATATCACTGTGGAATGACATCTTCGCATCTGCAAACCAGGGAAATGCATATGTGCACCATCAGTGTACGGTTGGCGGGACCCTTCCGGTTCTCTCAACATTGAGAGATCTGATCGCAACCGGAGATGAGATTACTCGAATTGAAGGTGTTCTCTCTGGGACACTATCCCTGCTCTTGGGGGAGTTCATGCCTGCGTTTGGCACGCCCGATGTGAAATGGAGCTCTCTAGTTGCTCACGCTCGAGAGGCAGGCGAAACAGAACCCGACCCGCGGGATGATCTGAACGGTCTTGACTTTGCACGCAAATTAACTATCATTGCCCGGGTCATTGGTCTCGAGATCTCTCGTCCGGATGCATTCCCGGTTGAATCACTTATACCCACCGAACTGGTCTCATTGCAGTCCTCGTCTGAAGGAATTGCCCAATTCATGAGGCAGTTGCCTGCTTATGATGACAGAATGGAAATTATCAAAGAAGATGCTCGGGAAAAGGGCAAGATTCTGCGGTATATTGGCAGTATCGATGTGGCCACGAAAACTATCAAAGTTGGGCTTCAGCATGTGGAGAAGAACAGTCCTATTGCCAATCTCAAGGGCAGTCAGATTGTTAGCATACACACTAAGCGATATAGTGCTACACCTTTGATTTTACAAGGAGGCGGAGGCGGAGGTGAGATTACGGCAATGGGTTTGATGGCCGATCTCCTCAAGGTGATCGAGAAGTTGAGGTAATGGGTGATTCAGTGACAGAGCCTATGGCTCTCGTGATTATCGTGCATATAGTTTAAGGCCAAAGTATATATACGCAAGGTGCTCTATTGTACCAAAAACAAGGAAATCTAATTGTAAATCCCCCGTCGCATTGCAATACCTAAAAATGAAAGCTTCTCCGAATTCTCGAGCTTAGGTCCTACTTGCGAACAAATGGGCAGGTGAAATAAGGATGGAAGATTGTAAGAGTGACGACGGCTAAGGCGACCATCCTATGAAGGGAACTTATTAGCAGGCTGCTGTAGTAGGAAGGGAAAGAACTTACATCCCATCCAAGACCATAAATTCGACCTCATTCCGCATCAAACTATTGGCCCAACCTTCAGCCATCTCCGGAAGACTAGAAAAGTTAGCCATTGCTTCTCAGACCAGCACAGGCCACTTACCGATAAATGCAACGGATCAGGACAGTGATATAAGCAAATATCTCCCCGGCGCAGAAAAGATTGAACAGCAACGCCTCTTTCTTCGACCGCTTCTCCTCAAATCTGGAAGACCGTCCCTGTCGGTACAGACGAAAGGCGAAGTCAATCCCAAGCAATCCACAAATGCCCATAGTAGCAACCTGGAAAGCAATACCAGCAATCATCAGATTATTCCCAGCATCAAGCTTCTTTGTCTTAGTTGCACTTGCAGAAACAGCCATACCTCCACCGGCGAATTGAATCAAGATCGAAGCAATATCGCAACCGATGAAAATTCGCGGATAGAAACGAGGCGGCAAACGCGACTTTTCAGGTCCGAGGTAGAGCACGATATGCTTTAGCGACCAGTAGATACCCGCAGCGATGAATGACGGGGCGACAATCAGACAAACAAGCTGTACATCGAATCCTCCCTCAGTCCATGGGTTGCTTTGCATCAAAATTCGGCCGATGTAGCCTGCTAATTCAATGAAGCTGCATCCCGCAAGGGCAATGGTGAATGTCCATTGTCGTGACTTGATCCCGATGATCAGGCTGTATAATCCGCATAGGCCGTAGAGAATGGCGAAGAATAAGTTTGCGCCTAGATTTGGTCTATAACCGTATGTTGTTGCCTCGACGGGGCATTCTGAGGTGACGAATGTGCACTTTGATGTATCGGTCATTATGATCAGTGGTTCTCACGAAGCCAAAGAGAATGAAACAGAGTTTTCGGAGTAGTGAGGATTGGAATCATGGGAAACGAGATCATAAATCATCTCTGTCAGCTTATGAATCTTTGATTCTATAGTCTACATTTTCGGGTTTCGCATTTCGTATTTCGTATTTCGTGATGCGTGAACCTAGTTTTATCCGCACTTCTGGTATCAGGCGTCCACTATAGGGCTGTGTTTTTGCTTGGTAAAATCTACGAGTCAATCAGATCATGACACTTTATCGAGTCAGAACAAAGACTCTCCAAGTGGACTGATATCGTGTAAAACTATGCCTCTTCCATATAAATGATCAAATCGACCCACTTGGGGTGCGTAGCAGTCTTCCGGGCAAGTACGCAAGAACCAAGCACCGCCCTGCTTCCTCACAAAGCCATGTTCTCAAAATCGCTCGTCCCTGGGTAGCTGTTAGCCTTGTTATGGCCGTCAAGGAAGATCAATTCAAGAAGATTATGATGTAACAACTCATGTTCGTGGGACAGGCTCTATGTGTGTTGGTAAAATTTCGTTTGAGGTCAGTGCTGCCGTTTTGAGATTCTTTTGTACTCTATTCTATGCCCAACCTTCATCAAGCGGGCTATACATCACTATTATCCGACATTTCCTCTTCTTCCATCATCTCCAACTCATCCTCAAGCATGGTAACCGCAAATTCACCAATAACACCTTGAATAGGGCCATGCAGCAACTGTTGACGATGGTCCTCTGGCTGGATTGCTCCGAGAGTCTCCAGGAAATCCGTGAGCGGAGCATAGTCCAATACATCTCCCCAGTTACCCCGATCAACTCCATGCTGATGCAGAAACATCTGCAGAGAGTCCAATCCATCTCCTAGGAGTAATTGCTCAAGAACTTGCTGGTCGCCATCCAATGCACGGGGTCGAGTATCTGCACGCGCATCTGTGGCTTCAACGTGCTCGCCAACACCGCCTTCCTCGTCATCGCCTTGGAAGCGGGGGAAGGCAATGGCCCCGTCGTTGATCTGGCCCATCAGATCGCGGAGCCATTGCGGTCGACCGCCTTCTGGGATTCGGGAGAGGTATGCCGGAGTTGGATCTGATTGCTGACGGAAAGCGTCCGACTCATATGGAGGGAGAGGGTCTGAAGAGGACATTCGGCCCGATACGAAGCGATTTGGTAGGTGGGTTGTCACCTTGGGGATATCGGATAGAACAACATGACGAGCAATATCCAGAGTGATCTCCGGTGGCTCGATGGGCTCCTCACCGGAAAGAGTGTCGGCGACTTCCATGATCAGAGCCACAGCTTCGGGTGTGTTCCACAAATCCTTTGCACGAGTAATGTAGAGCTCAGTGAGGAGCTCATGAGACCCAGTTGGTGGCATTTTGCCCCAGATCTGCTTAGGAATGTGTGAAAGATCCAATTCCTGTGCGAGTCTACTAAACACCCACGGATAACGAGACATGGCGTGGTGGAGCTGCCGGCGGCAGTCCTGGGGCCTGTTTAGGCGTAGATAAGCCATCACCAGTGAGCACTGAATGTTCGGCAGACCAGCCCAGTCGCGGCTAAAACGAGTTTGGGTGCACATGTCAATGAACTGCGCATACTCCCGGCCACGCAGAGCCAGATGGTCAATCAGCAGTCTGATACAGTAGGGATCGGAGTCGTTCAAGCTGAGTAGAAGCTTTGCCCATTCGTAGGCAGTTCTCCATGTTCCCTTCATGCCCAAATTGGCAATATATCTCCAACCAACAAGCCACAGTTCTCGGTTCTCGAACTTCATGAAGTCAAGCCTGGCCTGGCCTTCCTTGAGTCGATTGTTAAATGAAGAGTGGGCGGACCGCCCGATGTTGAACAACGCTCTCTCCAGAAGGTCAGCGGAAACCGCATGATCACCTTGATGTTTGGCGATCTCGGAGACTTGTAGAAGAGTAGAAATATGGTAGGGATTATACTGAAGATGCTGGATCAACCGCTGCGGATCCATCGACTCGACGCAGAGATCGAATTGATTTTGTACATCCTGATAGGATGCATTATGCACGATTTTGTAAAGAGTATCTCCCAGAGGATACTTTTCAACAATCTCCATGCCCAGGCCTCCGCTGGGTGCGCGTGGCCAATCGTCCTTTCCTTGCATGAGGACATTCCGGCGCAATGTAACGCCCGCTAGACTCTGGCCTCTGCTGGCCGGGCTATACCTTCCTGTCAAAGCTTGACCAAGGTCGACCGTTTCGCGATTGCGATCCCGCCTACGGCCCGAGCCTGCATCTTGCTGGTCAAAGTTCTCCAAAACTACATTTCCAAATAGTCGCCGCATTTCGTTGGTTGCGTTCAGATATTTCGGTTCCACGCCGAGTAGCTCATCGGTGGTTTTTGGGAACGAGGCATCTCGACTGAGTTGTGTGTTCGCTGGCAGATCGGCACCGGTCGAGTGTTGGCCCCCCGTGGCCAGAGCCTTCAGAGCTCTGTCGATCTCGTCCAGCTCTGCATCGTCAGATGGCTTAGAAGCCGATTCGGTGGCTGCGGCCGCTTTGGCCTTCTTGGCCTTCTTTTTCTTCTTCTTGCTGGCGCTCTTCGGCTTTGTGGGTTCGGCTTCGGGTTCAGGCTGCACAGTTTGCGTTACAGGCTCCGGGGTCTCCTCCTCTGACTCTTCATCATCATCATCGCCGGCATTGAGCAGATCGAAAGCATTGAACTTCGGCTTAGCGGGGCGCGGGGCTTCATTGTCGCTTGAGTCATCGTGATCTTCTTCAAGCTGCTGCTGTTCGCGCAGCTTCTGCAGCTTTCTGATGGCACGCGACGACATCTCGATGTCCCACCTCAGCGGCGAATTGCAAGTTGGATCGGAAGAAAGGATCTAAAGAATCTCGAAATCCGCGGGGAATGACGACACGGCCCGATCAGGAATAGTGTCGTGCCTGGAGCACGACACGTGATTCCATTATCAAGAGTTGCGCCTTCGCATTCTCCCTGGCTTTCAGTCTGAATACTGAGAATCGCCTTGAAGAGGCAGCTCAGAATTACGAACCGTTGGGCAACACTCCCATCACCGATCTCGAATCAATGCGTCGGGCCACAGTTCAGGCGCTCCATACTGCTCGGCGAGCACCAGTATGGCAAGTCGCCGGTAAACGGCCTAGTCCGCTCTCCTTCAACCACAACCAGGTACGAGGCTTGCGCCCATATTCTGGAGGTAGACGCCCGTCCTTTGTCCCCGCAGCTTTGCAGTCATCGATGTATCTCCGCAACTTCTCCCTCGCTGTGATCTCGACTGTCGTCGCCTCCGGGGCATGGTATGCGTATCAAGGTGACAACGCTCAGTCACTCGCAACACAGGTTCGAGGATTCGCATCCAGCGCAATTCTTTCCGCGCACGCCGAGGATCCCTCCGAGTCGACTCGCCGCGCTCTCCTAGTGAGTAACGACCAGTTCTACACCGCGACTCTCTCCGGAGACCAGCCCCTACAGAAGACGACCGACGACTCTGACCGACGCGTTTTAAACATGTTGACCCCGGAACAAGCTACGGAAAAGCTACGGAAAAATGAGGAATCTTATCTGGTGAACCGGGGCAAGGGAGTTGTTCGATACGATATCGTCCAGGTTCCTAGCAACTCCCCTATTGAGGACGACCATGCCGAGAAGATCGTCGAGGTGCCATCCTCTGTCGCTGGGAGCACGAATGGAGATCCGAACAGTGATTGGATGTTCTGGGCAGTATTTGATGGTCACTCGTAAGGAGTTCAGCAAGCACAAAGGATACATGGGTGCTAACCTTTGACTAGCGGGTGGACAACTTCTGCCAAGTTGCGAAACGTGCTTATTTCATACGTTGCCCGTGAACTCAACACCACTTATAAAGCTGCAGCAGCCGATCCTTCGATTCTTAGACCCTCATCGGAGGCTGTTGACGCCGCTATCAAGCAGGGTTTCCTTCGACTCGACGATGATATTGTGAACAAGAGCGTGGACAAGGTTCTCAAGGAGAACTCGCGAAATGTGGCCGCCGAGATGCTTGCACCTGCACTCTCTGGCTCATGTGCTCTCTTGAGCTTCTACGACTCACACTCCAAGGACCTCAAGGTCGCAGTTGCTGGTGACTCCCGCGCTGTTCTTGGTCGCCGAGGGCCCACTGGAAAGTGGACTGCCACAGCTCTTTCGGAGGATCAGACTGGCGGTACCCCATCGGAGATGAAGCGCCTGCGGGAAGAGCACCCTAATGAGCCCTATGTGACCCGTAATGGACGTATCCTCGGACAACTGGAACCTAGCCGTTCCTTCGGTGACGCCACCTACAAGTGGACCAAAGACATCCAAGACAAGATCAAGGCCAAGTTCTTTGGTCGCACTCCCTCGCCTCTTCTGAAGACTCCTCCTTATGTCACTGCCGAGCCCATTATTACCACTACCAAGGTTGACCCTTCAAAGGGCGACTTCATCGTCATGGCCACTGATGGTCTCTGGGAGATGCTGAGCAACGAAGAAGTGGTCGGTCTGGTTGGCCAATGGCTCGAGCAACAGCAGTCCGGCGGTGGCAACAAGGCCTGGCTGCAGAGCTGGTTCGGATTCAACAGCCAGAAGCAGCTGCCCGTTGAGGCAGTGGCGAGTGATGCATCGACCGAGGGCCAGCGTCGCCCGATCCGGCAGCAACAGTATGATATTTCTGGTGTGGCCGATCGATTCGTTGTCGAGGACAAGAACGTTGCTACTCACCTCGTCCGCAATGCTATGGGCGGCAAGGACACGGATATGATGTGTGCTTTGCTCACTCTGCCGAGTCCGTACTCTCGCCGTTACCGGTATGTCCCTCCCGTGGATTCTGATCTACAATCATACTAATTCGTTATTAGTGACGATGTCACTGTTGAGGTCATCTTCTTTGGCCAGGGCACTGGCTCGCGCGGTACCGTTGAAATCAACAAGGAGGCCAGCGCCTCTGAGGAGCCTCCCAAGGCGAAGCTTTAAATGGAATTTGTGTTAATGATCTTTTCTTTGCTATGCCAGATATTTGACTCCGAGCCATTTGAAGGCCATGAAATTCAACATGATATCCTCTGAACAAAAATCAACTTCCAAGGTCACATAGATTCATACGAGAAGGCCCAAATCGTAGCCATTCATTTAAGGGACAGGTAAACGAAGCTAGAAGGGTTCTGGATACTTCCGGTCAGCGTATCAATACACCCATCTCCGACTTTCTTTCCCTTTCTATACCCCAGACCCAGACTTGTCCACACACACGATATGCAATAATTCCAGCCTCTATGCTGGCGCTATGTCGCCGACACGTTATCTGCCCAATGATGAATACTCACCCAGGAAGGGCAGCTGTCTTGGAATGCCCGGGCTGATCAAGACATGCGGCTAATGGATATAAATCCAGAATCGATCAATACGTCTGAAGATACTGCCATCTTGGTGGCTTTACCCTTCATTATTCTCCTTCTCTTCCCCGAAACCGAGCAGACGATCTACTTGTCCATTCTTCTTCCCCCAATTCTGTGTTTGATTCCTAGTGGTGGTCTGGCGCCAGATTATTTACTTCGTGTTCCTTACTTCGTGTTCCTGAGGTTTATTTACTTGATAGAAGAGCCTTGTATGTGTGAGAACCCTGAATTTTTGAGTTACCGGTTTATTCATTATTATACAATATTCAATCTATATTCAATCTATTCATACCACCCCCTATGCTCACTGGCGTACTTGAAATGACCCTCTTGTAGCGTTTAATACCCAAGACAAAGAGATATAAATCTCCCAATGCCTGGGCTCAAAGTAAAGTCACTCGAACCACTCGATGTGTCGTACGAAGCGAGATCCTGATAATCACCGCACTGGGGAATCCCCGGAGTCTGTATGATAACTTGCGTGCTATTTCCATGATAGAGCAAGGTGAGCAGATCTCGAGATGACGATCCGAAGTGTTGCAGCCAGCTAGCCCATTTTGATACGACCATGAACCAGGTGCCAGATCATGTCAATTTCAGCTTGAAGGGATCAGAGACACCAGGTCTCTGATAAACCATGTACTTTTTCTGGAAGTTGGGAATTGGGGGCCGCATGAACATATACTTCTCCAACAAGAAGGTCTGTAATGTAGCGACATTGGTACTGGTGATCCAGTAGATCATAAGAGCAGCCGGCAATTCATTGGCAAAAGCCGCCATACCAATATTGAGCCCTAATATCTGAAGGAAGATGCCCAGTCCTCGGAAGAAAGTAGCCCGATACAACTGCGCTGTTGGCAGATCAGCCAAATCTCCAGCTGGTGTAGTAATGCCCCAGCCTCTGCGGATATTCAAGATTATCGAAGCACTCAGAAGCAGAGGCAAGGTGCCTGTCGGGTCACCGGCTAGTAGATCAGGGAACCAGAGTGCGCCCTCGGTGGCTAGACTCGGCTCCAGGGCCGGTAGAGATGCAGCGCCTTCTTGGCCACTGACGAATGATAGTAGATATGGGATAATTCCGTTTTGGTTGCCTGTCATCGCGCGCATGCTCTCCATGAGCGATAACCAGATCGGCAATTGTAGGAGATTGAGGAATCGGTACCCCGGCATGATTTTCCACTTCTTCGACAGAGTTTTAGACATAACAATGAAAAAATTTGACAAACGCTTCTTTCTGTCTTTTTGCTCTTTCGCAGGTAGTTGTTGCATCTTGTTCGTGCCCATAATTCGCCAGGAATGAATCAGAGGTGCGATGTCTCGTTCTCGTCGGGCGTTGACTCGCGTTATGAATTGTAATGGCATTCCAACTAGCATTCGGACAATCACCGCTGTGAGGGGAATTGATGCGACCCATGGCAGGTGAGTGATCGAGTGAACGCCATGGATGAAGCCGGAGGATACGTCCAAGACTTCGGCGACAAGTCGGGTCGGTCTTGTCGGGTGGAAATGCCGGATTTGCCGGCGATTCACAAGAAAAGCTCTTGTCGGGGGGCGTAATGCTCCCATAAAGCGGATATTGTTCATGGCAATGGCGGCCATTGAGCTCTCTTGAAGAGAGCGGAAAAAGATGGCGAGACCGGGGAAAACACGGATCAGGTGACACATGTATGTTACGTCAACGCTTTGTTGACTTTCTCCAACTATCTTTCTACTATGTGCCACTGGTGACTTTCTGCCACCATGGCCTTCTTGTCTAACGCCGTTCTAATTCTTTTTATTGTTACCGCGACTGTTGTGCTTCTCCCGCAACTTGTGGGAAGCCTGGTCGGTCTGGTCTTTCGCGGCGTGGGATGGCTGATTCGCCGACGAACACGCTCTCGCCGTGAATACGTGATCGCGCGGGCGCGGTCTGAGGAGGAGGAAGGTCGGGCACCGCGCGCTAAGGACTCTACGCATTCACTCGCCAGGAATCAGGAAGATGAGGACTGGGAGAAGGTGGACAACACTAGTGGGGTGAAGACTGCGAGCAGCAGTGAGAGCGGTGGCGGTGAAGATGCTGAGTGGGATGGTATTATTGGATTTTTCCATCCTTTCTGGTGAGGCTGGTTCTATCAGTTGTCTTGGACTTGGGCTGACGTGTCTTGTAGTAACGCCGGTGGTGGTGGAGAACGAGTGCTCTGGGAAGCCGTGCGCGCAACGCAAAAGCGTTGGCCGAAGGCTATTTGTGCCATCTACACTGGTGACCATGAGGTGAACAAGGCGACTATGTTGGAGCGCGTGGAAACCCGGTTCAACATTCATCTGCATGCCCCGACTGTGGTGCTGCTCTATCTGACAACGCGCAAGTACGTTGTCGCTAGCTCATACCCCTACATGACCCTTTTGGGACAGTCGCTGGGATCTCTGGTGGTTGCATACGATGCCTTCACACTGCTGGTGCCGGATGTGTTCGTGGATACCATGGGCTATGCCTTCACCTTGGCATTCAGCAAGTGGCTCTTCCCTGCAGTCCCAACCGGTGCCTATGTTCATTACCCTACCATTTCAACCGACATGCTCGCTTCTCTCGACGACCAGAGTGGCGTGCAGGGTATAAACTCCGGTGCTGGGAAGGGCCTGAAGGGCGCCGTCAAGCGCCGATACTGGCAGCTATTCGCCCGGCTGTACGGCTGGGTCGGCCGACACGTGGACGTTGTCATGTGCAACTCCTCTTGGACATCGGCGCACATCCGTAAACTCTGGGGCAACTCGAAGAGTGCAGACAACGGTGAAGGTGATGGAACCGCAGCCTCACCTGCCGTTGTCTTCCCACCCACAGCCGTATCCGAGCTTGAGTCAACCATCGAGGTCACCGCAGAGAGCGAAAGAACCCGCCGCCCCGTCCTGCTCTACATCGCGCAGTTCAGACCCGAGAAAAACCACCCGCTAGTCCTGCGCTCATTCGCACGTTTCCTCCAAGAACGAGCCAAGGACCCAGCCAACGCTGATAAACCACCTCCTCAACTCGTTCTCATCGGCTCAGTCCGCCACGCCAGCCCAGACGAAACACACATCTACAACCTTCGTCTCCTGGCCCATGAACTCCGCATTCGTGATAACACCACCTTCCTCTGCGACGCCAGCTGGCCCGCCGTCCTCTCTCACCTCAGCACCGCCTCCGTCGGCGTGAACGCAATGTGGAATGAGCATTTCGGCATCTGTGTCGTCGAGTACCAAGCCGCAGGTTTGATTTGCGTGACACACGACTCCGGCGGTCCGCGTGAGGATATCGTCGTTGATCTTGGCGACGGAGCGACCGGGTTCAGAGCTGAGACCGAGGAGCAATTCGCGGGCGCGTTTGAGGCAGCGCTTGCGCTTCCGGAGACAGAGAAGGTTGCTATGCGTCAGCGGGCGAGGAGATCGGCGTTGAGATTTACGGAGGAGGAATTCTCGCGCAAGTGGCTGCGACAGGTGGAGAAGTTGGTGAAGGCTTCCAAGTAGTTGTAGATATCCTTTGGAATAGACAAATATCTCAGCAGGTTTTCGGGACATTCTTGTCAGTAGACTTCTTCATTCTTTCTCGGCGCTTTATCAAATTTGAGATTTTTGTGGAAGGAAACAAAGATGTAGATCTAATATTTCGGGCAACTTCAAGTTGCAGACATGGTATATAGCACTCCACCGATACCTATTCAAGTCCAAGCCAAATCGAGGACAGAAAACAAAACCAAAACAAGAGACGGGTATGATATGGGGGAATAAAAATCATCAAATGCATCACACTCCATGAGTGGAAAAAGATGAACGCAGACATCACCAAAAGGTCGAGTCTGAGGGAAGAAAGAGAACAGACGACCGTGAAACGAATGCCGGTGTATAAAAATAAACAATCAAACCCCAAGTTGCAAAAAGACCTCTTCCACCGTTTATCTGAACGCCAATGCCCTCTATACGGGCTCCCTTGAACCGAAATCGCGGGGGAAACGAGTGAAAAATAGGACGCGTCGATGCTTTTCCTCTTCCGTTTTGAATTGCGTAGTTGGGATCTGAAATCATCCACTCCACTGTCCGGGATTACCGTACATGGCTTGCTGGTTATCAACATAGCCGCCGCTCATCCCGGAGACATTGCTAATTCCGTCATCTTCATCGAATCCAAACTCGCCGCCTGAGCTCGCGTCGAAACTACTCCGGCCTCCAATATCGCTTGGATCATCGCCAGCAGCAGGAATCTGATCCCACTGTAATGTCTGCAGAGCTGGGTATTGTGCGAGTAGTGCAGCCGGTAAGACGAAGTTGCCAGATGACTGGCCATCTATACCAGGTGCACCAGGCATAACGAGTGGCTGGGGAACGGGTTGCAAGTGGCCAGAAGGTTGATGTTGCTGTTGTTGCTGTTGTTCGAGGAGGACTCGTTCTCGCTCTTGAGACTCTTCGTCAAGCAGCGGCTTAATGCATACTCGGCCGGCTTCTGATCGGAAGTGGCGGCCGAGTGCATCTGCTCGCGCAAACCGGCGCCCGCAGCCCCAGTTTCCCCCTCGAGATAGGTCGCCGCGGCAAACAAATTTCTTTTCGCCAGAGTGCAGTCCTTCATGACGTTTTCGGTCGTGTTGTCGAGCGAAAGCTTTGCCACATACTGTGCAGACGAATGGCCGCTCGTCTGTGTGGGTTCTTAGGTGGGAGCGCAGGTTGTATGCACGGGTAAATCGCTTCGGGCAAAGTGTACATTGGAAAGTGGCAGGGTGCTTCTGGACGCGCTTTGAGTCCCCAGGAAGTGCGCCGGGGCGCTGGGGATCGGCTAAGTCCAGTATATAATTTCGGCTCTCGATTGACGATGTTGAAAGGCGTCGGTTGGAAGCACGAGAAGGTGATACGTCGCGAGAGCCGGGGTTGCTGCGCGAATGAGGTGACAGCGAGCGCGGTGTGTTCGGAGCACGAGCCTCGAGACTTGTCGCCGAATTCGCCGGAGACCTTGAGCGTGAGGCGGGGTGTGCATAGGGGTCGGATTTACTGCGCACACGGGATCCTGAATTCAAATCAGCATGTCAAAGTTCAGAATCAATGTGAAAAAACCCACTCATTGCTGGAGGACTCAACGAGTCCAGATCTGCAGCCGGTTTACCAGGACCGAAGCTGGGAATGCGCGAAGGCGGCGCAAACTCCACGTTAATGGAAGGGGGTGCCATTTGAGACGCTTGTCCAATATCAGGCATGCCGCTGTTCATAGCATTCATCATGTCATCCTGGGGCATGCCATACATGTCCGCAGATGGGAATTGAGAGGTCATAGTGGGCGAGAGATACGAAGCATTCGGAACAATCTCACCACCCTGTTGGGGAATCAATCTTGGCGAGATATATGGGCTATGGAGCGGGCTATATGCCTGCTGCTGTTGCTGCTGTTCGGACAATGTGAAAGACTCAATGCCAAGCGCATTATCATATAAAGCGGGGTCGTTCTGTGGCGCCAGGGAAGGCGACACGTTGGAGTCAATACCGTCATAATCGTGCTGGGGCAGGTAAGGGGAGTGGTTGGCCGAGGAAACTTCAGATACCTCCGAGGGCGCCCTGCGGTGGCCTTGGAAAGCGGCGGAGCTGTTCATGACGTTCTGCCAGTCTTGATGGGGTTGCGCGCTCAGGTAAGCCGCTGTAGCCGGATCCAGCGAGGTGTGTCGCGAATGCTGGGGTGTGTAGTACGTGCCGGGAGCAGAGCCGGGTGGAGACAAAGGACCTGGCGACTGCTGCTGTTCTTGCGACGACGGGTGAGAAGATGCCGAGGGATTAGAGATAGGGCTAACGAGATCCGCCGGATTGACAGCCTGATGCATAGACTGTGGGAGCTGGTGCATTTGCGGATCCAGCAATAGTGACGAATCGTACTCCGACGCCGACGCGCTGTTGGGACTGTGGTTTTGATAGCCGAAATCCAGTTCCCCGGGATTGGTGTTGAGCACGTAACCGCCCTCCGGCTGCTGGTGTCTTAAACCCTGGGGTCTATGATCGAGTTGATTGACTAGGCTCGCCTCAAATGACTGCGACATGGGCATGTTGTTGGTGTCGATTGCCGGAGGGAAGGGCTCGGTTTGTGGTGCGTAGCCTTGCGTCTGCGGTGGTCCGGAGAGGTAGGGCGCAGAGTAGCCGTAGGCGTCTTGACCACTGATATCAATATCCGGGTTTGTATTTTCGAAGGAGGGGAATGCGGACATGGAGGGATCCATGTTTAGGCCGGTGGGGTCATGATACTGCTGAGCGTGGGGTGACGGGCTCACACTACGATGCTTGACATCTGCGGGGGAGACACCAGAGCCCTGGGAATGGTTGTGGGACGCCATCGTGGCAATTTCAAGGTGGGACCCTAGCCAACGATGGGTTGGCACTTATAATCGAAGGAAGTCGAAAGGACGAGGAAGGTAGCCGGCGCGAAACGAGACCCGAGTGGTGATGTTTATACCCTAAGGGGTTGGCAGGCGACGGATCGCGGACAGCGCAGGGGGCAATGGAGGACGAATATCTGGCATTCGCAGAGAAAGAGAAAACAGTCAAAAAAGGTGTCAGCAACAAAACTGCATCGCAAGTGATGCAAGTTGGAGGAGCACGATAAATGGTGACTTCACGTGCACAAGGCGGTCTGGGGCTCCGTGAAATCGGCAAGTTGGGCCCTAACTCCCCTCGAAGAAACAGCAATTATGACTGATCCACCTGTTCGTATGGCCCGATCTTTCTCTCACGTACTATGAAGATTACCTACTACTTAGTTGGACCGAACGCTGATCCCCACAATGCTGAGCCCACCGATAACAGATAGGCAGTCGCCTAACTATTTTTATCTTCCTTGCTCTCCCATCTACAAAGCTTTTCGGGGCAAATTCTTATCCCTAGCGACCTCTGCAATGCTTCATCTTGAAGTGTTCGGTGGAGACTAGAACCCGGCTAAGGCGCCTGGGAACATTTAGCTCTCGTGCACAGCCACGCAGCTGAGTTTCATCCACGGACTCCATTCGGATCTAGTCCGTTTACAGTATAGTGGTTCTGGGCTCGGACCACGAGGGGTCCCGATACCTAGGGCAAGGCAGATTGCCCGCTGTCTGCCTCGCTGACGTGGGCGATGTACCCCGAACTATGCCAAAAATATCGGGGGAAAAATGCTTCTGCCTCTGCTATATTTGAACAATAATTAACCCTAGGGCTGGACTTTCCTAAATATCGCCTAGAGTGTTCAAACTCGCGCGCGCTTCGTCATTCTGCCAGCTGAAAAGCAGGTTATCCGAGCAGCTGCTGCCCAATCCTGCGTTGTCAACCCACGCTGGCTCCCAGTAGTAAATACCCACTCCACCAGTGACGCTCTCAACAACTGCTGCGAGCTTCTCCAGGAACTCCTCCTGGCCAGCCACGGAGAACGGAATGCTTGCAAGATCCGACGGAAAAGAGTACGCGGGGTCCGGGCAAGCATAGGGCCAGTTGGTCTCGACAACCAGCACGTCCTTGCTGTAGGTCGAGTGCAGGTTGGTCAAGCTCGTCGTCAGGGCAGAGAGGGTCGCGCTGGAGCTGTAGAAAGGGTAATAGGAGACACCGATGAGGTCGAAATCAGAGGACACCAGAGTGCCGCTGGCGAGGACCTCGTTATAGAAGTATTCCTGCTCAGACCACGACCATCCATTGTCCAGGTGGATCATGATTTTGGGAGTGGTGGCCAAGTCCGAGTCCTTGATACCCCAAGCCGCAGAGTGCAGCAGCCTTGCGATGTTGGAGTAGCTGCTCGTCTCACCCAGGGGCCAGAGGAGACCGGCGCGGATCTCATTACCGATCGAAACCATTTCAACGGTCAGGTCATTCTCATAGAATGTGTTGCACACATCCAGGGTATAATTGTACACCTGCCAGGCAAGGGTGTCGATGTCGGTGGTGGACCATCCGGAGGGCGTGGTCTTTGAATGTTAACAAGGTATCTCAATCGCATCATTGGGCCCAATACATACTTGATCACTGGGATCAGCCCAAGTATCACTGAAGTGCAGATCCAGATAAGTGGTCATGCCCTGAGCCTGCATCCTCTTCGCCAGCTTGAGGTTATAATCGAGGTCGTAGTTACCACCGCTGGGGTTTACCCACACACGCTGGCGAACAGAGTTGATACCGGCATCAGCAAGAATGACCTCCAGGGCCTCGGTAGTTCCACTGGTAGTCTTATAGGAGATGCCTGCATCTTCCTCAATAATCAACGAAGAGATATCCGCGCCGCGGTAAGTAAGGGCTGCGGACGCCGCAGCGACCAGGGAAGAGGCGAACAGAAGTGCCGCGGGAAGCATGATGGGCGTAATGGGGGAAGAAACTATTCAGCAACCACTATCCTTCCGTAAAGACAGCTCTCTCGTTTTAAGCATCGTGAATCCGGCCCACTTAGACTAGATGGACGGGAGAATTTCCCCATTTACCCGCCGCACAATCTATTCCGTACCTGCGATGGAGATATTCCTCCGGAGACACTCCGACTTCGGGTTAGTTTATGCAGTGAAACACCGGTGTGACGGTATGTCCGAGTGGAAATTCTCCGAAGTGTCTTATTTCAGGGAAGCTGTCACTTGGCTTTTGCACGGATAATCGTAGCGAGGAAGGGAGGATTCTGCACCGGACGGAGGTTTTGAATTATAGGACTAGATTATTAAGGTGTGATGCATGAAACAAGACACGCGAATCAAAGCTCTGCGCTAGTAAGCTCTTGGCATTTTTCCACCCGTTTGCAACTTGTATGCGCTCTTGTAAACAGGATAATGTCCGGTGGGGCTTCTCCAGAGCCACTGCCGCTGTATCGGGGCACGCGTTGCGGGTTCGGGTTCGGGTTCGGGTTCGCAGAGAAGTAGATATTAGCGCGGACGCAACCTCAAGTGCTTATATTACACGTTTCCATGATCTCAATCTTCAATCCCCCAACACTCCTGGTTTGCTTACTCTGCTAGAAGCTATACCTTGTAGGGACAAGTCCGCGCTTTACTGCTGATGCATACTATTATGGGTCCGGAGGCTTAGTACTTGAGGACAAGTCAGTCATTCAGAGGCGGCCAGATTGGGTTGAATGCTTCTCTTTTGCTCGCGTAGATTATTGTCTTTATTTAGGTCGCTCACAAGGTCCGCAAGGATATCACACCACCTTTAATCGTGAGGTACCTTCCTCACCCCGCCCCTCTCCCCTTCCTGTAATCTTTTGCATCTGAATCAAAAATCGGCAGGAACCTGTCTCCGTGCCCATTTTCAGTCCATATATGCCGTATATAATCAGTCGGAGGGATGAAATTTCGCGCGGGTCTTTTCAGGTTCGACGTACGGTCTCAGTGTTTGTACTGTGTACGGCTTCGCATTTCATTCCCGAATTTTAGAATAAATTCTACTAGCGTTTTCCGATATCTTCAGTCAAAGGAAAACACGCGTTCATTGATGGTCCCTCTTGCGCTCGGCTACAAGGGATCATGATTATCTGCAGAAGGAAATGATTTACAATTTGTCTTGAAGAAACTCCAATTTGACCGTCGAGAGTCATCCAGATAAGGGTCCAATGCTTCCTCGCTGTTTGGGACGCCCGTGAAAGGGGCAAAATGCAGACTCAAGAGATCTGGGACTGGGTAGCAAATGAAATTCGTCATGCCCAAGAGAAGCACCACGTTCAGGTGAACAAGCATCAAGGGTATTAATTTAGGCCATTTACATCCCCCTGCCAAGTCCATAAGCGAAGATGTTTGCGTAGGATGGCCGTAGAGCTGTATGTAATAGCAGACCATATAAACATCATAATCATACAATAGCAATGAGTCTAGTGGTGGTCGCCTAGCGCCTAAAGCCCGCCTGAAAAGGGCGGCGAGCCGCCCTAACCCGGACCTTACGCGGCTTCAGGTGGTAGTCCCCCTAAATACTTCCTAGCCGAACACTGCGTGAAAAGTCTCGACACGATGACAAAACATCCTTTGCCCATTCTGACGTGTAGAAAGAAAATACGAGAGCCCTCAAGCCTGGGCACGATATTGGTTAGGTTCCTACCGTGAATTATGATATGAATGGATTAGTATCTTGATTAGGCTGGTAATTCATACTTTAGCTTCCATGCGAGAGCCACCCTATTAAACTCATTACCCGTATATACCTTACAATATAAGCCATTCTTCTTATTAGAGAAAAATTAATTTGTCTCACATCCCGTAAAGCTGGGCGAGATATCTAATGATCCATGTGTTTCGCATAATCCACTGCTTGTTACTCCCAGTTGCATACTTACTACTAATAATAATAGCTGACAGCTGGGTGTCAGGCAGATCTTCATCAGGAGAAACCCGGCCGGCATCTTCAAGTACAGATTCCCCGAGCAGGAAGCTTTGGCTCCCAATACTCGATACATGCAAAAAGGCATCGAGGTTATGGGAGGAAAGCAACATGCGAGCTATTTCCACGACTGGGAGGCAGTTGTCTCGTATAGACTCAGGAAGTTCCTGGAAGAAAGAAAGAGAGGCGGCTGAGTGAATTGCGATGGTAACTTCGTGCCTTAGTATCGAAGATGTCATCTATTTATTCTGCCATGGACATTTCCCATTTCTCCGTGGCCTGGTGCACCGATCCCCGACAAAGGACATATATCTTTGCAACTGGAAGCTTCACTGCCAATTTGTACAGCAAGCATCCGCCGAGGTTACCAGTGGCACCGGTCAGAAAAATGACCTGATCTCGGTACCATTCCACGGCTTGTACTGGGACAGTCATGGTGAGTCGTTCGGAGTAAGGTAAAAACTAGATCCAAAGCAAAAGATGGCGATGATTTTTGGACTGAATGTGACGGAATGTCTTGGTGTGCCGAAGCAAGGGGTGGTCCACGGATACATCGCTCACGCTCTGCCTTACCTACGGTGTACACGTAGGCTATACATGTAGTGTCCAACGTCAGTCGGTGAATTATTCCTGTTATGGCTGTCAGATACTTGCGAGTCGCCTGAAGTGAAATAGCCGCAGAGGAAGATCGGCATTTGTACGCAACCCCACCGGAACATATGTGCCACCTAGGCAATCTACGAGAGATATAGTTCATTGGAAGCATGCATTAAAAGCTGTATTTAGGATAAAGTCTCCGTTATTCATTTCGTAGATCATCAGCCTCTGCCTCCGATCATATATCATGCAATCCACACCACAACACGAGACTTAAGAAAATATCACAGCACGCCGCCCAGTGTCAACATTAGATACAGGTAAAGTCGGGAGAAAAGAAAGAAAATATCTGTGCGCGCGATCTTGGGCGCAATCAGATGAGAAACAAATTGGACTGGGGGGCGTGAGGGTTTTTTGACAAAGACCTGGAGGACAATTCTCGCGAGGATGGTATATGTACAGGCCACTTGATGTATGTTGACATGCTTTAGGTCGTTGTTTCCATGATTGAGAAAATTTAGTTGAGGGAAACTGTGGGATGGTTTCGGAGCACAACGACCGGCTTGGGATCGATATGAAGGGTATGGGTGGGATGGTGGAGTGATAGGTTATAGGGGAGGTATTTGTGGTGGTTTCCAGTGTGTTTGAACTCATGTGATCAACCAGATGTTCGGAGAGTGGGCTTGGTCTTGTTCTCGGTAGGCGGCTTCTTCTTGCCGATCACTAGAATCTCTTCTTCAGATTCATCCTCGTCTTCGTCGTCACAGTAGTACCTGGATTCGTCTTCCTCGGGACGTAGCGAGCTTGAGTGGTAAGCTTTGACGGTCTCACCGGTTCGTAGGATTGACGGAACATCGGAGTCTTTGGCATTAAGGTACAGACCATCGCCGGAGAGCGAAGAGGCTCCGGAGACGACAGACGGAATGCTTGGGTGAGAAGCACTCTGGGACATGCCGCTGGTGAAATCATCGGCTGAGGAGGAAGATATAGTGGCAGCGGAAGGGGTGGAGTTGATCAGGCCACTGCGGGGACGGTCCGCAGGATATACAGGCTCTGGAGGAGCTAGTGACGGCAAGTATAGGGAGTCTGATGAGTACATGGCATTTGCACTTGCGACTCTAGGAGCCAAAGCATCATCGGCGCAGGGCTCGATGTCGCTTCTCCGTCGGCGCAAAAGCGCCTCCTTGGTGAGATGGAAAGACTCTGCGGATGATTTACCCGCAAGCTGCTGCGACCGGTTGCGTCGGTGAGCTGATGCTGACAAAGGGGTGTTGGAGGGCGGGGGAATCGCAGCCTGCCACAAACCAGTTGTTCGCAAGTGGCCGGTCGCAGAGGCATTGCTCACAGCGAGACTAGGCTCAGAGTGACGGTCTCCATCCAGGGACGCAGTCTCACCAGATGGCGAGCTGCGTCGGCTGCGACTTGAACCAAACGCGCCCGATGCACGCTTAGTGGCGCCGCTGAAAATGCTACCGAGGCTGGTTGTTCCCAAGGCTTCAATAATTGCGCCTGTTCGGGGACGCACAGCGCTGTGTGAGTCAAAGCTGGATGGCTTCACTGTCTTGGTGGATTCAGCGGTAGACATCGACGACTTGGCACGTCGCGGACCAGCAGGTCGTTGAATAGTCGGTACTGGAGCGGGAGCAGTGTCGCGAGCATGAGCCTGAGAATGGGAATAAGGCGCATAAGGCTTGAGCTCGTGTAGCGGGAAGTAGGATGTGGCCCAGCTAATTTCCTCCTCTACCGGGCTAGCAGTAACGCTCTGTGCCAGCGGATGCTCGCCTTGACCTCCAAACTTAGATGAGCGGAAGACTTCCTCATCCCCGCGTAGGCTGGATCGACGACTGTCTGTACCACCACGAGAAGCCTTCCCAAATGTGCTGGTACTCGACATCGAAGATAGCGTGTCCGAAGAATTCGTCGAGGTACGCTTGCGACTTTCCTTGTCCTTTGAGGAACGACCAGAGAACCACTTGGCGACGTTGGATCGAACACGCTGAATGAAAGGCACCTTGCTGACGGCGCTGGTGACCTCCTCGTTCGAGACCTCGATGCGCTTGCCTTTGCTCTGATAGCCGGGGTCTGACTCTTCTACCCAGGCACGGTGATTGGGCAGACCGTACAAGGTCCAGGGGTGATGCTTGATCTCTTTCAATGTGATGCGACGAATCGGATCCTTGGTCAACAACCGTCGCAGAAGGTCGTACAGCTCGTCGTCAATGTCCTCATACACCAGTTCACCGGCGTCACGGCAGAATCTCTGGATCCCTTCAGTAGACTCATCCTTGACGGGCACAAGGCGCTTGCGCGGGATAAAGACCTCCTTTTTGACAATAGTCTGGAACATGCTGTACTCATCATCGGACACAAAGGGGAGACGGCCAAACACCATCCCGTACAATGTGACTCCCAGAGACCATACATCGATAGCACCAGTGATCTTGGGAATAGTGCCAATGGTTTCAACAAAGTCGTCACCAGTGTAGCAAAGTTCGGGAGCGTAGAAAGCCGGGGTACCAACAGTCTTAGACAACTCACGGGCATCATCTAGCTCAGTCGCGTCAGTCGCCTCCAATTGCTCTTCTTCCTCATCGCGCATGGGTCGTCCCAAGTATGAGACACCGAAGTCAGAGATCTTGACACGATGGCTACCAGTGACTAGCAAATTGGCCGGCTTGATGTCACGGTGAATGATACCCTGGTAGTGGAGATACTCCAATCCAAGGACTGAATCTCGGAATGCACTGCGCGCTTCGTTGATCGTCAAACAAGGCACATACGACATGTCGTCGCAATCTGCAGCCCACTCCGGCTCAGACGGAGCATAGCCAAAGCTGCTAGAAGCTGTGCTGAACCGCCGCTCAAAGGAGTAGTCGGTGTAAGCACCGTACATACTCCCTTCAATAGCTGCGAGTGACTCTTGGGCAGAGGACTGACTGGGGGAAGTATCATCGGTAACCGCAACAGAGCGGGTGGACGATCTTCGGATAGCTAGCCCTAAGCCTTCGTCCTCTTCATCTGATGATTCAGCACCGTGCTCCAAACTCCAGCCTGGAATAGGCCCTTGTTGTGCGTCTGCGGCCTGCGCTTCGACCCGCTCTCGTGCCCTTTCTCGTTGCCGACGTAGGTGTTGAGCCGTCCTGATGAACTGTTGGCTCTCCTGCAGGAAGGCCGGGGTATCAGGGATTCCAGCCTTTTCGCGGTCAAGCCGTATCTTGTCGACATGGACGATCTCTCGTAATCCCTTCTTCCGCCAAACAATCTCACCGTTCTCAACATACTCCAACACTATGTAGACCTTTTGTTGATTCGGGTCATCGATGACCTCAAGCAGACTAACGACATTGGGATGCCGTGCCTTCTTGAGAATAGCAACCTCTTTCTTCACCTTGTCCTCCGGGTTACCCAGCTTGCCTAGTCGGCGACGCTTGGAGTACCGTTGGACAATCTTGATGGCCACCTTTTGCTTGGTGGTAACGTGTCTTCCCAACTTCACTTTGCCATGTTCACCCCGCCCAAGCTCCTCGAGAATTTCGTACTGGTTGACCAGTTTATTTCCAGTGATAATATCTCGCTCCACCTCGGCAGTATGTGTTTCCTTCGGTGGCTGCATGTGCGTGGGGTGAAGGTATGGGCTTCCGAGTGAGCCCTCATCATCGGAGACATTGGGTGGGGTGATTCGAGGGCTTCTCATCGAGAATAACCCTGGGCTCGACAAGGGGGTGTTACCGGCTGTACGAGCAGTGCGAGGATGAGTTCGGGGAGCTGGTTCGGACTGCGATGGGTAGGAGCTTCGTGGTCGGAGATGCGGTGGCTGCCAGGTTGGGTGTATTTGGGACTGCAGCGAGGCATAGGACTGGTCAGGGTAGACAGGGAGGTCAGGATAGGCTGAGAATTCGGGCTGGGTATCCGATTGACGAGATGCTCTCCGAGGGCTCCGTCCGATGCTGCCATTTTCCGACCGGGCATCAACGACTATGTTTTCGTTGAGGGCTTGTAGGGAGCTAGTGGAGGTGCGGGCGGAGGGAATTCTGGAGGAGTAGACGTGGGGGAACGCTTGACGGATGGTCGCTTGTGCCTCACTGATCTCGGGTGTCAAGGGAGCCTTTGCAGATTGCTTGCTCAAGGGTTGTCGACCGAGGTCGGCTTTTTCGTTTAATGCAGAGGTTGTCTGCGCCTCGTCGAGGTGGTTGAAATCCCGATTTGGATCCCCCGCGACGGGGCCATTCCGAGTCATCGGCTGATCCGCCTCTTCCAGACCAGCAATCGAAGCCCGAGATTCTGTCATTTTCATCCTTCTTTTTGTATTATAGGGCAGCCTTTGCAGAAAAGGGGAGTATTCAGGTGTTCGAGCCAACGGTGCCAAGGGTTCCGTTGATCATGTTCCTGAAGATTCCTGTCCGATCCTGGGATATGTTCACGGGGAGCTGGGGACGAGCTCGGTTGAAACGCACGAATGAGCCAGCATTACTTGCGGTGTCAGGACTCAGAGGACGGAGGGCTGGTGTACCGGACAACGGGCCGACCGAGGGGGGTTCGAGGTAGACCTGCTACTGCACGAGGGACTCGGCTACTCCCACGTGTGTGGGAGACACGGAGTCAAAAAAGGAGCGCAGGCTGTTGGGCGATGCTATAAATACAGCGTTGGGTTCGGATGCCACGTTCGGCAGGGAGGGAGAGGGGTGATAGCGAAATCGGAGGACGGATGAACAATGTGCGAAGGAGTGTCCGTTTAAAGAAAGGTAAGGTAAGGTAAGGAAAGGCCAGAGAGGAGGACGAGAAAGGGAGGATGGAGAGCGGAGATCGGATGCCAAGGGAAAGAGGGCAAGAGACGAAATACCAATGACGAGGGACAGATCCTTAAGGGGAGGTGTTCAGCCAAATTACCCGTAATGTTCGGTAATGATCAATTATAGGCGTGGGGCTGTCTTCGGCCGACACTCCGGATGGTCCGTGTACCCTTTCTGTTTGCATAGAATTTCACTCTTTGGTTTTACCTTTTAATACCTTGACCTTTTAGTCTCCCTAGTTATGAACCGGGTGGCGCTTTCGCCAAAACTTGCCAACTTTTAATTTACCTGGCCAGTCCGTGTCAGTTTCCCTCTTACGTCGAGACTTACAGCCCTTGCTAGGCCCTGATAAGTGGATCGCGTGCTTAACTCAGGCTATGTATCTTTGAGGCGCGTGTCCGTGGATCACCTTTCGGTTGACCGGTCCACCCAACTGGATATGTACGATATAGCCATCATGTTCAAAATCATCCAAGAACCGTGGTTGCCGCTGACTTTGACATATCTCTAATCCGTCCTCAAGTCTGAAGCGTTCAGGTTCCGGCGTGAAACTAACTTCAACCCGACCGTCTGGGAGCACACGACTGTCTGTGCCCCAATGCCTAGTCACCACCATAGCTCGACCGTGTTTTCTTCTCACCAGAGGATTTTGCCTTCTGATGGGCTGGCTCTGCCTACGCTAACGTTTCGCCCGAACCCGGCAAGCCAGGGGCTGTCTGTCAGCTATAGCAAGGACTCCGTCGTATCCGTTTATTACTCGCGACGCCGGGCAATGACACTTCCCGGCACAGCGGCTATACAAGTCTGGGTTATAATTCGTAACTCTCGGTATAAACCCAGCGACAGGCGTTCTGCACGATGCTGTTTCGGCATCGAAGTATGTGCAATCCTGTCGACGCCCGAGCGTAGTCCGTGCGTTAACAATTTCCCAACGCGGTTAAAACTGGATTACGTCACCTCAGGGTCTGGGCCCCCTAATTAGCCTCCTTTCTCGGCTTTCTTTCTTTCTTTCTTTTTGCCTCTTATACTTCCGTCTATACATCCAGAAGACGCAGCTAGAAAAAAAAATAAAAGAATAAAAAGAAGACGCATCCTACAAGGATCCCGGGATGAGTCTAACCCCTTGGGCCATGGATTCGAGGTAAAGCGCCGAAGTCGCATTCCCGTCAAGTCCAAGGTTTAGCTAAGCGCACAGGTCAACTGAGATGACCCGCACCACTTTTTTGACTCAAGTGGCGTGTCACACTTAGTGTAAATTTTGATCTGGGGAAAATTTGATGGCGGAGGTAGATCTACCCTAGTCTAACGGGATATCAAATCCATCGATCCAGAGTAAAGCACTCCTAGGTAATATTGTCTCTGCAGATTCAGTAATACAAAAAGCGTAATGTTGTTACAGTGTACCGACTAGACTCGAGTGACGCCCCACGGTATGATCGGTTAGAACGTGCCGGGGCGGAGCCTTGGTTGCTCTCTATATCAGACGCGTCATTCTTGAAGTCATCGAATTTGAAGACGGAATTCATGTCGCTACAATATAGAAAACCGAGAAACCTTCAAAACGGCGAAGACATGAGTACTTTAACATGTCAAAAGCGTTCGAGCTATAGAGGGTAGAACTGTAGAAGCAGCGTAGCTAAAAGGAACACCAGAATTTCGTTAATAAGCACTGGGGACATTTGACCAGGAGCCACGATTGGAGCCTTTGCGCTGTCTCCTCCCCTGTACGTCTTTCTATCGTGGGACCTCCCCCTGGCACCATGGACTCCCCGCCATGTTTTCGAGCACGAAAGAGCGAACAAGCTCGATACATGTAGAGAATTAATGTACATCTTAAATCACGATACGCTGTCAAGGGTCAGACATGTGAAAATGAGAAAGAATACCCAGCCAGTGATCACTTGACTGCTATACAAGGTGGGAGCGCCTTGCCACTTATCCTAGCGCGCCATAGTATTAAAAACACCAAATTCTGGCCTGCTAAGCCTGACAAATTTGTTCATATCGATCAGACCCAGCCAGTTTCCAACATCACTTCGTTCCTGACAGTTAGTGTACCCACCCTTCCCAGCACTAAATCCTAACCCCCGCAATAGACACCCAAGTCGTTTCACCCGATTCCATCACCCTTACCGGTTTAGACCAGCCGTGCAGCACCCTTGGTGCCCAAGCCCATTGGGTCCCCGCAACCTCACCATTTTCCATCAAGTTTACCGTAACAATACTCTCCAGGCCCAAGCCTCATCTCACCCGTCTTAACCCCAAGCGTAGAGAAGAATCCTCGCCCCCTAGCCCTGAGCGCCCACGCATAACAGCGATCAGTGCACACGGATGTCTAAGCATTGAATCGTCCGTGCGAGCGCAACATAGCCCAGGAGATCTGCATTGGCGTCCTCGCTGACCCTGCTGTGTGACACAAGCGGCGACCTTGCTTCAATCCAACGCGCTGGGCCGGTGCCACATCCTGTCTTATTACTACTCTGTATTAACGTCCCTTGAGCCCAATTTTGAACTCGGTATGGGTACACGGTGCGCAGGCACGGTGGGGATTTGGGGAGTCTAGGTCGTACTACGTTATCGAGAGGGAGGTGGTTCGGTAGGAGGCACAGATCGATTTAGTCGTAAGCTGGTTTTGGATGCTGTGTAATGTTGATGGAGATGGTTTAAGGGGGGTATGGGAGGTATTTGATTGGGAGGGTTGGCGTAGGGTTTGGTGCTTGATGTGTAGATCGAGTTATTGGATGTATGTAGTAGGAAGGGATTATCGTGCTCGCTCTGTTGCGAGCTACAAGCATCCTAGGCCCAAGTGAACTGATATTTCGATTATGTATTTGAGGCTTAACTTAATATGTCTATCTGACTTTCACAGGGCGATGACATCGGAGCGCCATCGACTTACTCCGTTACCAATAAGTACAAGATGACAGCCCTAAAATCTCCGAGGGGCGCTAGCAACGGCACTCGTTGCTTGTGATAGCCAGTCTTGTAGCAATTCCCTCGTGATTTAGGCGGTCATAGTCAAACTCGGGTATGTAAGAGGCTTTATTTGGGAAAGTATGGCGTTGAATATGCCATCGGGCTCTCTTGATATGCCGTTTTGCTCCGAATGTAAGCGCCCTGGGATAACAAAGTATTTTGCTGTAATTTTATTCGCCACATTGTCCAAGCTTACCCCGGAATCCATGCTTCATCTTTGTGATGAGGGAAATTCCCTCTGTCCGAACTAAGTATCGGGGGGAACTATCGAACAAGGAGCTAGTGATGTGATACTTTAACTCGCGACTATCGGCAGCCGCACCGAGCAACCGAAACAATGGGCTCACAATCGGAATAGGAATGCGGCAGTTTCAAATGATACAGACTGTAATTGGTGGAGCGTCGAGACATAACCTTCAAATGCAAAGCTGCTGAAATATTGAACAAGGATGACTAGTGCTCACGACGAGAGTCATGTATCCCGAGTTTCTATTTGTTTGGCGCTGAGAATGGTCTGAGCGCCTGCATGACGGTGGCAGTCCGGACTAGAAACGAGACTGTTTTGAGTAGGTGGTGCATGCCCACCCCGGCCTGGAGAATCAATATCTCCTCCCGCTATTACTTAACCTGCTAGCGCTTGGAGTAGGATATCGGAGGTTTAGGTTTTGCTTCTTCCACGGTTCGCCTTTTTCCCTGTACTCTTCCCGCGTTCTCCCAACCGGAACAGGACATTGGTCCAGACCCTTGATCCCAATGCGAGTATTTGAGTGCTATAATGCAAGGATTTATGGAACGCGGGTGTAAGCGAGTATGTTTATGCAAGATATCGATGTCGCCGCTATCGGACTTAGTTTCACCGCCATGCAGCTCCTGGACAGATTGGGTTAAGCCTCGGATTCACCTGCATACCCGGCTGAGCAACCTTGCGCAAGATGGACAGGTACATTGGCACATCACAGAGAGATGCGACGCTGCGCATGGGCTCCAGGCCGCCCTTTCAATGCCGCCGAGGCGATCGACCACCGCAAAAATATGGCATAACAATCCCATCAGCAGTCATTTTGAAGGCCAGTTCAAAACCAACTACATCGTCTGCCTAGTACCGATACCATTAGAAGCCAGTTCGGACAAGCCCGGACTGGATGTGGCGATGCCTCTGTTCGAGGGTGGTGGTTGGACGGAATAACAATCAGCCAAGCGCAGTCCTGACTGGGACTTTGCGAACCGGATACACAGAACTTTGAACTATTGGAGTCCTGTTTCTGAGCTCATCTTGGCTGTGCAAACTTACCAGTGGCGTTTCCTCTGGGACACGGTACGAGTGGTGCTAGGCTCCCGTTGTTGGTTGATGTGGTCAAGTTGGCGTGACAACGTGCTGATTTGGACGCTGGAACCGTGGTTTGCCGCGGTTCTGGACCCACTGGGAATTATACTGTGTCATTGACTTTCACTTCGAATTTGAATTCTCGATTAAAGTCTGGGAAGTCCCGAAAGTAAGGTCAATGGGGTGAATATGGGGAAGCTGAGGCGATTTTTTGACCTAGTGTAAGGGGCGAATCTTTCCGGATGGTCTTGCCGCAGCCACCGATGTCCTATTGCGGGCGTTTTTGGTCGTACTTTTGCTGTACAGAATTTTACAATAGAATCATGGATGTCTTTGGGTACTTTTAGACTAAAATACTGGATCAACTGTAGACATCATTGAATTGCTTACGGGAGTTTAGCTCGACACCTGGTCTTCGCTCTATATGGAACGAGTTAGACAGACAACTGGACTTCTTCCGCATTAAACTACAAATCATCGGAATTATCTTGAGCAATGCATAGAGAAAGCATGTAAGGCCAGACGTATGTTTTTTTCTTTTTGTTTTTTTTTTTTTGCCTACTCCAGTATCAATGCCACTTCCGAGGTTTCCCAAGGACATTCTCCACGTTCCGCTGTGGCACCACTAGGGATTCTTATTCCGTCCAATAATTCAGCTTTGTCTACATATACAACGAACTACTTGGGGGATGTTTATAACAGATTGCTTCGCTTCACAGAGATCCCTTTTACTGGAACATCTCGCTTTTTGCTGAATTATCTAGTTCTCAACGATGAATTGCTCAAACGTAGTAGCTTGCCCCGTCTCAGGGCCAAGAGACTATAGTCCAGGCATCGCAAAGCGGCAGATGAGCAATACTTGACAGCAATTCACTCGGAGCCGAGAAAAACCGAAGTGGGGGACATGAACCAAGGAAAATCAAGGAAAAGCCTGTGAACTAAGTCTGAAAGAAAATGTTCGATAGAGCTGTGTTCGGCGGGGCCCATATAGACGCTAATTGAATAGGCCGTAGCTCTAGGTCTCCGGGTGAACGTTGATGCCTCTGCCTTGGCAATGGTCTGATCTCAACTCGTAGAGTAAATAACCATCCTGTATATCTGGGTTCTTCACGGTCCCTTCATTGTGGTAATGGCTCATATTCTTGGTGGGGCTTGTGTATGCCCAAAGGTGGCTCTGGGACGAGACACTTCGCTTCGGGCTTTGCAAACGCCTCACTACTCGACCTAATGGAGCCCAGGGTCAATTTCCACATCAAGCCACATCGCGCCTCCCAGTGCGACCCTGGATAATTCATCTAATATCTTCGTGTTGACCCATTTCGGAGATTGTTTGGTTTGTTGATTTCACGACGGTTGAGAGCATATAGGGCTGAATATCGTGTTCTCACAGATCACACGATAGTGGAGATCGGGAACATCCTAGCTTCGATTTGTCGATCAAAGGTAAAACTATGGCATGAAGTCATCATTTTGGAGACTGTTGATCCCCATCTCCCCTCCCCCCACCTTGCAGAGTAGTCGGCACTTGGGCGCATTTGAACCCGTCACATGACGATGATGACAAGAGGGTCTCCAGCCATGTTATATAGTGAAAGCGGAGGATAATATATGAAAGAGGCCCACTGCAATCAATTCCACTGCAAAGTATTCGTTGCGGAGTGCACAGGTGATGGATACGCGCAATCAAGACGCCTCCCAGCGCCACTTGGTTGCCCGTTGCCCGCGCAACGCTGTTGATCGCGCGCCGATTGAGTCCTCGGCACTCTATTTGGCTCCCGTTTCTTTGTTGAGAGCTGGCAAACTCTCGGCACTAGCTGTAACTATGAATTTGATTGGGGTTTTTGGGTTTTTACCCCCCTTGGAAGTAGATGGTCGAGGCTCCCGTGGCCTGTGTTTACCCGTAGCTCTGACCCGTGATGATGAGCATAAACATCACTTCAGATTTTCTTCTCTTCCCGTTGACACTAGACATCGAGATAGAAGCTAAAAATATTCTTAGCGACACGTCGTTTTGAACAGCTCTATCCTCGCGTGGCATCATGATCGCCGATCCTGGAATGCATCCCTTCTTTTGACTTTGTCTCAGATTGCGATACCAGACGCGCGCTATGAATCCCCGCCATCGCCCTAAGCTGAGACCACTCGGCCTGTCCGCATTGCTACTGCTCCTTCAGCCCACCACTGCTATTCCATACACGCCTTCATCCCTCTTCATCGCGCCTCAATACAATGACACACTTGCGTACCTTCTCCAGCCCAGCTCGACGGGCAAGACCGAATTCCTGTCGCTGAACATATCCACCAGTGTCGACACCAGCAACCCCTCATTTCATACCTTGCTACCGGAAACACCGTTCCAAAGCTCCGATCAGACCTCCGCCTTCATCCCCGTCATTGATGATCGCGGCGCGATCTCTGTTTACACCGGCGATTGTCACAATACATCCGACCAGCATACACTATGGCGCTTTCAGTCCGACAACACCAGCTCAACGGGCAATGGGTCATGGTCCCAGCTCTCGGTGAGCCTAGAAGAGGAGAAGACAAGGCCGTACCACCTGTCTGCCGGGTTTGCATTTGCATCAAGCAACACGACTGAAAGCTCGGTGTATACCTTCGGAGGAATGTGTCCATTCGCGAACGCGACGGATCAAACATGGGTCTCTGCTGCGAACTATTCCCAATCGATGGTTCAACTAGATCCTTCCGCCAAGGACACCTCCAAATACCTTGCCACTACGACTGGGCACCGCGCACCTCCTGTTCCCGAGGCCGGGATGGTCATTGTTCCCTTCCCGGCTACTTCGTCACTAGCCTCGACAGAAAAGCAGCAAGACTTCTTGTTTATCGGCGGGCATACTCGACAAGCCTTCCTTAACATGTCGCAACTTGCGATCTTCTCCGTACCACAGGAAAGCTGGAGTTTCGTGAATGTTAACTCTCAAGCGAGATCCAAGACGGAGCTAGCTCGAAGTCAGACCACTGTAGAGCCACGATCGGGTCATACTGCTGTGCTCTCTGACGACGGAAAGAAAATCTATGTGATCGGAGGCTGGGTCGGTGATACGTCCACCCCTGCTAGCCCCCAATTTGCCGTCCTAGAGGTCGGAGAAGAATATGGTGGTGCGGGCGACTGGCGGTGGTCCATCCCGTCATCATCCTCCGAAGCTGGAATTACTGAGGGGACGGGACTCTATGGTCACTCAGCAGCCATGCTCTCCGGGGATGTGTTGATAATTGCTGGCGGATACACCATTCCAAAGCAATCCTCGAAGAGGTCTACTATCTCTTCCCTGCGCAACTCCCAGGTCTACCTTTACAACACGACATCGAGTAACTGGGTGAAATCATACACCAACCCCTTGGCTTCATCCAGCGCCAACACACCGTCCAAGTCTCACAGCGGTGGACTTACTTCGGGCCAGAAAGCCGGGCTGGGAGTCGGCTTGGGTCTTGGTCTACCTGTCCTTATCGCCATTGTGATATATGCTTGGAGGCGCCATCAAAAGCGCCGGGTCAAAGGTCAGCGGGACTCGCAGCTCCGAGAATTGGCTCTGGGTGCCGAGCGAGCTCACTTCTGGGGCCGTGATGATCCTTTCCAAGCAAGCAGCATTCGCAGCTCACAGATGAGTGAAAAGCAACCTTTGGATCCCGCCTATCCGTGGACCGAAAACCACAGTGTCACTACACGGAGTTCCTGGAACGAACAGGGTGAGGGCACCGCCGAGAGGACCGGATTGCTTGGGGATACGAGTCCGACCAAGAACAGTCGACCGTTTACTCCGCAACGGCCTTACAGACATTCTGGATACACAGAATTCCGTCGCAGTGACACTACGAGTGATATCCATCCTATCGATGAGCGTGAGGAGGATGAGGCAGTTTTCCGGGAACGCCTTATGGCGACTATCCCTCCTGGAGGAAAGGCTGAAGTCGAAGCTGAAGACCCATTCGCAGACCCGGAGACTCCATTTGCTACTCCCCGGAGTACAATCTTTGGCGTTGGCCTAGGCCCATTCTACAGTCGTCGGAAAGACATTGGAGATCCAGGGCGAGTCTCTCCAACAAAGAGTGATGACCGAACATCCAGCAATTTGTCAGATGCTTCGTCCTTTTCATTCGCATCCAGCAGCAAGCCCATTAGCCAGGTATCAAAAGCGCGAGGAATTCTCATCGACCGACCGTTGAGCTGGGCCAGCAGTGGTGGTCAATCTTTCGACCAACTAGACCCAACTCATAGTCGTGAGACAACGCAAAGCGACATCGACGGCGTGGCCGCACCGTCCGAGCAGTCCTTTTCGACAGACTCCTACTCAACTGCTCACACCACCTTCTCTCAACATCGCGCAGAGAACGAGTCTCTCCTCTACGACGCAGACGCCATGACCCACATCGAATCCTCATCACCCTCAAAACTCCCACCCTCCTCAAAACCCAGACCTTCAGAAAGCATCTTCTCAAGCGTCCGTCGTGCCCTTACCATGTCCCGCCGCCCCACAAGCAGCGAAGCCGGATTTGAGGCCGCCCCTCTAGCCTCGGGCATCGACCGCCGCAGCACCGTCATGATACCAGGTGCCTTCCCTGGAGCCAGTGGCGCCAGCACACCCCGACGAGCCGTCAGCGCCTCCGCCGAACTCTCCCGACGTAAACAAGGCGCAAAGGACTGGATCGCCAAGAAAAGAATGTCAGACGGAGTCTTCCAAACACCCCGATCCACCCGCGATGACATCTTCCTCAATGCCCCGGGCTGGCTCGGCGACGATGACACATGCGATGAAACCTGGGACGAAGACCACCGCGTGCAAACAACCTACGCCGCGCCTCGGGAGCGCCTCCGAGTCGTCAACGCCACAGACTTGGATAACGTCTCCGAACGCAGTCTCAGTCGCTCGCTCAGCAATGCCCCTAGTACTCGTCGCGTGAGTAACTAGTGTCTGGGTATTCATTGCGCTGTACTTGTGAATTACATTCTGCTTTGTCATTATCAACTTTTCTCTAATGTGGGAAATTTGTACACGAGCCCTTTCACGTTCTCATGGTTTATGCCACTCTCGTTATTTATGGGCCTTGTCCCTTTTCTGTCGCTTTTTGTTTCGATATCCATGAGGCCTTGAAGGGTCCGCGACTTGTCTTTTGATTGGGGGTGTCTTTTGATGAGTTGTTCAGCGTTGCTTTTTAGTATCATATGAGGAGTGGATGAGGGTTGTCTAGATTGACTCGTGGGGCATAAAATGAACATTTTTTGAATTAGATTCACTATGGGTCATTCGCAGCGTCGTGGTCAACCCGGAGACCCTGTCCGTCATACGTCGGGCCGTGGGCAAGGGTGAATTCGACGAACACTTCCAAGATTGAGATGAGTTTGATCCCATCGACTCCAAGGGGCGGACGTTCCGACTGGGCAAGGATGCGTTCTATGCCCTGCTCTATTCGCCGAATGGCAGGGGGATTGGCTGGTTGTTGATCCAGCATAAGGCTGAGCTGGGGACCAAGACGGTGAGCGAGGTTACGGTGTTTGCGGCACTTGGATCGCCGATGTTGTATTTCAAGCTTGATGATGTGAATTTAATCGAGCAGGCGCAGGGTTGATGCTTCATCGTGTGTTTGCTTCAAGTCAAGCTCCTTAGATAGGTCTGGAAAGGAGTACAATATATGCCTGTTGGGCAAGAAAGGGAGAATACGCTTGAGGACTTCTATAAGCACCTGCTTGAGTAAAGTACTTTAGTAGCTATTTAGTAACTACTGGGTGATTGCTTGAGAGACTGTGATCCGATCAAGACAGGCTTCTTTCTCCTATCTAGATGCCAAACAAGCTGTGACAGGGTAGACAAGTTCATGATTCCTGGCCAGTGTAGAATAGTACATTCGAGTTGACAATTGAATCGAGCAAGCGTAGGTGCCGGATTGATATCTCGAACTTTACATTGCGCGCGGGTGGAAGCTCCGATCCAGCTGCGGTGCGACCAGATCTTCCCAATCCTTCTCCGTGAGGACGAAGGATGTTGCAAACCACATATGGTGGCCCGTTCCAAACGCCTGCCGAAATCCCAAAGTGTCCATCCGAATGACACTCCAGAAGATCAGACCGTACGGGCGAAAGACCGAGTAATCCACGCACCACAGCGGCGAAATTTCAGAACATCGAGCTTGCCACAAACACAGTGCGCCATGCGAGGAACACATGTCATGTATATAGATCTCGTCGTCCTCCCATTGCTCATCATTCAACGGTGTATAACATGGGCAGCAAGACCGGTATTCCGTTGAAACCGGTCCGGAGGCCAGCCATGAGTATACGTTTTCACGCCGTCTGGCCTGACCATCCAACTAGGAAAGACAGCCGTTCCTGGCCTCGAAAGCGGCCATTGTCACCAATTTCACAGGCCCTCTGATTCTAGATGTAATAAAGGGTGACTTGACTTTCAGATGGTGCTGATAATGAATTTATACGTGCGCTGAGCCACTTTTCCGGCAAATGCACTCTGGATTCCGTAGCAAAGCTCTAATTTGCTTGGAAGATTCGACAGCAATATTTCATTATCATTGCTCATGCATCTCATTCAACAATTTTATATCTGACATCGAGGATATATAAAACTCCGAAAAGTCCGAAAGTACAAAATGTCAGCAAAAAAAAAAAAACCAAAATGATATCTATAGAAATTTTCATGATCCCTCAAATGCACTACGGACCATGCTTTTATCCCTCAAGCCAAATTTACAACGCAGGCGCGCCGTTGGGAGCAGTAGTCGGCTTCGTGGGCAGAGTGGTAGGCAGACGAGGGAGCAGGTTCTTCGCACTCTCACGAGCGTACTGAGCCATAAGCGCATCCATAATCACCAGCGAGGACATAGCCTCGACGATAGGGACAGCACGGGGCACAACACAGGGGTCGTGACGACCCTTGGCCTCAAGGGTACCCTCCTCGAAGCCGTAGGTGGCAGTAGTCTGAGCCTGACCGATAGTCGCCGGGGGCTTGAAAGCAACGCGGAAGTAGATTGAGGCACCGTTGGAGATACCACCCTGGATACCACCGGAGTTGTTGGTCTTGGTGGTGAGGCGCTGGGCGCCATCGGCGGAGGGGGAGGCGATGAAGGGGTCGTTGTGGATAGAGCCGGGAACCTCACAACCGCCAAAGCCTGAGCCGATCTCGAAGCCCTTGGTAGCGGGGATGCTCATCATGGCGTGGCCGAGCTTGGCTTCCAGCTTGTCGAAGCAGGGCTCGCCCAGGCCAACGGGCACGTTGCGGATCACGCAAGTCACGGTCCCGCCGATGCTGTCGTGGTTGTCGCGGAACTTCTCAATCACCTTGGTCATGCGTGCGGCACCCTCCTCGTCGGGGCAGCGGATGGGTGCGAACTTGTCGACGGTCTCGCGGTCGATGCCTTCGAGGAGCTGCAGGTACTCTGGGTTGGTGGAGGCGGTGGGGTGCTCGGGGGTCGGGGGGTAAAGGTACTCGTTGCCGACGGAGGAGACGAAGGCCACGATCTCGACGCCATGCGACAGCGTAAGGTACTTCTCGGCAATGGCGCCGGCGGCGGCGACACGACCTAGTAGGGAATTGTTAGATTGGAACGAGGTATAACCTGAATGAATGCATGCTTACCGATGGTCTCACGGGCACTGCTGCGGCCACCACCGCTGCTGGCCTTAACGCCGTACTTCTCGAGGTAGGTGAAATCGGCATGGCTGGGCCGGGGGTACAGGTCCATTGTGCTACCGCCGTAGTCCTTGGGCCGCTGGTCTTGGTTGCGGACCAACATTCCAATTGGGGTTCCCAGTGTAATACCGAACTCTGTGCCTGACTGGATCTCGACGCGATCCTTCTCATCGCGCGGGGTTGTCAAGGCGCTCTGGCCGGGACGGCGGCGAGTCATCTGGGGCTGAATGTCGTCCTCGGTGAGTTGCATGCCGGGAGGGACACCGTCGACGATACAGCCGACCGAGCGGCAGTGGGACTCGCCATAGCTGGAGGAGGTTAGACGATGTTGAATGTGTTATGTCGTGGAGGGGCAACTTACGTGGTGACCCGGAAATGTTCACCCCACGTCGACATGATGGATGATATGCGGTCTTGAAGTCGGGTAAAGTAAGAGATGAAGAAAAAGAGTAAGGTTCCGGAATCAATTGAGAGCAAGAACACTGACTGTCACACAAGACCAAGTTGACGATTCAAACAGAAAAAAGAGCGGAAAATCGACTCATCGATAGTTTCCTATCTGGGCTTAGTGCATCCGACTATCGGCCGGTTTTTGGCAATCAATTTAATCGATAGTTGGTTTATTGACTTCCATTGCTCCTTACTCCCAATGCTTGCCAGACGATGCTGGTCCTCGCCATGGCGCGGTAACACCTGTGGCATCAAGGGCTGGGCCCGTCACAATTCGTCCTCGCCTTTCGCCGAGCTCGCCCGTCGTGAGGCTTCCCGACACCAGATCTACCAGTCGCTCTCGACCGACCCTTACGTGAACCTTTCGATCGAACACTTCTTGTTAGAGAACGCCCCGGTCGACTCATGCGTCCTATTCTTATATATCAACCAGCCATGCGTGGTCATCGGTCGGAACCAAAATCCGTGGCTGGAGACCGATCTCCGCGCCCTTTACAATGATCGTCGGCCGAGCGATCAAGACGACGGAGCTCTGTACGTTCGCCGACGATCTGGGGGCGGAGCCGTTTTCCATGACGAAGGAAACCTCAATTATAGTGTAATCTCACCACGCGCACCTTTCACCCGAAACAAGCACGCGGAGATGGTGGTTCGCGCGCTGCACCGCGTCGGCGCTGTCAATACCAGCGTCAATGAACGCCACGATATCGTCATGACGCCGGAGGCGACAAACACCGATGTAAATGAACCCCCGACTCGGAAGGTCTCCGGGTCGGCATTTAAGCTCACCCGTCACCGAGCCTTGCATCATGGGACCTGCTTGCTGGACTCGCCTAATATCCATGATCTCGGTCGGTTCCTGCGGTCACCAGCCCGCAGCTATATCCTAGCCAAGGGTGTGGACAGTGTGCGATCACCCGTGGGCAATGTCTCAAGCGCGTTGGCCGATTCATTCTTCTCGATGCAGGGCGTGATAGATAGCGTGGTTGAAGAATTCGCACAGTTATATGGCGTTGGTTCTGACGCGGTGCTTCGAGCACGCCGTGCTCTTGCAAACGAGCCTGAGATCTTTTCGGGAGATACCTGGGTTGCGGGTACAGTGGGAGAGGCGCAGGAACAAGAGCCGGATGTTGCGAAAGGAATTGCTGAGTTGCGTTCATTAGAGTGGAAGTACACTCAAACACCGCAATTTACTTTTTCGACGCATCCTCATGAGGATGATCCTCGTGAACGACCGCCATTGCCATCTTCACTTCCTCCCTCGGTATGTTTTTCATTCTCACAGACAGAATATTTAAGAGAGCCTAACATCGAATCTAGACCCGTGCATTTCTCCGCCTGAAACATGGTGCCATTATCGAAAGCAATATCTCAGTCTCACCGGATGATTTCACTGCTTCAGACCAAGCTACTCGAGTGCACGAAGTCCTGAATGGTCAGAAACTGCATGAGATATCTACCCAACGCTGGACTGAGATTTTGCAACAAGGTCTTGGCGGAACGGATGGCACAGATGACACTGTTGTCAGTGAGCTTTCTCGGTACCTTGGCGGCTTACTAGCAGGCCATTGATGCTACAAGGCTAGTAGCGTTCTGTAAACTAGAATAATGTAAATCATGTACTTCTAAAAATAGCACCACCCGATAATTGCTCGCTCCACTGATCAAGGACAAGCCGCCACATCTGATGCCCAGCCTTTATGTTATTTCTTGGAACCTAGGTTTCTTGGTTGCTGGATACAACCTGACGATAGTCTATTGGTGGAAGGAGAATTTTTCACATATCAATGTCTAAGTTGTCTATAGATCTCTTGAGATCTGGCAGGATGACGATCAGATAGGAGGATGAGTAGCCTCAACCCCATAACCAAAGCATCAGCTCCCCCCTATTCCCCCGAGATTACTCGGCAGACTAGCCACAAGATTGTTCTCGCTGCTAGTGATTTAACTGAAAGGCTGGCGAAATGCAAGGCGAAGGATTCCGGCCCCTTGCTGTTAGGCGTGGACAGCTTTGTGGTAGGTAGCAATTTACTTGCAGAGCATCCATGCCTTCTCCTTCAAGGGAGACCTTTTGCTCTTATCGCAGGAGCTGTTATATGTGTCTCTTCAAGAGATCCACATGAATTGCATGTGAAGTATGCAAACTTGAACAGGCTCTTCTAGACATCAAGCCCCGACATAGCTAGAAAGCCACACAAACACCACACGGCATTCGAAATTACTTCTTCCACATCTAAACTCCCATCCCTCCCAGTACAAATAACACCCTAGCGCCTCCTCCGCTTCCTCCTGCCGTAACATCACCCCCCATCTCACCTGCCAAGAACAAACCCTAGCTCCCTTCCCCGCAACCAAAGCCCCAGACCAGTAAAGATCACCCCTAATCCGGCTAATCAAGCTACTTCACCCTGGGGGAGTCACTTCTACTAAGCCCAGCATAGCTTCATGCTACGTCGTATCTGGGGGATCAGCCCGTCCTTCCCTGAACCTTTTCCCCATAACCCCCACACCCCCGCCCGAAGCTGGGGTACGCGCTCTGGGCATGGGCGGCACTTGAGCTGTAGAGCAGGGATCGGATTCGTGGATGTTCTCATCTGAGTCTCCTCGCCTTGTCTGAGACTTTTGTCGCGATTCTTATAGGCTGCACAGGCTTGGCAAGATGATGGGCTCGGATGATACTTTCTCGTAAATTGGGTTAGAACGTGCTTTATCACTTGCCGACGGTTTTGTTAGAGGTAGTTGCCGAGGATTGTTATATCTTTCGCGTTCTGGCTGGGTGGCCATTGTTTGCTTTTTACCTCTGCCTGCACCTGGGATAGATTCGTACGCCACTCACGATGTCGTGGTTTTTGCAGAAGATCGTCCATAATGAGGCGATGAGAACGGATCCGAAGGAGATCTATGGATGGAGAGTCTATGCGCTTGCTTGTTCGGTGAGTGTTGCTTTCCAGAAGAGGACGTGGTGTCCTGATGAATTCGTAGGCGTGTTGTGGAGGAATGCTTTTCGGTATGGACTCGGGCATCATTGGCGGAGTTCTCACGATGCCTACATTTGAAGAGTGAGTGGTGTCCTGCTTTCAGTCAAATTGAGCTGTACTAACTTCTCCCAGAACCTACGGCCTCAAAGGCCTCGATAGCGTCGCCAAAGCAAACCTTTCCGCCAACATCGTCTCCACCCTCCAAGCAGGATGCTTTTTCGGAGCCCTTATTGCTTCTCCAGCAGCCGAAAGATGGGGTCGCAGACTCTCTCTTATCGGTGCAGCAGTGGTTGGAGTCGTGGGAGTGATAATGCAAGCCTCAGCCAGTGGCCACCTCCCAGCCATGTACGTCGGACGGTACGTACAACACTCTCAACCCGCAACCATGATGTACCATTCTCTAACTATATCGCAGCCTCATAACCGGCTTCGGAGTCGGCGCCGCCTCGATGATTAACCCCCTCTATGTCTCCGAGAACGCACCACGCGCCATCCGCGGTGGACTAACGGGTCTCTACCAGCTCTTCATCACAATGGGAATCATGCTCGCTTTCTGGATAAACTACGGCTGCCTACTTCACCTCTCCGGCTCGGCAATGTACCTCGTCCCACTAGCTATGCAAGGTCTTCCCGCCGTGCTCTTGTTCGTGGGTATGCTCCTCTGCAACGAGTCACCCCGTTGGCTCGCCAAGCAGGATAGATGGGAAGAAGCGCGCGCTACCTTGTGCAAAGTCCGCGCTTTACCTGCCGACCACCCATACGTTGAAGACGAGTTCCAGGCTATCGCATTGCAGCTGGAGCAGGAGCGGGCACTTGTTGGCGGCTCTGGATTCTGGGATCTCATGAAAGAGATGTGGCTTATTCCGGGAAACAGGAAGAGGGCCATGATCTCTATATTCTTGATGGTTTGTCAACAGATGACGGGAACGAATGCTATCAACTACTACAGTCCTCAAATCTGTATGTCCCCTCCTCCTCAACCTGACTGACGGGCAAGAGCTAACTTTCCTTCTAGTTAAGAATGTGAGTTTTTAACCAACCCCGGCCTCACAGCCCCTTCAAGAGTCATGAAGAGAAACTAACATATTCCAGCTCGGTGTGACCGGAAACGCAACAAACCTCTTCGCAACAGGCGTCTACGGCATTGTCAAAATGATCAGCTGCGGTGTTTTCCTAGTCTTCGTCGCCGACTCCCTCGGCCGTCGCCGCTCCCTCCTTTGGACATCTGTCGCCCAAGGTATGGCAATGATGTACATCGGACTATACGTGCGCATCGCACCACCCGTGGAAGGCGCCCCCGTCATACCCGCCGGGTACGTCGCTCTGGTGTGCATCTTCCTCTTCGCGGCGTTCTTCCAGTTCGGCTGGGGTCCAGTCTGCTGGATCTATGTCTCTGAGATCCCGACTGCGAGGCTGCGGTCATTGAATGTTGCATTTGGGGCCGCAACCCAGTGGCTGTTTAATTTTGTGGTTGCGAGGGCTGTGCCGAACATGCTGGCTACTGTTGGGTCGAACGGTTATGGGTGAGTTTCTGGTCGAGTGTAGATTTTCTTGCCTTGGGGGTTGTTGCTGACGGGTTGGTCACAGGACGTATATTATCTTCTCGTGCTTCTGTTTCTCGATGGGCGTCTTTGTTTGGTTCTTTATCCCTGAGACGAAGGGTATGTCGCTTGAGAAGATGGATGATCTCTTTGGTGTGACGGAGTTAGTGCAGCAGAAGGCTGCGGACCCGGAGCATGCGCTGGCTGCTGAGGATAGGGACAAGGCTGTTGACACTCATGTAGAGCGTGTTGCTCATTGGAGTAGAGTACACTGATTCCATCGCTACTTTAGCATGAGGATGAAATGGGATTTGTCGATTTCTGAATGAATGATTTGTATTCCAAACTGTATGGAAGTAAACGCCCCAACTCGCACCGACCAGGCGCTCGGGGAGAGGGTCCACAGCTATCCAGTCTTCCGTAGTTAGGTCCAGTCTGGGCTCCTCAGCTGCTTCTCTGATCGCCGCGTCTTCATCACCCCCATCCTCTAGATCCCGCTTCCCACGCAGCAACGCGACAAACAGGAGTCTGGAACGGCGTGATCTCTATGTCAGTACTATGAAATAGAACTTGTTTCTGATAACCGGTTTGTATTTGACACTGCATAGGCTATCTATTTTAGTAGGCTCGTCTTAGCTTCACCGCCGTCGACAAAGTCGACGAGGATTACTAGACCCCGACACCACGTTGAGGTGCAAGCCTTTCGTCGGGGTAAGTCGCGAAAGAATAAATGGCAAAAGATCAGCAAATAGATGGCAGTAGATGGCAGTAGATGGCAGCAGTATGGCAGTAGATGGCAAATAGATGGCAGATGGTACCCTACGAAGATTTACCCTACAGATGGAGGTTACCTTGCAAGGGGGCTACTTGGGGAGAAAAGGAGAAGAAGAGAAGAACAGCCAGGGACGCGACTTAAGTACCCAGGCCGACCTCCTAATTAGGCAAAGTCCCAATCAGCTGGTCCAGCATGATAAGCAGACGACAAGATGACGTTCAAGTCGTGAACGTCCCTTGTGTACATCCCTTGTATACAGAAGGACTAGTCGATGTGGTGGTTCCAAGGGTTCCATTCGGCTACATTAGGGATAGTTCCAACCCAGCAGTGCACCAGTCGGCAGTTAGAAATCAGTAATCATCCGGTTTGCCTTCAGGTTGAATAACTATGCGACTCTTCAAGACTTGAATTGTATTCGCACTGTCCATATCCTTGTGGATCTTATGTACAGTGCAGTCGTTTACCCGACGCGGCGTAGTTGAAAAACGAGAATGGCAACGAGTAGTATTCTGCATATCCATTTCAAATTTCATTCAGTCCAGCTGCACTTTAACTGCGAGTCCCCACGGCTATCTTTCAGCGTGACCTTAGATGTACTTGAAACCACGGAAATTCCGAAAGATTCGATACGCCCCGTTGAGCGTGGCAGCCATGCCACCGCCGGCGGTAGCCCAAGCGGCTCCCTGGACGCGCAAAGAACTAGCCGGGATAGGCCTTTGTTGTTTCTTTGGGTTATCTGCATAGCTCATAAGTAGCTAGAAGACACCATGGCTCTTCCATGTCATACCTGGAGCCGGCCATGATCGTTTCGGCAGCGAGCCGACCTGCTGGTCGAGCATATTTTGGAAGTTATTGAATGAAGACATCTTGGATGGTCGTTGAACTGGGACGGCGATTCACGTCAGACCAGGTCTTTTATTATGTCCATGTCCATGTCCATGTCCAAGTCCATCAGTGGCTGATGACAGAGTATCAGCTGATGGTGAGTTGATGGGCTGATTGGTTGTACCAAGCTTCTGCTACCTGGTTCCCCGCTATGATTTGTCTCTCTGCTTTAGAGCTCCCTGGATCGAAGCCCTGTTTCTTGATTAGTAGGCTGGAGAGCACAGAGGCGTGCTCAGTTGTACTCCCGGTTGATCTAGGTAGCTGTGGTTCTTCACTCCTCTCTATGCCAGTAGTCCCGATTGGAGGATATTTGGCCTATCATGCACTGGTTGTCTCTGGAACAGGTATGATCGAAAGAGTGGCCATCTACTGTCATAAATATTGGAATACTCGGGGCAGTCACTTAGAAGTGTATCCACATCGCTCTTTCGTCATTTCATGTCAGTCGTCAAACCCTCCAAGCCTATGTACAGCACTTGGGCAGAAGTAACACAACGCGGCCCAAAACAAAACAAATACAACCACCTTCGCTATGAATGCGATGCTTGGTGAACCAAGTTCCCAAAAACAAAATATAAAGACAATTTGACCAGACCCGAGAGATTCTAGCCTGCTAGAATGCTGAAGATAGGAGTAAACAAAAGTAAGGTGAAAAAACCAAAAAAAAAACCTGCAGACTGTCGCGGAGATTGAAAACTGAGAAATGACAGAATCAGATGAAATTTCTCATCTGATAGGATGGCCGGGGCGCCGGAGGCTCCCTATGCCTTGTTGTGTTTGACTCCGCGTCATGCGACGAGGAGTAGGGCGGTCTTCTAGACTCAGGCCGCCGATTCCGGAGCCAAGTTCGTTTTTTCGTGGTGAAAATGCGGAGTTCAAGCCGATGTGTTGGTTGCGCCCGTACCTGATGTTGAGGCCGGTAGCATCGGTCCTGTTTGTGGCCGTGGTCGCGATTGTCTCAGTGTCCGAATCCTGTTCGTAATCCGACGGTGGATCGCTTGCTCTGAGGTCGCTCATAGTGAAGCTGTGGGGGTTTTTTGAAGGGAAGGTATTGAGAGACCGAGACGATGAAAGCCCGTAGTTCGGTACCTCCGGTAGCGCCGAGGAGAGGGTGGAGGCTCCGTCGGAGGATCCAAAGGAGAGAACAGGCGCGCTGCGTTGAGAGAACGACGGCAGAGGGGCGGGTTGCTGCGACCCAAACGATGGTGCCACGGGAGATCTATTGGGTGGGGACTCCACTGAAGGCCAGGCAATGGCACCGGGTTTTGGCGACTGCGATTGACGTTGTGGTGACCCGGGCTGAGGAAAGAAAGGACTTGTCGGTTTTTGAGCGTCTGGCATACCCGCAACTGGCAATGCACGATGGAAAGCCAAAAGGCCCAAAAACTCTTGGACGGTCATAAACACCAGGAGCAACTTCCCATATCGATCAAAGTAGGCGCGCTCGAAATCAACTTTGGGCAGATGGCTACCCAGGTGGACAGCGGCGACAAGTTCTGTGAGATATACCAAAATTTCCATGCCATTCCAATGCACCATAGGTCGCTTGACTGCTTCTAGGAAAGCAAAGCCCGCAATTAGACTGGCGCTGCCTAGAGCACTAGCCTCGATATAATTCCCTTTAACAAAGAGCTCGTGGTTCTGAGAAAATGTCCACGCAGCCATGGAAGCCAACAACAAACCCAATCGGAGGTACTGATACACGAGCTGGCTTTGAATGGGACGGGAAGGAGCACCTTGGTTGCGCTCTCCGTGGCCCTTGTCTCTCTTCGGCGCATCCTTGCTAATGTCGAATGTGTCTTCAAAAAGTGCCTCCAACCCGGTCATTTGATTATAATCAGCCCGTGGAAAGAACCGCGGGGCTTGGAAGATAGCCTCTGGTTTTGCACGGTATTGTTGCAGCATGTTTGGCGCCTGGACGGGGCTTCGGTGGAATGGATTGGGTTGAACAACTTGTTCAATAGGCTTGTTTGACTGGCGAGTGCGAAGGTTCCAGGCTGGGGGCTTCGGAGCAGCTGGCAGATTTCCATAGAACGGTGAAGGGCCATCGAAAACACTGGGTGATGGCAGGTTTCTTTGGGTCACACTCACACTTGGCCGGAGGTTTTGCGGAGCAGAGGGAGTCCAATCCATATCATCGGGCACGGGTGGAGGCGTAGGAGGAACAACGGGCGACTTATCCGCCGGGGGCGGAGCTGTAGCTAGCTTTCCAATTGGGAAGGATGGGGTAAACGGTTTGTCGTTGCCATTTGGTGAGTTGATCTGTGGTTGCCCACGATCAGCTGGCGCAGGAGAGGAACCAGGGCTCCGAACCCTCGTCTCCCAGGAGTGATCTGCCCAATTCACCAAAGGGCTAGCGTCGTACCTAACGACTTGACGGGAAACCACAACAGACTAGAAAATTAGTTCACGATCAAAGGATAAAGGAGAGGAAAGCTCACGAGAATAGTAAACATGAACATGAACATATGCAGGGCAGGAGGTAAATCAGATTTGAGGCCACTCGCAGATGGGTCCTTGAGCAGAGCCCAGAACACGCAGCGCGCTACCAACACAACGAGTTGGCCCTTGTAGTACTCTGAAAGACCGATAAATCTGCCGTCTTTCCCATTCACTTTCATACGTAGCTTGGGATTCCACCATATCGAAAGACAGCCTGCAACGAGCGAGAGACCAGCCAATGATGCCAAGTCATGGGAGCACTCGTTAGGGATGCGCCTAATTTCCCATGCATGTCTCCCACAAGATAGTAATGATGGCATGCTCTCCAGGAAGTCATTATGCCCGAAGTTGGGACCAGTCAAAGTACTCATTGCGTCCCAAGCAAGTTGTCCGCCCACACTACCCCAGTACCCAAGGGCACCCGCGTAAACCAGAAGGCTGCGCCAGCCCCAGTTCCTTTCCCTCTTTGCAGCTTTACTGGCTCTGCTTCGATCCATCATGCGTCGGAGGTGGTCTGCTTTCGCTTCGTATCCAGCCTGGCGCATGCGCTGCACCACGCGAGGCTCACAAGCATCACACACTTGGGGGTACTGGTCTTCCATGGTCTTGCGGAACGCCTCGATGCGACGCTCTTCATCGGGATGATTGGGGTCATCAGATGCTTCGGAGTAGTTTGCCAGAGATGTCGTAAGCAGGTGCTGGTTGCGAAGACATTGGGAGCAGAAGAGATCGGAGCCTCTGGCTATTGAATCGGCCGGGTCGGGACGCGGACTCCATACGCCAGCGGGGTTTGTCTCCGCAGCTGGGGGGTCTGTGATTTCTCCATTCTGTACAGATTTTGCATGTTAGTGTATTTTGAAGGGGCTTTGTTTCGGGTTTCGAGGACACACCTGGTCGAGGTAGGTATCGGCGTCGCAATGACTGCAATGAAATTTGCCAATCGATCCACGGACTGGTTGGGGAGAGCGATGCCCACAGCCGTGGCAGGTCAAGCGCTTAGGGAAGAGCGCCATGGCATAGTAGCAAGCTGGCGTTGTTTCAAGTATGAAGGGAGAAACCAAAGAGGACAAGAAAATAAACCCGGGGATGCACAGACCACTGCGGGCACGTGTTGTCGACGCGACAGCTTCAATTCTGTCCAAAAGAAACACTCGTTGCTCGGGGAATACAGCTGCCATTCGCACCTGCTGTCGGCTTTTTTTTTCTGACATTCCACTTTCCCTCCATCATGAACTTGTCATAGCACCTCGAACCTCGAGCCCTCAACACCTCGGCGAATACCCAGTGACATCATGGCTTCTACTCTCTGGCTTCTTTGGAGGCTCTTTTGGCAGCTTCTCGGCCCAATTACGACCTTTGCTTTTCTTGTTGTTGTTGTTCGTGATGTCCTCAAACTAATCATAACTACGCTATACATACTGAGCTGACCTATGACTATCCAGGTCATCGTCGCCTCGCTAGCATATTCCCATAATGCCACGATACCCCGAGTCCGCCGGAAGAACCAGCCCGTTCACCTGCTCCTGGTGCTCGGCAGCGGTGGTCATACAGCAGAGATGTTCAGCATGATGAAAAACATACCTCTCGATCCCACTCACTATACCTACAGGACGTACGTCGTGAGCTCGGGCGATGATTTCAGCGCCAAGAAAGCCAAAGAATTCGAGTCCGGTTTCCTCAAGAAGGGCGAGTCAGATTACGCCATTGTCACAATTCCACGAGCACGACGTGTCCATCAGTCATACTGGACCACACCTCTCTCGACCTTCCAGTGCCTTTGGGCGTGCTTCGATGTTCTTCTTGGACGATATCCGGGTCAGGTGCGACTGCCCATGAATTATCTCTCGCCTCAGCCCGACCTCATCATTACCAATGGCCCAGCCGTAGGCTTTTGCATTGTTCTCGCGGCAAAAATGATCCGATTCTATGAATCGGTCTCCCGTTGGATGTGCGGTAGCAGCTCCACGCAGGCCGTATCACGACTGCGAACCATATTTGTAGAATCATGGGCCCGCGTCAATGGCCTCAGCACTACTGGAGTCTTATTACTTCCTTTGGCTGACGTCTTCCTCGTTCAATGGCGGAGTCTGGCTGGGCGACGGGCATGGCCGGGGATGAAGCAGACACAGTATGCGGGCGCGGCTGTGCTACCAAACCCCGAGGGCAAAGAGCACATCAAAGGCGTTCAAAGTTAGGCTCTGCTATGGTGTTCTAGTGTAGCCATCTGAATTGAAATGACTTATCTGACAACACCCGAGGCTTGATTTAGCAGTACTTTCTCCTCCACATACCGATGTGGGGATTATGGAGTCGTTCTGGGGCGATAAAGTGTATTATCTACCGAAGATAGCCGAGTCCGGAGTAGATTTAAATTTATTATCCTCAATTGTCCCATATCTGGGCGGAAATTAACTCTTAAATATTTAGCGTCGGAAAAAATCCGTTGTACTGCGTCCAATCTACCGCATTGTGCAGCCCCGCATCCCCCTCATTGAGCTGGTCCTGTGTATCTTGCGAACGTGAGAATTCTCTCTTTGATTCATTCGTTGCATACCCCTGACAGGCACAGATATCTGTAAATAAACGTTTTCACCAAGCCATTCACAATGCCTTATTCTCTGAAAGGTCGCAATGTCCTAATCACCGGCGGCTCTCGGTAAGACCAATTGCTCTGCGGAGAACAATCAATTTCAAGCTGTCACAGCTGACACAAAATCAGAGGCTTGGGAGCTCTCGTGGCTAACAAGTTTGCCGCCGAGGGAAGCAACGTCGCCATCAACTATGTGTCAAACAAGGAGACAGCCGATCAAGTTGCCTCTGAAATCGCAAGCAAGTACGGAGTCAACACCATCGTTGTGCAAGGTGTAAGTCGATTAACCCGGCTATACTTTCAAATACAGAATCACTAATAATGCCATCTTGGTATTCTGTAGGATGCGGGAAGCCAGGCCGAATGCACCAATGTCGTCAAACAAACTGTTGAACAACTGGGTGGCTTGGATGTCGTGATCTCAAACGCGGTGGGTCCATCCGTGATATACTTGCAAATGGCTTGATTTCTTCTGACGCAATCACACAGGGATGGACTAAGATGGTCAACTTTGCCGATCTGGACGCAATGGATGACGCCGACTGGGATAAGGTATTTGCCTAAGTGCCCACTTTGAGCCATCTATACTAACCCCCGCAGTGCTGGAATGTCAATGTCAAGAGCAGCTTCTATCTTTTTAAAGCTGCTTTGCCCACATTCAATGCTAATCCCGAAGGCGGTGCCTTTATCATCACTTCGTCAACTGCTGTAGGTGACTACATGATATGACTCTAAAATATTGGAAGCTGATTTCACAACAAAATAGGGTGTCACCCCCAGTGGTAGCAGCTTGCCATATGCCGTCACTAAGGGAGCTGGTAGACTTCTCTGATTCTAAATTGAAAAAGTCATTTGCTGATACCCGCCACAGTGATCCACCTCATGAAATGTCTTGCTCATACTCAGGGCCCTAAGGTCCGAGTTAATGCCGTACTTCCCGGCCTGCTGTTGACTGAATGGGTATGTGTTTTGTTATACGCTACTCCAGAGGAGATTGCTGACGGTGTCCTAGGGCCAGCGATTCACTTCCGATCAGATCGACGGATGGAAGGCAAGGACGGCTCTTAAGCGACTGGTAAGTCACCAGACTCTATCTACTGATTTACTCTAATGACTTCGTGATAGCCCGAGGTCGAAGACACCGCAGATCTCTACATTTCCACCGCGAAGAACTCTTCAATGACGGGACAGGCCGTTCAGATCGGTATGTACTACTTCTTCGCTTAGATGGTAGAACTAACTTTTCTAGATGCTGGATTCGCTTTTAAATAGGCTTCACGTTGATCTTGCAGAATTGGGAGTATCATTTGTTACAATGAGATAGAGACGCCAAAGCATGTCATTGAACTTATTATGAAGGGTATTATCCTGATAGACAACAATATCGTACAAACTTTACTTTTTCAAACCAGAGGATTGCGGAAAGTTGTAAACTCAACACTTTCCGACTGGAACGACCGATCACCAAACATGCGAGCTTTAATTGCAGCACGAAGTCCATCGGCCACCGCTTCACCCTCCACTTTCATCTTATTGATGCGCAGAACCCTGCCATCCCGAGTAAACGCATGAAGAGCTCTTCCTTTCTTGGGCTCAACGGGACAAGGGACATTCACGAATGGCAGACCGGGAACCACAGCTAAAGTGTCACATCCTTTCGGGGGCTCCACTTCTTCAATTTCGGTCAGAATTACTCGCTTCTGTTGGAATGTGAGAGGGCCATCTGAAGGGTTCGATGCAACAAGTGCCTTGCTCCATAAAGGACCGAGGACTCGGTTGCGTCGGTTGATCTCGAGCATTGTCCAGTTTGCCCAGTCGATGTGCAGGTCCTCTGGTTTGATTTTGCTTGCGTGAGTTAGGTTCTCGGTTGTTTCTTTGGTCCGCCAGCCTACTTCCTTTACGGGAGGTACAAATAGGCCATCTTTTATGCCATCCACTAGTAGCTGGGCACCCTTTGGTGCAACGAAGTTCAGAAGCTCGGGGACAGTGCAGAAGTCGGGATTGGGAATATCAATGCCGGGCGGTGGTGTCTGGGCGAGAATAGTTCCATGATCAAAAGTTTTGTGGTGTAGTGTCTGGAGGGTAACTCCAGTTGACTTTTCTCCTGCCAAGAGAGTGTGGTGCAACGGAGCTGGGCCGCGGAAACTATAGTGGAGTCAGTAGACATTCTCGTCATTGTAATCAGATGATCACCCACTCCGGCAGTAATGAAGGATGCACGTTCAGTCCGCCGTAGCTAGCGGAGTTCAGAATACGCGGAGGTACAAACAGTCCGAAGGATACCGCGATGATCAGATTGATCGGACCATTCGGGGTAACTGGAGGCTAGTATAATGAGTACTTATGGAAGGACAACTTGTTCGGTGAATTTATTCTTACAGTCCATCCAGTAAATGTGTCAATCTCATGAATTGGAAGTGAGAGGGACTCGGCAGTCTCCCTGATGGGCACTGCATGAATCCATATATCAGAATGAGAAGTTATAAGTATTCAATTACACTCATGTATGGGACTTACCTTGACGAATTTTCTTCAAGCCTCTTCCCACTCGCTTTCCCGGGCGGCAAACCACGTCAATAGAAGCAATCCGATTCGGTTGTTTCAAGTGATAGGCATGGAGAGCTTTCAAGGAGGCAATACTAAACTCGTCGGAACCGCAAAACAAGATCCTGAGAGGGTCATGCGTTTTGGTCGAATAAAGCCTCGATGCAGGCCATCGAGAAATAGAGATAGTCTTGCAGAGACCAAAAGGTCCAGCTCCACGTACGACGAACATGATTGACTCCGCAAAAGCCGGGGAAAGCTCGAGACGCAGTTCAAAAGACCGACTTATCGATAAGCCGCCACGTGATATCAACATCATCGACCCCGGCCCCTCGTCTCGTTCTCCGCGCTGACTTGCGATCGCTTGAGTGCGAGTTGCAGACGATGCGATGCTTGAAAACGATCATGACAGCGTTATTCCCGCGCAGCTCTCCTTCCTCGCCATCTACAACCCGACCCTCGGCCCCACCGATGAGACGTTAGACGACCAGATCGTGTTCCACACCTCGAAGGCGGACAATCAACGTACAGAGGACTCTAACGCGGAGGAAGGGGATGGGAAAATATACGAGAGTAGCAGGAATGACAAGTTGCGTCAGATCGGCCTCGCGCAGGGCATGGTGAGCTTTGCCAGGTGGGGACCCTTCCAAAGCTTGCGACTGAATACAGCTCATTGGGTTTTGAATCAGCAATTTCTCGGACAAGCCACTGGAATATGTCGAAACTGATAAATCACGGGTAGTTCTTCTCGAACTGGAGAAGGACTGGTGGATTGTTGCTGTAAGGGCGACTGAGGTCTTCGTGGAAACATCACAGCTTACGTCGGACTAGTCTATCGATCTTACTCGATCACCCGCTGATCCATCTCAAAATTCCTCGGGCGACGGAGCTGGCTCTCCTGCGTTTCAATACTCGGCGAGGGAAATGGGCCCCTCACAGCTAGTTATCCAGCAACTACGGCGTGCGAACTCGGTATTCCTGCTCCTTCATGACTTCTCCTTGAGCAATCTCTACACTCGCGTTGGAAGAACTGCATTCTGCCTCTTTTTAGAACGTTTCTGGGAGAAATTTGCATGGAATTGGGATCTCCTTTTGACCGGAAACCCCATCGTGGAAATTTATAATGGGATCAAACTAGCCGCGGGAGGAGAGTTGGGAATTGGGGTTGGAGAGGAAGAATGGGGTAGTGGCGAAAGAGAAGTCCTTGAAGACTTTGTGGCCAGGACAGAGGGATTGGTTGACCTGGTTGTCTCGAGGTTTGGGGATCCGTCCAGGCAAGCCAACGACTCTCCCCCAATATCCAGAAACGGTGAAAGTCAATGGCTAGGGTCAGATATTGACCCTCGACCTGCGGATGGAATCATTTTTTCCGGGGCTGGATCTGTTTCCCGTCCCTCTTTGACACATTTGTCTCACTGGGTGGAGTGGATCTTCCGATACGGCGACGCAGCGTATGGAATTGGGCGGGACCCAAACTCGCTGCGTCGGCGAAAACCAAGAAGGCAAAGAAGGCATGAATCAGCTGGAGCTCAGCCGTCAACGCCAGACCTCGGTTACACGCCGGGAATCCCTCGCCCGCTGGTGTTGGCAGAGCCACAGCCACTTCCCAAGGCCCGAGAGAACACGCCGGAAAGAGGAAATGAGACCCCTCTGCCAGAAGATGACCAAACTACAGACAAGTCGATGTTCCCAACGGACACGGTCATGAAGTACCTGACCCTTGGCTATGGCTCCGCTTGGAGCTTTTCTCCCAAATCATTATCTGAGTCACCTGTCGGTTCTCCCAGTGAAGTCAATGAATCAACGGCTACCACTTCTGGACAAAACGAAACTACCGCGGCACGGTCTCCGCCGCCCATCGAACCACGGCTCCGCGAACAAAGAAATGAACCAAAGAGCCATACACATGGCCGCTTTGTCCTAGGACCCCGTGATGATCTGGATACTCTGGATGACCTTGAAGAAGGAAGTCCGGAGCCTAGGGTGGAGAGCAGATCGAAGAGTCGAATCATACACCGGACAGTTCATGTCCAATTGACAGATTCTGACGAGGTCAAACAGCTTCAGGCAGTTATATACGTGGTAAGTATCGCTTGACTTGCGTGACGCCAATTCAACAAGCTAATATCCCATAGCACCAACCATTCGTGTTCACGTTCCTGTTCGACCCAGAGACCTCATCTCTATCATCTCCAAGTCTATACACAAGCATCCACCACCAACTAGGCCCTCTCCAAAAACCTCTCTTGGCATCAACCTCTCCCACAACCGCCGCCTCGCGCATTTCTATGACAGAGGGCACACCCGATTCCAGCAAGCGCCAAGTAGTCTACGACCTCGTCTATGACCCATCAAACCTAACTATCCGTTCATCCATCCCAAATATCCCGGGCCTTTCCACACCCTCTCATATCAGAGAACCCTCGGGCTCCCCGCGCACTCCCTCTCCCTCTTCCTCTCGGCCAAGCACATGGTCACGCGTCGAGAGCCTGGCAATCCACCACCGCCTCCTAACAACATACGTCGACACCCGCACCCGGCCGCAGGAACTCGAGCGTACCAGCAAAACCAATCGAAGCTGGTGGATAGTCTGGGTACGCTTCAACAACGCCTCAGTTTCTGCACCTGCTCTATCCCTAGATGAAGACCAGCTCCCTTCAACGGCCCCATCTCCTCGATTGGATATTACTCCATCTCCAGCTCAGGAAGCCTTCATCGTCCGCAAAGCAAGTGACTACGTCTCTCCAACCAGCCACGCCCGGATCAGCAGCGGAGCGCGCTTCTTCCGCGACCTAGGCGGCGCTTCATCTACCAAGTTAAGTTCATCCCGAGCAAACGACACCACGCCGTCAAAGCTAGCCGAGGGACTTGGTATGGATGCGCGACGGTACATCGAGGGCTTGCTAAGTCTGAACCGGTCATGACACAGGTCTTTGTTCAAACATGTAACTTGTGATGTTAGCCTCCTTGGATACGCAGTACAGTACGAAGCCAGTAAATAAGCACCCATTCTAATTCCGTGCATGCATGTGCATATCTAGTAGCAAAACGCCTGACTTCCTCGGCTGTCAGACCCCAGCAACCTCGTAAGAACTGCAGCAGTTACATACACCGCGCCGCCAAGAAGGCTGGACTGTTTCAGAACCGCCAATATTGGCGGGCCGTCGGCTGTCTGAGACACAGATAAACTCTTCACACTATGGGGCCCTTGCATATGTGTCTACACATGGAGTACACGAAATGGCCTAGAGCTACACTGTGCCATTGTATTACATACTCAAATATTCAAGCCTCATATGGTCTAGAACACGATAAAATCAAGGACTTCATGCATTAACTGTCATGATAAAGATTAAGCAGGGCTCTTCGCTGGGGAGGGAGAGATATCCGAAAGGGGAAGGGAATCATCTATCATCACACGGAACTTCTAGGCGCTACTTCCGATTCTCTCTTTTCCAAGGTTCTTTTTTTTTGGTTTTGGTTAAAGAGCAAAAAGAAGTTTATACTGCCACGATGGGTAACTTTGTCATTGAGATCCACGGTGTCGGATGGAAGGGGGAAGAGAGACAGGGGAAAAAGAGAAAAGCCCACAGGGTTATGAAGACAACGCCTCCCTAGACAAATTCTGCAAAATAAAGGGCAAAAAAAAGGAAAAAGAGAAACACAAGTGTCGGCCAACTGCAGAGGGGGTGTAGAGGGAAATTCCACGACTCGGGCGCCCGGGTTCGACATTATCCACGATCTCGCATCTCGCATCTCGCATCTCGCATTGCAGGCTCAGCAGCCCCCCGAGATATTAGAAAAAGACTAAATTTGCCCGAGTCTCTTGACGGTTCCGATCTTCGCTCGAGCCGATCCGCGCTAAAAGCCGAAGGGTAGTTTACAGGATCAGACACTTCTTGCCACTCTTGGGCTTCTTCTGGGCCTTCAGCAAGGCTGCGCGGGTGGCGGCCTCGAAGACCTCACGAACACCCTCGTTTGTGCGGGCAGAGCACTCGAGGTACTTGTAGGCGCCAATCTTCTTGCGAACTTCCTCACCCTGTGAAATGTGTTAGCCATTATCCCGGGTGTTCCGAAGGTTCTAGGGGGAAAGACAGGGGGGAACGAACCTGCTCAGGGGTGACGGGCTTCTGAGAGGTCTTGGTGAGCTCCTCGATGGTCTTGGGGTCGTGGCGCAGATCCTTCTTGCAGCCAACAAGGATGATGGGAAGGCCCTGGCAGAAGTGGAGAACCTCGGAAATCCACTACAAAACCGCGTCAGCACTCAAGATGCGCAAGCACATGCAAATCGATTAACACCCACCTTTTCCTGGACGTTGTCGAGCGAATCAGGCGAGTCCACGGCGAAACAGATCAAAATGACGTGCGAGTCGGGGTATGACAAAGGACGGAGACGGTCGTAATCTTCTTGGCCAGCCGTATCCCAAAGAGCAAGCTCGACGTGCTTGTTATCAACCTCAACATCGGCGACGTAGTTCTCGAAGACGGTAGGGACGTAGACCTGCAATCATACTGTCAGAATGTGTTGTTTCGGGGCTGATGCGGTCGGGACGGTGCCAGAGATAAGGCACGAGATCGGGGGTCACGGAGTAGTCCGGGGGTGGGGAGCTCACCTCAGGGAAGGTACCCTTTGAGAAGACACTGCAGGAGAATTTCTGTCAGATCGTCTGAATCGAATGAAGGGGATTCAAAGGGGGTGCGGAGGGGGATAGTTCTGATGTCAGAGTACTTACATGAGCAGACAGGTCTTACCGCAGGCACCATCGCCGACGATGACGAGCTTGCGTCGAATCTCGGCCATCTGTGCAGAGAGTTAGCAGAAGAAAACGATCTGAAAGAGCGCAGTGATGGACGGAGCGGTGGAGTGGGATGAAGGAGGGGGGTGGTCAGGGAGTAAGGCAGGAGTGTTGGGAAAGGGACAGGTTCAGGCTGCTCCGGGGGGATTCTCAGGGAGAAGGGGCAAAAGGGTCAACCCGTACTGTGAATTAAGAAGAGGCGCAAGTAGATTTAGAAGGGAGAGAAGACCAAAACTAGGTAATGCCGAGTAGCAGAAGCCAGGAAAAGAGAGATGGATTGAGGATGGGAAGAATATTTGATGACTTGGAGGTGGAGGAGGAGAGGCCAGACTACGCTGGGCGGTGGCCGCTGTATTTGTTGTATTCTCTGTACTCTGTCGTATTGCTGCCTCGTTTTGTCGGGGTATTTGTTGTGGTACGTGGTATCGTTTTTCCCTTTTCATTTCCCCTTCCCCTGATGAAAAGTAAGACTTCAGGTACTCGTGACATGCACCATTCTTGCTATTTCGAAGTCCCAATCTACTCTCGTGGCCAGTTCTGGTGCCTTTTTTTTTCCACTTGAATTGATGATCACCTTACTCAAGCACCGTTCTCGAGTCCCTCAGCCAGGAAGGGATCTGCTGCAGCGGTAATACGGTTACCGTGCCAGCCTTAGTAGGTTATGTGTGGCTGAGCGGGTCCGTATTCGCGTCACTCATTGTCTCTTGAGACTCAGCCACCGTGGCTGTGACCTGGAAACGAAAGAGTTATGCAATGATCGGACTTTCTGATATCATAGAAAGGGGCTAGGCCTAGTCATCTAAGGTACTCGGGTGAAATGATGGTTCACATGGAATATCTGTGCCATGAGGGGGTACTTTGGATACCTTTCCCATCAGAATAGAATTCACAGGGAATGAGTGGATCGACAATCTGACCAGCCTTTGCTCAATAGATTGACATTCTGACTCTATTGTTTGTACGAAACAGCCCTTCTCTTTCATCAATTTTGAAAGCACACGTGTCTCATGCCCAGGGCCCTCGGAATCATCGATAACGGGAAATTATCTCCCCAACTGCTCGTGCGTGGAAAAAAATACATGCGCCGCCGTCCCCGACCTTTGGAAATCTTCGTACAACAGAAAGAAGACCGCCTAGTGGTGCGTCGTGCTCCGGTGGTTGCCTAGTGCAAATTGTTAAATGCTTGGGTCAACTGTCCACTGACGATCGCTCCGATGGTTTCCTAGAGCTTTCCGCTTACCACAACTCACCAAACGCGGCTGAAAAAAAGACCGGGGCTATCAAGCTCCTTCCCCTTGATTTGATGAGAGACTTCTAGGGGCCCCAGCTCCAGCCGAAGCCGCCCTTTCCCGCCCATTGCCCCCTCGTTTTGCTATAGTTGGTATCTAAATCATCTAATCGACGCAAAAATGTATATGCCTGAAGCTATTGGCTTCCTTCCGTGGTGGAGATGGTATAAAGGAGTAGCCGCGTCTCCACGGCTGACTAAAAATAGAGATTAAGGACAGGGGCCGAATCCTGAAGCTATATGGTCGGAGTCCGGAAAAGGAGTATGGTTAAGGGGCAATAATCTAGACTTGGAGTACCACGTATAAATGCTCTAGCAAATTGGAGTTACTCGTATGCGCTCATCTGGAAATAACCACTGGACGAAAAAGTACTGATATCCACTTTTCTTGCAATCGCGAGCTTGAACACTAGCGAAAGCCACACAGCCGGGTCGACCAGCATGGCTAGCGTCTCCGTCCTCCAGGGCCCGTCGCTCCCGGGATGGGGAGTCTTTTGCTGGTGCTACGCTCTAGATTTGTGTGAAGTTATGCCGCTCTTTTCCTCTTGTACTTTCTCATACGCAGTGCGAATCGCACTACGAGTCGAACGTCCGTGTCATCGGGATCGATCGTCCGGGACTCGGCCTATCCTCCCCACATCGGAACTGTAAGCTTCTCGCTCGCCGACACGAAGGACACGTGCGCTGGCGCAGTTTTTGGATACTTAGCATTAAAGTTACGTGCTTGATTATGGGCGCTTTGTGGGCCGTTTACTCTGTGTTTTTACGTCAGATACTCAATCTCGACCTCGTGTTGGGTATAGATCCTTGGCAGTCGGGCACGCAGGGCGCCTTGTTCGACTGAATGCAATGGCCCATGCTCCCTGTTTGGCCTGTTTGGCTCACTCTATGCTGAATGCCTCGATTTTCAATCCTAGGTGCAATTTGGTAGGGTGATAATCCTCGTTTTCGGTAAGTTTGGCAACAATATATTGTTGCCAAGGCTTTCTTTGAGGTCGATATTAATATGATGCCTCCATTATGACCTCTCTCGCAGATGCGGAAGTGAAAGCGGGCCTAGAATTATGCGCACTTTCCAAAGATAGGTCGACTCCTCGTAACGCGTTAGAACACCATATGTCAGCAAGGTTAGACTCGTCTTCGCAAGTCTCTACAACGAGTCCAATAATCGGAGGTAAATTCTTTCAATCTCATTTATGGATTCTTCTAGATCTAAATAAAAAAAAGCGACAAAATGGCACATACAACAATGAAAACAACAAGCGGGCTTAAAGTATAAGAGGAAAGACATGATCTTCGATACCTTGCGGGCTTCGGCGGAGTTCTTCTCGAAGCAGTAGTGGAGGCTCTTCTCCTCATAAAAGCAACGGTAGCAACGATCACAATCAAGAATGCAAAGATGATTCCGTTCACCACAGCCAACATAAATCGGACCAATTTTCCCATCAAAAAATCGACCATACTCATGCCAAAGCTCTTCTACGGTAGCTCCAAAAGACCCCTCCAAAGGCGTTTCGGCTATAATTTGGGTCCCAGGCTACACTGAAGTCCCCAATTTTGGAAAGTTGATAATTTATACGGGTCACTGCACCTTTCCCAAATCGCACATCTTCAATCCATTCGAGAAGTGTGTTGTTTGCTCATACCTTACGCCTCAGTTCGGGGCATACTCTTCAGACTCTTTAGAGGACTTTAGTAGGTCTGGGAAATCAGTCTATCTTATTATGTGGTGGGACAACTTGGCTCTGAGTATCACGAATTTAGAAATCCCTTCGATGAGTCCTGAAGGAGGCACGCCTACCGTTCCAGGTGCTTGCCAAATCTGGGAGTAATGATTTCGCACAATTTACTGCCAACAGTGCACAGGCTTGTGCGGGATAATGGGTTCCATGATATCTCCTATGGTTTGCGGCCCCCGCGGGGCCCGGATGTCTTTAATCAATTCAATCAGGATGCGTAGGTTGAGGTGAACTACCTCATGTGTGCCAATTGATGTCTGTACGAAACAAACCCATCCCCTTCTCGAGGTTGATTAAATTTTAAATAATGTCTTCTGCACTAGAGGCAGTGGAGTAGTCAAAGATCCACCAGAAATCTTTGAATCGATATGAAGCTGAAGGGGCTCATGATATGTGTAAAAGATCCTCAACGATCCTGTCCAAGGCTGAGGTCACATATAATTTGATTTCTGGGCTAGAATAGACAAACTTGCTTGAATGATGCCTGTCAATAGAAATCAGCTTCAATACTTATCTTTAGCGAATCCCCTCTTTGTGAGCTGGAGGAACTCATTGGGCGTTTGAAAGACTGGCTGGAGATTGTCATGGATCTCTTCGTATCGAACGTTCAGATTAGAGCATCCATATGATGTAAATAACTAATTCGGCCACAAGGATCAAGATCAAATGCGACAGTTTCATAAGTCCGCCTATTGAACACTTGGAAGTTTATTGAGGATTGAGCAAGACGAGTTAGCGATCAACCTAATTCGTAGCGTGAAATTTATACGGCTTGTTTAATTTGTGTGAGTATGATTCTAGAGAAGCTTGGGCTATAGACTCTACATTTCAAGATATCTTATACTACAGTTCGAGTCTTTGTTCCTCAACAAGTATGACTACTTAATAACGATTCCTACTCTCAGAATAAGGACGAGATATGACTGCATGTCTCAATAATTTGATAAATTTTCTTTGTTACCTCTTGTGTGCTTATTGTCGAACAGTTTGAACACGGTTCGGGGGAAGCACCGAAAGACCGAAGCTGATTGCTCGATTCAATCGTTCGTATAATTATTTTGGGGATTGTGAGTGAGTTACCAACGGAACAAAGACGCCGCGTAGTGATATCATACGGGAGATCTTGGGTATTGGCGGTAGCACACGCCCAGATGTCAAGTCAGAGCCATCCATAGATGTAGACACGACAAGTTTGTTTGACAATGGTCACCCTCCCACCGGCGTAATATATCCTAACGACAACGAATAGCTTGATGCATTTTGGTAATATTATCAATAATAGGCCACGACCTCGAAAGTTGCTCCCTGAGTTATCCTTGATTCTCAAGTACGTGAATCGTTGTAAATTGCATACCAAGCCCACGCCTTTTCAAGAGATCCTCAGCGCCGTATGTTGAGGGTATACCTGGTGGATTGCTCCGTTTTATAGTTCACCGCAAAGTTCGGCAGCTTCGCAAATTTAATGCCAAAGAAAACCTGAATCGCAACACCAGCATGCTACGTAGAATTTAGATAGTACCAATCAAAGAAACATTTTCCATAACCCGAGACCTTCAAACAACTATTGCCTTAAGAAAAAAAACAAATATTGATTATATAAGCCAAGATGATTGGCATTCAGTCACGTGCTCAAAGATGCGGCCGCAATTTTCCGTCCGCGCATCGCGAAGTTGAACAGCAGCAACGTTAGCCATTGTTGGCCCACCTCACACAAAATGCAGAAGGTCATCCAACGGACGGCCGCGGCCAGGAAGCAGGCCCAAAAGAAGCTCTTCCGAGCCCAGAGACGGGAAGAATTGGTTGAACGCTCCCAGGGAATTCGCTCGAGGAGGGAATTCAACAAGAGCATTATTGCCAACCAGAAAGCAGCACGAGAGAACCGCTGGGAAGACTGGGCCAAACGCGACCTAGCTCCGAAGCGAGATGTCGGAGTATTGGAATTCACCTACGGCACAATGGACGGCGCGGCGATGCATCCCCCCCCGATCCCGAAGCACCTTCGCAGCAAGCAAATTCTCTTCGCCGTGGCAGACAGAGTCTGTATTATCCGGGGTCGGGATGTGGGCAAAATCAGTGATATTACCCAGGTCAACACAGAAAGTGAGACTGTCACGCTCAAGGACCTCAATATGGTGCGTTTCGAGACATGCATTTAGTCCGATTCCTTGGTCCCAAGCAAAGCCGCTAATCAATGACTTCTCCCATAGGCTGATGTCACCGTTCCCGAATGGGCCAAAGACGGAATGGGCATGAAGGGCGATGTTATGACTCAGGCCATGCCGGTACCAATGGATAACATCCGACACGTCATTGCGTTGGAGGACCCAGACACCCAAGAGGTCGTGGACCATATTATTGAGCACGCATACGCTGGAAAGCCTTACTTTGAGCGGCCATCGTGGAGCAAGCTTCCCCGATTCACCCGTTACGTTTCCGGACTCGACATCGAGATTCCTTGGCCTAAGGAGGAAGAGCCGGAAATCAAGGATTACGACTGTGATACCTCGCGTTACGAAGTCGACATTCCCTCCTGGACCCCGACGCTGGAGAGCGCTCCATTCCCCTCCAGTGTCCTCGATGAAGTCCGCAACAAATACTCCAGATTCCGAACACGCCACGACCCCGAATTCGTGAGGGAGAAGGTCATCGAGGAGTATCGGCGGGAATGGCTCGACAGCCAGTCTTTGTTGACACCTCTTGGACAATTCCGACAGCAGCGGGCTGCGAAAAGTGCCGCAGCCAAGGCGTCGAAGCTGGATGCCAATGGCAATGTGATGATGGACTCGGAGACGGATGCTTTCATTAGCCAGTTCATGAACATGAACATGGGGAAGTCGGTTAAGTCCAAGCAAAAATCACCCAAGACCAAGCAAACTGCTTGAATCGAGCGATTCTGATTGCGCATGGAGGGTTGTTTTTCGAGAGCGATGTGTATAAACCCAATTGTATTCTAGTTTCAATTTTTCTGCATTCAATGGAGACAAGTTCCAGCAAAATGTTTTAGCAATATTAGCCTTATTCATCTCACTGAATCATTTGAATCGAGCCTATCAAAGTGAAAAGTAGGGTTGTGATGCGCGGGCCGCCAGGGGAGACAGATGCTTCCGCGTCGACGCCATTCTTGTTCCCAATTTCTATCTCTTCAACCCCCTGCGCTGCTGAACTCATCCCTGAAGCAGTTGCATAACAATTATGGCTTTTGCAGCTATAAATTCGGCGGGCACGCCCATTACCGCCATCGAGGAGGCCTTCGTCACTGAGCCCTCGCTCAAAAAAAGAGTCTACGATGCGATCGGTGCGTAGCCAGCGGCGCCATCTACGCCTGTTCAAACCACGAACCTTCGAACCACCCACTGACCATCCATCCGATTCGATTAGGACATACACCGCAACATGCACCTTTATTTGAAGATCTTGCTCGTTACACATCTTCCCTGCAGGCCAGGGCCGCGAGCACTTCACTTCCGATCGTACCGCCACCTACCGACGGCCCTGCCGCGAAGAAGCGCAAAATACAAAATGGGAGCTCCGTAGAGACAGCGCAGGCGTCTGTCAGTGTGAAGGATGCGCCGGTGCAGTTCTACGTCCAGGACATTTCTTTCGCTATGCCGCAGCGCAAGAAGCTCACGCTCGAGGTCACTGCTGGGTACCTTCGCACGAGGAACCAAGCTACAAAGGAGGTGGAATTTGGCATCCCGATGGATAAAATCCGTGAGTTATCTTGCTACTGACTAAGATTGGAACTGAAAGCTGATTTTTCTTGCGTACAATTAGGCCATGCACTGTGCCTCCCGGTCCCAGAAAAGACGCAAAAACAATTCAACTTCTGTATCGTTCCCGAATTCGCAGATGGGATTACGTCGCCTCCGGAAGGCACCTCAGCGCCAGATGCCATGGTGTTCACTGTGGCCGATGGCCCGGCTAAAGCTGCGTTCTCCGAATCTGGACAACAGATTGGCAACAACCCAGGCGAGACTGCGGAGGCGTTGATTCGGAAGCTTCTGAATGAGAACATGCCTAACACAAATTTTGTGCGGCCCGATGAGAGAGAATTTGTGAGCGCGACGCCTGAGGCGCATCGCAAGGGTGAGAAGGCATATCATGTCAAAGCATTCCGGGGCAGCAAAGAAGGTATGTCACGCCATGGGGAGGCGATTGGCAATTGAGAAGCCTAGTTCAGTCGCTAACAGCATTTTCAGGCTATCTATTCCTGCTCTCGACAGGAATCTTGTTTGCTTTCAAGAAGCCGCTTCTTTTCTTCTCGTTCGATACGGTCGAATCCGTCTCTTATACATCCGTTCTCCAGCATACGTTTAACCTGAACATCATTGCTCGTCCAAGAAATGGCTCCGAGGAAGACAATCAGGAATTTGAATTCTCTATGATTGACCAAGAAAACTTTGGCGGCATTGACGAGTATATCAAACGTCACGGTCTCCAAGATTCAAGCTTAGCGGAGGCTCGCCGTGCCAAGGTGTACAACGTTAACGCCCCTAAAAATACGGAGGAGGCGGCTGCTGCCGAAGCCACAGGTGCCGAGGAGGAGAGCGAGTTACAAAAAGCCCAGCGAGAGCTTGAAGACCAGGAGGACGAGGAGGACGAAGAAGACTACGACCCAGGCAGCGATGGTGAAAGTGAGGGCAGTGGGTCAAGCAGTGATGAAGATTCCGATGAAGACGAATTCCACGAGAACGCTGAAAATGTCAGCGAAGGAGACGAGGAAGAGATCAAGGAGGAGCTCGGCAGCGAGGCCGAGGATGGTGACGATGAATAGAGAGGGACCAGTTATCGGTCCGTGTGGAACCCCGTGTTATGATAGTGCCATGCCGCTTAGAATAGTAATGTCTCTGATCTTGGACCCCAACTTGGGAGGGATGTGAATTATACAAGTACGTATCTTAAACTAAGTGAGTGGGTCGAAGACGTGTCAAATGCGCGGGTCACCCTATCTGTCCCAAGCACTGCAGCTGCGGGAACTGTCAGTGCCTTACGTAGATTAGGGGTCCAATAGTAATTGTAAATCGACATAGAGATGCCGATGTCGATGTTGTCATAGGGTAAGAACAGGACAAAAGAGTAGGGCTATGCCAAGGCCGCAATCTTACCAGGCTAAAGCACATTCCAGACCGAGTCCAACGGCATCCCCTGAGCGGTAAGAGAAAACTCGGCACGCAGGAACGGTGATTCCCGCCCTTCCCCGAAATCCTCATTCTTAAGCTTAGCTTTTAAACCTAGGAAAACAAGGGAAAAAATAACCTTGAAAAGATAAGAAGGAACAAAGCTTTACCTCAGGGGTTGAATCATTCTAGGGTACTATACCCTGACTATATCCTCGGATATGCAAAATGGACTGGTCAATCTAGCCGAACAAGAACCGGGTATATACTTTGTATTAAATTAGATACTTTAGAGATGGAAAAACCTACGGAGAAACCTGTGGATCGATTTGACGGTGAGAACCTAAGTGCGAAGTAGCGTAGAGCGTTCCAAATAATACTCTCAGAAAATGGCGCCCCCGGTTTTCCCAAACGCCGGCGGGTAACATTACCGCCCGTGACCGCCAGTCCCTGCGCCGCCCCCGTCCATCACGGGTACCAAATACACTCCCAATACCCTCCGCTCCCTTTCTCTCTTTCGACTTCTCTCCCTCTCCCTCTTCCTCTTCCACCTCCACCCCCTTCCTCCTCTCCCTTTCCATTGCTTCCAAGCACGGCTCGTACTCTCTGTAGAGTACAGGTGCTCCTGTTTCTTTCATCCTCCAGCGTTCTGGTTCCGCCCCGTGTCTCGGCAAAGTCTACCCCCGGTCGGCAGCTCTGTCTGGCTCCTCACGCCTGAAATCCTCCAGTCCGCGACCCCGACGGAATCAGGCTTGCTCAATTCCTACTTCGCTCGACCAATTCCGCTTCTATCGCTTCTGCAGCTCCTCCATCTCGTGTAGACTGTCTCATCTCCGGCTATTACTCGGATTGTTCGATCCTGCTCGCCCCGATCCATCGGCCGAGACCTGCATCCATTGAAGTACAGGGTTCGCCTTGGACAGACTATCAGGTGTCCCTGCGGTGTATGTTCAACCTGTCGAGTACCCTCGAGTGCGTCGTTGGATCTCGTGCTGACCGTAGTTGACAGTGCAAATCACGTGCCGCCGTCCCTGAAGCCATTGCCCCGTGATCAAAAGTTTCGTTCCTGACACGACACCTTCGTACTCCATGGCGTCCTCTTCGTCAAACGTGGTGGGTGTCCACTATCGTGTGGGCAAAAAGATCGGCGAAGGTTCTTTCGGTGTCATCTTCGAGGGTACCAACCTGTTGAACAACCAGCAGGTGGCCATCAAATTTGTACGTCATTTGTGAAAAAAGGGGATGAAATCCAAGCTGACCAAAACAGGAACCCCGGAAGAGCGATGCCCCTCAGCTGCGAGATGAGTACCGGACCTACAAGATCTTGGTCGGATGTCGTATGTTTTCTATCTCGGAGCTTTTCTCCGCATATGTTGCTAACCATTGTTTACAGCTGGTATCCCTAATGTCTACTACTTTGGACAGGAGGGTCTCCACAATATCCTCGTTATCGACCTCCTCGGGCCCAGTCTTGAGGATCTCTTCGACCACTGCAACCGCCGGTTCTCGACTAAGACTGTTGTGATGGTCGCCAAGCAGATGGTACGTTTTGTCCGATCCCTCGAGGATCATTCCAACTAACCACCCCCAGCTTTCGCGCGTCCAAACTATTCACGAGAAGAACCTCATCTACCGCGATATCAAGCCCGACAACTTCCTGATCGGTCGCCCTTCGACCAAAGCCGCGAATGTCATTCATGTCGTTGATTTCGGTATGGCCAAGCAGTACCGTGATCCCAAGTCCAAACAGCACATTCCCTACCGTGAGCGCAAGTCTCTGTCGGGTACTGCTCGTTATATGAGTATCAACACACATTTGGGCCGGGAGCAATCACGACGAGATGATTTGGAGGCACTGGGTCACGTCTTCATGTACTTCTTGCGAGGTGGCCTCCCCTGGCAGGGATTGAAGGCTGCTACCAACAAGCAGAAGTACGAGAAGATTGGCGAGAAGAAACAGACCACCGCCGTCAAGGACCTTTGCGATGGATACCCTGGTAAGGCTCTCCCCATCAATATGATAAAGTTTCGGATTTCTAACTTGCCCCAGAAGAATTCAACAAGTATCTGAGTTACGTTCGCAACCTCGGCTTTGAGGACACCCCCGACTACGACTACCTCCGTGATATATTCACACAAGCCCTCAAGAACGCCGGCGAAGTTGAGGATGGAGAGTACGACTGGATGAAGCTTAACAACGGCCGCGGATGGGACTACAAGTCATATGGCGCGGGACGCGACCTGCCTCACCAGACCTCGACGGGACGTGATCTGCACGGAAGCCAGCTCCGCAACAGCCAACGTCCCGGTGTTACTGCCGACCGTTTAAACGCTGCGCAGCCCCCGCCCCCATCTCCAGCCAAGGCCGGAGCTGGGAAGACGCGCGATCGCCCAAGCGGATCCGGCGGTATGCCTCCCAAACGCCAGAGCGGGGGCCTGGAAGCTACGACTCCAACCGCATCCACCCAGGCTCAATTCCAGACCTCTAACGCCCACCTTCCCGGCCGCATAGGAAGCCCCGGAAACCCTGGTATGAGCAGCCAGCAGGTTGGTGGTCAGGCAAACAATGAACCGCAGCCCACTTTCGCGCAAAAGTTGATGAAGACTCTGTGCTGCGGTAGGTGATCCGGCCGTGCTGGTCATTCAATGCCGCGCAGCTTGCCTATACCGAGATCCAGGTTGAACTCGAACTATTCCAAGCCGCGTGTCACTGGATTGAACACGACCTGACGATTCCCCTTGCTCTTTCTGCCCCCCCCCCCCGCAACTGTCAGAAGACGGCCGAAGAAAACAAAATTATACGTCGGCATGGGATTACCCCTGGTCACTCTTCCTCTCTCATCCCTTCGATTCTCTTTTTCTTCTTCCCATTCGACGCTTCAGCCTACACGAATGTGGGTAGAAACGACCTTCCTCTCATTGATGTTACGTCTCATCACTCTTTCATGGTGCTATGGCTCGGCAACGGCGAACTTGAGAGAGATTTTTATCTTGTGCTTTCCCATTTTGCTTTATACTCGACGTGCGTCGTCTAATAAAAACTTCGATTCTTTGCAAACGAGTGGATCGGGGTGTTCGCGGCCCATCCATCGGTACTCTGCATTCTCTTTCGAGGTTTTGTTGAAATTTCGAGTCCTGCGAGGTGATCTAATGGTCTCCGGCATTCACTTGCTGGCTTCAACACGCCATTGATGTTTCGCACAAGGATGGGCGAAAGACCACTGACCAGGCTCAAGTTTTGACACCGTCCAAGAGCAGCCCTTGACTTCCATCCCACCCATCAACCGGGTGGGCATTTTAATGTCCCTGTGTTTCTTTTTGGAATTCTTCTCCTGTCGGGCTGTTTCTGCTGACCGTGCTGTGCCCGTTGACGCCATCTCCTCGCACCCGGGTCCAAAGAGTCTTTTCAACTGCATGTCCATGCGTCTTTAAAAGGATGATCCCATGTTGCATATATTCGCCTGTTCGATTCCCTTTCGTCATGTCCGAGTGTTGTCTTCTGTTGTTTCACCCCTTTCGATCTACTGCCTTTGTCTATAATTGTCTCCTGTTTTTGTTCTTGCTCCGTTTCAGAAGCGAGTTTTTGTTTGTTACTGGTAGTTGTGGCATAAGATAGCATTGTTCTTTCCTGTGTTCTTGATGATTGCTCTCGGCCGTACAGCGCATATACTTGTTTCCGGAATAGGCGAAGATAATACATTTGCGTGTTTTTATTGAAAGGAGTACATCTATAGCTTGTAGACTTGATCAGCAACAGCCCTTACAGATACCCGTGGGCTCTTCGAGACAGAAAAAAAAGATCTATGTATGGTCGGGGTAGCTACTTCAACATCTCATATAAATTCCAGGGCTCTCATCGGCCCATATGATCCCATCCAATACCCACCTCACTGCACATGCACCATGATATCACAAAAATCTGCACTCCGTCATTGACAAATAACACCCCCTGTCCTGCAAGCACGACCTCGTCCTAGAAGAAGTCCACATCCCTGACTGACGTGGTCTCCAATATACAGTGTGACAACCCAAACCCAAACTGTCTCAACTCCGAAGAGTGGGCTCCTATCACGACCCCGACGCAGGTAGATGCTTGCTCGATCCGGCCTATCGTCGAGTATAGTGCCAGCTTCTATACCCAATAATTGCCTCTCTCCATTAAAACGGTCTGTTAAGACCAAGGTACTTTTGTCTAAAAAAAGACAAAAACAAAAAACAAAAACAACAAGAAAAAAAACAAAGCTACCCCCTGTATTAAACCTTCCAAGGTTTATTCATAAAAACTAGCAGTCCCTGGAAATAGAAACAGGGTACTTCCTTGCCACTCTGAAGTTTATCTCCCCTTCAGATATTCCCTCTCATTCGCACCCCCTAAAACCTTGTATATTGGTATGATCTACACACCCAGGACCCAAATACCCAATCCGGCACAACCTCACCCACCCTTCACGCCATGCCGAGCTCCCCCTATTCGCTGTATCCTGCAGTATCTTCTTGAGCCACTCACGCTGTGCATCCCCCGCATCTGGTTTTCTTGGCGCGCTGCTTATTCGGTGCGCCTGCAGACACCCGGTAGGCAGATGGATTTTGGGCTTGGGACTTAAGCTTGGGCTTGATTTTTGGGGCGGGCTGAAGGGTGGCTGTGTTGGCGTTTTGAAATTACCGATTTATTTCTGCATGGGGGTTTGGACTAGGAGCGTGCGTGGCGTGAGGTGCGTGGAGGTTGAGGTGTAGGATAGAGTTGGGATCGTCGGTGTCATGAGCTTGCGCATCCTAGGATGAGCTGGTGACATGCTTGATTTATTGAGTTTGGTTCTTTGGATGGTGTCATACTGTGGATTGTTGTTCTTTTCGGGGGAGGGTTTGTGGTTCTGGTAATATTCTAAAAGCCCTGAAGGGAAGAATCTTGATTGTTGTCGAGAGCTATCTTATTCCGGTACTCAAGACCTCAGCAGCTAATCAGTTCACCTTAGAATCTTCGTCTGAAGATGTTATGCAATTGTAGTCTAGAACCTCATTCAGACCTACTGTAGCATCCTACACAAGCACCCAACCCTCGTAACGAGCATGTAAAAAACAGAAGATCGCCAAAGCATTCGGCTACTCCCCCACCTACCTACAACTCTGCATCCATCCCTTCAAACATAAGTCAAGCCATAACATGCGGGAGCCCGCTAGCCCCTAACAGAATCACACCCAATAAGCTAGCGTACTAAATCAGAAGATCATGCAAGATTGAAGACTGACCCGTTCTAGGGTGAAACAGTCTTCGACCTTGGCGGTGGGGCCTTGGATGTCATACTATGTAGCAGCCCACCTCGTCGAGCCACAGAGAGGGGCAGGTAGGTCATGGTGTGGTATGATAAGGGTATTTCACACGTCCCGTGGAGGTTAGTGAATGGCGTTTGACTAGCTTGGCGGAGGATACTTGATCTGGCTCGGAAGGATGCCGAGCGGGTTGGTGTTTTTGATTTTCTTTTCTGGAGGGGAGGATTCCAGGTATTCTGTTGGGGAGCTCTATTCTTGGTCGCGTTGTTGGTGAATATAGTTGATTTGGCTTCTTGGTTTGCAAAATGGCATGTGTTTCGTGTGTTTCGTTTGTTGGTTCCTGCTGGGAAAGATTTCCCGGGTGAGTTGGTGAGGACTTGGAGGTGTGTATTGAGGTGTGTATTGAACTGTGAACAGGGGTTGGGAGTATGAAAAGTACTTGATGTGATGTGGGGCTCAGAGGGGGTTGTTTTATACTGGAGAGGGTATTCCAATGCTGACTTTGTAGATATCACGGTTGTAGATATGGACGGGACCACGATATCTGCAAAGACCTTGTTCAGCTCAGGCGAAAAGCTCTGCAGCTCGTTGCTTTCCTTCATATAAGAATGAATCAGTTGGATCTATCAAGGCAGAGAAGAATCGCCGTGAGCTTGACCTTAATGAATGCGGTGCTCAGTCTTGTACTTTGGTCCTCTCTTGATAACCTTGGTGTATATTGACCCAACCAGGGCGTGTTTCAACCCCATGCACCTAAACCGTAGGTGGAACATCAATAATTTTCGTAGTATCTAGTTATTATCTGACAAGTAACGCTATAGAAAATGCTATAGAAAGATGCATGAAGCTAAACTATCCATGTCCTTACACTTAGCTCAAAATAAACATACGTACCATGCCTGCAGCAAACCACCCAAATCACCCAATTATCAACCCTGTACGCCTTCCTCTCGAAGCTATGCTGGGGAGTACCTGAATTTGACATGCAGATCGATACTCTGCTTGCACTGAACGCTCTTCCATTTAGCAGGGCACGGAGGGTCGTGCTCTCGCCCGGATCCAGGGTCCCGGTATCCCGCGCTGGGGATTGCATAGTTACACAGTTTGTTTGCGTGGTGTGATGGCTCTGGTAGATGTCGATCGTAGGTGGCGACGTAGTGACTGTTATGGAGGGAATCTGCTCTTGAACTCGGCTGGGATTGATACTCAAAGCACCAATCCGCTTTTCCCAAGGCATATTTGTCTGCCTAGAGTCTCTACACTCGATTTTCTAGGTACTCTGAATGCGTCCACTCCATACAATACAGTAAGCGACCTCTGAATTACCACTATCTATGCCCTCAAGTTCATAGGTCCCCCTCATTTCTACTATCCAAGGTTCACCTTCACCCGTAATCTGCTATCAAGATCCAGACCATGATGAACCGTCATCTCAAAGTCAAAATCTATACACGCCCCCTGAACCCTGGATCCAGCTAATCTCCCTCTCTCGTGCTTACTAATACCAAGCCATCCCGACCCCTCAGCCAATAGGAAAATCGCGGCATGTCACCGCGCCGTCCATGTGACATGTCTGACAATTTAGCGGGATCAGACACCAGGTTCAACCAATCATATCAGACCCAAATCTACAGCCCAAACAGTCGTGCTAAGACTCTCTCTAGTTAACTTCCGTTCGCTTATCTTACAAGTCCCAATTTCAAATCAAGATCCAAGCCCCAGTTCCAGTTCCAGTTCCAGTTCCAGTTCCAGTTCCAGTTCCAGTTCCAGTTCCAGTTCCAGTTCCAGTTCCAGTACCTTGTACAGGACGAATCCTAATGGCTGCCCCAGACGTCCCCCGCACGCCATGGCATACAGCTTACCCCGCTCCCACATCCGAGGTCGATGCTCTTCCCCGCCAGGAATTGCTGCGCTGGATCAAGGAGGGGAAGCTGCCTGGTAAGGATTATGTTTTGGTGGATGTAAGGCGTAATGATTTCGAGGTACGTGCATTGACGCCTAATAAATGAGATCGGGGTTGGGGGCGTGCGCTAATGCCTATTCTAGGGTGGTACTATTCGTGGTTCGGTGAATCTGCCAGCTCAGAGTTTGTATCCTACGCGCCCGGCGCTGTATACTCTTTTCGCGAGTAGTGGCGTGAAACATGTTATTTGGTATTGCGGTAAGACTTGGATGATTTCTTTGGATCAGTCTCGGCCTGTGCGCGTCTAACGGTTTCTCTGGAAGGTTCTTGTAGTGGGAGGGGTCCGAGAGCTGCGGCATGGTTTAAGGATTATTTGTTGGAACGGGGAGATTCGACGATGAAGAGTATGATACTTGAAGGGGGAATAAAAGGATGGGTTGCGGCTGGGATTGAGTATGTTGAGTTGATGGATGAGTACGACGCGAGTGTGTGGACGAAGTAGATGATATTGTGCAATGTCATTCGATATACCTCTTGCTACCGTACGATGGCATCTACTCCTGAACTATTGTTATACCTCGTTTCGCTGATGCTTGAGCATCCAAACCCATGTCCAACGCCACAGTATACAATCCAGTTTCACAAGCCACTCCGCCATCAACAGTAGATCGAAGGTCTATTCCCCAGCTGATGTCATTGAACATCTTCGATGCCGATCCACCTCAAGTCTGGACACACTCCCCGGGCAATCCAAGCTGGGCGAAGAAGTGTAAACAAAGGACTCCCAAGTCAAAAGATCAAGTGGATACTGCAAATTCTTTAATGCGAAACATAGCAAAGCAAGCCTGCCGCTTCTACAAAGCTAGGACCACCGAAAGAAGAACCTGGCCTCTGCAAAGCGCTAAAGGGCGCCTACGCACCAAAAAAAAAAGAAAAAAAGAAGAAAAAAAAGTAGAAAACCGGAGTCCGCCGTTGCATCGCCAAAGTGCTAAAGAAAGACTAAACTAGGCCGTGATCGAATCCACAATGCAAGTGCTAGCAAGGAAGGGATGAACAAATACACGGGCAGATCGACCCGCGATCAAAAGCCTGTTCTGCGATCCCCACGCGGAAATCGAAGGACACAGTGGACGGCGAATCGCGCCACGCTCTGCCCAAAATTTAGGGCCCGTATCTTACGTCTTACTAGGGGTACGATATGTAGACGGAGTATCTGGGGTATCCACCGAAAGATACACTAGAATCTGTGCAGCCGCACACCTACAGTACAAAATAGAGGAAAAGACTCGGTGATTTTCGTTTCAGGTAGCGCCAGCTCCTAGCAAGCTTTTTGCTCTCCCGTGTGCTCCACGAGTCTCCCGCGATGGAAGCGCTAGGAGGAGGGTATATATTTTCTTTTTTTCAGAAACAAATCTTGATTTTGGCTTCGAGGGGTGGGGCTGTGAGGTCATTTGGCGGCTTCTGCCGTGCACGCTGTTTGATCGTCTGTCCTCATTTGGTTGGGCTCGCTTGGCAGATAGGGGGGTGGAGATAGGGAGATTGGGGGATTTTCGGGGATTTTGGGGATTCTGGTGACCGGCGATCTATTTTTTTTTTTTCCCACTCCCTTCTTTCCAGAGGGTCTTTCTTTGGGTCGCGTCTTCGGGAAAGTCTGCACTCGGAAATGGACTTTCCCGACATGCACGTCACTTGGGACGGCTACGTAGTGGTTCAGGGGACCTTGGGATGGCGCCCTCGATATGGGACTGGGGAGCGGGGAGTCGACTACGGGGTTTGGTTTAAGATGTGGTACGTCCTCGTGTAACGACCCCCTAGAGGTGCAGGTGCAGGGGCATATACAGTTGCATAGATACGCACTGGGGTAATGGAAATGGAAATGGAAAGGCGCTACCTCTCTCTCTCTCTCTCTGTCTCTTCCCCCCCCCCGCCACAAACCAGCCCATGCTCATTTTACCCCGTACTCCAAGCTCCCAAGACACGAGACACGAGACAGATCACAGCATGGCCCCGCCGTGGCCTGCGCTATCTTGTACTAGCGTCTGCCTCTAAGGTACCCCATGCCAGTCGGAATTGCACCAGTGGCTGAGCCGGCGTTCTAGATGCGCTGTGGGAGGCCCAAGGACGCTGGAATGGGAAAAGCGCCGTCCCGTGCGCACGATGTGGGGAATCCTTGCTGGTGCGAGGTCATCGGCCTCGGGGGAATTGTGGATAGTCGAGAAACGGAGAGAGGTAGGTGGACTCCGAGTGCTGCGTGGTTGCTGGGGAATTGGGATTGGTCGTGGTCATGGCCTCGTTTTTCGGTCTCGATGGCTACAGTATACTGGACCGGCGCAGAGTGCAGTGCAGTGCAGTGCAGTGCAGTACAGTACAGTATTGTACTGTAGTGACCAGGCCGACCATCTGCGAGCTGTCCCCAAGGAAAGTCAACCCTACATATCATACACATCGTACATACTGTACTGCATACTGCACCGTTAGGACGAACCACAGGTTCGGCTGACCTGCGCGCTAAATGCTGATCCAATAACTGCAGGGCACAATTCGTGCCTGGTGCAGAGGGGTACGTGGCCAGATACAGTTCTGCTGTTAACCTTATCAGCTCAAGCTCCAGCCAAGGCAGATCGGAGCTATACCAATATTATGCACGCCGATACAGATACAGCATTGAATCCCCCATGAATCAGCTCCCAGTCAGCTATCTTATCACTGCTGTGTTCGGATGCTTCTTATCAGGCCTGACTCGGAAGTGGCTGACTCAGTGGATCTTGGCGCTCGGTTTGAATCGGCCTCGTTATTGTGTGGTTCTGTTGATTCACCGGGCCCGATAAGAACCGTTCCACTCGGGTTGACTAGGAGGTATAAGCGACGATACCCCTGTACATCAAATAAGCTTAGCGTGTAAGAATGGATTCCGGGGTGGCAAAAAGAGTAAATCCTGAGACAAAAATCAAGTGACAAGGGACAGAGATTTTCGTGCCAGGTACCAGGAAATCGTCTCCGGGAGACAAGAACCTGTCACAAAGAAAATTTCAGACCGGGCCCGGGTGTGGCGATCGTGGGTACGCAACTAAGGTCCTTCGGCGGGGATTCTAGAATTTCCGTAAGAATTTTGTAACTTCTTACGGAAATTCTAGAAGGTCTGGGTAAGATGGCCGGGTGCGTACACCCTAAGCACAGCAGCAATTTAATTTAATTTAATTTATTTTAATTTTTTTTTGGATTCAGCCGCAATTGTTTCTACAGGGGGAGGGCTACTGTAGTGAAGAGTCGGAGCAAATTTGCGATGATACCTTACTGGAGCCTATGAGCTTATGAGCCTCGCAAACCAGGAGCCTGAGGGCGCAAGCTTGTAATTTTGGTGGTGGCCAGTGACCGTGATGAGTTGCCACCTCAGGACATTCCACAATGGTGCTATCGTGTTGATCACAGACTCGAAATTAAGACAGTGCTGAAAGTGCGCGGGTTGTGTGCATGGCCAAATCATCAAGTCTTCAACACATTCCGTGAGAGGATCGGCAGGGCGATTGACCAACTAGCTGTAGAACTAACTGATTCGAGGCAGCAGTGCAAGTGAATGACGTGACTTTCCAGGCATTACACCACGCAAGGGGATGTGCGTGTCACAGAAAAACATGCGGGTCTTAGACTGTCGTGTCACTGGCGCAGTGGTGACTGAACCGTGGGTCCCCCAAACGGATTGACATTCCGAGACCGGATAAATGGCGTGGTTAGCGTCACTCGTGAGGTAACCGTGGGCCCATCCAGGCAGGACATTGGTCGCAACAGAGGCACGCAGCTGTGTGTGTCTTCTAGGGGGAGTCGAGTGTCAGCTTGCCTCCCTATTCCGTATAGGTTGGAGACTAGGGAGACTAGGGAGACTAGGGAGACTAGGCGGGAACTAGAAACAGAAGACCCAAGACGAGGAATCGCCACGCGCCTGAGCACACGCACAAGGTGTGAATTCTAGAAGGCCTTGCCCCCTGCAGACCCCGGTCTTGTACAGGCTTTTGCAGGCTTCTCCTAGAGGGCCCCTTGCGTGTGTAATAACCGTGTATAATACTAGCCCCACCTACATTCTCCTCCCATTCTCCGATCACCCCATCTTATCGCCCCGACTCCACTTGGGCGCCAGTACCAGGCAGTACATGTAATACTGATCGACGAATGATTCCAGAACCCAGGCAGTCAAAGTGGAACCCTCGTTTTCCTTTATTTCCCTTCTCTCTCGCTCACCTGTGGTTCCTTTACTTTACTTTGGCTCGAATCTGCAATCTTTTCGCTTTGCATTCCTATGATATCTCTTTCCCTATAATATCCTTCCGGTCCTAAAGCTGGCCTCTCATCCAGCATTCAGGCGAGGACCGGTGAGAAAACACACTCAGGGTCCCCGCCGTACCCTCTACGCCATGCTTAAAAAGAAGTCCTTGGCTTCTTCCTTTTGGAACTTTACCCCCAGTACCACTCCGGAACTGTCCCCAACCTCTTCCGACAGTGACTCCGACGAGGACATGGAATCTTCTGGCTCCCGACCCGTCAGCCTGTCCGTCTCGTCGGGAGCCTTTTGTCTGATGCGTCCCACCCTCAACGAGGTGTTGGCCAACACCGCCCCGCCGCCCTACACCCTCAGCGCCTTCATGGCCTACCTCTCCCAGAACCACTGTCTCGAGACATTAGAGTTCACCCTCGAAGCGAAGCGGTATAGGGAAACATACGAGTCGTTGGCCGATCGGTTGGGTGTCGAGACCATCTCCGCCGATCTCCCCGAAAGTCAACACCTGCGTATGCTGTGGCAACGCCTGTTAATGGCTTATATCATCCCCGGTGCCCCGCGAGAAATCAACCTCTCCAGTGAAGTCCGTGACGAAGTCCTCGCCTACCGCGACGTTACCACGCCCCCGGTCCCGGAAGCGCTCGACTCCGCCGTCAAACGCATCCACGACCTGATGGAGGAGTCAATCTTCCTGCCCTTTCTCAACAGCCACGCCACCTCTCCCTCAATGCTCCCCACATCCGGCTTCCCTCTTGACCACGAACTGAGCCTATCAAACACCATGCTCGACGAACATCCAATGAAGAGAATCCGGTCCCGGGCCAGGCGTATCTCCCCCAACTCCTCCACCAAGGATCTCCCCTCCACAGCCGGCCGCTCAAGTTCCTCCCTCAGCGCCGTCCACGCTCTGGGCAAGCGTACATCCGGTGTTCTCCTCACCACAAGTGCCAGCGGCGACTCAACTTCCCTGGCTCTGACCGACGACTCAAGTCCCCAATCCAGCCCAACCGTCGAGGAACCCATGACACCACCCACCACACCCCCAGCTAGCGAGCCTCATCTACCCACTCACAGCCCCAAGCTGCGAACCGAAAACCCCTGGAAGAAAATGGGCATGAAGTTGGGCTTCAAGAAGCGCCACGGGCCTGGCGGTTCTCGTGATCCGAGAATCCTCGGTCTGGACGACTAAACTCAAAATCGACCTCTGAAATTTCCTTCATGATACACTACACTACACATCTCCACGATTTCATCTTATTTCCACGAACTCCCCTCAACGACCCCCTTCATCGACTTAACCTCGCATGACCTTGAATCTTTTCACAACGCATTCACATGACCCGACTTTGTTTAGCGTTTTTGGCGGTGTATGAGAGCACGATGCATCAGCATACGAATCCGGCGTTGTTTTTCAATTTATCTTGTCTCATTATCAGTGTCTCCCAGCGAACATTGGATGCGCTGTCATTTTTCCTTTCCTTTCTCTCTTCTTGTGACATCTTTTTGTGTGGGTTCGCCCACCAGCATTTCCATCACCATACATAGACTGGATGGAACCAGCTCTTGGCTGGTTTTTCTTTCTCATTTCGCTTTTCTTTTTTGGACCTTGTCATGAGCACGACTCTTGTCGGAGCTTGCTACGATATGATGGCGTGTTTGGAATCAATAGACTTGATACCCCTCTTCAAACCTCTTTTTTTTTTTTTTTTTTATCACATTTTCCACATTTTTCATTAGTAATTGTAATTGCAATTGTAATTGTACATGTTACATGGTACATTCTTGGGATAGAACATTCTAAGCCGTGACCAGTTACCCTATTTGGCTCTGGAACGCGAGACCACGTCAACCCTTCGAACGAAGAATGGAAGCTAAGAGCCAAGGCTAAAAACCGCGCATCTTTCACATAGAGTTGACCCACATGATATCAGCACTCCCCTCCCCACCCCTAACCTTAACTTTGACACTTGAGGATTTGGAATTGCAATGTAACCTTTTTTTTTTTTCTTCTCACCCAGGGAAACGCGTCGATCCAGAAGCTTCTTTTTTGTGTTTTTTTATTGTTTTATTTTTTTTCAATGTCACCCCGGAGGTCCGGGTCTAATCATAGACCCATTCCAATGTAACTCTGCGGCCGGAACGGGTTTCTAGGGCTGGGATTGTGATGTTCCAGTTTGAGTCTGAGAGGGCTTGCATGTATTCTGGGAAGCGGGTATTCACGGTTGATAAGGTGGTGGTTAGGACTGGGAGGATTTCAATGGATGAACTGGGTGAGGTGGATAGAACTCGTAAGGCGAGGAGGGCGTGCATCCAGGCTTTTAGTTGCGTGTGCACTGTGCAATTGCTCTTTAGGAGGATTGAGGCATGCGATTTTGGTTTGGTGGGATGGAGGTATAGAATGTAGGATTCGTGCGTAAAGAGAGTTGCCAGGTCGCGCATTGGGATGTTAGTTTTTGAGGTCCTGGTGGTTTGGCCGTGTTTGAAGAATGAGGAGAGGGGAATTCCTATTTCGGCAGTGCCTAAGCTGTATGTCTGGGTTGGGGTGGTCCAATGGAGGGCGCCGGAGCGGTGAAAGATGCGTTCTTGCTGGGATACTTGGGCTGGGGTTAGGATGATCCAGCGTGCATTGTCTTTCTTTGGTTTTGGTGATAGGTCTCCGGCGCGTAGAGATTCTAGGTCGATGGCGGAGTCGGACTCGAGTAAAGTGGAGAAAATTATGTTTGCTCGTTGTCTGTTCAGACTTGTCATCTGGACGGCTCGCACTGCTGCATAGTTGAGGCTGAGATGTGCCGCTAAGAGGATCAGAAGTGCTGCCCAAGTTGCCTTGAATCCAGTGACGTAGGAGACAACTACTGAGCCGACCTGTAATAATGGTTAGATCGAGGACCACTGTCAAAATAGCACTTAAGGGAATCTCACCAGCATGCCAATAAGAGAAATGACCGTCTCTTGGGACGAGTCTTTCTGTGAATGGATTAGATGTAGTCGCAATGACCAATTAAAGAACATACAGCATTGAGCTCAGCCAAGTTCCCCCATTTCGCAAAATGAGCACTCAAACTCGCCTTCGAACTCCCCCTGCAACCCCACATAGGGCGCGCAGGACGCCCGCCGTGCTGAGAATGCTCACGCGCATCACTCCAGCTGGGACCATTGGCGAAAGACAGTCCATGATCATAGCGATGTCGTTGAATACATCGGCTGCTAGACGATAGGTCTTGCATTCTGGCTCAAGGGCTGTGCCAACTCGGTGGGCAAAGAGAATGGTTGCTACACGACCTGATGAGTCTTGGAGGATGTGTAGAAGCAGAGCCGATGACGGAGAGGCGTTTGCGTCGCCGACGCCGACGCCTATGGTTCTTGTCAGTCTCTAGGGATAGGACAATTGGCGTGGACGGCGAACCTTGTAGAACGGCTCTGGAGGAGAGGAGGCCTGCTATTGAGCTGCAGAAGGCTTGGAGGGAGTCCTTTATTGCAAGGAAGATGTAAGCATAGGTACTGATTCGATTTGTTTCAGTTTCGCGAAGACTTTATTGTCGACCGGGCTTCAAAGGTGAGCGAGAGAGGTCCATCAACTCACAAATATCTGATATCTGGAAGATTCTATCAGTAAATTGTCACGAAGACCTTGGGCGTGAATACTCCTCGCTAGACATACCTGATGTAATCTTCGCTCACGCTTTGAGGGTAGCCCGAAGGAAGAAAGACATCGCTGAGAGAGCTGATGAGAGGCTTGGTAGACCAGGTCAACAAGTTCGAGGATGGATCCTGGTCGATACCGTTAGTTCTCTCGACTGGTTGAATGTCATCATTCGGTTGTGTTCAATGTATAGATCGATATGCCAATCAATGGAAATTATAGCCTGTATACACCAACGCATTGCCAGGTTAGGGTGGCAACAAAAACGACAGATTGCCATGGAGCCATGTGCCAATCCAATGATCCAGCCAACTCTGACAATACCATTGTACCCCAAGCACGAGGCTCAATACATCCATACCCTCAGAGCTACCTCCAAGAGAATAGATCGGAATCCACGTCCGGTATCAATCGGGGTGGAACCCCGACTAGGGAATGTCTGCTTACCATTACATCCACCCTTCCCGAAGGCGCATCCCGCTTGGACGGCACATTCTGCGTAGAGTAGACATAAGTCGCCGTAAGGTTGTCAGCCTCATCTGTTTCGCGAAAGGTCAAAAGTCTCCCTGCGTGGGCCACCATGATGTTGTGATTGGAGGAAAGAGGGGAACGTGTAGTTCAGGAATTGAAGTTGGAGAGGCAGGGCACGTGCGGGGAACGCGTCCTCTCAGCCATCTACAAGCTAAGGAATTATTTGAAGAAACTATAGTTGTTTTTTGTCAAGCGCAGTGAAATGGGATAGTCAATTTTCTCCATTGTCTGAATCAAGTGCTCCCAGAGCAGAATATGTCACAGTGAAAGCAAAAGAATGCTCATCCAGTCACCCAAAGTCCATAATCTATAGAAAACTCGCATCCGCTTTTCCAACTTCAAAAGAAGTGGCGCATATTGCGCTTGTTGAAAGTAAAAGTAAAGTAAAAGAAACACCGGAAATCAGCCACCAGCGCCAGGTTTGCGAAGAATATAATAATATAAATGAAAAGAGAGTGGCAAGACCCCGAAAGTAGGGGGTTCTCGCGAATGACAGGCCTCGTAAGACAGATGGTCTCATTGTCGGGCCAGCGAGTAAACACCGCATTTCAGGTGCTACTCGAGACTCGATCAGGCCACTTTCCTCCAAGGTCGCCAGTGTCCACATCCAAGACTGGTCGGCACCAGCCACGTATCCATGATTCAACAAACTTCCATCATGAGAAGTATCGTACTCCGTCGCTCATATATTGGGTATCTCTGCCAGCAGGAAAAAAAAAAGAAGTCACAAGGATTTGAACTTCAACTTTTTACGCGAACATGCTGGCGCCGCCGGACTCGATGGCCTCGATCTCGGCCTCGGTCCAGGACAGACGTCCGAAGCGAGCAGGGAGCTCAGTGCGGTCGAAGAACTCGCCAGCAGCGGGACGGACGGGGCCGAGGGCAGCGCCAGACAGACTGCCGATGCCGCCGCTGGTGAAAGAGGCGCGACCGAGAGGGCCGTGCTGCTGAGCCTTGGCTCGGTAGGTGGCGAAGGAGTCAGGAAGAGCTCCAGTGGGAGAGGCGGGGTGAACGCGAGGAGTGTGGTCCACGGACTCTGGGATGAGGGTTAGCTTCACATTCGCGTGGCCGGAGCACCGGGTGAACGCCGGAGAAAACGTACTAGGGGTGGAGCGCTTGCCCAGGAAGCGGATCAAAGGGGTGCGGGCAGCGTTGCGGAGAGCGGCGGTGGCGTGCATTTTGATGGTGATGGGTGTAGTGTAGATGTTGTAGTAAGGTCAATTTCACGAGAGTGTGCGAAATTCAACGGGCCCGAAAGTATCCGAGCCGACCCAGACGCGACGAGAACGTGACACGAGTTGAAATGATGCGAATTGGTGGAGATAGGGAGAGTATGAAAGCCGGAGAATAGTAGGAGGAAGTTGAGTGATCGATAGTAGTGATGGGATGGGTAGAGAGGGGGTAAGAAGAGGGAAATAGACGAAGATAAGAATTCAGTTGATGGAAGCGTTACCGCATTGGGACGAGCCGACTCGGGGCCGAAAGTTGGAGTTTTGTTCAGCGGAGAATGTGTCACGCAATGTCCACCACAGTGAGATCGCATGTTCCTTCGTTTTTGAGCTTGTGCCTGTCCCTTCTGCCCTCACATTGGCTCACGGCGCCGCGGACAACCCTTCACATACTCCCCCGCACCGTGAAGCATTACTTTCCCTTCCCCGACTTACCCGATCCTTTCCCAACTGAGGCGTCCGGTGAAGCTTCCCCGTTCGGCTTCAAATTCAAGGAGATCCGTCATCCACTAGCAGACGTCGGTTGCATTCCTTATCCTCATAGGGTTCTACCGTTGGATCCGATCCCCACGGTTTCTACCTTAGTTACGCCCCCGCAACCCGCTGACAAAAGCACATTCCGTCCACTCTCGACTGTCTCTATCTGCATCTAGAGGTCTATTTAGGTCTAGCAAGGGGCCTAGCTGCAGGGGGAACCGCAAAATCGATTCCACAGTGTGAAGGGAACCCTGGGTACTATTACCCAATAACGCACACACATACTTATTCATAATTTATTGCTGATAAGGCGGGATCGCGCCACTTGGGAGCTTGGACCGGCACTAAACACATCCCGGCTTCTCCCGCATCACCTCACCTGAGGCACACAAGGCATAGGCACACTATGCACGAGCTACTACTCTTCGCCTCGGTCCCCGTCCACCAGCATCATGAGCTCCTTCAGCAGCTCACTGGCCTCACAGCCATGCAGCCTCGCCACTTGGTCGAGCGGCGGCTGATCTTCAAGGCCTACCGCAAGCCCGGGTTGGTCACCTCGCGCGTCGGCGGTAGCCAGGATCTTCAGCAGTCCGGGGATCTGCAGCGTGTGAACAAGATGCTGAACGGTGGCATGTTCTACACTCAGGTGGTTGGCCCGGTTTCCGAATCGGATTTCAGCACGTCTGGCCCGGCTGATCCCGATACCCAGATGGAGGGTATGGATGAATCTAAGCCAACCGCCCAGGGAACTTCCACCTATGACTATGAGCAGCAGCCCTGGAAGCTGGAGTTTCGAGATATTCCCGAGGCGGGAACTCGATCCGCTGTCACGTCGCGGGTGATGGCCAGCGCCTCTCTTCCGTGTGGCGACATCATACCATCCATGAATGCATGGGGTTATAGGTCAGTGGCCTGTTGTGTCATTACCATATACTGAATCTAATGCCGTATTTTAGCTTTGTAACCGAATATGTGGTCGAGGGAGACGTGTTCATCCAGAATGATATCGTCATCTACTTGCACCGCGTGCTGCACTATCCTTCCGGTGAGCAAGAGCATCGGGAACCTCGGCGGCATCTCCCGGTACTGAAGGAGATGACGCCACTTGAGAAGAGCGGCAGCTATGTCCTGCAGGCATCCATCAATGTCCTGGATGGGAGTAATCAGGAGACCATGAAGTCGGCCTCTCAGCGTCTGTTTGGGCTGCGGGAACAGCTCAAATCAGCGGTTCGTCTGGAGCAGGCCGACCGTCTTTCTCTTGATACTAGAGCCAAATAGAGTCTACAGCGGCTGTCATGATACCCGGAGAGGCAGCCTCCAGGATTGATGTTTGATGAGCATACAGCATACCAAAAGGCAGCGATCTCAATATGATAATAAAAAGATGAAAAAATGTGAAACAAATACTTGAGAATGTTCCAAGCTTCTAATGCAACTGTAGCGCCTTCTATTCTGTATATGTTCATACCCTAGTCGTTGGCGAGCGTCGCTGCAATTCTACCTTTTTGGGCGGCCGAGCATGTGACTTCGTGAAACCTCAGCGCGTTCCGGCGCGTCAGCTCGAAAGCTCCATCCAGCTGCTCTCTTCAACGGTCCACCCGTACAGCAATATCCCATTTCACAATCTGAAATCGAATACCACCAAAACGTCTCCTCTCAATCGAGCCCTCAAAATGTCCGAGGGGGGCATCAAGCGCACAGCCTCCCCCACTCGGCCAATCTCCCCACCTCCGCTTCGGCGAAAGGTCGAGTCATCAATAAACAGTGAGTGCCCCGATGGATACAATGAACTCAATGCTAATTGGTTGTCTCCTAACAGAGAAAGCTGCCGCCAATTTCTTCACTCCTGCCTCGCAAAAGAAGCCGGAACCGATCAAATGGAGAATCCTCGGAACCAGCTTGATTATTGGGAAATACACGCCGGAAAATTACACTCAGGATCTGTCAGAGAAGGATCGCAAAATTGCTGCATTTGATCTGGACTCTACATTAATCAAGACGAAATCCGGAAACACATTCCCCCGATCGGCGACAGATTGGCAATGGTGGAACACAGTAGTCCCAGGCAAGCTTCGAGAGCTCAAGTCCGATGGGTAATACTTCACATATTCGCAACGAAATACAGGCCTCTCTAACAGCTCGCAGCTTCCAAGTGGTTGTCTTCTCCAACCAGAAGAAAATCGCTATTCAAAAGGATATCAAAGCTGGCAGTGGCGAATCGAAGAGTCTCGCCACGTTTAAGGAGAAGTTAACTGCTATGATGAATGAGCTGCAAGTCCCCATCAGTGTGTACGCCGCTACAACGGATGCTGAATACCGTAAGCCTCGTCTGGGCATGTGGAAAGAGTTCCAAGATGACTACGATCTCGATGTGACGGGGATTGATATGAAGAAATCCTTCTTCGTGGGTGATGCCGGTGGGCGGCCGGGCGACCATTCTGCTGCCGATCTGTAAGAACCCTTGCGTGTTGTTTCATCCCGATTCCAGGTCTGACATTCTTTGCAGAGGATTTGCCTCCAATGCTGGGTTGAAGTACAATACGCCGGAAGAATTCTTCCTCGGGCAGGCCCCAGGCCAGACAAACGACACCTTCAACCCCAAATCCTATATGGAGATGGATTTGAATGGACCCGGTATATGACTAGTTTCAAGCGGCAGTGCATTCCAGAGCCTAAGCTGACATGCAGCACAGTTGTCAAATTTACCCGAAAGCATCCTCTTGAGCTGGTAATCTTCTGTGGTAGCCCAGGTGCCGGAAAGTCATCATACTACTGGAACAATTTGGAGCCACTAGGGTATGAACGGGTAAACCAAGATATCCTCAAGACCGTGAGTCCCACCTCATCTACTAGAGATCAGCCTCCTGACACTTCACAGCGGCCGAAATGCCTTAAGGTTGCCCGTGAGCTCCTCGAAGCCAAGAAATCTGTAGTAGTCGGTGAGTCGTGGACGTCGTTCGCTGGGTAGTTTCCTCGGTGCTGACCACCGCAGATAACACCAACGCCAACATTGAGACCCGAGAATACTGGACGTCCTTAGCCAAGGAGCTGAATGTTCCGATTCGCTGCGTTCAATTCATCTCTACATCGGAGTTATGCAAGCATAACAATGCCGTCCGAGCATCAAACAAGGAATTGGTAAGCAGTCATAACTTCAGAAACATTCGTCTTAACAATACAACTAACATCATGAGCAGAATCCCGAGTCCCGAACATCCCTCCCAGGCATCGCATTCGGTGACTTCGGCCGTCGCTTCCAGGAACCCACCCTAGGCGAGGGCTTTGAGGATATCATTCCCGTCAAATTCCAGTTCGTAGGCAACGAAGAGGCCAGGAAGCTCTGGGGACAGTTCTGGATTTGAGAGTTAACAAATCGGTTCTCGTTCCGAGTCTTTTGCATCCCTCCCTCCATTTCATACCCTCCACATCTATTGGCCGATGTTGGAACCCAAAGAAGTGGATGCAAACCTTAGCTTCGGAATTTGCAGGAACGTGCATTCGAAGTTGAGACTGGACCCTGCATCGTTATTCCGAAGCGCTTATTCGATATCATCTTTCAAATCCTATGGCTGGCATTGCTTCTGGCCCGGCCAGCGAATGATTCTCCACGTTTCGCGCTGGTGATGCATATCTAACCTTGCACACTAATGCATTCTATTTATTGCATTCTCCTAGATACATGTCCAACTTATGAAATTGGTGGTTTCCCACACCACATGCCAACTAGAAGCATCCATTAACCCAATATCCACTTATCACAGACTTGAGCTTTCCCCAAATGTGATGTCTTGGGCACAATCCCGCTGTAAAGCGTGCTAAACCCCATTCCTACACACTTCGTAGCAATTTCACCGGTTGGAATGCATATCCTACATCGCCCCCATTTCTTTCCCCATCTACCACTGACTTCTACATTCCTGTGCTAAAATCGGCCGACGCCTTCTCCACCCCCACCCTTGATAGAGCTACATACAATGATGGGGGATATTCGATAAGAACACGACAGCTAATTGTCAATCGTCTCTAGCTCTACCCCTCTACCCCTCACCAGGTTTCTGTTTAAAGCCGGCGTAATCCCTGCTATCAATTGTCCTTTTCAATTGTTCTCCCTTCATCCCCAAACAACCACTACTCCAACTACAACAATGGGCAAGAAACGCGTCCTCGTCGGCTACGGCATCGACATCGACGCAGTCGCTGGCTGGCTAGGCTCCTACGGCGGCGAAGACAGCGTCAGCGACATCAGTCGAGGTACCCCTCCTCCATCCCCTCCCTCAACTCAATACTAACCACGCCCCAGGCCTCTGGGCCGGCCACCACGGCACGCCCCGCCTCCTTAAACTCTTCGAAAAATACAACATAAAAACAACCTGGTTCATCCCGGGCCACTCCCTCGAAACCTTCCCCGAAGAATGCGCTATGGTCCGCGACGCAGGTCACGAAATCGGCCTCCACGGCTACAGCCACGAAAACCCCGCTGCAATGTCAAAAGAACAGCAGCGCGACATCCTCGATAAAACCTATCACCTGCTCAAGGATTTCACGGGCAAGCCGCCCCGCGGTATCGTCGCGCCTTGGTGGGAGGCTAGTGCCGAGATGGTCGAGCTTCTGCTCGCTTATGGAATCGAGTATGATCATTCTATGTCGCATCATGATTGTCAGATGTATTGGTTGAGGACGGGGGATTCGTGGACGAAAATCAATTATGATCAGAAGGCGGAGACTTGGATGAAGCCGCTTGTTAGGGGGAAGGATACCGGGTTGGTCGAGATTCCGGGGAGTTGGTATATTGATGATTTGCCGCCGATGATGTTTATTAAGAACTCAGCCAATAGTCATGGGTGGGTTAATCCGAGGGATGTGGAGGATATTTGGAAGGTTCGAGATACTGATACCCGCTACGAGATGTGATCTATGAATTTCCGCTAATGCTGGGTAGGATCATTTCGATTACTTCTACAGGGAGTATGATGAGTTCGTTTTCCCGATGACGATTCATCCGGATGTCTCTGGCCGTCCGCATGTGTTACTTATGCATGAAAGGTAAGACAATGACCCCGACGTGGGTGGGAACGTGTGCTAATGCGATGCAGAATTATCGAGTACATCAACAGTCACGAGGGCGTGGAATGGGTGACCTTTGAGCAGATGGCAGATGATTTCAAAAGTAAAAACACGCCTCCTGAGGGCGCTCTGATGCCTGTTGTCAACCCGCAGGTTTGAGATGGAACCTTGGGTACTTGAAGCATCACTGAGAATGATAATTGCCGCCAATTGCATTTCTGTGGTCATCGGTGACTTCTTCTTCCTAGATTGTGTTTCTTGTAGCTTGTAGCACCGCGCCCTTGCATGCAGGATGAATTGTGTGTTGCGCTGGTAGCTCTGTTTATCTCCAGTTGTACTGGTGCGACTCTCGCAAGGTATTGAGATGTCGACTGCTTGTTGTTTACGGCCCTGGTTGAGGTGAGCACTGCATGCGACATGAGCTGCATCTGCATATCCCGCTTCGATTGCCCCTCTAAATGCCCCGATTGAGGGCACGCCTATCGTATCTTTCTTTCCAACGAGACTGGGGATCTTGGCTAGCTATAAAAAGAAGCGGGGTTATACATGGTACCTGTGTGTCTTGTTTGATATACATCGGTGGCCTTAACAACCTCGGCATTGGATATCAGGATTTGTATTATTGTATATGGACCAGGACTTGCACATGTGGTCTCATCATAGAAGTGAGACATACTTAGTGACAAGAAAGCTCGGGAAAGTAAAGTAATACGCGAGGTGAAACATGTGAGGTGGAAAGACATACTTTCTCTACTCGGCAGCACCAAGTCGTAGGTTTGCACCTTCAAATTTGCAAACCTGATTAAATTCTACTAGGCGATATAGATGAACACGATTATTCAAGCCATATATTAGCCATCCATAGGTGGGTTTTTACGATCGAAAAATCTACGGATCATGCACCCTGGGGCTGTGCCGGTCCCGGTGGCAGTGTCGGGACAACATGCAGCCACGGCCGAGCTATAGACGGTAGGTAGACAATGGATTTCAGATAGAACAAGCATAGGAATAATCAAAAGAGCAAGTAGTTCTACGTTGCGATGCATATTGAGGTAAGCCAACGATAAATGACGCGGCAGACGCACCCGACAGGTTGGATAGTGCGACAAGTTTACTACTCCGTTAGCAAAAAAGAAAAAAAGCCCGAAACATGTAACTCATGGTGATATAGATACCAGGAAGTTGTCCGCCTTGAATGTTTCATATCTTGAGATTATTTCAATCTGAAATTCTCGCATGACCTCTAGATCCCTGTATGGTTTCCCGGAAGTAGCTTTTGGAAGGGATGAAGTCTCTGCTACAGCCAATGGCCAGCAGATGTCACTCCACAGTCATGAAACGATCTACACTGTCAACTGGTCTTGCTAAGAAGATCAAGGATCCACGTGAGTGAGCATCGCATAGGAGACGTGGGAATATGTGGGAACAGGTGGTCAGAGAATAGGTTGTATCCATGGAATAGGCCGTATCCATGGAATAGGCCGTATCCATGGAGTGTGGTATAGCCCAGTGTAGCAAGAGGGTCCTTGCAACTGCCGGAATATTCCCGGCAGTGGACTGTAACGGCGTGCGTCTACCTTGCCAAGGTACTTTTGCTCTTAACAATGGTGGCATGTGGTGCCGACAGTGGTCTTAGTGCCAAGGTCAATTATAGTGGCGAGGAACCGTGGAAGGATCGAGCTGCACGTGGTCAGCACCACGATGCATCAGCTGCAGTTAATATGGATAAATTTTTTCCAACCCGAGGTTGAGGGTGATGCAAGGTACAGACATGAGAAATCAAGTTCGAGTTCGCCTTGAACAAGAACACGATCATAATCTATAGAGTGACATTGCCACTGTCAAAAATAGATCTTCAACATACTTGTAATTTTGGCAGATAGGAAACTGCCCAACTCCGGAGCAGTCAGGCTATAGTACAGTAGATTATAGGCTATCGGGTCCCTTCCTGTGGAAGGCCCACACGATTAGGTTTCCATCGGTTTTTAGCCGATTGTCGCATGTACTTAGCCGATCATTGCGCGGTAGCGAGGGAAAACAGGTACTGGATCTGCAGGGTCTAGCTATGTCATATGGAAGATCTCACCCTAGAGAGAGAGAGAGAGAGAGAGAGAGAGGGAAAAAAAGAAGGCAAAAAAAGAGAAAATTGACCAGTCCACCGTGTTGCGTAGGCAATAGATCCAGTACCGTGACTGCAGCTGAGCGATACCCGAAATGTAAGCAGGACCAACGGTACCGGAGTGGCAGCGGCGCAGACACGGCAAAGCGGCCCTCGCCCCTTTGCCTCAACCAAAGTTTTCACTCCCAATTAATCATCTTACTGTAAGGTACTGGCCACTGGCCAACCATTATGTTCACCGAGTCCCCGACCATGTGGATCTGACGTCTTTTCACAGCTTACAGCGGTGGCAGACCGGGATCATATGGAGGGGTTATCGTGCGAGACACTACTTGAACAGACCTGGCCATACCTGGACCGGCCTGGTGTACAAGCCGGTGTACAGGTCCGACTCTGTGAGAGTCGGGGAAGACTGTGCGACCGAGCGACTTCGGACTAAGGTTCTTACTGCCTGTTGTTCGACGTTGTGCGACCGGCTATCGGGAGGGTGCGCTCAGTAGAAAGGGCACACAGGCCCAAACAAGCCAAATGACGATGTGGGCGCCGAGCTCAAAAAACAAGGGGACCGGGTCAGAATGGCATCATAACGGTCCGACGGAGCTCCACCGGCAGAGTCTAGATGCCGCCGATCTCGCACATGTCTGAAAACTTGACCCTGAACCCTAAGCGAAATAGATCCCCAAGGGTTCTGGGGTTATGATACTGTCGGGTTGCACAGGGATGCACCGCATCTGTGTAGCCGTTGGGGGATGATAGGATCGAGGATAGGATCGAGGTACCTGGGGGTACCGATTTTAGAAGGAGGAGGAAGCGAGTAGAAGCCACGTCGAACCCACGTAGAAAGGGTATGGAACAAATTGAGCAGAGAGAACCATGGTTCGAGCCTGTCAAACCACCGGAACCCGGCGGAGTCGTTCATGTTGGGAAAGGCAAACCGAGGATTGTCGCGTGCAAATGAATTCGGGACTTTTGTCTTTGTTCTGCCCTTGTCTCCTTTAGTCTTCTTAGCGTCGTCTTTTCTCTGGTTCTCTGGGGCTCTAGCGTGTGGTCCAGAGGTCTAGCCTCTTGGTCCTTTCATCCTGTGCATCCTATCTCACACATCTCCTTCCTACCTTCTACCCTCTCTACCCTCTGCACTCCTGCACCTCTTCGACACTCGCGACCTCTCGACGTTCCCGTGTGACGGGGATCTCCCTGCGGGCACATCATCACCGGCCCGTTTGCCGATTCGCATCGCTGTCTTCCTGCCCAGCCAGCTGGCAGTGTTTGGCCCACGTCTGCGCTGTTCCCTTCCTTCTCCATTGGACCCTCGTTCCATTTGCCTTCCTTTTACAAATCACACCGCCACCTCCGAGGTTGTGACTCGTACCCTTTCTCGCGCGCTCTATATTGAGTGCTTGGTCCACCCGTTCCTTTCCCTCCAATGCTTAGCAACCTACTTTCTCAAAACCAGCGACGCCCGACGGCATCGCCTGCGCAATGCGTAAATTATCCCTCATCGATTCCCAACGAGAGTCCCTCGATATGCCATTAACGCTCAATACCTCTGCGCCCGCTTCTCCCGCTATCTCCCTCTTCTCCGCCACCGGTCACAATCGCGTCTCCAGCTCCGTTTCCTCGCTGGTTTCATCGGGCCCGCTGGGAAACTCGATGGACAGCCCGAGCAGGAGTCATTTGACCGGTGTGAAGGAGGAGCCTATTGCTCGCGACTCGTTGGAAGATCGATATTTCCGTACGTTTCCCTCTATGACTCACAAAGCGGAAACGCAAGGCTAACTTGCTCAAAGAACATTTTGATTGCGCCGATGAATCGTGCTTTCCGATGGACCCCTCTGATAGTTATGACCTAAGCGACAGCTGCGTCGACTTCCCTGCAACCAAGCGCCGCTCAGACAGTGCGTCGATGAAGGGAGTCTCACGCATTAATTCGCACATGTCGACCATATCAACTCGATGGATTCGCAAACGTGCATCGGGGAGCCCCGAACGTGACGGATTTCCGGATGATCTGCGGTCGCGAGCTAACTCTGCGGCGTCCTCCGCTCTGGCGAGCCCCGTCGTTAGACCCAACAGTGCTTCTCGTGTCGATTCGCACATTCCTCCGTCCCCAGCACAGACGGTCTTTGAGGAGCGCATGGGCGATTCTAATGTGCGACCCATCGACATCACCCGCGCCAACAGTCTGAGCCAGGACGACAATGACTCCTTGCAAGCGACCACTCCTCTTCTCCCGCCTGTTTTGGGCGACGACCCGACCAGCATGGCCGCATCGCGAGTGCAGTCGCCTTTGCAGTCTCCCTCCGTTGCAGATGTGAGCCAGTCCGGCCAGTACTATATGACATCAGTTCCTGGTTTCGCTGGTATTCCTTCGCCACCACTTTCGTCCAAGCCATCGGTTGCGTCTATTTCCCGCCCTCGTGCCAGCACTTGCCGCACGGTCTCAGGTGATTCCACCCCGTTCGTCTTGTCGGATCCCAACGACGAATGGGCCAACAAGTTGGGCCACGCCAACTACACTATTCAGCCCGAACCGTACCAGCCCGTGGCCTGCGATATCGACCATTTCCACCAGCTGCGTGCGGACTGGGATGTCGCGCGCTGCAACTTTGCCAAGCACCTCGTGCGCACCGGCGAGCACTACGGCGTCACGTCCAACATTTACAAGCTTACCGGCGAGAAATGGGATTGTATTAACGACCAGTGGAGAAAGGAGCACAAGTCCATGCTCAGCCAACTCGGCTCCGTGGACGGTGTGGCCCTCACCCTGACCCAATCTCATCTCCGTCCTCGCGAGCAAGTCTGCATCCCAGGCCTCCACGACAACGCCAAGTTCCCCGAAATGGGAGACGAAGACATTGTTGGTCCGATGAGCGTCGCTCCCGCGACTGACATCGCTGGCATGTGCCGATCAAACCCAATGAAGAAGCGCAATTTCTTCCGCTTCTTCCAGGATCTCGTCTCCCGCCCTTGAGCGCTCACCATCGCTTCGACATTTTCCTTTTTGTCCCGCTTTCGAGCAATCTACGATAATGACCATAGACTTCGCGCGACTGCCCCGGATCTTTATTCGGCTGCAGTCCGCTTTTACGATTAATGTCTCTCTTTTCATTTTTGATGACTCTTATGACCTCACGATCCGGGCGACTACTGCTCTCGCTCCCGATCATGTCTTTCCTTCGTCTATTACACTTCTTGAGTCATGTGTTTTCCCCCATGAACTTTTTACCTGGATTCGAACTGTTCCTCAAAAGACCCGAATCCCAGGCTGGGTTGAAGCCCGTCCGTTCCTTGTTTCACGATATACCCCTGCATGAAATTGCTGTATCTCATAGACTTGTTATCAAAAACAACACTCCTGTCTTCCTGTCTCTATTCCCATGTTGTATATAACCCGCTCATTCACCTAAACCTGTGGTGATAAAGCTGCTTGTACACAATCCACATTAGATTTGATTCTGATTCTGATTATATCTCCGATCCACCATGTTTACAAATCTTCAAGTACTAGGTACCTTATCCCTGTAAGTAAAAGTCTAGAGCATCCACACCATGCAAGGCAAAGCAGCCGAGAACTCCCGATCAAATCCACGATGTACTTTCAGGTACGCAGTGCCTATTGTTGGGGCCTGGACTGAAGCTTCCCCTCACCGAACGGTCATATCCATCAGCCCATTGTAATCAGCCTGCAGACTGCAGACTTCGTGTTAACCTAAACTCAATTCCTTTAGCGTTCCTGCATGGTGCAAGGGGACAACGCATATATGGCGGTCCGAGGTTCCGCGCTCTCGTGGACCCAGTGCTTCACGTGCGAAATGACCGGTGAGGATTTCCGGACATAATGCTATTCTTCTGAAGATGAGTCATCGGTCCGGAGCCGAGTTGTTTGGATTGTTGTTGCGTCCGATAGAGACGAAGAAAGAGTAATTAGTTATAGAAATTTGTGGATGCCTGATTACTCGGGCGTTGACGTGTCTACTTCTCTCATCTAGATGTTCAAACACAGACTCTCATTTACCTCTCTCTCTCTCTCTCTCTCTCTCTCTTTCGCTGGTTATCGAATACATCGGTCTTGCTCCTATGAGAAAATCTTTATAGATTCTACAGGCTCGGAACAAACCCGCGAACTCAGATCTAGACCCGGCGCGAAGAGAGGTGTGGGGGCACAGCAAGGCCCCACGAGCCTTGGGATGTGCTTCGGCTGCTCGCTTAGTGGTATATTTGTGCGACAAGCGACAAGCGGACAACCTACAACCAGCCCTAAACATGAGGTATTGATTTAGCGAAAGGCTCAGATAGTGCTGTATCAGTAAGCCCCGACTAATGCTAGGCTAGGAGGTATGTAGTCTGCTCCGAAATGAATCGTTAGGACATCGGTCTTGCAGCGGACTTACCAGGAGCACATTGCCACATAGCCTTTTAGCTATACAACTATTTCGAACCTCTACATTGCTTCAATGGCCTTGAAAATGAACGTTCGATATTAACAATCGTTCGTGATGAATGTAGCATTCGAAAGTGCTAGTTATATATCGGCATATCCTCCTTACAAGCTGCGTTAACTAGAGACATACGATAATTCTTCTCCCCCTCAGTAACCTCATATTCATCCCACCATCTAGCCCACTCAACCATATTACCTCTACTGCACCAAGCATTCCCACCGAGCAAGCTATTATGGTTTAAGGCTATGAATTACTAGTCTGATTGGTGGGACTTCATAGTGAAGGCAGCTGGACCGAAAGTGCGTTTATCCTTGACCATATTGAGCTCTTTATAATGCGAAACAAAAGGAGGTGATTGGTGAATATGATGAGCTACTTCGCCTGAGGGATCAATAGCTCCGCACTTTGATTTCTACCGACACCAACTAGTAACAGAGTGTATCAAATGATGCTCTTATCAAATCCTTGTATGTATTTTTGATAGCGCATGGTAGTTAGAACTCCAGAAACCCACGCTGTTGCTCTTCCTCTAAAGTGTCTACCACAGGCAAGCTATTACGAGTTTGGGAAGTCGGCAATAGTAACCCAATAGAGTCTAGATCCAATTCCTTGTATCAATGTGCATAACCAAGCTACCGCACAATACAAATATAACGCGATAGAAGCTCTTACAGCGCATCATGGCCATGCGTCTCATACGGCAACCCAATACATAGAACCCCAGCAAGTACCCATAGTGAAGCGCTGACATAGATCGGGGCACTTGTAAATCCCGTCTGCGACGAAATCAAACTAGCAACCAGTCCTCCAAATCGCAGAAGAGCAGCCGCCGTACCGGTTCCGGTGCCACGGTGCGGAGCTGGGAATGTCTCCGGAGTAAAGGCGTACATAATAGCATATTCTGTATTTATTAGCTTGAGTACGTGATCGAGAGTCGTGCTTTCGTCTTACCAAAGTTGGCTAGCAGACTCGTAACGCAGGAAAATGCCAGGTCGGCTGCGGTGCTGTCGACTCCCACGTAGGCGAAGAGAAATACAGCCGTGATCACGGCTGATATGCTCATCATCCAGCGTCGACCAAGTCGTGTGTTGACTGCAACTGCGGCGGATATGGGGCCCAGAATTCCCACTGCCGATGTAATGCAGTAGTTGCGATATGTTAGATATAGTGATGAGTTTTCGGTGAACTTGGTTGCTAGGTAGGAGGGCAGGAAGTTGAAGTAGAGGGGATATCCGATGCCTGGGATGGGTGTTAATATGGTGTTTTGCACTGAGTGTCTTCAACACTTTACGTACCTAGAGTGAGCCAAATAGCCCAGATAATGAGTGTTTGTCTGGAAAGTTTCGAAGTCGCGAATAGGGCTCGGTAATGTGTTCCTCGGAAGGCTTCCATGTTTTCTGAAATAATTTCCTTGGTAGAAAGCTTTGTCCTGGCTTCACTTTCGCTAGATGCTGTGCCTAGTCTGGCATCGATATCCCGGAGCATTCCAATGGTTAGTGGCTCGGGCTTGCCGTTTTGTTTGGCAACGTAGTTCACAGCATCTACGGCATCCTGGTCTCTGCCCTGAGAGAGAAGATACCTTGGAGTCTCTGGGAGCTTGAAGACGAAGATGCGGATAAACGTGAAGGCCAGGGACAGTGCCCCAAGTGTGATCATAGTATATCTCCATCCCATATTCTGTGAACGAGCACAAGTCTCATAGGTCGCATCAGCCGAGCAGCTGAAGTTGGCTAGGAAGACCCAAACGATCAACGAGACCATCAATTGACCCAAATTCCACCATGCAGAAAGCGCAGTGAGTAGGTATTGGTGACTGACTGATGTTAGAAAAGCATTGGCCTCGCTCAGGGATGGACTTACCTTCCTGGCACAAATTCCAAGAAAATCATCGAGTCGACAGGCACATTGCCACCAACTGCAGTGCCAATAACAGCCCAAAGAGCACTGAATGCGATGAAATTCATTGAGCCTGCGACGGCACAGAGGAAAATCCCGGCAATAAGAAGGGTGGAATTAAATGCGGGTTTCCGACCGATCAAATCGCTCGACAGACCCCAGAACGAAGCACCCAGTATGAGGCCTACGTAATATGCAACCGAGCTGTAGCTGACCTGGGTAATGTCTGAGAATTCCAGCTCAATAGGAGGCTGGACACTGCCAATGCCTTGAGACGCAAACTAGGCGATTCGGTCAGTCACAAGAATCGTGATGTTTCGAGCAACCATACGTTATCGACAATCCATCCGAAGCCCGTCACCACGAACAATTTCCACTGGAACTTTCCCATCCCAATCTCTTCCAAGCATTTGCCCACAAGTTCTGACTTGAGGCGATACGCCTGTGTAGTAGAAGAGCCATAGAACTGTTCGAGTTCTTGATCCTCAAGAGGAATGACCTTCCCCGAACCCTCGTCCAGCTGGAACTCCTGGGCTGGGGAATATTTTTTATCGTCTTGTCGAATCTCATCCATCTCGTCAAATTGAGCTGCCTGAAAATTCTAGATATCTACGCGCCTAGATTACCTCGTCTCATATACTTTTTAGGGCTATGGGATCTGCTTACTACCCCAGGCATGCTAGCTTCTGACAGCTACGAGCGATGGCACTTCTGATTGATAACAAGGGTGGAGCGATATGATTGTAGTAGTTCATATTCCCCCCACCTTTGATGCCTGGGGGATAGCGAGAGCAACATGCCAAACCATTTTGCGGTTGGTAGGATATCAATCTAGCAGACCTTATCGCGCTTGGCTTTATGTCCCTTTAGCACTTGAAAGCCCCCAAGTTATTTCTCGGAGAATAGTTCCGACTCAAGGCTCGAGGTTACTGTGCTCTTGATAGGTTTGGTAATGCAATGTAAATTGGACTGCGATGGAAAGATACACAAGATATCAAAATCCAGGAGTTGACCAACTAAATTACGCGCCAACAGCAGCAACAGCAACAGCAGGCGTCAGAGCCGATTGCTTCTGCTCCAACTGCTTCTTGTACTTCTCTGCTCTACCATAGCTCTCTTTATAAGCCGATGTCACCATATCCTGAACAGTAATCGGCGCGTACTTCGCAGCCTCTCCCTCTGCCCGACAGTTCGGCAAACACTCGCAGAGATAATCAGGGTTTCCACTGAAAAAAAAGGGAATAGAATACCTCTCCCGACCTGACTTATTGATGACGCGATGCGTGTTGGACTTGTACTTATCGTTGGCCATGCGCATGAATAGATCTCCCAGGTTCACTACATATGCACCAGATGTCGGTTTGACCTATGACATGTTAGTTGTGTTTGAGAAGGTGAAATGGACGTACTCACGTCAAGCCATTGCCCAGAAGGAGCGTCTAGCACTTGCAAGCCGTCTACCTCGTCTTGCAGAAGAAGTGTCACACAGCCAAAGTCCGTGTGTGCGCCAATACCGCGGTTCAGCTTTTCGTCCTCGTCCTTGGGCTGCGCGGGATAATGCAGCATGCGCATTGTCGCAACTGCCCCAGCCGTGAGAGGGTCGAAGTAGCTTGAGTCCACTCCCAGCGTCAGAGCAACTACGCTCAGCACATCCTTTGCCAGATCGAATACCGCGTGGTAGTATTCCATGGTGGTCTTCTGGAACTCCTCCTTATCGGCCACCGTCGGAGGCCATTGGTTCGGCCCACTGTTCAATTTCTTCTGCAAGAAGTATGGGTGGTCTTCCGGAATCTCCTCCCCGATATATAAGCCCTCCTTGAGCTCAGGCCCGGTGCCGACTTCGAGCATTTGCGATCGAAGGAGCTCATAGCCGCGGTTGAACGTGTTTATATCTGGAAACCAATTAGCATCTCGCTTTATGCGCGGCGTGAGTAAGTCGTACTCTTGTCAATCTGCATCTTCTCCTCCAATGGCAGAGTGAAGAACCGCTTTGAGCATTCCATCACACGACGCTGCAGCCCGAGCGGTACCTTGTGGCCAGTGATCTGGAAGAATCCATTGTAGTGGCAGCACTTGCGAACTTCCTCGACCAGCTTTGCTTTCGCTTCACTGTCTACACCGTAAAAGGGCGAGAAATCCAGAATTGGTGGGGCGGTTGCTGTAGACATTCTATAAGGCTCAACGGGTTGGGATTGACGTGATTTGTCTCTAAATTGGTTGAGTACACCACTATTGGGAATATATGTTCATGATGGAGCATGGTGAGCTCCTCATCGCGTTAGCGACTTCGGCCAGAATGCCGATGGCCAGTTCCAGCTGGATATTTAAGCCAAGAGGACTTAAAGGTCGAGAGTGGTGAGAGTGGGGGTCTGGTCAAAGATGGGGTGATGTTCAATCCATGGGGGGGGGGCGTCGATAAGACGATCTGCGGGGAAAGCTGTGGCCTGGATTACCTGGACTGCAGGAATTGTTATCTTTAGGATAATAATTGGCTATAGCTCTGCCTCGGCCTCACTGCTGATGTCTTCCAGTGTTGTCCCATGTCTAGATGCGCGTAGGTTGTCATGAGCTACACAGCTGCACGTTTGTCCGATGCAAGGGGTCACATACGAATAAATATGCACGCACCGCCCTTGTCCCCTGTGCCCCTAAGCTTTCCCAAGTCCCTGGAGATTTGTATCCCGTTTCAACATGTCCGAGCAATTCAAAACAGCGATCTCGAGTAAATCCGATGCAGAAGCCAGTACAGGAGATAATGTCGTCTATTCAGATCCCGAAGCCGAGAAGCAGTACCGTAGGAAAGTGGACCTTTACGTATTACCGCTACTATGTTTGGTGAGAACACTTTGAATCACCAAGCCGAAATAAGACTGACAGTGGTAGATATACTTTTTCGACTGCATGGACCGAGTAGGTCATCCGCCTGCTGAGCTGTATGGTCGATATTGACTCATCTAGAGCAACCTGGCCAATGCCAAGACCGATGGTCTCGATGAAGACTTGCACTTCCAGGGGAATGACTACTCATTTCTCGTTCTCCTCTTCTACATCCCATTTGGCCTCTTTGATCTACCATGGAATCTTCTCATCAAGCGCTACTCAGGCAGACTCATGCTCTCATTCAGTAGGTCACTATTGAGTTTGACACTGCACGACAGCTCTGATGTTTCCTCATACAGTGTCGGTGGTCTGGGGTATTCTTGCCCTGTGCCAATGTGCAGCTAAAGATTTCGGATCTCTCCTCGCCATTCGGATCATTCTAGGTGTTTTTGAAGCTGGTTTCTTCGCCGGGGCTACTTTCTATATGACAACTTTCTACACTCGTGGAGAAATGGGATTCCGCCTTGCTATCATGCAATCGTTCGCTGTCCTAGCATCGGCTTTCAGTGGGTTGATCTCGTTTGGTGTATTTCAAATCGACGACTCCGCCGTCAAGGGGTGGCAATGGTTGTTCATTATTGAGGGAAGCATGACATTTATCACTGGCGTCGTTGGCTTCTTCCTGCTCCCGGACTCTCCGCAAAAGGCTTGGTTCTTGAATGATCGGGAACGGGAAGCAGCCGTGGCTCGTATGCTGCGAGACGCGTCGTCCGAGGTTGGGACTGGCTTTAATCTCAAGGAGTGTTTCCGTTCGTGGAATGACTGGAAGTTCCCTATCTGGTGTATTATCACGTTCACCTATCCCGTTGCCTATGCGACTGCGATGAACTTCTTCCCCTTGGTGGGTTCTTCGCATCATCTTGCCACGACTTGTCTAACTGGAACAGATTGTCGCACGATTGGGATTCTCCACTGTCAAAACCAATCTGTGGACAGTTGCACCAAATCTTGTCGGTGCAGTCATACTTCTATGCGTCGCTAAATCCTCTGATTATTTCCGCGAAAGAACATTCCATATCGTATTGTCCCTAACCATCTCAATGGTGGGGATGATCATATTGGCAGCCATCGACGTGTTGAACAACAAGGCAGTAGCCTATTTTGCATGTTTCCTGATGGCTGCAGGCGCTTATATTCCTTCGTGTCTGGTACATGCTTGGCACAACAATAATAATGTGCATGAGAACTCGCGCGCGGCTAATACTGGTTTCTTCGTTGGCCTCGGTAACTTGGCCGGAGTTTTAAGCGCAGCCACCTTTCGAACTGAATATGCACCTAAGTGAGATTAATCGACTAGCCTTTGAAGATGTATTGGGCTAATGATTCAACTATGCAGATACATCCCTACGTTAGTGGCAACGTGCTGCTGCAATGCCGTCTGCATAGTGTTTGTATTAGGATTGGGGCTATGGATGCGATTTGAAAACCGACGTCGAGACCGAGAGCAGGGGCTTAGAGTCAGAGAGAACCAAATAGATACCAGCCAGATCAAAGAGGGTGAAGATAGCGTAGATTGGCGGTTCTTCACTTGAGTTATGGGTAACCCCGGTGTTATCTAGACATACGTCGGAGTTTATCACCGGTGATAATGACACACCTCGACTTTGTGTTTCCATAGCTAGCTCCAATCTTAAATCAATAATTATGATTCTAATGGCCATTATGCACGTCTCGATAGGCGACAAATCAGCTAAAGCGACACCAATCACGATCCACGCCCCCGCATCCTTATCAACCATCGGCAGTTGTTCCGGTCGTACTTATTCTAGCGTCTGCCAGTGGTGTGTGCTTCGCCTTTTTTTTTCTCATCTGTTCAATAGCTATGAAAACTCATGCGTGTCAGTATCCCACTTGTGGGAAGCGATTCTCTCGTGCTGAACATCTACGGAGACATGCCTTGAACCATGAACAACCTCGAAACGGATTTACTTGTGAGCGCTGTGCTGTTCATTTCCAGCGTCCTGATCTTTTAGGTGAGATGGGATTTGATCATTCGGTCGGGTGTGGTTCTAATCGTTGGGCAGCCAGACATATGATGCGGCATACGAAGCGGGACGAAGAAGCGGGCGGGCCAGGAATGGGGGTGTTGAAAACCCGGAAGAGAATACGGAGAGCCGGGGACGGATCTATTATTGTACGGCCGTCTCAACGAGAAATGCGTTTCGCGGCAAGATCTACAACATCTTCCGCGAGTTCCGACCGAAGAATGGAAGAATATGAAGAAGACGAAGACGATGAGGCGGAAGAGACCCAGTTTGTAGACGAGGAGCCCTTGTCACCACCCATCTCAGGCACGGATCATAATTCTCTGTCTCTCGATGAAAATGATCCATTCTTGGCTCCAATGATGCCTGGTGGACCTTTTGAACCCTATGTTGAGCCCGTTCCAGGCCAGTTTGACGCCGCCGATGGATCGTTCAATATGGGTATGGATGGGATAAGCGATTTCTTCGGAATGGATACTGGTGTGTACTTTTCTATCTTCTATAATGACTTGTCTCTAACAATTACAGCAACTGACTTCAACCTCCCATTTGCGGCAACCTGTAATTACAATTGGCTATTCAACGTCAACTCTCTAGATGACGCCTTTCACCAATTCGAATTTCCTCTCGGCTACGACGCTAGTTCCTTCCCAGACTCAATCAACACTGATCACCATGCTATCGAGAAATGCGATGGTCCATCGATGCTGTTGGAAGTGGCTTCGATGATGAACAAAGTCCCGACTCCACACACCTTATCTCCAACGTCCCCCGGTCTGCTCGACATGGACTGGATGTCTGGATCATCATATTTAGGCCCTAACCCCCCACAATGTCTACCGCGACTATCTGAAGATACCCAGAGAGGTATTCTAGCTCTCGTGGCTCAAACACAGCCTACGGGGATGGATGGACAACCAATGGCTCTCGATTCACATTTACTCAGTCTACCCGCACTGCAAGGCTACTGCGATCTCTTCTTCACTCGTTTTAATGTTACTTATCCGCTCATTCACCAAGCAACCTTCAACCCAAATATTGTCGACCCTGTTCATCTGGCCGCTATCTTATTCATGGGCGCTACCTATAGCACCAGAGAAGCCCACCAGCTGGCCGTGGGAGTCCACGACAAGCTTCGGAATCAACTACTATGCCATAATGACTTTTCACCACAGCCCGACCTCTGGGTCTTGCAGACCATGCTTCTGATTGATTGCTTCGGCAAGATGAGGGCGGGTCCCAAGCAGCGAGAACGCGCTCAGCTATTCCATTGTGTTTTGATCAAACTTATTCGTCGGAGCAATTGTTGCCATATTCAGGATTCGTCTCATCTGGCGAATGCAGATGATCTTGATCAGGCGTGGAGACAAGCCATGGATGCGGAGCAAAGGAAACGTTTGGCGATGCACTGTTTCATGTGGGATACTCAGCACGCTGTATTATTCTCGCAGTCCCTGTGCATGTCGGCGTTCGAGATCAGATCTTCCCTACCTTGCAGCTCAACTGCTTGGGAAGCTTCATCTGCTCGCGAATGGGCACACAGTGCTGTTCGTGAATCAAATCGCCTCTTCCTCACTGTCTTGAAGGGATATATCACCCCAGGGGCGGTTTCTCGACCTCGGGACTTGAACGTATTCGCCCGTACGGTTGTCCTGCACGGATTGATGTCCGTTTCGGCGGATCTGAAGCGCCGCGATCAAACAACACTGCGATCAGAGACGCCTGAGAAAGTTGGGGCATGGACCCCTCGAATGAGCCGGTCCTACGATCTATGGAAAGTTGACTTTGACGCGGATTTCCTAGCGATGAAATTGACGCAGACCTCGGACCCCCGTCGCTTCACGGGGTTGAAAATGGCCGCGCATGCTCTCTACCATGCTGCTTGCTTGGCTTTGAACGTTGAGATTTTGGATTTGCAGGTTGTTGCAGGCGCAGTGCAGATCCTCGGACGGGCTGTTACTCCTGCGGATCAATCACGTTCCCAGCGGACTATTCTTCGCTGGCTCCACGAGGGATGTGAAGCATCTTCTGTTGCTGCAAGGCATGCTTCATACCTCCTTCAGGATGCAGTGCTGAGCCTGCACGATTGGGACCAAACAGATGCTTTCCATTTCCCGTGGTGCCTGTATCTGGCTACATTGACGTGCTGGGTGTTCCATCGCGGGATGGAACACGCGCCCGCAGAGAGCCGAGTTACCACGGATCTATCTTCTTTGATTGTGATGATGACCAATTGTCCTAGTGCAGTTGAGTTGGCGGCGCTTTCAGGAAAGTATGATCCGAAACCGCTGGCAGCGGCAATGGCTCAACAATTAGCGACCGTCCGATGGGCTGTTGTACACGATGCGATGAAGGTTTTGATTGGCTTGTCTCAATAGTGCACATGTATGATTGTATTCTGTTTAATCTCGCTGAATCCCAAGTTCTGCTTGATCTATCCTACTTTTTATGACCTTTTTCATTCGTAGAAAGGGTAGTCTGTGTATCCCTTCTGCGGAGGCTCGGCCCCATAGAATGTCGACCGATCGTAGGGGGTCAAGGGCAAGCCCTCCTTCAACCGCCGAGGCAAATCCGGGTTGGAGATGAAGTAACGGCCAAAAACAACCGCGTCCGCTCCGTCACTAACCAGCTTTGGTCCGGCGTTCGTCGCATTGAAGTTACCAGCAGCCAGGAATGAGATTCCGCCCTTCTTCAGTGTGGGACGGAATACATCCAGCGACGGCTTATCTACGGCGAGCGAATCGATCTTTGCGCTCTCGTCGAGAACCTCGTCGAAGCGGGGCTCGACCATGTGCACGTAGGCTGGGCGAGACTCGGCCGGGAGGTCAGCGATCTTCGAGCACAGCACTTGCCAGTTGGCATTGGGGCTGGAGTCGCGCGTGTCTTGGAAGTAGTTGTATGGGGATAGACGAATGCCCACGCGGTCGGCGCCGATAGCAGCCGCGCATGACTCGAGAACCTCGAGGACAATACGAGAGCGCTTCTCGATCGAGCCGCCGTACTCGTCAGTACGAGTGTTAACGTTATCGTGGAGGAACTGGTCGAGAAGGTATCCATTGGCACCTGTTCTCATCAGTCCCATACTTCAACGGGAGTCGGTGCAGAAATGCCTACCGTGTACCTCCACACCGTCAAACCCAGCCTCAATGGCCCGCTTAGAAGCAGCCGCATACTCCTTGATGATTTCCTGGATCTCCTCTACGGTCATCGGGCGAGGAGGCGAAGCCGCATATTCAGTGCCGTCCAAGCCATTGCCACTGATGGGAATATCGCTCGCACTAACAGCCTGCTTGCCCTCAATGAAAGAAGGAACGGTAGCCCGACCAACGTGCCAAAGCTGACACAGAATGAAACCACCCTTGGCGTGCACTGCATCGGTGACCTTCTTCCAGCCGGCGATTTGCGAGGGGGTAAAGATACCAGGGACACCTGGGTAACCGGCAGCCTGAACAGTCAGTACCCCAAAATGGTTGCTCCTTTCATTTCATTTTTTTTGTGAGACAAGACATACCAATCTGCTAATAGGAGTCGCTTCCGTCAGCATCAACCCGCCCTTTGAAGCACGCTGAGAATAATATTCAACATTGAGATCATTCGGAACAAAAACACCCTCCGATTCCTTAGTCGAACGCATGCGCGTGCAGGGAGCTTGAACAACACGATGGCTTAGAGAAAGAGCGCCCAAGCGCAGAGGCTGGAAAAGAGGACCGATGACATCTACTGAACCCATTTTGGAGAGAGGGAAGTTGCACAACAGGCTGAAAACACGATGCGGTGGCTGTGTTATATACTCAATTGCGATCCCATTCTCGACGCGAAAGTGGGATAATGGTGGAGACTTATTGAAGGGTTGCAATCTTGTCAGAATTGCGTTTTCATAACCCCCATTCTATGAGCGTGTGGAGCCGACGGTGAAGCCGTGATGGCCCCCACTCTCGTGTCTGCGTCCAGTTGATGCGGGACTGCTGCATGTGCGTGCGAGCTTCGCGTCGGATTTATTGTGGAACGAGTGAGACCGGGCTACTTTTTGTTTAGCTTGGAAGTCACGGCCTTTGAAGTGTCGGGCTCCCTGCAGGTCGACCTCATCCAATAACCAGACCCCTGCTTCCGGAATCTGAGCGGGACACGGACAAGATCTGCGACGATAATCCACCAAGCTGTATTCACTACTTCATAGAATGGCGTGTCGTCTTAACAGCACGATCGTGTTAAGAAACCCTGAAAGAAGACCTGGTATTGGCCCCTAGCGCCTACTGGCAGCTGTTCCTGGAATAGAAGCTATAAGCTGTCCTTGGAGACAAAGCTACTGTCAATAAGAGGGTCAAGGTCGGTGGCACAGCGATCGTTATGGCAGTCAATTATCGTTCCCAGCATGGTTTGATCAACCGCTTCAACAAGACGAATTTTTTGGGGCTTCTTTTGAGAAACAGTTACGGATGTAGTTCAGTCATTCCTATTGTGGGAAGAGACTCCCCCGCCGAGGGCCTGTTTCCAACTACGAGGATTGCACTTCTCCGTCTGCTGGACAGAGCGCGGAGAAGAGAGTGCAATCTTCCATCGCCAAAAGAATGCTTGATGATCGAGTATTCAGGTAGATGCTGAAGAAAGTGCACAGGAAGAAGCCATCATACCCTAAACAAGCTATCTTGTAGCAAAATCCCACGGTATGTTCAGCAACCATGGATATGCGCACACACTGCAAAAAGCATCATCCCAAACTCATCTGTCGACTGTACCCACAACCCAATCCGTTTCCTCCTCGCCTCCGATCCCGTCTCCGACGATCTCCACAGCTCCGAAATTTGCAGCATCCCATCCTCCCATTTCGACAGGTGCCGGTTATACTCCCTCGTCCAAGAAACTCGATCAGAAGCCTCCCACAGTGCTTTACTCTCAGGAACAAAAATATCCCTCAACTCATCCGACACGAAATTCGGAAGACCGTTGTCGGAGTTGTACACATTCGTGAAGAGGTACATTGTGAACAGCGTACGTCGTTTGGAAGAGGCGATGATCCAGGATTCCCAAGTTGGCCGCGTGCGCGAAAGCTCCGCTTTGCAGGTAAATCCTGCTTTTGCGGTGCGGAAGGCGAGGTCTTGGAGGGTTATCATACTCATGTCGTCTACTAGGGAGGCGTTGTCGACTGGGGAGAAGTAAACTGTTAATAAGTAGATGAGGTATACTTGGAAGGAACATAATGTGTCAAAGTCACTTGTTGCATCCTAATTCAGGGTTAGGGGAGTGGTTTCTATGGAAGACAACAAACGATACCTCTCGGGATAGCCTCTCCATCTCCTGTCTGACGGTTGATAAGACAATTGCCTCGCTTCCCTCAACTCTGTTCATCCACATGCGCACCAGAGAAAAGCAATTTGCAATTGTTCGCGGCATCGGCTTGTTGTTGAGCTGCAATGGGTGAATAAATGGAGGGAGGCTGTGCTCGTCGAGAAGATGGTTGGGGTATGAGCGAAGCACGCAAGCGAGGAACTGCACGGTAAACGGGCTGAACAGCTTGGGGAGCTGCCCCGTCCCAGGAAGAAGGTAAGGCTGCAGCCAGCGATCACGGATATTCTCGGCGTCTGCCATTGGCATGAGGTCAACATGATCAAAAGTCAGACCAATGTCCACATTCCGCGCAGATTCGTGCTGAGAATAAATGTTTGGTATATTCGACGCATGACCAGACACTGGACTCGAGAATGCTGTTGTGGTCGAGGTAGTGGAAAAGTCTGCAATTGACGGCTCAAAGCCGAGGCTCTCATCTGCTGAGTGCCTTATACTCGAAGCCCCAGGGCTTGACCGATGTACGTCACTTGAACCCTCGGGATACCGACACTGCTTGCCGCGAGTCCAGCATCGCGAACAGGTCGGCCTCTCCAGGCTACATCGGACCTTGGAGTCCGTGCAACTCTGGCAAGCCTTTTTTCGCGGTGGGCCTTGTTTTCTGATTTTCATGGTTGATTTCGAATTCATGATGTGAACACGTCGTGTGAGGGTATCTCGGGGTTATGAAGATGGACGGTCGGAACCGCGGGCTCGCCGCAACGGAACTCCGAGTCTTAACATTCGACCCCCATTACACACGCTACTACAGAAAAATGCTCCTATTTCCATACCTGAAACTCGGATTTTTTTAACTTCTAGACAAATCTGATCTCTTAATTTCCACGATCAACATACATGTAAAATTTAACAAAATGCTCAAAGTCTACACAACGGACCATTCCACCTCTGTCCTACAAACCCACAGCTGACGGACCATCTCCAACTCCGCATTCTACTTCCCTATATCCAACCAGACCTCCAAACACTCAATATTTAATTGACTGAAGCTTTAAATATGCTAGCACATGTCTCCTCAGCCTTGCTCTCCGGATCTTAGTCAAGGCCGCCGGCCGCCTCATCAAAGAGGCGTGGAAACCATCTCAAGATCCTGTCTTTGCAAACTTCGTACCCCGCTCCCTTACGTAGGACCTGCATGTTTTCAATATCGAGATTGACACCACCGCAGCCGTACAAATGCCACTTCTGCAGGCCGTAATCAACAATCAAATCAACACTTGCAAGCACGGTGGGCTCCACGTCTTCAATCCGAAATCGTTGCCCTTGTCCCGTAAGATTTGCGGACGTTCCGAACATTAATATGCCCTGTGGGTCGTCATCGCAAAGCCGACCGAGCTCTCGTAAGAAAGGTCCTTCTGGTATGGCGATGCTAACCGTGTCTCCATTTGTGACCTGAGACAGTGTAGCCTTATCTAGCACCGCCAAACGCGGGTGAAGGCTCTTTGAATCGAACTTGGCGATGATTCCGATTATCATTCCCATATCTTCCGTCAACACACGCGTCAATTCGAATTTTGACTCCGGCAACAAATGAATCTCTCGATGTTGCAGATACGTTCCGATGATACCGATGTTATGGCTCTCTTGACGACCTTTAGCAGCAAAGATTCTTTGAATCCCGGCCTGACAAGTGGCCAGAAGTGCATAGCCTACATCTGTTGGGGCGATGATGACTCCGCCGGACTTGAGAGTCTGATAAGCTTGTCGGGCGTCATGAGGCACATTTGGCACATTTCCTGGCTCTGGAATTGTACGAGGCATGAAGTTGGTAATTTTGTCGGAAATACTGGGGAAAGAGTAAAGAGTGCTTGGGCTATTCAAAATCCCTTTGTATTGCAACTGTAAAGGATTCGCAAGGAGGTGGTAGCTACATATATTTAGTTTTGCTGGGGGTATCGTGACGTAAGCCCGACGCTTTAAGATCGACGATGGACCCGGAGTCCCGATTCCTTAGGCCCAAAGTTTATTTTCGGAATTCAAGAAATAGGAGCTACCCTGAACCGCATTATGGATCGGAGTTCCGAAAATTAAATGAAGAATGTACAATAAAAGGCCCATTAGATTTGAAAGTTCACCAGCTACTCATTTCTTTCACTCTTTTAACACTCTGGTTCATTACAGAGTTCTTGCAATTTGCTCCTCACTCCATCGTACCTCTTGTCAAAGGTTTGCCACGATGGATGCTCTAATCCGCGAAAGTTTGTTTGGACGCCTCTTGAATTTTTTGACCAGTAACATGGTCTTGCCATATCCTGATCTTGTGACACCTAAACTCGAGACGCTGTCAACTTCAGCTACGTCGGCCACTTCGGTGACGCCCGAGTCCGGCAAACAACTGCTCGTTGAATTCTCAGGTGACGATGACCCAGACATGCCCAGGAACTGGTCACAGTTAGCAAAGACACTCGTCATGTTGGATGTGATGTTCCTGAATTTCAGCTTCTATGCCGGGTCGGCAATTTTTACACCAAGTATTCCCGGTATCAAGGATCAATTCGGCGCCACGACTGCTGAAGGAACCCTGGGGCTATCACTCTTTGTCATTGCCTATGGCATTGGACCTTTGTTTGTACGTACACTCCAAACTCAAACACGACCTACTTTGGCTAATAATCTCATCTACGTTTAATAGTTATCTCCACTATCAAATCTCCCAGCTATCGGCCGGACACCGGTGTATTTCCTAGGATCCCTCGTCTTTTGTCTGTTAAACATCGGAACGGCTTTTGGAAAGAACATTGAGACTATCCTTACACTAAGATTTCTTGGTGGTTTCTTTGGAAGCGCCCCGATAAGTATTGGAGGAGCAACTCTGATGGAAGTATACGGGCCGGGTGAAGTGCCGTATGCGATTGCTTTATATGCAGTGAGCGGGGTTTGTGGGCCGATTTTAGGACCGGTATGTCCTCCGTTCTACCATTAAGCATGAATTATAAAGTCGCCTAATCCCAGTTTCCAGATATTGGGGACTTTAGTGGTGTTCGTACCTTCCCAGCTTTATACCCTACATATGGTTGCTAACTCATGTAGCGAGCGTTGGCAAACTTGGACAGCAAGTTTATGGCTTCTTGCTGGAATTACCGCTTTCACAACGTTGTTCATCTTCTTTTTATTACCGGAGACGCTGTCTTCCAACATTCTTCTTCGTCGAGCGCAACGCCTTCGTACACAAACACGAAATCCTTCACATCGAAGTCAATTTGAAATGGATACACCAAGAACGAGCTTGGGCGTCATGATTTTCGAGCAGATAGTGAACGATCTCAAGATATCCTGCATAGATCCGGTGATTATTTTCGTGAACATACACACCATGCTGATATATGGCATTCTCTATCTGTGGTTTGAATTCTTTCCGTTTGGTAAGACCATCCTGTCTAATTTAGCAACTTTAAACCCTGAGCTTATGAAACTTCTATAGTTTTTGACGGAATATATCATTTCAGTCCTATACAACAAGCTCGTGGGTTTCTCCTATTATTGAACCTGAGGGTCCGTTTAGGCTTATATGTTCTTTGACAGTTGCGTTTTTCGGAATTCTCGTCGGTGCAGTCATATCTGTTGTGGCATACGTACTCTGGCTCCGATTTTCCTACCAGCCTCGCATGTCTAGGCCAGGATTCAGCGTCGAGCCCGAAGCAAGACTAGTCCCAGGACAAATCGGTGCAATTTGCATTCCAATCTGTTTGTTCATATTTGCATGGACATCACGACCAAGGTATGCTTGATCAAACATTACCAATGGAAACCCGCGCATACTGATATGTATTTAGTGTACACTGGGTTGTTCCAATAATCGGTACCGCGTTTTTTGCGCCAGGTTTCTACCTCACGTTCCAGTCTATTCTCAATTATCTTGGTGAATCTTATCCGAGACACGTTGCAAGTGTGTTTGCCGGTAATACCTTTTTTAGGAGCTCATTTGGGGGTGCATTACCATTGGCTGCCCCTCGGATGCTGCAGTCTCTTGGTATTGGCTGGGCATCCAGTACGTTGGGATTCATTTCCATCGCTATGCTTCCGCTTCCCTTTGTTCTGGAAAGGGTAAGTTGAAACGCATTTCGCAGTTCCCTTTATCATCAGCTAATTATTTTATAGTACGGAAAGACACTACGCTCGTGGAGCAAATTTGCAAATTAGGACTCAGGGCTCAGGGCTCAGGGCTCAGGGCTCAGGCGCATAGACTCGGCGCAATACTGCGCCGAGATTCTAGCAGTTCTCAGATGGTGGTGCCGTGAAGGACGGATGTCGCGTATGGAGGGGCAGTGGAGGTAGGATCGTATAGGAGTTTCGTGTAAGATACGATAATGTACGTAAAGCAGTCGTTCTGGAATTGAAAAGGTTATATCTTAGAAATGAATTATTTTCGCCATATCTTGAAATGAATTAGTGTCGCTTCGGATACGGGCCGAGAAACAAAGCGCGAGTGTCTGGGGGATAATCTGTTTTCGAATTCTACTGTATTCAAAATCGAGATATGAAAGTGAGACAACTAAAGGTTGCAAGGCTCGGATAGCGGGTGTCTAGACGAGTAAGCGAGCCTCCACACCTCCACACTCCCGGTGAGGGCTACCGATGGCCTCGGGCCGGGCCGGTTTTAGACCCATGGCTCTGGATTTTAAGGGGGTAAAGGGTCTAGGGTCCTGCTGTTGAACCAAAACAACCCCCCGAATAACAGTTTTTCAAATTTCATAACCTTGAATAGTCGGCCGGAGCCGGTTCAATTTATCTTCAAATTAAATTTCAGGAGAGTGGCGCTGATCCCAACCGTTCCAACCCGATAGAGATGCCCATTTTAGATGGGGCACTCCTCTGTACTGTGCTATCTCTACTGGCAAGCCAAGTATTGTCAAAATGCTGCTGGATGCGAGCGCAGATCCCATAGCGCGATCCACTGGCACGCAGTACCCTGGTAAACCCCCCTCGGAAGCAGCCGAGACTGTGCGAAGCCCCAAGGTCCCGGAGGCTATACTTCGTCTTCTTCAGTCTTGAGTAATCTACTCAGTGTGTATCTAGCGACAAATAAATGTAAACGTACTGAAAATGTTAGATTGACGCGAACCTAAGCAGGTGATCGTTATCCAATACTATGCAACGTCGGTTTACTGTAGCATAAACAAGAAATATTCCTCTATACTCTTCCCAGCCTGCTCCACAGCAGTCAAGTCCCACTTGTCAATGCTTCCAATATATCCATCAGGACGCACAATCGCAATTCCCACTTCCTCCTTTCCAAGGCCTCCAACCCACTTCTCAGTACATCCAGGAGTCTCAACGTCATCAAGATACAAGGTCCAGCGGCTTGCTTGAAGAGCAGGTGGCAAGTCTGCTAGTTCAAACTCGGATCTTGTGGAAAGGGTCACCATCGAGAATGTTAATGCGTTGGACACGGCTGTGTATCTTTGGAATTGGAAGAAATCGTCCCCGGGAGTAGTGCCACGGGACTGCTTCACATATGACTGATTCGCCTTATATGAGAGTTTTCCAAGAGGTGAGCTACCAGAAAAGCCTGTGCAGAGGGTGCTCAGGAATTTTAGTGAGGCTTTGATATCGGGAACGAAGAGATAGAGTTTGAATTGGCCTAGAAGTGGGATGTCGAGTTGAATGTCCACTGGATTGGCATCATAGTATCGAGTGACCTTGGCTGGAAGCTGTAAAGCGCCAGGCTGGAGTGGAGTCGACGTAGTTTGGCGAGCGCTTAACAAACCACTGGTGTATTCAGCACCAATACCGGCGATGAACCGAATGTTATCATCAAAATTCTTTGTCAACGCATCTTCGCCCTTTTCAAAGGCTGCACAGTGCTCTACATCGAAGCTAATCAGATCGGTTGCAATCTTACGGCGCTCCTCTTCGTAAGTTGACAGCAAAGATGGGCTAGCAAGTCCACGATGCACAAGGTTCAGCTTCCAAGCAAGGTTGAAGCTGTCGTGCATACTTGTATTGGCACCTTGTGCTGCGAGAGCGGAGTGACAGTGCCCAGCCTAGATATCATTCAAATGTTAGTATTGCTTCTCCAACTCCGGAAATGGGAATGGGCCAACATGCATCACCAGCAATGAAGATCCTCGCGTCCGGATCCATGAAGTGCTTCGCCACACGTTGACCAACAACATAGTTGCCGAACCACTCCACTGTCTTCCACTCAAGAGTATACGGCGCCATTGCCTCTCTGGCTCTCGCTATAACATATTCTTGGGTAGCTTTAGCCCTATCGACTCTCTCGCCATCAGCTGAGCTGAGCTCAACGTACAACCGGGTCATGCCACGTTCTCGAGGAATCCAAAGAATCGAGCCAGCTGTGTAACTGCGCACAGCTACCTTGCTCCACAGATCAGGGAAATTGGTTTCAATGACACCTATCCCTTAGCAAAGTTCTAACTCATGAGGTCAAAAGAACTCACCATCGAGCACTCCCCAGGACGCATTGGTGATTTCCCCCTCCAATTCACCATTAGGGATGAAAGTTCTGACTTTCGATCTGGCGCCATCACATCCAACAAGATAATCAGTCCGAATTGTCTTAATCTTATTAGTCGACAGGTCTTCAACGGTGACATGCAGCTGGCCTGATCCTTCTACCCGCGAACAAGACACGAATTTGTGGTTTCTGGTCACGAACACGCCCCGCGACTCCATATCATCAATCAGCACTTCTTCAAGCATGCCCTGGTGAGCTAGCAGTATATAGGGATCGGATGCGCCGACAAGGTGCTGCGGGTAATGCGTTTGCCGACCAGTTCGCTGGAGAGGCTTGTCTGCCGTGGATTGCTGGGCCTGTTAGTGACAGTTTGAGACGAATAGTCGTAATATGAACATACCCAGAAGGAAATGTCATAGACACGCGCTGCATTCCTCAGCAATGGGTCTGCCAGACGCATTTGCTTGAACGTCTCAATGGTCTTAGGCTGCATGCCATCTGCCTTTCCGGTGGAGGTCTTGTCCGGTCGGTCATCGAGAAGAATAACCTCAATTCCAAAGCGGGCCAGATTACATCTGAGAAAGTTGTCAATGAGACGTCAATCACAGCTTCTGTTTGTAATCAACCTACGCGAGCATCAAGCCGGACGGCCCCGCGCCAACCACCACAACAGTGGTGGAGGCATCTATAGGGCCATCGAAACCGTATCCTTCGTGATCTGCGCCGGGTGCCATTTTTGGTGTAGAGATTCAAGTCATTTTCCTAGGTGTATGTAGCTCATCTATTATAGAAAGAAATAAAAATGAAACCGACATCGCATGGAGATGCGGAGTTAACCCCCACTTTTGCACGTCTATCTACCACCGGGTGACTCCCCCATCTACCACGATATCCTGCCCCGTCATGTACGAGCTCGCATCGCTAGCCAAGAACACACATGCCCCCATGATATCCTCCGGTTCCGCAATACGCCCATTCATCGCCTCCCGCTCCCACAATGGCAGAAGATGGGGGAACTTCCCAACCGTTTAGCCTGGATTCAATTGGGATTGAGTGAAAACTTACTGCTGCCGTCATTTCCGTGCGTACGTAGCCCGGGGAGATTGAATTGACTCGGATGTTCTGCGGTGGACTTAGCAGCAAGTCCGACGGAGATGGCTTGAGAGGAAGACTCACGTATTCTGCCATTTCTTTTGCGATCGCTGGTGTCATCGCTCGCACAGCACCCTTCGTCCCACAGTATGCGCTGCACAGCTGCGTGGGAACAGCGATGTAACTGGCCATGCTGGCCACCAGTACAATGCTCCCGTGTTGGGTACCGTTGGCGATCATTTGCTTTGCTGCAAGTTGGGCGGTAAAGTACAGTCCCATCACGTTGACCGAGAGGAGATCGTGGTGGTCTTTGTAGGTGTACTCTAGAAACTTCAAATGGCGATTAATTCCGGCACAGGGAACACAAATGTCGAGCGCATTATCGAAGTCGTTCTGGAACTCGGCGAAGCCGTTCGCGAGGGATTCCTGGGATGAAACATCCACCCTCTTCCGATTAGACGTTGAAGCTGAAATCTCGTAGCCACACTCACTTGTAATAGGCCGTTCGAACTCCACATTCCTTCTCAATGGCAAGGAAGCCTGGCTCGGCTGGGACAAGATCGAAAACAGCGACGTTGGCACCTGCTTCAGCCAACCCGCGCGCGAAGGCGAGTCCACAGCCTCGCGCACCTCCAGTCACTAGTGCCGTTCGACCTTGGAGAGAGAACTATGGGAATCAGTAGTTGATGTGAAACAATGATCTCAAGGCTCTCACTTTAGACATGGCGTGCTTTTATTTGAGTAGAGTGGTCAATGTGTTGTTATCCGCATGACTATGGCTTTTTGCCCCTCATATATAGTCCCTGTCCTCGACGATATCGGACGGCAACGCGGCAGCAGCAACCCCCATCTTTGGAAGCTCCCAAGCTTGCATACCCAACCTGCGGGAATAAATACCCACAGCATACATGTCATTATGTTTGACTAGCTCCGTAGGTAACTACTGCTTTACAAATTCCCTTCACTACATCCAAGTACACTTGTATTCTGTTCACCATGCCTCCTCCCATCCACATCAAGCAGCAAGAAACTCGTTTGAGAGAGTGCCAGCTCGACATCGTCGTCGTTGGTGCTGGCCTCGCCGGTCTAGGTTGTGCCATCGCCGGCGCCCTCGCCGGGCACAGTGTTCAGATCCTTGAGGCTACTCGAGAAATCAAGGAAGTTGGTGCAGGTATCCAGGTGTTGCCCAATAGCTCTCGTGTGCTCCAGCACTGGGGCCTAGAAAATGCACTAAAACCTCATATGACGTTTCCACGCGTGTGTAACTTCCTCGGATGGAAAGGCAACCAGATCTCCCACCTTGACTTTCATGAATCTGAGAAGAGCTACCCCGGTACCTGGTATAGAGACTTCCACCGCGCGGATTTGCAGCGTTGCTTAGTTGATAGGGCCTTGGAGTTGGGTGTGAAAGTGACTTGCAATGCACGCATCGAGGATATCAGGGTCAGTGCCGACGGGGCGACAGCCACGGCGATAGCATCAGATGGAAGAAAGTGGGAGTGTGATCTGGTGATTGGAGCAGACGGTGTGTTTGGAAAACTGACCGAGACTCTGCTGGGACGTAGCAACCCTCCGGTCAAGACTGGTGATCTGGCTTATCGTCTGCTATTGAAGACGGAGGAGATGCGGAAGGATCCTGAGCTGGCGATCTTTTTGGATGATCCTCAAGTGAACTACTGGCTTGGTCCGGATGCACATGCCGGTATGTTTTCCCTTGGTGAACTTAACGTTTGCACCCTAATTGTATAGTCAACTATGTTCTCCGCGGAGGTGATTTGTTCAACATGGTGCTGCTAGTGCCTGACGACATCCCTGACGAGTCACTTGCGTCCACTGTCGAGGGTAATGTGAAGGAAATGTGTGCTCAATTTGAGGGATGGGACCCACGGTAAGTCATGGATAAGAATTACTATTGCACATATTCTAATGGTACAAGTATCGAAAAGCTCCTCAAGCTTTGCGACTCTGTGCAGAAGTGGCGCCTGTGCATCCGATTTGGAGAGTTCGACTGGGCTCATCCGTCAGCAGCATGGGTGATGGTTGGCGACTCTGTGCACGCTACTCTACCATATCTGGCTTCTGGGTGAGTTGTTTCTCAATTCTCAATACAAATCCAGGGACACATATTTACTGCTATAGAGCTGGAATGGCTTTCGAAGATGGAGCTGTTCTGGGCGAATGTCTATCCCGCCTCCCTGACCGTCCCGATATGACGAAGACCTCCCCCGAATACCTCAACGCTAAGAAACATGCTATTTCTGTCTTCCAAGAGTGTCGCAAGCAGCGTACACAAATGGTGGTTGAGCGAGGCAATGTCCAACAGTATTTGTACCACCTCCACGATGGGTCGGAACAAGAAGAACGAGATCGCAAGATGCAGATGGTGCCAACGCCCGAAGGCGAGGCTCTAGCTTGGAGAGACCCCGGACTGGCTCCGAAGCTGCTAGGATATGATCACATTGGAGATGTATGTTTCATCCCCTTGCTTCTAGACGATCATGATTAACGGCAACAGGTTAACGCGCGGTGGGGCATTCCACAAAGCAACACTATAGAGTCTCGACTATAGCTAGTTTCCAATTGAGTAAATTTCGGCTTGTCTCTAGATCGCTAGATGCTACTTTTTTTTTGTCAAGTGGGCCAACCTAGCTTATCCTGATAGCCCCGCTAACCCCCATCCTTGATGCCCTCAAAAATATTTAAAAGCTCGGCAAAACCTCCGAGACAAAAGTCTGGCCGTAGATTGATCGGCCTTATCGTGTGACAGCTTCCCCGCTTCCCCATTCTTGTTGCTGCTGCACATTTGTTATCGCCGAATTTCCCCTCACGTACTATGCGCCATATAGATAGCTTGAGAGTATAACCATGACGCCGATCTGGTGGCCCACATGAATCAATACACAAGCCCAAATCAATTGAGCAATCATTTCAAATATGTGGCGATTATTCAGCCGCGCTTCAAACTCTCCCGAAAAGAACCCTCCACGAGGTCTCCCCGCATCATGGTACCGTTCTGAAGCTATCTACCAGCTAGAGCGACGAGCCATTTTCTCTAAGCGCTGGATTCTCCTGACTCATTTTAGCCGCTTCTCCAAATCAGGAGACTACCTTTCCTTCACCGTCGCCAATTTCTCATTCTTCCTTATCCGCGATCGAGATGGTAATCTCAACGGTTTCCACAATATCTGCCGACATCGCGCGTTCCCAGTCGTCCAATCCCGCTCCGGATCCACATCCATCCTCAGCTGCAAATACCACGGCTGGTCATACGGGCTCACAGGCAATCTTGCAAAAGCTCCTCGCTTCGAAACGGTTCCTGACTTCGATAAACCCCAGCATGGTCTATTACCAGTGCATGTCCACGTCGACAAAGCCGGGTTCGTGTGGGTCAATCTCGAAGCAGGTGAGCCTGAGGTGAACTGGGAGGACGAACATGACAAGATCGATGAGAAGCCGAGAATGACGGACTTTGATTTTGCTGGGGAGTTCACATTCGACCATTACTGGGAAATGGATCTGGATGCGAATTGGAAGGGTGTGATTGAGAACTATAATGAATGTTATCACTGTGCGACTTCTCATCCGCTCATTGCAGGCGTCTCGGATTTACCAAAATATCGGGTCGAGCCTAATCAGAGTGGGAGTTATATGGAGCATCACATCTTCAATAAGGAGACGAGCGATGCTCAGTTTCGGAGGGCTATCACTTATTTTTTACCGACTACTTCGATTACGGTTACGTATGTGTGGAGTTCGAGTCTGAGTCGCTGGAGGCTAATAATGCGTTGATCCATAGCGACAAGTTCTTTTACATACAACGTATGATCCCAGTTTCGGCGACGAAGAGCAAAATCGAGAATGAAGTCTTTCGACACAAAGATGCGACGGATGAGGAGTTCGCGGCTATCAATGCCTTCTACAGACAGGTGTTGGATGAGGATAAGGAGCTCTGTGTCGGTGCGCAGGAGAATCTTAATGGTGGAGTATTTGTGAATGGCGAGCTGCATCCGAGCAAGGAGAAGGTATGCACACGTGGGAGCTTGGGGACTTGATCTAGCCTGACACGATACAGGGACCGCTTCACTTCCAAGAGCGAGTAAAACAAATGCTCATGAATCACCGGAAGAAAGAAGAGCAGCAAGGTGGACAAGAGATTTGGCCTGCACGTCCCAAGTTCTCGGAGACGATGACGGATAAGTTACAAGAGGAAGAGAACTTTTGCTCGCAGCTGGAAGCGGCAAGTTGTATGAGCAAGCCTGAGCTTGCATGGTGACGAGCCAGTTGAGAGGTATTGGTTTGATTAGCTTGGCTTGAGCATTCTCATGTGAATTGGTTGAAATTGTAATCTATTTCACAAGGCTCGCAATGCCAGAATCTCCCCAATTACGATATATCCACACGCCATCTATTAGAAAATCCATGTCCTAGAACTGCCACTGCTGAAGCCAATTCGACATTAGCGGCGCGGAGATAGGTCCCAAAGACCTCATAGTCTCACTCGCCTCCTTAGCCTTGCTAACATCCAACGGCACAGCCATTGCGGCGTGGCTCTCATCGACCAGCCCACGGTAGAAGCTGAGCAGCTTTAGGGCAGGCTTCTCAGCTACATCAATACTGCTGGGATTCTGGATGCTCTCGAGCTCAGCAACCCAGGCACTGAAGTCGACGGGCTTCACTTGGTATCTTTCCCGGATGGCTGGAATGAGCGATGACCACTGGGCTGATTTGGAATTGGTGAGGTGGAATACTGCTGTAGGAGTCTCGGATTGATCTCCGTGGCGGGCGTGGACTATCTCCGTCATAATTGATGAGAGATCATTCTGGTTTGACTATTAGTTAACTCAAGAGAAGGTTTGGGGATAGATGACTACTTACCACAGGAACCCAGTCCACGGGCATGGAGCCAAGTTGACTCGGGATCTTTCCCATAGAGATAGATGTGGCAATGATGGTGGGGAGCCACTCGTGGCGGTTCCATTCTCCTTTTGCTGTGGTTGGACCGCCAATCTGACCAACACGGTAGACGGTTGTAGGAACACGAGAGCGCCGTGAAGCTTCCAGGCAGATGCGCTCGGAGACATGCTTTGACTCACCATAGCCCTGGGGAAGCACCACAGAGGATTCTTCCATTGGAAGTTCTGGCACAACGGATCCCATCGTTGGAGTCCAAGAGCCAACGGTACTAATAGAGGAGACGAAGTGGAGATGAGCTCTGAACCGACTATTCAAGCTAAAGTCCACGAAGTGACGTAGGCCGCGAATGTGGGTATCCTCGAATGATTCGACTGAGTGGTTGAAGTCGACTTTCCAAGCATTGTGAATGATTGTGTCAACAGAGTCCAGCATTTCTTGGTACTTGGTCTCGTCGAGGCCAAACCCGGTCTCTCCGAATGAGGCTTGAAGGAACTCAATCTTGTTCACCCAGTCACCGGCCTCAACCTGAAGACCCTTCTCTTCCATGCTCTTCTTCTGGCGGCTTGCGGCATCTGAACGGTTCAAACAGTAAACCTTAGAGATGGAAGGCCTGCTGAGCAAGTCGTTCAGGAGATAGTTGCCAAGGGATCCTGTGGAACCTGTCAAGATGACAGTCGATGGTGAGCTCGGTAGAACAAGAGGCAGGTCACTCCGTGCTTCTGGAAGATCGGCAGTGTACTTTTCCACCAGGCCTCGGATCTTCTCGTCTCGGGGAACACTAGCTTGAGCCTTGCCTTCCACAATGCCACAAATGACACTAGCTAGCTGCTCCACGGTTGGGTTGGCGTAGATTGTCTGAGGAGTGATAGCCCCCGGCTTGACCTGCGGCTGGAGCTTCTGGATGCCTCGCTGCAATGCCTTTGCAACTTGCATTGTCATCAGAGAGTCAAGACCAGCGTTGTAAAGATCCTGGTTGATAGGCACATCAGGTCTCTCTAAGACTCGAGCAATAGTCCGATGGGTATATCCCGTGATGCTGTCTTGATCGAGCGTGTCAGGGAGACAGCCCTGCAAATCATCTTCAATGTCTCTCTCGTAGATGGCGTTGATTTCCTTCTCGTAGTCCCGAACCACGGCACGTCGCTGTGTAGTACCTTTGGGGGTTGTCTTGAATGGCTTGGCCTTGGAGGCGAATCCGATCTTGCTCTTCATCACGCGCCCATGGGCAGCAATAGTTTGATTTGCAGCCTGCACCGCTGGCCATATTTCTTCGATAAAGGAATTTGAGTCCATTTCTGGAGCTTCGGGATGAGGTTCTACCAGCAGAGCAGCCTGGAATCGAGACTGGCCGACGACAACTGCTCTTGACACCAGTGGGTGAGTCTCGATGATCACTTCCATAGTGACCGGGTTGAACTTTTCGCCATTGCTCAAAACAATCACATCATCTTTTCGGCCATAATACTTCCAGAGGTTTGGGTTCGCTGGGTGCTGAGTGTATAAATCATTTGTCCGGTAGATGTCGCGGTCGGGGAATGTGTGGAAGATACCTTGGTACTCGCGAGAATCGGGACGACGGGGGATGACCATTTCGTACAGGTTATCGCCAATATCTTGCATGCTGATTCCATATGCAGGAAGCCATTCAAAGTAGTCCCAGTTGGTGTCATCCTCCGGTAGTAAACTAGGAATCCAGCCGATCTCGCTGGTCCCAATCACTGAGACCACTTTAGTGAATTGGCGGAGTCGGTCTCCTGTTTCACCAGCCAAGGGGGCACCACCGAAGGAGACAAATTTTAGGTCTTTCAGACATTGCAGGCCATCTTCAGAATGGCTCATATCCTCTAGCACGGATGGAGGGAATAGGCCGCCCGTGGGGCGAGTCATCTTCATGAGTTCAACCAGGTGTCCCACGGACAGGGGCTTATCTGGTCCGAAGACAGCCGGCACTTCGTGAAATATAGAGAATGCGAAGGATATGAATCCCATCAGGTGGAAGAACGGTGTTGTGGCTAGGACACGGTCTTGCTGGGTCATATAGAAGAAAGCGGACGGACAACGACCTTCGGGCCATTTTAGATGTGGCTTAGCATCCATCGTCGTGAAGAACCCGTTTGTGAGAGGCACCGGCTTTGGCATTCCTGTGGAAGTCAGCTCATTAGTGAGAGGCCATAGTCTGGTTCATCGATAGCACTTACCGGTCGTGCCTGAGCTGTGAATTATACAGACGATGTCGTCTTCCGCGTCTTGGTAGGATACGGTGAATGGATAATGGCGCAGACCTGTCTCATCTCCAAACAATGTCTTCAAAGGAGGGACTCGGAAGATCTCGAGCCCAGAGCAAAGCCCCTTGATCTCCAGGACACGAGGACTTCGCTCCTCGCTGAAGAAGAATTTTGAACATCCAGTCGCCTTCAGCAGATGAAGCTGCGCCTCGTCGGAGTTTCTTGTCGAAGGTAAAAATGCCTGTCCAAAGGTAGAAGGTTAGCAGAATTCCCTCAAAGAATACCTTTCAAGGCTTCCATACCTGGTAGCCAGTTTTCTGGCACGCTAAGGTGAAAATGATATAGCGCGCGTCGTTGCTGCCCATGTAAGCCAGTGTTTCCTTGCCACTGTCCAGGCCAATGGTTTTTTCGATCCACCAACACACAAAGTTCACAGCACGAGCCAAATCCTTCATGGTCATGTTGAAGAATCCATCGGACAGGTCAGAGCCTCGAGGGACAACTGCAAAGAGTCTTTCCGGGTCATGTTCAGCAGCATGGTCCACGGTCTGCGCAAGCAATCGTTTCTCAAATGAGGCCATTCCGTGTATCTAACGGAATCAAAGTGGGTATAATGCGACGCAAGTATGTTGAAGTAACGGACTAGTTCTTATGGTTTGATAGAATCCAGTCCGGGACCACGAAACCATTATATAGTTCCAAAGAATGGTGGGGCCCATTCATCCAAGGTTCAGGCCATATGATCTAAGTCCAAGATATCAGCATCTTGTTCGTTGATGTGGAACCGGACTCGGACTATTTGCCGATCATTTCTCTTTGGACTCAATATCCACACCTTTGTGCTTAATTCCGGTGTCATAACGGAATCACAAATGGCGGACAGACTTTCCATTACTTCGGAAAGCCCATGCCGTGGCATGCACATCATCAGGTGGGAAATGCAAGGGCTGAAGTTCTTGTTGTGTTTCTGGTAGTAAGTAGCACAGTGCAGGGGGTAAAACCAGGTTACTCGTGTGCCCTCGGCAAGATTTTTGCCGGATCGGTAAGCAGCCCTGGAGGCCGTAGTTCTATTGTGTCAGCATAGTGCTCGCAGAGCTTGCTATGATCGTCTCTGCCCGGACAGGGATTTGCATAATGATCTGGCCCATCTCCACTGGCCTACGGTAGTGGCTTCTTAAATTATCACTCGGCCTTTCAGCCACGTCCGAGCCAGGGCACGAATGACAATGCCCAGCCATGGGTTTGCCTGCGTCACGGCATGGCGTTCTCTTATTTGAAACAAGGCGTGGGGCTGAACCGAAAGTGGTAATATGCACCAGAATTTGTTCATAGCCAGGAACACATTTTGACCCACTATCCGCGCTATATTCTCGCCGAAATCCCGAATGGCCAAGTCAGAACATTCATCCCACATGGTGATATCCATCTATATGCACATCGTATCATATTACCTTATTCAGTAAAGGATATATGCAGATCAGCTGCAGGGTTCGGCTCTATCGGCTCACGAGTACTGCGAGAATGAAATCCGACGGATACGCCTGGAATGTATTCAAGCCAACCACCGTCCGTAATACCTGGAAAAAGCCACACTGAAGCCATCATGCATACCCTCTTCACTTCATACGTACTAAGGCATTTATTTCCTATCCTCCTACATCCTTGAATTGACCCCGTCGACTCCAGCGCCAATGGAAAGCAGAGCACGTGACCGGCTGCGGAGGATCAACACCCGGCGAGCTCAAAGGCGGTCTTCATCTCTGAGCCATCTCGTGAGCCTGCTAGTGTCGAGTTTTTGGTCGTGAAAGTCCAGCTCAAGACGCAAAGATCATCTCATTATCTCATTGGAGCACTATGAAGCTCACCTCGTACCTGGCGGGCGCCACGGCTATCACTGCCGCCTTCGCTTCTCCGCACCCCGCATACGGGCAACAGCAACCCGTCGGCGAATCGCTACCGTTCACTTACGCCGAAGACAAGTCTAAAAATGGGCCATCAAGTGTGGACAATGCGATCAGCAGTGATCCCCTGCTTGCATTCCATAAGGACCTGGTCGAGATTGAGTCGATCTCCGGCAATGAGCACGATGTCGGCGTATTCCTTGCGAAGTACCTCGCATCGAAGGACTTCACCGTGGTGAAGCAAGAAGTATCGCCCGTGAAGAAGGGTAATGAAGACACTGGAGCTTCTAAGCCTCGCTTCAATATTTATGCCTACCCTTCTTCTCTGTCGGAGCAGCCCTCCATCCTCGTCTCAAGCCACATCGATACCGTCCCACCCTTCATTCCATACTCAGTCCACCATGATTCGGAGACCTATGACATCCAGTCTGACTTGGACGACCTCATCGTGGCCGGCCGCGGCACCGTCGATGCCAAGGGTAGTGTTGCCGCCCAAGTCTTCGCCGTACTGGACACACTCAAGAAGAACCCGGATGCGAAGCTCGGTCTGCTCTTCGTGGTCGGCGAGGAAATCGGCGGAGATGGCATGAAGGCCTTCTCCGAGTCGCAGCTGAACTCTGACAGTGCCTACCACACCGTTATCTTCGGTGAGCCGACTGAGGCAAACCTTGTCTCCGGCCACAAGGGTATGTTGGGCTTTGAGGTCCTCTCCCACGGAAAGGCCGCTCACTCCGGATACCCGTGGCTTGGACGTAGCGCTGTGTCTGGTATCCTGCCGGCGCTAATGCGCGTCGATAATCTCGGCAACATCCCAACTAGCGAGGGTGGTCTACCTTTTTCGCCTAAGTACGGATATACCACTCTGAACATCGGTAAGGTTGATGCTGGTGTCGCGACTAATGTCGTCCCCGCTTCTGCTCGGGCCGATGTCGCTGTGCGTCTTGCTGCTGGAACTCCGGACGAGGCCCGCGAGATTATTCGTCGGGCTGTTGAGGATGCCACTCGGGATGTGGATGCCGATGTGGTTGTTGATTTTACAACTCACAATGAGTCTTACGGACCTCAGGACTTAGACACAGATGTTGACGGATTCTCTGTCATTCCTGTCAACTATGGAACTGATGTACCTAACTTGAAGGTCCGTTCTGGCGTGAAGCGCTATCTTTATGGGCCGGGAAGCATCTTTGTTGCCCACGGTGATAACGAGGCTCTCTCTGTGCGCGACCTCCGAGACGCCGTTGAGGGGTTCAAGAAGCTGATTGACGCTGCTCTGGAGAGAGATTGAATCAGAGCCACAGGTGGTTCGGACAGACCTTGTCTAATGACGCGTCTCAGTTGTATATAGCATAGCGTAGACGTTGAAGTCTTTTCCAGGAATAAAGAATCAATCTTGGAGCACTTGAAGTCTCTACATGTCCTTAAAGTGGTGGGACAATTGATACAACCCCCCCGGTGCAACAACAAACCATGATGAGTGAACCTCAATAACGTCACTGCCCGAGAACATTTCAAGGATTTTGCCGTTCTTATAGTGGCTAAGCCCTACTTTGGTAGTATGCCCCCAATCCCTATTCAGGAAATAGACAAGACAATTGATGGCACTATTTCCATATGGAAGACGATCAATGCCAGGTCAGGCCAATGACGCCGCAAAGCTTGCATATTAAATCAAGCCTCTTAGGGTCGGAGAAATTTCGCTGGCTTTGGGGCGGGATGTATAGGTACCAAGTGGGCTGGCTCTTAGCCTGAACGGGCAGGTATAAACACCGTAAGCCCTGGTCAACTCCAATCACTATGGAGCGGTCACTGCCGGAATTCCTTTTTTGGTGATTAAAGGTGGAGAATCGTCGGGATGCCGTCAACCCCGCAAGTCCCGTGCGTAATAACTTTGCCGAACAAATGGTGACATGAATGCCGTGCCCGAATATGACGATGGGCGCGTGTGGGGAAACTTGGGGTTTTAGCCGAAGTTGAGCCGGAGTGCAACCCCCAAACTTTCTCCAGGTTCCTTACGTCACTTCAATTGATGCTAGGAACTCTGGGAATGTTGGAACCTCTGAAGTCTCTCATATACCCCAGAACCTGGGATTCCCCGGGTTTGTATCCTTGACATAGATATCTGGTATTTATGCAGGGGAAAGCGAGGAACTCAGCATGCCGACTCCTACCGTGGGAGGTTACGGGCTGCACACCCGTTCACCTTCACCACTTGTGGAAGCCAAGGCGTCACTCATCGGCGACTTTCCGTTGAGCAGGTTGGATCACCAGAGACCATAGCTTCCCCACTTCGAGGGCTACTCTCGATGCGAGTCTCCAACCCCCACGAGTGGATCCCTTGAGTTCTCTGGGGTGTTTTCGGAGTCTGCCCGGGGTGGGATATTCAGGAAATCCTCTGATTTAAAAATATTTAAGGAAATCCGTGCCCTGGATCTTCATATCGAGTATTGGATTTGCATAATTGAATCAAATCAGCCTCCAGATCTTCGCCATGTGGTCACAGACTCTGCTTGGAGCTTGCCTGCTTCTTGCGGCGCCCTCAGTGGCAGCCGATACTTGCCAGGCGCCCATTAACCACCCGGGAGAGCCTTTCAGCAATGTTCAAGCGCTGAATACTACCATCCTGAGCACCTATGGCCACTCTCCGGCTGTTCTACCTTCGCGTGAGTAGCCCTTCTTTCTTACTATACTCTTCTTTTCTATACTAGGGTCTTCAATTAACATATAATAGCAAACATGACCGGCAACGGTGGCTGGGAAACCGCCATGAAGAAGGCCAAGCGATTCGTGAACAAGCTCACGCTCGAAGAGAAGTCCTGGATGGCAACAGGTCAACCCGGACCTTGTGTTGGCAATGTCCTCCCCATTCCACGTCTCAACTTCACGGGTCTTTGCCTTCAGAATGGACCTCAATGTGTGCAGCAAGGAGACTATTCGAGTGTCTTCGTTAGCAGTGTTTCAGCCGCTGCCAGCTGGGATCGCCAGCTGCTGTACGATAGAGCTCGCGGATTGGCAGAAGAGCACAAGGCAAAGGGCTCCCATGTTATCCTGGGTCCCATTGGAGGACCTCTGGGCCGCAGCCCCTATGATGGTCGAACCTGGGAGGGCTTTGCTGCCGACCCTTACCTGACTGGTGTCTGCATGGAGGAAACCATCAATGGCATGCAAGATGCCGGTGTTCAGGCGAATGCGAAGCACTTCATTGCCAATGAGCAAGAGACTCAACGCAACCCTACATACGCCCCTGATGCCAACGAGACTACCTATATCCAGGACTCTGTTTCTGCGAATATTAATGACCGTACTCTGCACGAGATCTATATGTGGCCATTCGCAAATGCTGTCCGTGCTAAGGTTGCCAGTGCTATGTGCTCATACAACCGTGTGAACGGATCCCACTCGTGCCAGAACTCATACCTCCTCAACCACCTTCTCAAGGGTGAGCTTGGCTTCCAGGGCTATGTCATGTCGGACTGGGGTGCTACCCACAGCGGCGTGGCTTCTGTTGAGAGTGGTATGGATATGACCATGCCTGGAGGATTCACCCTCTACGGCGAGCTTTGGACAGAGGGTTCTTACTTGGGCAAGAACCTCACTCAGGCTGTGCAAAACGGCACTGTTGAAATGTCTCGTCTGGATGACATGGTCGTGCGCATTATGACTCCTTACTTCTTGCTTGGTCAGGATAAGAACTACCCTAGCGTTGACGCTTTGGTTGGCCCGCTCAACGTTGACTCACCTCCTGATACTTGGCTCTACGACTGGAAGTTCACGGGTGAATCTAACCGTGATGTTCGGGCTAACCACAGTGCCATGATCCGTCAGCACGGTGCTGCCTCCACAGTCTTGCTTAAGAATGAGCGAAACGCATTGCCTCTCCGCAAGCCTCGCAACATTATCATTGCGGGTAACGACGCCGGTCCTCTAACTCAAGGCCCCGATCTCCAAGGTGACTTCGAGTATGGTGTCCTCGCGGGCTCTGCTAGCTCCGGCTCCTGCAGATTCTCCTACCTATCCACACCCCTCGATGCGATCAACTCCCGCGCTCGCAAGGATGGCTCCCTGGTCCAATCCTTCCTGAACAATACCCTCCTCACCACAGCCGACCTTACCTCTCCTCTCTGGATCCCCCAGCAGCCCGACGTCTGCCTCGTCTTCCTCAAGTCCTACTCCGCCGAGGGTGAAGACCGCACTTCTCTGGAACTAGACTGGAATGGGAACGCCGTGGTCGAGGCCGTCGCCAACAACTGCAATAACACAGTCGTCATCACTAATTCTGGCGGTGTCAATGTCATGCCTTTTGCTGATCACCCCAATGTCACCGCTATCCTGGCCCAGCACTACGCCGGCGAGGAAACCGGTAATGCCATCGCTGACGTCCTTTATGGCGACGCCAACCCCTCAGCCAAGTTGCCGTATGTCATTGCGTATAACGAGTCTGACTACAACGCACCCGTCACCACAGCCGTGCGGACCAACGGCACATACGACTGGCAGAGCTGGTTCGACGAGGAACTCGAGGTTGGATACCGCTACTTCGACGCACAGAACATCTCCGTTCGTTATGAGTTCGGCTTTGGCTTGAGTTACACTACTTTCGGCCTGAAGGATCTCAAGGCTAAATCCTCCGCTCTGTCGAACCTTACTGCTCTTCCTGCCAAGCGACCAACCCAGCCTGGTGGTAACCCTGCTCTTTGGGAGGCGGTTTATACTCTAGAAGCGGAGGTTTCCAACACTGGAGACGTGAGCGGATTCGCCGTTCCACAGTTGTATGTTGAGTTCCCCGATTCGACTCCGGCCGGTACCCCGCCTAGCCAGCTTCGTGGATTCGATAAGGTCTGGCTGAAGGCGGGTCAGAAAAAGACTATTTCTTTCGATCTGATGCGACGTGACGTTAGTTACTGGGATGTCGTTGCCCAGGACTGGCGGATTCCCGCTGGATCCTTCACCTTCAAGGCTGGGTTCAGTAGCCGTGATTTCCACGCGACTAAGGATGCGACATTGATCAAGGCATGATTTTTATAATCACTTCGAGCTAGAACTTTAGATAAAAATGCCGAGGACGATGGCCAAGCCAATGTTCTTTTACGAGAGAAATGTTATACAATTACTATTTGCATACTACCGTAGCCTAGATAACCTATAGACTCGCCCGCTCACACTACTTTTGAACAGAACTTAAATTTAAATATCTCATAAAGTATAGAACATATAAGATCAAATTCAACGCCAATGATACAAGAAACCCTTAACTCGTATGCGCCGGCTTCCGCTCCCACCCCGTCTTTAAATCACCAGTGGGCTTAAACCTCGGTAGCGGATGCGCCTCAGTATTAAACACGTGATCTTCCAGGGAGATGAAATCCCGATCCGAGAACAGCAAGTAGAAGTACTTAAGCGTCTCAGCCATCCAGAAACTCTCCATATTATCGCGCTTCTTAGCAGGGATGGTAAGTGCGTCATCGAGGGACGTGAAGCCCTTGATGCGGCTGATTGTGCCGACGTCGCCGGGTGAGAGCTTCGATTGTTTTTCTTCGACGACGGATGTGTGCTGGACGAAGGACTTGAACATCTCCCAGCCCCATTCACGATACATTTCGTCGCCAGTGATGCGGTACATGTAGAAGATGGATTCGATGGTTTCCGGGCGAAGGAGATTGTGGCGGTCCATTCGGTGGATTTCGATGTCTTTGCGCCATGGTTCTAGTCCGTCGTCTTGAGTGGTCAAGGGGAGAGAGATGCTTGGGAGTTCCTTGGGCTTTGAGCTGAGGGAAGGGATGGGGTACTTGTCTGCCATCATCACTGGTGGGCTGTCGAGAATGAAATGAGAGATCTCGCCGGCAAGTCCCGTCGGGTTCGTTTTGTAGGTTGCCCAGCAGGTCTTCATTAGCTCCTTGGAGATGAGAATCTCTTCTTCGCGTTGCTGGGACCACTTGGAAGATTCCCTGGCTTCGGACAGGGACTTGCCTCCGGTAGCACCGAGCGCAATTGTGCCAGGCATGAAGCAGACTAGGTGGTCCATCTTTGGTGAAAGAGAGCCTTCCAAGCCCGAAGGACGCTCGCCTAAAACCAGTAGTTGTGCGTTCTTGGAGAAAGCAAGGAGATGTTTGCGAATTCCCTTCAAAGACTCATCCCACATCTCCTTGTAGATATGCTCTTGTTCGGATGTCTGCAAATACTGTTTGATCAGGTATTCTAATATAACGGGTCAGTTTGAAGCTATTTAACAAAGGGTTGCTGATAAAAAACTCACCGTAGTAGGAATCACCCCGGCTACCGAGGCGAATATTATTACCATGGAAAACCCCTTCCTGGGGATTAATGTAGATGGGCACAAGACCATCCTCGGGTCTCTGGCCATCGGCAACCTCCATCACCTTCTCAACAACATTCCAATACTCAGGCTCGCCGGTTAGCTTAGCCAAGTACTTGAATTCGAGCTGTAGTGAGGTTGCCTCTGCCGTAGACGAGGCACCGCCGTCGCTGTGTGATTGTAGACCCTCGGACTTGTTCAAGTTCACACTCGCATATGGAATACCGGTGGGCGATTCAAAGGCTCCAAGCAGGCGATCCGCGAGATCAGTGGCCTTTTCAATGTACAAGTCCTCTCCAGCTTCCCCAACATCATCATCCGTGAGGGGAGCGAGGGTGGGGTACTTGGTGGAGAGATAGTTCGCAGAGAGCAGGCCTCCCAGCATACGAATAGTGGTCTCAAACGTGCTCACATCATGATCCTGGTTGTACTGCAGCGAAGTCGAGATCCATTGGCGCGCATGTCGAACTTGCGACGTGAGGTTCATGAGAATCATAGTGTCCAGGGAGTCAACGATGATCCAGCCCATGCCTCCCTTTACCATGTTCCTGTTGCCACCAGACACAGGGTGATACTCGTCGTAACCTGGTGTGATTTATCGTTAACGTTGTTCCCAAGTGTGCCCGTGAATATCGACTTACCCCACGCTTCCTTTTCATATCCCTCCCAACTGACAATGAACGCATCTCGGACTTTCTCCCGGCGTGCATCCCAATCCGCGGGTCCCTTTGCAGGCGCACTCTCTAAGCTCTGTGCCAATTTCCAGAGTTCAAGGCCCCTATCCGACGAATCTGCGCCTTTCCACGCTGGTAGACCCGGGCTATAATAGAAATACCATAATAGTATCAAGGTAAAGATACCCAGTATACCCAGTGGTTTTCTCCATCGCCGAGGTGCCGTGCGTCGCGGTGCGAACGGTTTGTCTTTGTACATGGGGAGGGTACGATCCTTATCAAAGAAGCCACCCATCGATGGTGCAGAGAGACCGAGCCCTGCAATTCCTTTGCGAAAGTCTTGATTTTGGGCGGGACGCCAGGAGGTAGTGGACTGCGATGCCTGGAAAGACATGGTTATCCTTGTTTAACCCCCGCTTGCTCCGTCTCCGAGTATATGCAGATGGTGCAACTTCCTAAGACAGGAGCATGGGAGCACGTCTCGGGTCGGTTTAAGCCGGTCGTTTTAGAGCTTCTTATTGCACACCGGAACGTGGTGACGAATTCGCGTGGTTCTCGCTGGCGCTGGTCTATAGACGGGTGCAACAGTCAGCCGAGGTTCACTTTCTGTCCTTTCAGGAGTACTTGGGTTGTTCGACTACTAAAACAAGGTTGCTTACTTTGGTCGATAATGCCAGATAGCTTTGTCGTCAACTCTTCCTGGTCGTGAAAGTAAGAGACCAATCCGAAACGTGACACCGTGTGCTCAAGTTGACGAGATCTTCGGTTGCGCGACTGGGCAAAATAGGGGTCCAAAATCACGTAACTGTGCACCGGAGGATTTTAGAGCATTAGAAAACAGCGCTCGAAAGAAATATGTGCATCTAGACAGAAAAAATGGAACTGGGGGCGCGTCAGGGCCAGGGACAGCTCCGCGGACGGGGGGAGTGGAGAACCGATAACTGAGGCCCGCCGAACCAGGTCACATGTTGATAGAGCCCACGGAGATCATGCATCCCATGGAATACGTGCCTTGGTGTAGTGTAGTCTAGATGGATGCAGACGTGATTGAAGTATAATTTTTAAGACTAAGAAATTGGAGTACGATGCAAGGTGCCCCGCTGACAGTCTCCACGATTCGACAGGTGACATAGAATTCTGTAATGCGATTCTCTAATAGCATGAATTGCCCGGTTTGACTACCTAGGCGTAGATACAATTACAGCTTCTGGTACTCCAACTTACCCTCCAGCTTCTTCGCCTCCGCCACCTTTCGCACGGCCTTGTTGAAGTCGTCCTGGTTGACGGCATCGCGGTAATCCTTGATGGCGAACAGGCCACTGTTTGAATGTTAGCGAATTTCAATGATAATGTGGAGGCTTGGGGAGGACTCACGCTTCGGTAACAACGTTACGCAGATCAGCACCGTTGAGACCATCACTCATCTTCACCACACTCTCAAAGTCGATGTCTCCGTCAATTTGCACCGTGCTCGTGTGAATCTTCAGAATTTCCAAACGGCCCACCTCGTTGGGCAGAGCAATCTCAATCTTCCGGTCCAGACGACCAGCACGCAGCAAGGCGGGATCCAGAGTATCAGGTCGGTTGGTTGCCATGATGATCTTGGTCTTGCCCAGATAGTCGAATCCATCCAGCTGGTTCAGCAACTCCATCAGTGTTCGCTGAATTTCACGATCGGCAGATGTACCCTCTGAGAATCGTCGACCACCGATAGCATCAATCTCGTCCATGAAGATGATACAGGGCTCATGCTCCTTGGCGTAGCCGAACATCTCTCGAATTAGTCGGGCGGATTCACCGATGTATTTGTCGACGATGGCGGAGGAAACCACTAGTTGAAAGCCAATTTTAGAAGACGCAAATTAATCCAGGGAGGAATTCGGGACATACCCTTCAAGAAGTTGGTCTCCAACGAGCTAGCCACTGCTCGTGCGAGCAGCGTCTTACCCGTACCCGGAGGACCGTAGAGCAGGACACCCTTCGGCGGCTTGATTCCCACACGCAGGAAGAGCTCTGGGTTCTTCAATGGTAGTTCAATGACCTCACGCAGCTCTCTGATCTGCTCATTCAAACCGCCGATACCAGCAAAGTTGATCTGGTCCGGATCCTCCAAAGACATGTTGTAGACCATGGGATCGACCTCGCGAGGCAGCATGCGCATGATTGTGAGTGTTGTCATATCCAGAGCCACACGTGTGCCCTGTTTCATCTTGGTCTTGTCGACCTTCGAACGGCAGCCGACAACGTATCGCGGTCCTGATGATGCCTTGACGATGACTGTAACCAGTTAGCTTCTGACTTCATGCACTCAAATATCTCAGAATGCTTATGACGGGCTTACATCGCTCCTCATCCAGCTGTTTCAACACCTCGCCGATGATCTGACCAACACTTTGAAGTGCCTTGATGTTCTCTTCGGAGACATCGAACTCTCGTTGCAGATCCTTGATACCCATGCGCAGGGTCTTCAGTTTGGCCTCCCATTCTCGAAGCTCGAGTAAGCTCTTTTTATAATCATCGAGCGCCTGATCCCGCTCGGGGTCGCCGGCGCCGTTCATGATGGACGGCGAACGAGATTCGTAGGAACGGGTCGAAGAGGTTAAGAAGTTGAAGCGAGAGTCGATCGTAGAGCGGGTTGAGTCGATATCCCAAGGGATAGACAGTGAGATGAGCAAAGATGATAGAAGGGACAATCGACGCAATCTGGGGAGCTTCCAGCAACGCCCATCGAGGAGCTTCCACAAAGGTCACATGATGGCGCGTCAGATCATGTGACCAAACAGTGTAATCACATTGATGCCTTAGTTATTGCCTTGGCTACTTGATGCCTGGGTGCCTAGTTGCCTGTTTGCCCAGGCAGCTAGCCTATCGAATTTCCACCCAGATAAACAGCAACATTGGGATACCGGTTTCCTATCACATCGCTCTGCAGAGGCATATACAGCCTTTCTTTCTCTTAAGACAGACAAGTCTTTGTAGCCCACTGGCGTGGATACTTAGGCGGTTCCTCCAGATGTTCCTGGGCCAGAGGATGTATAGGAAAGCGGGAATATATTTTTCTATACCAATTACTTTATTTTCATGGCATCTCAGTTCAAGTCTCTACATCTTCAAGAAAGCCGGTAGATAGGGGTGGTTGGCGAAGGACCTGGACGGCTTCCAGGCCTGGCGGTGTCTCGTCCATATTCGGTACGAAAGCTCGGTCGCTTCGTCATCCCTGAAAACCCAATGCAACCAGAATGCGACGTAGGATGCGGACTCGACCACTGGTTCACATTCCCCGGATTGACTACTTGATTGGAGCGCATCGAGAGAAAGACTTTTCCCCTTGAGTCTACGAAGCTGGAGTCTTGACTCCCCGGTAGAGCTATATAGATACCGGAGGGGTAGATAGGATCATATGAGCCGAAAATAGGCACAGACCCGGGCTCACGGGTATCTCAGGATGATAACATCATAGTCCAGCAAGGTTCTCCCGAGGGACGGGAGATCTCGCAGGTGAAGGCCGCCGCAGACGGTCGGGATCAACCAGAAGGCGCTGGAGAAGACCGTGGAGCCCCACCATCTTGGAAAGAATCGGAGCAAGCTCTCTGACCTTTCCCGGGGTTCAATGCCAGTTAGAATATTTAAAGAATCGGGCATTTCCGCGTAGCTAGCTCCTTGATACTTTCCTACTTGTTTACTTTCCCCTTTCCAAAGTAACTAGGTGAGTTAAAAGCGCATACATCATACCCCGCCATACTGCCCCTCCCTCCTCAACTGTTCTTTCTGAAGACTCCAAGAGGTCAAGGACACTGTCATCCAACCAGAGCTTCGGTGATCTCAATTGCCGTGGCAATTGCCCCAACCGTCCAGCTCAGACAAATCAGACTCCCCCAATCCTCCCTCCCCGTCCGGCGAGTCTTTTCGGGTCATCGGTGAACCTCTCTGGCTCCCCCGCCGTTAGTCACCTGGCACTGCCTTAAACCCCGTTCTCCTCTCGTTTTTCTCTTCCCTTTCTTGCAACTGACTGATATTCTTCCCCATCAGCCTATCAAGTTCCAAATATGCCTATCTCCAAGGTTCACGCTCGTTCCGTGTACGACTCTCGCGGTAACCCCACCGTTGAGGTCGACATTGCCACCGAGACCGGTCTGCACCGCGCCATCGTCCCCTCCGGTGCTTCCACTGGTACGTACCCCTCACTCAAGATCTCCAGCTTATCAAGAGTCAATGATAGCTAATAGTATCTTCTAGGCCAGCACGAGGCCGTTGAGCTCCGTGATGGTGACAAGTCCCACTGGGGCGGCAAGGGTGAGTGAAACTGAGCTTCGTCGCGATTGAAACTGTTCGGAACTAATCGTTATTGCTGCAACAGGTGTCCTCAAGGCCGTGAAGAACGTCAACGAGATCATTGGTCCCGCTCTTATCAAGGAGGCCATTGATGTCAAGGATCAGGCTAAGATCGACGAGTTCCTCAACAAGCTCGATGGCACTGCCAACAAGGGCAACCTCGGTGCCAACGCCATTCTTGGTGTCTCTCTGGCTGTCGCCAAGGCCGCCGCTGCTGAGAAGGGTGTTCCCCTCTACGTTCACATCTCCGACCTCGCCGGTACCAAGAAGCCCTACGTTCTTCCCGTTCCCTTCCAGAACGTCCTGAACGGTGGCTCCCACGCCGGTGGCCGTCTGGCCTTCCAGGAGTTCATGATTGTCCCCAAGTAAGTTGCTGCTCGGTGCGTTTGCTCTGGATCTAGATTGCTAACAATTGCCCGCAGCACTGCTCCCTCCTTCTCTGAGGCCCTCCGCCAGGGTTCTGAGGTCTACCAGAAGCTCAAGACCCTTGCCAAAAAGAAGTACGGCCAGTCCGCCGGCAATGTCGGTGACGAGGGTGGTGTCGCCCCCGATATTCAGACCGCCGAGGAGGCTCTTGACTTGATCACCGAGTCCATTGAGCAGGCCGGCTACACTGGCAAGATTGCCATTGCCATGGACGTTGCCTCTTCCGAGTTCTACAAGACTGATGCCAAGAAGTACGATCTTGACTTCAAGAACCCCGACAGCGACCCCTCCAAGTGGCTCACCTACGAGCAGCTTGCCGACCTCTACAAGTCCCTGGCTCAGAAGTACCCCATTGTCTCCATCGAGGACCCCTTCGCTGAGGATGACTGGGAGGCCTGGTCCTACTTCTACAAGACCTCTGACTTCCAGATTGTCGGTGATGACCTGACTGTCACCAACCCCCTGCGCATCAAGAAGGCCATCGAGCTCAAGTCTTGCAACGCTCTCCTGCTCAAGGTCAACCAGATCGGTACTCTCACCGAGTCCATCCAGGCTGCCAAGGACTCCTACGCCGACGGCTGGGGTGTCATGGTTTCCCACCGCTCCGGTGAGACTGAGGATGTCACCATCGCTGACATCGCTGTCGGTCTCCGTGCCGGCCAGATCAAGACCGGTGCCCCTGCCCGTTCCGAGCGTCTGGCCAAGCTCAACCAGATCCTCCGTATCGAGGAGGAGCTCGGTGCTAACGCCGTTTACGCCGGCGACAAGTTCCGCACCGCGGTCAACATGTAAATTGGCTGAGAGAAAAGAAAAAGGAGAGATGGCCTGTTTCTCTAGACAGTCATCTATTATGATTATGAATTTAATTAAGATCTTCTGAATGAAAGACATATTCGAAAAGCGATTCCAGTAAACATCCAATATTCTTTCTAGATCGTACACAAAAGAAGGAAATATGAAAATGAAATCATGTCGGGCACCAAGAGGCCGAGATCACGTGGGAACATCCCACCTCCGATAAGTGTCCCACATAAAAATTGCCCTCCCCCTCCATTCTTTGTTGGAGTAGGTTCCTATCGCGGGCTCGTCCTGATTTCTCTTGTTTTTCGGTCTTATCAACCGCGCATCCTTTCTTTACCGTCCTTTACCTTCCAGAAAATTCTTCTTTACTCAATATGCCGCCTTCCAAGTGGGGTAAGTTCTTATCCTCTACTATCAAGATACGCCTCTAGATTTTGCGACGGTGGGCCGCAGTTTGTTTGGCGCAATACCTGGCGGATCATATGGCAGCTGAATGAGTCTGGACCTGTTACTGACTTCACTTTGTCTGATTTAGATGAGGAGGAGGACAGTGTTTCGCCTCCCCCCGTTGCCCCTCGCCGCAGATTCGACGACGAAGAAGAAGACGATGTAAGCCCTTACTCATATCTCTCTCAGTCATGTGCAGCGCAGAAACGGATGCGCAAAACTACGTAATAGGCGCTAATAAACATATCTTGGAAACGATAGGTCCTTGACTCCTGGGACGCCGCCGAGGACTCCGAGGTAGAGCGCGAGAAGACGAAGAAGGCCGCCGAGGCCGAGGCCGCGAAGAAGGCTGCGGCTGCTGCCAACAAGAAGACCAAGGCCCAGCGGATAGAAGAGCACCGTGAGCAGCGGAGGCAGGACGCTGATGACTCCGATGACTTCGACGCCGACGAGACCGAGGCTGAGCGCCGTGATCGCCTGCGCCGCACTGAGAAGGAGGCCGACCTGCAGCACGCTTCCGATCTGATCGGCGACATCGACCTGAACCGCAACCGTGGCGCCCCCAAGGCTATCGTTGTTACCGACTCCAAGGACCCCACCAACTCTATCGATCTGTCTGCCATGCCCCTGTTTAAGCCCACCACTAAGGATCAGTTCAACCACCTGAGCGACGTCCTCATTCCTCTGCTTTCCATGCAGTCGAAGAAGCCCCATTACGCTCTTTGGGCCCAGGACTTCATCCGCAGACTTGTCAAGGAACTCCCCAGTACCGAGATCAAGAAGATTGCCAGCGCTCTGACCACCGCTAGCAACGAGAAGATGCGCGAGGAGCGTGCCGCTGACAAGGGTAACAAGAAGACCAAGGCCGCTAAGACCAAGATCTCCTTGAACGCCAACCGTGACAACCAGATCGACAACAACAACTATGAGAACGATGACGGTCTTGCTGATGATGACTTCATGTAATGGACGACTGGTTTCATTCCCAATTTCCCTATCTCGTTTTGCCTGTCTCATCTTTTCTACTGGATGGGATTCTTGAAAATACGCATTGCCACTGAGAGGTCCCTGTATCTTTCCATTCCATTATATTGGAGTTGATTCCTTCCAATCCCAACATCAATTTTTTTTTGTATACCAACTTGTACATCTCCTTCCTGCATGAACTATAGAACGCATCTACTCGATTTCATTAAGCTGTCCTCATCATTGCTCCATATACATTAAAGCCAGTAAGTGCCCTGGCATATCGTTTCGTTTATTATAACGTCAGACATTAATCAGACTGTACAAGCAGCACTCCTCACCACCTTCCGATCTCCTTTACTCTTAGCCATCATAGCAAGATAGTTTGCCTCCTCCTCAATCCCCTGCACCGTCTTCCCAAGATCCAGAAAACCCTCATCATCCAACGCAAACAAAGCCTCCTTAGCCCAGACCCGACAACTCAATTTCTCGCGAAACCGCGTCGAAAAAAGCGTCAACGGGACAAGCGCCAGTCGGTCCGATAATGCACCGTGCATTTTGGGTTCCACCGCGCCGATCTTCAGAGCCACCAGTAAGCGGCGCAGAAACGGCATTTTGTCCGTCGGTGTGCGCTCGTACTTCCAGTCCGTCGGGCCTGAGTCGTTTATTATGTGGAAATGAATGCCTTCTGTGGCCGTCGTTGTGAGGTACAGAGACCAAAGAAAGAGGTAGGTGTCTCCGCGATCCAGGATGAGGATGTAGAGACTATTAGCCTCGAAGGCCAGTGATAGCGGGGGTGTGAGGGCAGCCATGGATGTAAATTCCAAAAAAAAACAAGTTTAAATGGTTAAATCAGGGCAATGGAGATGATATTATGGAGATGGAGTCACACTTCGTCAGATAGGCGGGGATTCCCGTGAATTTATACATCCAGAACCCAATCCATCAATCGGCAAGCACGAACCGTGCAGAAGCCTTTGTAGTGACTTAAGAAAGCAGATACCGAAGACACGGCTACAGGTCAAGAATAAGGGTTCAACTGATTATTATTATTTTCTGCCATGTCCTTTTCTTCTGGGCCGACGGATTTTCAATACCCAACGCAACGCAACAGACTGTACATATCTGCCCAATTATTCGTGCTGAGGGTGTACTATAGCTTATTCGGGGCAAAAAACTACCACTAGACATGTGGCTGTCTGTGCCTTGGCTGGGATTAAATTTCCGCTTAAATGGGCTGCAGGATAAACTTGTCCAGAAAATAGACATGTCACCTTGTTCTTGTTGCACATGGCTAACTGGCTTGACGCCTCGGCGGTTTTTACCTTTTTTATTCTTTTTTTGTTTTCTGAATCTTTCTCTGAATATAATTATAGGATTTGAATTCATCTCCACTCGCAGGAATTGTTATAAAGTGAGCTATAATCGCACTATGCCGTTTTCTACACTGAATTGATCTATCCAATAAATGCGCCCTTCTATGCGAGGGTCTAAGCCATATTGCAACTGTCGGTGCCGAAATGTGCCACAACTAGCCAAACAAACAATCTTACCTCCTCAATTGAGGCTCTTCGACCATTCGACCCGTGAACCTCCATCGTCCCCGAAACTACCCGCCAATCCCATACCCCGATTCAGCCTTCCACCCTTGTAGAAAAGTCGGCTGACACCTGCCATAAGCCGCTTGTATGGACCAGGTGGCCCGCTTGACGCGCGGCAATCGTAATTCTATGCTCATTTCTAGGATCCAGCAATCACAAATACGAGTGCAGGCCCACCTTCATCCGTTTATCTGGGATTTTTGGCATCGAAATGGCTACATCGACGCCCGGACGGCTGGATGGGTTGGAATCGGGGAGTGAGAGGCCTATCCCGGATTTCGGCAGAGGTGTGCATTACGAGCGGTCTGGAGGCTTCATCCCGATTGGAAGGGTGTACGTGGAATATCGAGGTCTGGCTTAGCTCATAGGTATATTATGCTCGCTCTGGAGACGCCGAGTCTTCTCTATGATAGTGTTCGACTTCTTTCCCAGTCTTAGTCTGGTTGCTCGTGGCTACTTGTGTAATTCTATAGTGAATAGAGTGACACATTAACCATTCTAAGCCAGGGAGGGCTGTTGCTTATCAAGTGAGTAGCTATGCCTTTAAATAGGGCCAGGAGACTCAAAAATCTTAGGTATTAAGCATAAAGATAAGCCCTCGGGGTAGACTCACACCCCGCTGCAAAAACACGCCAACAGTGAACTATATGCAGAGGTAGTAATGCTTGCAACATTGGGAAGCGGCTGACGAAATGATATCGGCTATCATCTTAGAGGCACGGTAACGGACTTCTCCGTCCTCTGTCTCCGTCTATCCTATGCCCTCCCAAAACCTTTTCCCTGACAGCCTACGCTCTTCAAGACAAATTGAGAGCTCCCTGGGTTTCTGCTTATCATCCAGCCTGCTACACTAGTACCGCACACGGACTTGAAAGAAAAAGTTGAGGCTAACATAATAAACAGAGGATTTAAGACATTAATAGCCCCGACGAGTTGCGACCAAGTACGAGTAAGTGTACCAGCCTCCATATCGTTCTCTCCACTCACCCAAGCCAATATCACAAGACACCCTGAGGCCATCTTCGTAATTGCCTCATCGAATCTAGCACACTCCCCACCCCAAGACGCTTAACCAAAGCCCTCGAGAAGGCGGGAGGATCTATAGACAATACGGCCTAAGGCATAGGGCACTAGGCCACATCAGGACGAACATCGCGTGCTGTTGTCTCTACCTCTACTACAATCTTCACGGTAACCCGAAGCTGGTACAGAGAAGTCAGTCGATCCTGAATACTCAGATCGTGAGGTGACCTATATCAAGTTGCTTCTTAACATGGTACCCGACTCATGAGCCGAGTGTGAGGGCTCCACGGCTGGAATTAGGGTCATTTCAATCAGTGCTTTCAAAAAGAACCTGAAAAATACAACCGATCTCTAGACATAATATGTAAGTACCGAGTCATATCGTGACAGTATCGGACGGAATAGGCAGTCTTCAGCGGCCTACGATCCTACAAGCAGATACTGAATAAGGGCCTAGAAGGTGGAATTGGAAAATAAACACATTGAATCGTGCTGAAGTGGGAATAGAGACAATAAAAGAGAGAGAAATTCCACTCAGCCCCTTTTCTTCGCTCGCGTCAACCGAATATCAAACTCCGCCGGCCGACCCGCACGGTCCCGAACACGTGCAAGAGATAGGTGCCGGTCCCAACCAAGCCACGCTGCGGTGAAAAACAAACAAGCGATTTGCATGACCACGTCCAGGATGACATGCGAACGCCCCCTTACCAATTGGCATGCGGTTCGTCGCAAGGTTTACCTGCCCCTCTAGGACTCAGTCTCGGCCTCGGCCGGCTTGGCCTCTTCGGGCTTCTCCTCGGCCGGCACCGCGGCATCGTCCTCAGTCTTCTCCTCCTTAGGGGCCTCACCTTCGTTACCATCGGCAGAGGTCCAGAGGGTCAAGTTATCCCGCAGAAGCTGCATGATAAGAGTGCTGTCACGGTAGCTCTCCTCGGAGAGGGAGTCAAGCTCTGCAATAGCGTCATCGAATGCCTGCTTAGCGAGATGGCATGCGCGGTCGGGAGAGTTGAGGATCTCGTAGTAAAAGACGGAGAAGTTCAGCGCGAGGCCAAGGCGGATAGGGTGGGTGGGGGTGAGGTCAGTCTGGGCCACATCGGTAGCGTTCTATTGTCACGGATCAGTACTTGACCCAGGCGCAAAAATCTGTCAACTTTAAATACCTTGTAGGCCTCGTGGGCAGCGGTAGCAGCAACCTTGCGCTTGTTGCCGGAAGCGAACTCGGCGAGATAACGGTGGTAATCTCCCTTCCTGTTGTTGGGGTCAGTCATACCACATCACAAGGCGACAAGGACGCGTGTCTGGGTGCGAAACTCACATCTTGTAGTAAAAGACCTTGGACTCGCCGGTCTCGGCCTTGGGGATCAGGGACTCATCCAGGACGTCAAGGACATCTTGGCAGACCTTCTCGAGCTCGGTCTCAATCTTCTGGCGGTAGTCGTGGATGATACCGACGTGCTCATCGGAGCCCTTGGACTCCTCCTTCTGCTCGATGGAGGAGATGATGCGCCACGAGGCACGGCGAGTACCGACGACGTTCTTGTAAGCAACGGAGAGCAGATTACGCTCGTCAACAGTGAGCTCGCCACCGATCTAGAAAGAAAGGGTAAGCAAGGGGTGCGGTGTGAAGAGGGGACCATGTGGTATTCGTACGTTGGCGACTTCCTATTCGACTGTTAGCCTGAGTGTCCCGATGGTAAACAACACGACGAAACGTTACTGACCTTCATGAAAGTGACCATTTCTGGCAAGCGGAAACACACATGTTAGCACTCGTAAGCTCGTCCTAAGTTGCCCAAGTGAATCTCACCATCGTAGCGCTCGGCCTGCTCACAGAGCCTCGCGAGGAACGTCTTGCTGATGAGGGGTCAGTACTGGCACTGCAGATGTCGGTTGGGAGGGATTATATGATCCTTACTTCTCGCGCTATATTGCGAAAACATGGGTCAGTATGATTCCAAACTCATAAAATCCGAAAGGGGATGTCAGGGCACTACGGCCAGAAGTGGGATTGCGATGGCGGTGACGGCCCAGGCAAGGCCCGATGGAGGGGCAGGAAGTCGAACGTACCTCAGAACCCATGATGAAAGTGTATGTCAGGGGTAGGAAAAGTTGTGAAGAGGGTGGGTATTATTGAAAAGGACAAGAGGGATCGGAAAGAGAGAAAGATGATGGTTGCAAGACCAAGTGGGGGTGGAAAGAGAGGAGGAGAGCGAAAGGAGTTGGGGGGGGAATCATAACATTACGTTTGTTACGCCATTCACTCGGGTATCCGGTACCTTAAGGCCCCGTCTTCCGTGTAATTTATGTATTCTCATTACGCCACTTCCAACTTTGGCCCAAGCACATGTTCAAGTGAGGCTCTGCCGGTGTCAGGCATGCATCCCACCCTTGGGCGCATATCTGTGATGTTTCTATAAGATAGGTTGCGTTCCTCGTTGCCGCGTGTATCAAGGACTCCCGTACAGTTGCGCCGTTTCCCTCTGATGATCAGCTGGAAGCGCGGTGGGCCCGCGTTTCCAATGATTTCCCTCGGCGACTACAACTGACCACTGAGTCCGTTTTGATTAAAGGGGGTTGTAGGACATGGGCGGTACACTGGCACCATATATGCCATTAGAGGTGGTTCTTCGTAGGAAAAGGCCTCACGATGACGATGATGCAACTGTATGCTCGGGTACCTTCAGGTAGAACCTTCCAGCACTTCACAAGGAGACTTGGCCGTGATGTAGTGACCAGCCCAATTACGATTCCACGGCCCTCAAAGAATGAGATTAAATGCAATGTGTCGGAGCACTCGTCTTTTCGACTTGATTTCCAGCTGCAAGACTGTCACTGTAGTTCGACAGGTGACCCTTTGACTTCCGCGTCGGGTACCTGCGAGCTGGAGATCCGTAATTCAGCTTCCCACTCAGGCGTGTCTTAGTCTCTAGTCTCTATAAAACATGACTTTGCCTTTTTTATGAGCCCTTATAATCATGTTCGGGCCTAGATGGCTGAAGAATTGTCCATTTTACCCAGGTACTAGGAGCGAGAGGACTGAACCCCTGCTATTTTTGGAATAGCGGTACTCTCCAGGGCTCCCATGGTTGCCGCCATGTCTAAAAGCCACACCTTCGAGTGTCTCGAGACTAGCCCTGACTGCCCGCCTCCTTCCCCTAAAGGCTTTCGATACTTACTTCTGCGCTAAG